AACCCTAACCCTAACCCTAACCCTAACCCTAACCCTAACCCTAACCCTAACCCTAACCCTCAATAAAGTGTCAACTACTCAATGCGGCTTGAACCATGCCGGCCAATTTGATGGGAGCAGGTGCTGCACTTCGGTCTTTCAATGCTCGCCCGTGGGAAAGGTTCTAATAAGCGTGTGAACATTCATGCTGTTGGATTTCACGCTTGTCATCCTACTGGTATGTTGAGCGCAGATATAGCTGATCTTTGGGCCCGGTCATCAGACCAGGCAACGCAGCACCACTAGTAAAGCATGCCGCAGTGAATCACGAGAATTGTGCAGGAGAGACTGATTTAACCTCGGGTTCGGAAATTACAGATGTTTGACACCAATTCCGGCGGCTTCGATGTAGTGTCGCGTTCTGCCAAGCGACCGCCTCTGCAGATCATCCTTCGAATGTTGCTCTCTTCGGAGGGCCAGTCCACTTGTGCATTTCGGTAGCCTCATGAATCGCATTTCCGCCTCTCGACATTTCCGCGGAGTAGACCCTGGGGGACTGGCATGCTGCACAACACGCATTTCCTCCCCGAGGCTGCCTGCAATCTGATATTCTTTTGCATGTTTCAGCGGTACTGCAGACCACTAACCTTAATCTTCGTTTGAGACTCATTGTGGGAAAGATTCGCTGAGTCGAGACCCGAGCGTAAGGAGCACGTTTGCTGTCCCTCGTACTGTGCACTGTATTTGCTAAAATCGAGTCCTTGCACACATCATTGAAAGCGACGGTTCGGGCGAACCTGCAGCAAGCATAATTTTTCCCGCGCCATCTTTAGGCCGAGGACCAGCACAGACCCTTTCGTGCGCTGGGCGGGATCTACGCATCTTGCCCAACCCGGACTGTGCCGCAACAATATCAACTTCAGTTATTTTTTGCATCTTGACGGCCATCCTTGACCATGGCAGTGGACCAGGCTTAGCAACACAGATCCGAGAAAGAACTTGCAAACTCGTTCCCGACCCTCAGCTGTTCCTGGCAACTGGCAACGTGACTATACCTGTGCTGATCAGGGATATCTTATAGCAAAGCAGTGGAACATCAAGGCAAGCCTTCGGCAAGACGTACCGCTGCAGAAGCATAAATACCAAGGTTCACTCGTAGACCACCACCCCCTTATCATCGAAATGCCTCTCGCTCATTGGCGCTACCAAGAGAACTTCGCAGGTCTCATCGCTGTATTAAGCGCTGTAGCTTTTATCCTTTTGGCTCGTTACAAGAAAACCATCGACAATCATGCTCCTCAAGATGCGTACTTCTTTGCGGGCATCTCGCTCGTCTTTGTTGACGTTTTTCTTGCTCTTGCTCTTGCAGTTCTTCTGCGTCCTGGCCGTCAACCCTGGCAGTCAGGCTGGCAGCAGCAAATCTCACGTCACGACTTTGGTCAGCCTGAAGAATCTTGATCGCGTTCCTGTCTACCTCCCAAATTCTCTTGCCCGCAGGGCAAAAGTTCCCGAACTGACTATCATAGTTGACTATGTCTCTTCGTCGTCTGTCAACCCTGACAGCACTCAAATTAGCGCTAACCACACTCTGGTCGAACGACTCTGGGCCCAATTGTTCACATTTGCCTGGTCGGCAACCAAAGTCGTTGTTGGTAATACATGGTACGGGGCTGCCGTGAATCTTGCTGGCCTGGCTTGCAACGCCGGCAGCTTTGGCAATTGGCTCCCGTCGTGGACAAAGTATCCGTGCATCGCAATAGGGTTCGTAGGACCCTTTGCGAACGTATGGACCGGTCGAGGAGACATTGCGAAGGCCTGGTCCAGCTTCCGAAATGGTGGTTCGGTCCAAATCTCAGACTGGGAGCTGGCCCAGTGGATGACCTATGGCGAATCTCCTACTCGCTCAACCGCCGATTGGCACGCTGATTGGGAGGCTCACCTGGACCAAATGGCAATCGATAACTGGATGCAAGGCAATGGTCTCTCCCTACACGATCGCGATGACGGTTTTGCACTCCTGTCATGGCGCCACCTTCGAGGGGCCACCAAGCAAAAGCCATTCAACGTGGCCACGTCGTTCAACAATACTTTGCACACCTGGGACACCGACTTCTACTTTGCACCGATGAACAACAGCTTCTCGCTTGGTGCGGTACACCGCCCTATGCACGTGGTCTACAGCCCCAACCCCAGCGCGCAGGCGTCTGTTCGAAGAGACTTTGTCAAACGACAGGGCAATTGTGGATCTTCGGGCTCTGAGTGGGTGGGCCTGAATGGCAATGGCGCTTACTTTACCTGTCGAACGCCGAATGCGAATGCAGAGCCCTGGACCACCTACGAGACCAACGCATGGCCGAACGAGGGGCAATTTGATGCGGTCGACTCGGACATTGGAGGAGAATACGCTTATAACAACGGACTGAAGGATCTTGCCGCCGAAATCTCCAATTCGGCTGGAGATTCTAACTGGAAGCGCTCTTGCCTCGAGATCTATTCATCCGGAAACCAGATTGCAAATGGTTTTTGGCAGATCGGTCCCAACTCTGATCACGACAATGGCCTTGGCGATTGCTGAGTCTAGCTCATCGGGCTTGCACGTCGGGTCACTCACAGATGCTGCGCATCGAGCGAACGAGAGGCGTTCTCTAGCGATACTTTCGACCTTCGAGTGTCAAGGTCCCAAGCGTGCATGTCGGAACTCTTTGATACGATACACAACGCAGAGGTGAACAGTCGCTGAAGGTTATCTGACAGACCATAGCCAACACCAAAAAGAAGCAGTCGTTAGAACAACTTGGACCTTTCTCTCATCCACATTCTCAATTCTGTCCCTCCGAACTGTAAATCTGACCCTGATCTCCAAACAGACCGAAAGCGTGTCATCAGCTGTCTACGGTCCCGATTCTGAATCGCTCCCGCCGACAAATCTCTTCTGTGTTGCCAGCCTGCATCTGAGTCGCTGATAAGCCCCGCTGAACTGAGCATTCAATACACTAGCCGGATAAGCTGAGTCACATGACTGTACAGCTTGTCCATCGAGACTAGAGTAGACGGTTGTATCTTCGAGTAGCCGTCATATTCAGTCTGGTAGTCTGGCGGGTCAAGTCATCTTTTAGCAACTTGGTGTACACGCATCGATGTGGTTGCGGAAAAAGGCTCAGCTTTGTTCTCTGGCTTGTTCGCGGAAACGTATATCATCAGTACTTGCGACGCTCTGAGGCAGCTCGACTTTGCCGATCCTTCCCTCTTTCTTGCAACCATAACACGCGTCAATCGACACTTTGAATTCTGACACACTACAGACGTAGCGAACGCACACGACCATGGGCATTCTAGAGGAGAGTCTTAGCGCCGAGGATTGGAATTTCATCGGCGATGAAATTGACGCTCGTCATCCAGACAGGGCCGTGTCCTACGAAATGGCGCCGGATGGCTTTCTGGTCAGGATGTGGACTATCGACAATGCGAACGATATCACCTACGGCCCTTTTCCTGTCAAGCCGGAGAATAGCTCGATGGTCGAGCACCACGTCAACCGGATGAACAAGGCTCCCTGCCCCCTCGGCAAAAGCTGTCCCGGTCAAAGCCAAGGCATGCCTCAAGACAGCCTCAGTCCCAAAGATTGGGACGCACTGAACAGGGCGGTGCATTCGAACGAGATAACGACGTACGCGATGGTGCAATGTGGTATTGTGGTAAAGCAACAGGCGGACGAGGGCGACGTCGATAGAATCTTTGGACCTTTCCCGGTCGCTCCTCGATACAGACAGCAAGTGGAGGATTTCGTCAACGCCAGCAATGTACGTCAGTAGATGCGGTGCTAGAACACAGTACAGTAACAGCGGTACAGGTGGCGGTTTGGTAGTGTCAGGGCGATCGGGCGTAACTTGAGCGCAAAGAACTTTGAGCGATCTTGAGCCGTCCCTATGACGTCGAGCCCGACGGCACGACCTTCTGTACACCAGTGAGATTGAGACTCTCCCCCACAAGAGCTGCCAAGAGAGTGCTGAATCTGAAGGGTGTGAGAGAGTGCGGTTGCAGGAGATTACCCCTCGATGCGCAGTCGGCCAGTCCACGCCCTTTGGTGCGCCTGCTTTGCTCACTACGTTGAGAACCCTGGCGGAGATTGAAATTCTAAACAAGCAATTCTAGAAGCCGAACACAGTATGCATCAGCCGACGGAAGCTTCGTTTGGATCAGAGTACAGCCTTGCACAGCAACTTTTCGCACTTCTGGCGCAACTTGATCCGTTACATCCCAGTGCGTCCATGCACTGCATCAGCATGCTACCTTGCAAGCCTGCAGTGTTGTCTTCTTCTCAGTCTGCAGCACCATATCTCACGACTGCATCCGTTGACTCGAGCGACGCATGATTCTCTTATCAGCGCACGCTCGACGCTACGAACGGTAGCGCGGGGTAAATTAACAAGCGAAGACAATTAGCTCGATCGTGTCAGTCGCTTGCCCGACGGTCATCTGATGCCCTGTTACCGGCGGCTCTCTCACACTCCACAGCTTCCTCGACTTTGGATTCTCTGCGCTGATACCAGCAAAAGTCTCCGCAGACCTCTCTCTGCCATACGTCACCAGGTTCTTCCTCTTTGCCCTGTCAATTCTTGCAAGCCTTCGAATCCATTGGACCGTGTTCCTGAACACTTCGGAGGTGCGGCCGAGTTCATGGTAGATAGACATCGGCACAGACTCCAGTTTAAGCGACGCGATACTGACCTGGTCCTCAATGCGTTCTTTATCAGGGCGCGCGCTTGGCGAATGGTGTCCCTGAGGAGCTGCTACATTTGCACAAATAGCCGCTGGTTCCCACAGGAGAAGCCTGCCAGCCAACCAGTTAAACTCTGCTCATAAAGCAGTCGTTGAAAGAACAACATCGGCCAGCCCGGCACCCTGCGCAGCCTGCGGAGAGCACGCTCCCACGAATTATCCAACGTCTCTGGCAACCTCCCATCATCTACACGAAGACTTCACCGAGCTTTGTGGGCATCAATTCCGCCCAGAGAATGGCAAAGCAAGAGATTTCGGGGTCAACAAGCCCATCGACGACCACTTTGCTTCCAGAATATCACGACGTTGAGAGGCTCCCATTTTTGGCCGAACACGAACGGAAAGACAGCAATCCGACCCAGCCTTGCCAGAACAAGGCGCAGAGCTTATTGTCGCGCATCGAACATAATCAAGTTGCGACTCGAGTATTTTGGTTCTTCGTTGGGTGGTACTCGAGCGCAATCATTGCGGCGATCATCAGCGTTATCGTCTTCAAACAATGAAGCGATTCTATACCCGGCTTGACCAGGACGAGGAGCTCCAGGACAAGGAGCGGATGTATTTGTCAAGAGCACCGCCACTCATCTGGCTATATATCGGTTTCGTAGCGGGCATGATCGTTGCAGCCATCATTCGCATTTCGATCTACGAATCAACACGCGAAGTCTGTCCTTCGTGATTGCTCAGGCAACGGCTTGTGCAGCATCTGCAGCTCAAGCCAGGGTCAAGATCAGAGTGTCAAGCAAGTCCGTGGAAGTGTAAGGACGGATAGAGTATGTATATAGCGGATCTTCCTCGGCCTCTGACCCATCCAACCCTCGCTCGCATTGTGGTTTTCGGCAACGTTGTGACGGCAGCGCAGATGCCTCCTGAGGTCAATGTCGTGCGCTTCGTGGAGTGACGATGGAGCAGTGCATCCTGTATCCGCGCTAGGACCTCCGCGCGCAACGAGACAATATAGTCCAATCTGGCGGGTTTGGATGCTCTCATGTTGCTGCACGACTCGATTTTCAGAAGGGGAACACCCTGCATAGAAGACCTGCTATATGTTGACCACCACCAGCGTCACAGATTGTCCATGTTTGAGAGGGGCAAAAGAAATATCTGACAAAGGCGAAGCAAATTCCTGACAGATTTCTGGCAGACAGTCCGGGCGATGGGTGCGCACGATGAAGCGCCAAGCCTTGGCGAAGCACCGCCGCCAGTAGAGAAGCCCGACGCCGACTTGGCGCAGTACGGCAAGTCTTGAAGATGCGCGCACTTCTCGTTCTACCGGCACCAGCATCTGTCGAGAAGGACGGACCAGCTCGACATCTCCCAAGTTTTGATGCAGGGTCGGCTATCTCGGCTTGGTGCAGGGCTGTGGGCGAGCCGAATAATGCAGGTCGTGCAGCTGCTTGCCGCGACAATTCGTTTCCGCCTACGTGAGCCTTGCGAACAAATCGAAAATACGCTGCTTGATGATAGATTCGAGGCAAACGTGATTGGACCCTTCCAACTCCCGTGTGAGTGAATGTGCGAACCAGATTCTGTTGATATGATTTGTGCCAAGGCTTCGGCTCGCTGCTTTGTCAGGCGGCGGCGTGGATGGACGCCAAGCGTCATGCTACCACGTTGGGGCGAGAGGCGCATTTTCAAGTCAGCTCACTTCGCGGGAGTGAGGCCAAGGGAAAAGAAGAGCGATCCTCGTCTTGTGCCTGTCGTACGTGGCTGGCTCATCAGCCGCGGACGAGCAAGGGTCCTTGGCGAAGCGGACTTTGTCTGATGGGATTCCTCCACACGAACACTTGATGGCACTGCCGACGATTGCCGATCTTTTTTAACCGTGACAGATTGGAAGGAGCCAAGTCATTGACTGCAAGGTCCTTTGTGCAAACAGCCACTTGGAGCGTCAATACCACGCTCGACTTGCTTCTACCATCATTTCTACCAGATGCGCTAGACGCCTGCGCTCCGACTATGCACGGATGGCACGAACGACCAGGGCGCCTGTGCCCCTCAAGCCGATTCCACTGAAAACGATCCACACGTACCCCAGCAAGAATGGCACGGCGTCCATCAACATCTTTTCCTACCCGCAGCGTGTGCCCACCTTCATGGGTGGCAGCTACGAGCGAGACTGGGGCTCGTTGGCAGGAAGCGTCGACATCAAGATCCACGAAGCGTCTGGCGACCGCGTCTCTGCAATCAAACTCACGCTTACAGCTATACAAGTAATCACGGTCCCAAAGGCAGCCTCGGTCGATGCACCTTCTGCACTCGATCGTATGGCCATCGACACAGAAGAGACCAAGACCAAACAAGTGACGCTTCTCGAGCTTGAACAGATCCTGTTCGAGCCGCTCAAGTCCGATGTGGATCGAGATGCCAATCTCTTGCCTCAAGGCAAACACGTTTACCCTTTCAGCATCAACCTCCCGCTCCTGGGCAACAAGGACAAGAAGAATCCGCCCCTCCTGCCTCCCTCGTGCGTCATCGAGCCTCTGCTGCAGGGTCCCACCGATGCCAAGCTGCGTCAAGCCCAGGCTTCCACCGGCCTTTTCGGCAGAAGTAAAGCCAACGAGAAAGGACAGCTTCGCCCAGCCTGGGCTACGGTCAAGTATCAGCTCAAGCTAACCGTTCAGAGGCCAGGTATGCTGAAGCGCAACGTGCGCAGCTACGCTCCCTTTGTCTACCTGCCTCCGCCGCCGTCCGCAGCATCCTCCCTCTTGCTGCAAAGGCGGGCGCTGGGAGCACAAATGGCGGCCATCGTTATCGAACGTCAAGGCGATGGGTGTCAGCCTATGGAGACGCCGCAAGACTGGCGTCAGCGTCTCCTCCCCTTCCTCTTGTCTCCCAATGGCCAACAGAAGCTCGAGCCTGAAAAGAAGACTGGCTTTCTATCACACTTGTTCGGAGGCACCAAAAAGCCAGAAATGATCAACTGGCACGAAGCATGGACCTTTTCCATGCCCATGAGCGGTCGTTCGTCGTTTCCGCTTCGTTCTGCGATCCCCTTCATCGTTCGTTGCACCACCAATAAACCCATCGACCTCAGCATGTCTTCGCCACTTGCCTTCAAACTCTATCGTAGGGTGCGACTATTGACAGGCAAGAAGCAGAAGGCGGTGGCGATGCAGCAAGAGCCGGTGGCCGAGGCGGTGCTTCGCTACGCAGTCGAGTCCCGCGGAGTACATCGCATCAACGGCGTCATCCCCTTACCGCCTAATTGCGTTCCATCTTTTGACCTTCCTAGCCTCTCGCTCGACTATTTCGTTGCCGTGGTACGCCTGCTCGACGGCAGCGTTTTGCACAAGGAAGCCGTCAACCTCGCCTGCCCACCGCCTGTCGAGCCGAAAACGGCTTACGGTCCGTATCCTTCTGGACTGGCTTGGCGAAGTGCTAGAGAAGCGGCTCTCAGTCCGCCTGAATCACCATCGTCGCCGGAAGAGTCGCCTCCTCTTGCGCCGCACGCGTCGAGTTCCCCGACGGCACTCGCAGTGCCTTCGCCCTCCTCACGGCAACGACCGAGCTTCAGCAGCATCGCCAGCACCAGCTCAAGCAGCGCTCATGCAAACAGTCGACGAACATCGGTGACTCCGTCTTTCAGGTCGTACCGCACTGGTTCTACAGACTCCACACACTACGCCTCTGCAGCAAGCTCGGTCAATCATGCCAATGCAGGCAATACTGCTGCAGCGGCCGCTGTAGCTGCTCTCGCCTCTGGCCCTACATCAGCGCCGATGGGCTTGGCAGGCATGGCCAATCCACCGCCAGCCTCTTCCGCAGGCGCTTCTGGCTTGGCGGCGCATGCTCCGTACTCCAGCAACCTCGATCCGGTTCGAGAGCAAAGCAGAGCGTTCTCTGTGCGAGATGCCCCAAGCTCTCCCATCCCACAAGCTGCTCCCACCAACACTGCGATTGTTGTGCACGATGCGAGCGACACAGCATCGATTGCTAGCAGCACTCGCAGACGGCACCAATACTCGTCCAGAGGCGCGACTCCCATCCCTCCGTCTGGATCCACTCGATCTTCTGTGGATCACGAGGTTCGACCCGATGCTAGTCGTTACGTACACGTGCATGAAAAGGTTCCACCTACCGAATCAATGGCTTCGCTCTCCATGTCAAGATCGGTCAGCATGGAGGGTAGCAACAGCCGACGCGGACTATTCGCCGCCAATGCCGAAGACCTGCCGAGCATCCCTGCCCAAGCATCTTCTTCAGCGCGCGAACAAGCAAACGCGCTCGTAGGTGCATCGTCTTCCAGACCGCGGCGAGATGGACGCGCTGATAGAGAGCGGCGTACCAGCTCGCGCAGTCGAGCAGAAGTGCAGCCCAGCACCTCAAGCACCAAGGATCGTCGCCGCAACGCTGGTACTCGGCCATTGCCTGCGACGCCCGCCGATCCACCCTCATCACGTTCCCAGGCACAGGCACAACCACCACCGCCACCTGCACCGACCGTTGCCGATCCAGTACCACAACAACCAGTCCTGCTCGATCCAGCTGCCGTGCTCACCAATGAGGACCTGATGTACGGCGAAGACATGGAACTTGACCTACCGCCCAGCTACTTTGAAGCCGTCCACGGCGCCGAAGAAGAGGACGAGGACGGCTGACGCGCGGCATCGGTGATTCATTCTGACTCAAGACTCATTGCAAAGCCCGTTAAGACGTCCGCACATGCCGATATCAGGAAAGAAGTCACAAAACTGTATTGTACACATCTGAAAGCTGCCGCAAGAAGACATATTTCACCAATGACAAAGGAAAAGTCCAGAAAAAAGCCCGAATCTACCGTGAACGAACCACAACAACGGAGACACGAACTTTGACTCGGTCAGCCGCTCTAGTGGTGCTGAGCCGATGGGGACGAAGCCGCTTGTGGGGCCAGCAACGTCGAAATGTGCTTGTAAAAGTCGACGTGGCTGGCGTTGGGACCGTTGGCGTAAACGAAGCTGGCGGCCACTTTGGCGGCAAAGGCCGAGCGGGCATACGCCTCGGGGATGCGCTCGATGAGCTTGGCGAGACCGACCCTCTTGATGAGGGTGGGAGGGAAGACCTGGCCGAGCACAGCGGAACGCAGCTGCTCGTTCGAGAAGAGATCGGTGGCTTCCAGCTCCTCGGAGAGCTTGTTGAGTGTAGTGCTGAGCTCAGTCGAGATGGTGGATCTTGGCTTGCCGGTCTCGATGTTTTCGCGCCAGATGGCCTCGAACTCGGCTCGTGCGTTGCGTCCGATGATAGTTTGAATGTCGCGGACGTAGGAGAGGTAAAAGTTGGTTGGCTTGCCATCCTTGAAGAGCATCGACTCGACATACTCGGCGTCCTCGAGAGAGAGGCCGCAGAGCACTTCCAGCGAAGACGAGGTGACACCACCCTTGTTGGCCGAGGCATCCGGGTAAAGGATGACGCCGCGCTTCTCAAGCTCGAGTCGCGCTTGCCTGGTGATGAAGAGGTTGGCGCCTTCCACAATGTACTTGAAGTGAGGCTTTCCGTCCTGGTCAAAGAGCTGGTTGACGTTGGAGATGTTGATGGCCTCGGGACGACCTCCGCAGGGGACGAAGAGGTCGGCCTTGAATCGGAGATGAGCCGAGTTTCGGAAGGCAACACCGTCCGGGATGACCTCGCCGGTCGGAAGCTTGACGTCATTCTGCTCGACCAGGACACGGTAGCCGTTCGAGCTGAGCTTGGAGGCGTCAAAGTCGGAGATCATCTTGCGCGCCTTGGCGAGGCGCACGAGCTCTTGCCTGTTGAGACCGAGAGGATCGTAGATGACACCGCTTCCATCAATGATGGCGACGGTCTTGTCGACCGACAAGAGGATCTCGTTGGAGCCGAGATCGCCGTCGGGACCGCCGGTCTGGACTTTGGTCACTTCTTGCTCTTTGAGGCCGAGCATGCGGTAGATGCCGATGATGTACTGACGCACCGACAGCGAGGTCATGCCCCAGACATCGTGTGGAACACCGCCGAGCGTGGCGGCGGTCTTACCGGTGGTGAACGACTTCCACCAAGGAGCGCCGCGCGCGCGAGCGTGCTCGGCGGCAAAGTCCATGAGATCGGCGGTGCCCTCGTCAGGACCGAGGAAGAGGATCTCTTCCGTGCCCAGGAGGTCGACGATCTCTTCCTTGACGCCCGGAGTTTGACCTTTGATGAGCAGATCGAGGATGGCATCGACGTACTTTTCAAAGGCAAGCTTGGGGTTGGCATCGAGGGTGGGCAGGATGGTACCCTTAGCACCACCTTCGGGGATCTCCTTGTTCTTGAGATGCTGTGTCGACGCGAGAGCGTAGTTTTCGTCGAAGAGCGTTCGCTGGTTGATCGAGTAGTTTTCTCGGTTCCTGGATCGGACGATGCGGATACCGCCTCGAGCGACGTCGCGGAAGCGGACATGGAAGCCACGGAACTCGGCACCGACAACAAAGATGATACCGTACGGCTTGACGGGATACTCGACCTCGGGGAGGAAGCCGGGGTCAAGGCGGAAGGAGAGGGCGACCTTGGTAGGAGTGTAGAAGTTGGTCTTGAGAACAGCCTTGTTGAAGAACAGGAAGGCCTCGAGGACCTGACGCTCGTGCGAGTTGTTGGCAGCCTTGCGGATACGGTCGTACATCTGGTTGTCGTCGAGCACCTCTTCCTTGACGAGACGCTGGAACGAGAGCGTGGGCACAAGCTCTTGGTCATCCGCTCCTCCGGGGTAGTGGATGTTGGCAAAGTGAACATAGAGGAGGCGGATGAGTGTAGGATGGTTTTCGATGACCTCTTGGATCGACTGACGGGTGAAGGTCTCTTCACGGAATCGCAGCTTGATCTCGTTGAGGATGGCGGCCTGCTGCGAGTCGTTTTCGTTGAGCACGTTTCTCAAAGACTGATACGCCTGGCCGAGTCGGTTACAGAAGTGCTGAGCAAAGAGCCAGCCCACGTATGCGTAAGTGGCCTCTTGGACAGCGTGTGTGTTTTCGGCAAGAGCGGGCTGGAAGAAAGGGTTGTCTGGCAGGATATAGATGAGTGAGGCCTCCTTCATGACCTGGTGGATCGAATGCTCGATGGGAGGGCTGTTGGAGGCCGGGAGCGGGTTGAGGTAGATCGAAATGATGGTCACATTGTTGGAGAATTGCTCGACGTACTTGCGCGACGAGAAGAGGCCGTAGAAGTGGTAGAGGTCCGAAAGTGCGCTGAAGAAGCTGTTTGTGGTGCCCATGCGGTAGCCGATGACGATCCGGCGCTCTCGACTTCCCTCGACCTCGAACATTTCGATGACGGGACCCTGTCGGCGGAGGACCTCGTCCATGATGCTCTGGTAGATGTCGAGCGTGTTGTCGCTGGCCTTTGTGAGGAAAGTTTTGTCCGAGACGGCGCGGATGTCGGCGTAGCTGGGCGAGTCTTGTGCGGGACGAGGCTCGACAAAGGTGCACTTTGCCAAGAAGTAGCATCGGAGCTGCTGTTTAGACTGAGCCGAAACGGAACCGGCGGAGCGGTAGGTTTCGAGGCGGTACGCCTTGTCGACGGACGACTTGTCGAGGTAGTTTGCGTCGATGCGTCGCTCCCATTGGGGACCGTCGGCCTGCGATTTGCCGGCCTGGGACGAGTGGATAAAGACGGCGCCATTGTCGGACTCTTTCTCGAGGTCGATGTCGAGGCTGTTGGAGTGCTTGGTGTAGGCCATGATCTTTGCGCCAAAGAGAGCGAGAATGTGATCTGCCACCGTCTCTACGTTTTCGAGAGCAAAGTAGGTGTCGTCGATTCCGAGATTTCTGCGAGGGAGAAGGCCAGGAGAAGGTTCGAGACGGCAGAAGGTTAGCAAAGGTGAGGGGTGTGTGTTGAGTGAGCTGGAACGCGCCGGCAGAACTTACTGGTAGAACCAGTCAACCTCTGGGTTGACGAGATCCGGAGGGATGAAACCCTTGCTCGAGAGGAGCTTCTTGACCTGGGCAGCCTGATCCGCCTTACCTTCGAAGACTGTGTCGGTGTAACCAGCATTGTTGGCGATGATGTGGTCGATAGGGGTGTGCGAGCCGCTCCTCGAGGTTGAGCTGCTGGCGCTGAGGAGGGCCGACTTGACCTTGGAGACATCGTCCAAGGAAGAAGCGTTCAGATGCGAGGCTTGGTCTATGGATGGAGCCATTGTGAAGGTATTGAGCTGAGCAGGATTGCTCGCTGAAGGGTGGAAGTCTAAGTGGAGCGATCAAAATACGGCGACGTACTCGGGCCGGTGTGTAGATCAGCGTCGAGCTCTAAGGAGAGAGGAGCGATAAAGTCGTCTGAGCGCTTAGACGCAAGTTGCAGTGACGCGATGTGTGGTGGGAGGATGGGAACAGGACGACTCAGCGGTCGGAGGGGCCGACGTTATATACCTGAACAGCTAAGCTCAGCTAGAGAGTTGTGGGGCATGTCATGCATTTTGCACAGCATACCAGTTGCGGATAATGGCCGATCTACCGCTCCTGGCGCTCTTTGGGCTTGGAGCGGACGGACGTGCCGGTGAGGCTTCGGTGAAAGGCCCGTTGGGCCCGTTCATGGCACATTCGTGATTTCGCTCCAGGCACTCGCATCGATGCGGGTGTGACAAGCCAGAGCGTGTTTGGTATGCAAGAGGAGCAGACACAGCAACAGCAGCATCATCTGACACCGCGCCCCGTGCTGTTCGGAATGAGTTCAACACTCTTCGTGTGGTGTTGGACATCTGCCCTCCACCCACAAACCACTTTTTTGGCCTTATCTCTTCATTGTTTCCTTTGTAAAATAAAATCAGTTTTTGAACTTGGACCGTGGCTTCTCCTTGGCCCCCCAACGAAGACTGCCGACAGTTCCGCAACATCAAAGCGTCTCTTGTTATCACAGACTGCTGTGAGCCAATGCGCTTCTCCGATGTATCGAGAACGAGAGGTCGGACTAACATGCTCCTCTGCGCGGCATTGTGTAAGCTTTGCTTGGAACAGGCACAGGCTGTGTTGATGCCGAAAGTTGTGCCGTGGCCTACGTGCCGTCTGACGGGGACGCGCCTCTCCTATTTATGATTTATTTTATTTTTCTACAATGAATCGAGGTGAACACGAGACCCCACAGAGGTGCCGAACCTCAAGGCCGGGTTGTTCTTTTTATTTATTTATTTTTGGTTTTCTCGCCCCTGTCTTTTGAAGTCCCTTGGAGCTCTCTTTTTTTTTCCCTCGAGTGGGCTGGACCCTGTGCAACAGTGGAAGCCGTTAAATGCGAAAGGCGAGAGAGGTGTCGGCTGCTCGACCTCAGAAGCTCACCCGATGCCGAAGATCCCAAATCCCGATGATGGAGCAGGAGCAGGAGCAGGCAGCAGGCAGCAGTGGTGTGAGAAGGAGGAGGAGCGTCATCCTCTAGACGGCTTCAAAACCAGCTGTGACTTTCACCCGGAACCCATCATGTGCGGCAAAGGTATCATCGTGACCATTGCCAGCCAGTGGAGAACGTGGCGGCCAAATCAGAGCTTTGCGGAACGAACGGGCAGCTCGTTCCACAAGATAAGCTTCAACATGAACGGCTGGTGGCTCAGCCTGTACTACTGCCTTTGATGACGGAAGCAAGCGGTGTCATGTGTCCAGCCAACGCTTCAGAACGTCCCATTACCGAATCTCAGCCCTAATTGGCTCATCGGTGATGGTGTCTATGAAGCGAATTTGCCAAGGGCGCACTCTTTTTGCGACACCAGTCTCGTCTTACTCGACTGTGCAGCGATCACCATGGTGTTCAGTGACTCGACACTTGCTCGACGTGCAAGAGCAAAGCATCCTCTTGTGTTGCGACATCGACTATGTCAGGTGTAGGGTGATGCTTCCAAGGTCGGGTTCTGCTCGGGGAGGTCTTGTGACCCCACGTCTGGCAAGGCCGGCCAAATTCACCGCTCTGCTGCTGTACGCCTGATCTGACCAGGCATAAAAACGGGAAAAAAATTGGATAATAATAGAAGAATTCGAAATGATCGACGACTCAGGTCCCGAACTCGCACGTCAGAATCGACAGCGCTAAGCCAGGTTCAGGCGCGGCAGGGGCTGCAGAGTTGGTACGAGCCTTTCTAGAGCATCCTGGCACGACAATACGATTCCGACTTTGCATGCTTGCACGTTCGGATGGCCCAGCGCAAATTGTTGCATGACGGTAACGCGCTGTTACGCCAAGCTCCACAGAGATCGCGTACGCAGCATCGCACCGCTTGCGGTGCACGCCATCGGAGAATTAGTGTTGCCGTTTGACGTCCCGGGATCACGAGCAGAGGTGATGTCCTCTTGGCATGTAGTCGATGAAAACTGGAGGAAACTTCATCGACCGTCACTGAGAGCAACATACACAAAGAACCACATTCTGCTGCTTTATCGACTTTCTGAGCGAAAACAGAAGTGTGCAAGCAAGAGCCTCGCGATCCGCAATGCCACGGACGCTCCTTGTGTATGAGTAGTTTTGCGATTTCTTCCAGGCTGAGAAGAACTACTTGTGACTCGGTCCGGCCGCGGTGACGGTAGAAAAGCAATTCAAGAGATGTGGAAGATGTGTAGCGCTTGTGCGTTCCGCTGCCTCTGGCGTAAGTTGAACTCTTTCCCGGGACCCTCAGCGCAATTCCGAGGCTGTGGCGGGACGACCATCTGACCCCGCTCACATGTCTCGTCTTGCTTCCGGTGTAGAAGCCGTCGCGGTCCTTCCCGTGGGAGTGGCGGTATTGGCTGTTCTCCTGTTCGCAACGACTGTCTCTAAAGCGTATCCTCTGCACTGCCAGTGGTCTCCACAACTGCCATCCCCGTCTCTGCAACGCTCTGATGCTCGACTCATACGAAGCGCACATCACGTCGGTTGGATTTTGCATCCTCCTTTTTCCGCTTGGATTTCAATGACTTTCATCTCTGAATTTGCAGCCCAGAGCAACAATGTCGCTTGACCTTGCGGCCATCCAATCATCAATGGTCTTTCACTACCCTGAACAGTGCAGCACAGAGGATGCAGATCTCAGGGGGACATTGCCGATTCTATTTGATTGCCTCCCGAGTCGAGACGGTGACGGTCATGGTTATCTGTGTCAATCGGCTTCCCGATTCGATCATCTCGATTTCCATTTCGGCGTCTTGCCCCGCCTCGACACTGGAGCCGGCACTTTCACAGTGGAAAGTCCAAAATCGCCACTGCCGCATCACCCTGCAGCGGAGCACGCTTTGTTTTAGTCGCCGAGTACGCACAAATGACAGCCGCAGAGCCTCCGCAACGGCCAAGTCCACCGGCATTCTATCGTCGACGAGCCACATCGTCCCTCGTTGAATTCAGATTTGGCTTCCTCACTTTCTGCCAGCCTGACCGTGTCGCCGTCGTCTTGTGCTTGGTGCGGTAAGTCGAGAAGCAGAATAGCTGGTGCCCATCAAGCGCCATGTGGACAACCACGAGATGCCATGGCAACTTGAATGCGAACGCCACAAGCGGTCTGTGAATGTATGCCGCACTGCTGCATTGGCGATCCAACAGATCTGCAAACCCCAGCCAGGGCATGAGACTGTCGAGCCCACCAGAGTACTCTTCCCCAAGCCACGGGCAGGCGCGGCTGCACCGACTGCGAGATGCTTCGGCCTCTTGCTGTCGCTTAAAGCTCCATTTCGAGCGCGATCCAACCACCACAAACTCGCTATCCCTAAGCGAGGCGAAGCGCGAAGGAGGCGAGCCTGCTTTCCTTTCCGCCGTCGGCCCACACGACTCTCCATTGGTACTGCAAAACGCCATTGCACGGCGTCAGATCTGCACTACAACGCCACTCACCTGCATTCCTGTTAAGAGTATGCTGTTTGCAAGCAGTGTCGCCGTCATCTCTCCAGCCGAGCCTGGTAGGACCATCGTCCGTTTCCAAGAGCAAATGTTTGTGTCTCGTGATGCCCCCCCCGCCTTGAACCTTTCCCATGAGCCATCATCGTCCCCTCCCTCGTTTCACTGACCAGCTTTCTTCCACACTCTTTCCATCTCGACGATACCCACACGGTTCCTTCTTGCTGTCGACACAATAGGCACATTCTTTTTACCTCTCACTAACATTCCCTCATAGCTAGACGCAAATCTGCTTGCTGGTTCAACAGATCCATCTAGCACCCGTACACACTCTTTTTCGCCTCATCTGCACCTCTTTCAGAATGTCGTCCATGCCACGAATGGTCCGCGTCCGCCTAGATCGACGACAAGTCAACCCGGCAGCCTTCTCGGGCGTCACCGATCAGATCTCCAATGCTGGCACGTCAGCCGGTCACAAAGCTGCCAACGCCACTTCTGGTCTATCGCGAAGCCAGACATCCCTCGTCATCGTGCTTGCCATTGTTGGATTCGTTCTGGCCGTTGCAGGTCTCTTCTGGATCTGTTCGTGTTCAAGACGTCGAAAGCGCGCCAGAGAGATGAGGGAAAAATCACAACAACTCGGTCAGATTTCCGCGCCTTCTTCCGCAGCTGACGAAGCCGCTTTCGTACCAGCCAGAAGCAGTCTCTTGGCTAGTAGCCATCGTCAGGATCGCAACTCTCGTCAGCTGAGCGCATACAACAGCAACGGCTGGGGCGAAAGCAGAGTCGCTCTCAATTCCAGCTTTGTCGCTTCCACCAATGAACGTTACGGTTGGGACCACGGTCAGCAATATCCCGCACATCCGTCCATGCCGCAGGCACCCCAGCAGTCGCATCGCTACTAGATGCACATTCTCGCCAAGCGCAACACGGCGATTCGACAAGTAGCGTGCGTCACATCATAGTGTATGCTTCCACAGACTGTATTCTAGCCCACATTTCTTCAAACTGCCCCTGATCCACTTATACACATCTACGATTGCAAGCCAGATTGTCCTTCAGGCCATGATTCGAGCCTACGCAACGCTTTTAGGGATTGGAAGCTAAAGAGATGGGCACACAAAACGCCACATTCCGAGATGGGACAACATTCAATGAAGTAAGATTGATCTTGAGGTTTGAAAGAAGACGTGATAGGACAATCTGATGGTCAGGAGACAGTATCCGAACCCGGCGGACGACGAGACCAGCATTCATTGACCATGATGCCGCCGATCGGTTGCCTTATTGTTCGACAAAGATGCGTTGCGATGAAAACTCATGCGACACGTCGAGGGCCTTGTGACGTACAATAAGTTGGTTCAGCATGTGGTCTGACTCGGGTTTCGCCCTTTGCTCGAAGTTGTGCTCCTCGGTCGTTACCAGCTCGGCGAGCATTGGTGAAAAGACCTCCCTGCTAACGCCTTCATGTGTCACAAAGTTTCCGGGATAGGCGGACTCTGCAGCCACTGCCAAAGCTTCGGCCGCAAGCTTCCTCTTTTGCGCTTTGAGAGTCTTTGTCTCTGTTTTGTCATACGCGGCGAGCGCAGCGGCGACTCTCGTTCTGGCCTCACCTCGTCGACATCCCTGGTGAAGAAGGAAGCGCGTAGCAAGCAGCTCGCAGAGCTCACGCTCCAGTCCCGTGGATAGATACAGCGGGCACTCGCTGAGCATCAGTCCCAAAGTGCGAAGCGCCGGCCACATGATCTGAGAAGGAGTCGTCAGATCGCCGCCAGATTGCTGAAGTTCGATCAGCGTTTGCAGGGAAAAGCCTTCCATTCTTGACCAGAGGTAAAGCTCTTCAAGTTGATCGAGCTGGTAGATGGCGGAGAAGATCTCATTCCGAGCTTCCTTGTCGCTTGGAAGTAGAATGTGCAGCTTTTTGAGCTTTGGAGTGTGGTAGAGCATTCTGTATGCCGGCACTATGGGATTGCGAACGACCGAGGTCCCGACAGAGACTCTCTGAGCGTTAAAGCTGAGCTCTTCCAGAGATGGACACTCGCACACCACGAGATGCTCGCACCACACTGCACTAAGTTTGCGCAGACGTGGGAAAACGATGGGCTCGGCAGGCAAAATGCCGGAAAGAATTTCAGGATCGACCTTCAGAGGATCCCAACGAGCCTCGAGGCAATCGATCCATTCACGTAGTGTCGGAGCAGCGGCGACGAGCTTTTCGACGAAGCTTTTTTGGATTTGGCGGCTGCGAGAGACGCCTTCGACCACCTCGAGTCCTTCCATGTGAGGGCTCACGTCGCCGCAGTCGATCTCCGCGCTGGAGAGGAAAAACCTCAGCTAGAACGGCATCGGCGTAGATGGAAAGAGGCTGGTGCTCGGACCTAAGCTGTGTCTTGATACGAGACCGTACAGTACACCGTCAGAGGAGTGTCGAGCATTGATGCGGATGTCGACACCCAACAGGTTCGGGCATAGTCGGTACAGCTCGCGGTAGCACAACTCTTGTTGCATCGTCGGGATGGCAAGGTATTGTAGAGACAGAGGATTAGAGCGGAGAGCTTTGAAGATGGGACCGAGCATGTCAGGGAGGATGTAGCCTTTGAGCACTACACTCGTCAAGGTGCCGTGGGAACGCCGTTGGCAAGTCTCGATAGCAGCAACGCAAGCCTCGATCGTGTCGCGGTGCCAGCCGACTCGGAGCGTCTGCTTGATGCGTTTAAACACGAGCTGCTGCCACAGATGAGGTACTCTCCTGAGCTCGCGACACGTGTTGGCGAGACGGATGCGGTCGGCCGGATCGAACCACTCTGAGATGTTCAAGAGCAATTCGAGCGACAAGCTGAGGAATCCAGCCGAGGGGGTTTGAGACTGCTCCCGGATCTGCCTCTGTCTCTTGAAGGCGCGGTCGTCGAGTGCGTCGCCGGCAGAGCGTTTTGTTTTGTGTGCTGCTATCTCAAGCCCTCCGATGTGAGAGGCTTCGAGGTCAGAATTCTTCGCTATGTGGGCCTCGGTATGCCGATGAAAGCCAGTGGTCTCAGTGACCAGCTCGTACGCTCGCTTGAGATCTGCGAGAGCCAGAGAGACGAGCTTCATAGCATGGTAGGCCTCCGAACGGCGCTGCAAGTTAGAGCAGAGCTCCTGGACACCTTCATAGTCGTAGAGAGAAGGAGCGTAGGCCAGAGCCTCGATGCGCTGCGAGGCCAGCTCGACGACCTGTTCAAAATCATTCGAGTCCCACGCCTTGCGGTGAGAGGCTACTTCGTTATCGCGCTTGAAGATTTCGATCATTGCAGTGTCTGATACGCCCTCTGCCTTCTTCTGCCGCTTCTCCATGTCCGAGCCCAGCGCCATACCGTGTCGATGAGCGCCTTGGCCGATTTGTTCGAGCAGCCGCCTATGCTCTTTGCGCAGCTTGCTATGCCTGTGAGCATGGGCGTATCGTACCCGATGATACATGTCTGCGGACTCGAAGTCGTCCCGATGAAGGGCGTTGAGCGCATCCAGCTCCGTCGTGATCTCGTCCGCAACAACTCTTATTCGCCGCAGACTGGCCAGATCAAAGTCCTCCAGTGTGAGCTCTGATTGGTCGCCATCTTCAGCGGGGGCATCCCCGTGTCGCAGCTGCTCGAAGAGCGACTGCATCCTCTCAGATCCGTCGCCCGCCGGTGTACGCCGCGTTTCCCTGGCGTGGTGTCGGAAAAGGCGTCGAGAAACTCGCCGCGACAGCAAAGAAAGTGGGAGGGGGAATCGCGTCAGACAGGCTGGAGTTGAGGATGAAGCAAGAAACGAAGGGAACGTCATACACACGGCGATCCAATGTAATCGTCAGCGCATTCAACGAGGAGGAAAAAGTGCCCATACGCATGGTGACTGAGGAAATCTGCGCCTTAGTCACAAAAAAAGGCTGAGTCGACAGCACGGACCGTTTCTGATCTGACCTGAGCTACCAGCTCCTTGGCTAGCACGTCCGTGTCTTCGGCTTGGCCGACAGCCACCACGTACACGCAGCGCTCCCTTTCCTGCTCACGACACTGCCGACTCGCCTGATCTGTCCTGCGCTATGCATCAAAGTCACAACTTTCGCAGAAGCCAAACGAAGCTGTACGGTCTCATGAATACACACTTGTGCCCATCCAGAATGGGCGGTTGCAATCGTAGAATATGATGACGATTTTGCGCCGAATTCCGTGCCTCTACATCTCGGCGATCAAGGCTTGGAGCTGGTCCTCCTTCATGATGGCAAATTGACCCGACTGGCGACCGTCTTTGGCGGTTCTTGGTGTGACGGTGGCGAGCTGTACATTGTTCTGGTCGAGCTTCTCCTCCATGACTTGCTTGAGTACGCGGAGGCAGAGGATCTCGGCTTCCTTCAACGTCATGTCCTTCTTGTACTTGTCTTGCAACTCGGTCTGAGCGCCTTCCGAGCCGCTGCCGATCGCCTTGGCGTCGTACCTGACAAAAGTGCCGGATGGGTCCGCGTGGAATCTGCATTGTGTGTGGAAAGAAGGGCAGAGGTGACATGTTCAGTATTCCGTCTTCGGCGGACGATTAGATGCCTGGAGGGGCTGGAATCGCAAACTTACAGCTGAGGACCCTTTTCGTCGATACCTGCGATGAGCAGCGCAACACCAAATGGTCTCGACATCATGGCCTCGTCGCCTGCGGTGGACTCCCCGAAGCGAAGCGCAAGATCGCAAACAGCTTGGGTAACCGATTCGACCTTGATCTCTTCGTCATATGTAAAGGCGTGGTTTTGCGAAGTGACGCGCGCGTGCTCGATCATAGTCCTTGCGTCGGCAGTGAGACCGCTCATCGCTGCACCCAGATGCTGATCCACCTCCATGATCTTTTCGATGGACGACGACTCGAGCAGCTTAGACTGCACTCGTTTCTCAACACCCAGCACGACACCTTCCTTAGTGGCGATCCCGACGGTGGCCGAGCCTAGCTTGATGGCTTCTAGCGCATACTCGACCTGGAAGAGACGGCCCTCTGGCGAGAAGGTGTTGACTCCACGGTCTGTCGGCGGAGGGGGCGGAGCAGCATGATTGTCAGTGGATGCAAACAGAAGTAGCGCATCGGACAAGCGAGACTTTTGCGCCTCGCTGCAACGACATATCTACTCACCGTACTCGGACCTTGTCAGGAACATGGCGGGCCGAAGATTGTGTTTGTGGATGCGTTGCCGACTTGTCTATGTGTTGATCCGAAAGTCTGTCGTGCACTGGACACGGTGGCGGTGTGCTTGTCGATGACTTTAACTGGTCCGTGAACTGAAGAAGGAGACCAAGGTAGGTTGCGAGGATGATGTCGAGCAGCAAGAAGCGCAAAGACGAGTTGAAAAGATGGTAAGTGCGAGAGCCACGACGTGCGAATGCGAAGCCTCAGCGTGTGGAGTTGTCCAAAAAGTGTTGTGGCCCCGACACGCGTTGCTAACATTCGAATTGAGTAAAAAAAAGGGAGGTCGGATTGCGACACACCTTCCTGACGAGGAATTCGATCACTCCGCGCCGTTGCTCGCGTAGCATGCCAAGGTCAACAGCATCATCACAATCTTGTGCAGTCATTTCGTACCTCGGTATTGCATTCATTGGCCACGAAGCAGAGCTCCTTGGTCACGCATCCAGTCGGTACCACAGGCGCAAAGATGGTATTGCAAGCAAATGATTGTCCGAATGATGCGAAGGGAAAAGTATGCGAGGGCGGCAATTACAGATGCTGATTCCAGAAGCAAAGACGGGCCAAGTGAGGAGAGGATGCAATCAGCGTCTACCACTTGCGATCGACAAGCATTCTTCTAGATTCGGAGCTCAAGTAGCTCTGCGCATCCCACGAGGCATCGACGTCCTTGACGTGATCGGCGGTAAAGATGATGGGCAGCGCCGTGAACACGAGGAAAATAAGTCCCAACGAGCCTGCCAGCAGGCCGATGGCCACCTTCTCGTGCGCAGGCGTTGCAAATGCCTTGGCTCCCTTGACCTTCTTGGGCTTGTCGCCGGGATTGGTGGTGTTGGTGAGGTTAGGGTATCGGACCATCAGGTCGTCGTAGAAGAGACGCTGGATGGATTTGTTTGTCGAGTACATGGCGTAGTCCTGATGCGAGACGCCGGCAATGTAGTCGAGCGTGTGCTTTGGTGGAAACTTGCCCTGGAGGTAGAAGGCCGTGGTGTTGGCATACTGCAGCACAAACTCGGAACCTCGGTCCAAATGGTTGCCTCCCTGCCATCGGGCCGGGCAATGTGTGTCACCGGCACCGACATCGAGGAGCGCCAACGCATACGAGATATGACGATTGAGGAAACGGTCAACGACGTACGTTTTGTTGGCCAGGACGTCCTTTCTCGCATACGGTGTGATCTTGGACTGGTTGCCATTGAGGCCATAGGGCCAGGTATCCCACTGATTGCCAGCCTGACACGTGTCATTAAAGTACGGACGCGAGTCAATGAGCCATGCCCAGGAACCAGGATTGCCGATCCAGAAGCGCACATTGTCGTCGTAGGCCTTGGTCTTCTTCATGAGCGCATAGCGCTGCGCGGCTTGACCGCCCATGGAATGGCCGGCAACGACGACTGAGTTGAGGTTGGGATATGTCTTCTGGTCGAACAGCAGGTCGACGATCTGGTCGACGGCGGCGTAGCTGGTGACGCGGTGCTTCATGACAGGGTTGACGCTGCCTGCGCCACGCTGCCAGCTCGATCCGTGGAAGACAATCTCGTTGGGTCGAGCTGCGCCGGCGGAGAGATCAAACTGATTCATCATGGCAGGTGCAACGATGAGGAACGAATCGTTGGTGGCGCCTTGCTGCGCAAAGTTATCCGATATGGCGACGCTTCGGGCGTTCAACATGAGGTTGGCGTACTTCCAAATATCGCGTGGCTTACCTGGCCACACAACTATGGCACGAAGCACCTTGGTGGGATCTGGATTGTTGGAGATGTAGAAGGGCATGACGCCCGACTCATTTTTAAAGACGTTGTAGACGGTGAATGTGCGATTCAAGGTGAAGCCGGCGGTGTCCGGCAGCTCTTGCCAACCACCCGTATCGGAGCCGTTCGTGGCGGCGCTTGGGTTGAAGTACGTGTTGTTGTTCCACGGAAAGTTGTAGTATCCATCTCCTTGCAAGAGGTTACCTGTGGTATCGGTGTTGCCGGCAGCATTACCAGCCACGTTGGGAATCTGTTCCACAGCTTGCGCAGCGGCGATGGGATCTGTTTCTGACTGGATGGCAATGGCGGCCTGCGTGTCGTTTGACGGCGACTCGACGCCGCTACCCTGGCGTTTGGACAGACCGGAAAAGTCGCGTGTGAAAAGGGGCAACGCGTCGTCTACGCTTGTGCTCCTGCTGTCGAAATCGATGTCGATGCGGTTCAGGCGCGGATTGGATGCGGAAGCTTGCTGGCAGACTGCAGCCACGGCAAGCAATGCCAAAGCGCCTGCTTTCGCCTTTGTCGTAACGTATGTACGCATGGCTAGTCCAGAGCGCGGATGAACGAGGAAGTCCACAGACATGACTTGCTACACCCTCGAAATTGGGACTGGAATGGAAGTGTAAAGAAGGGCAGTGAAAGCAATAAGGACGAGCAAGAGCTCGAAATCAGCCAGCGAGGTGGACGCGCGATTCGATGCAAACGCTCCAGGCGTATAGAAAGCTGCAAAACTGAGGGTGACGCGGCGAAGATACGAAACAGTAGCTGGTCGAGCTAAGCTGATCCACGATTCGCGAGCTTTCCCATAGAATGACGGAGTAGGATGAAGGGGACGAGAAGGCGGAGGATGTAGAGGATGGTGGAAAAGGAAGGACGCCGAGAGAGACGGTCTATGGCTGCTCTGAAATTTTGGCAGTCGGAGCATGTGCCATGCATTTCGCCAGCCAGCCAGCGGTGCGAGCGAGGTCGGCAAGACACCGCCTGAATCAAACACGATCCTCGCACAGCAAAAGGCAGACCGAGCAGGCGCTGGACCCGTTATTCTTGGAAAAGGCTACACAATGATTTACTCCTGAAACGCGCGGTGCAGCCGTCGAGCTGTGTTCACTTAGCCGCGCAGGATCTTGAACCCGCCAGTCGTCGCGAGCAAATTCGGCACGGCCGGCACTGCAGCCCACAGAGGCTGCAAAGACACCTCGGTGTGGCTGTCGCAGGGTTGCAATTCGGTCAAGTCACTACAACGCTGCAGTCCCAAGGGAAGGTCAATTTGTCTTGCACTGCAGCGCATGCCGTCTCTGCAGTCGGATCGGAGATCGCAGCGTCCGTCGCGTGCTTTTCCACTGTCACGCCTCAGTCAATGTGCCCGTCAGCATCGGCTGCTTCTCGGATTCGTGTGCACGCGTGTGTGGGCGGTGGCACATGTCCGAGAGGGCAACTTCGCTTCCTTGCACAAATTTCTCCGTCAAGTCATGCTGTGACGCAGAGTCGGCATGACGAGGCTGCTCCAAACCACATGGACGTCGTCGAGGATTCGGCGACTTGTCGTCGTTCGCTTTGTGCTCGAACGCGGTCTCACAGCAATAAGTAATCATGTTGTCGCATCGCCTGTTCCGAAGTTGCGCCGGTCATCGAAAGAGCAGCTCCAACGAGTCCCCTCGACGTGGATGCAAGACGTCAGCAAGTGACTTGTCCGCGGTCGACAAGCCCTTCTCACCCTCTCCGACCATGTACGAAGCTCACATACGTATCTTGGCAGACAGAGATTATTAGATGCATAGGCGATGCAACGTATTGCTGCTTTGCCAAAATTGGTGTGCAAAAGATCAATGTTGTACAGTGTTCGTGACGATGCGGTAGTACGGTTCTAGAGAACGACGAGATTGTGGACAGCCAACGACGGATCATGTCCCTTGTGGCGAGAGCACAGCAGCGGACAGCGCCATTCTGAATAGGAGGCAGATCGGCAAGCGGCTCAAAGCTCCTCGTGGGCAGGGACAGCGGCCTCAGCAGGCACCCAAGGCTTGGTCTTTCCGCCACCTGTGGTCGGAATCCAGGTCTCGTCAACCACCACGGAGCGGTTGACACCCACGGTGATGTAGCCGATGAGACCATCGGTCATGACACCGCCGAGCTTCTCGACGTCGAAAGTGGGGAAGTAGCCGTTCTCGTGCGAGACCTGGAAGATCTGCAGCGAGTCCTCCCAGTTTCGAGTTCGTCCTCGGCCGGGCAGGTCGGCGATGGGGTTGGTGTTGTACGGCCACACCTTGTCCATCATCATGTTGAGCTCGTCGTCAAAGAAGAACTGGCCCGTGTGGATGAGCCTGCCAGATCGGAAGGTGCCGTTGGGAAGCACCTGCCAGTCGTTGTGGATCTTGACGTGCACGTGCGTGGCACGTCCAGTGTAGTAGCCGGGGAAGACGCTGGTGAACTGAGCGACACCGTTCCTGTCGGTGGGAAGAGCGCCTCGGAGCCACTGCTCGTGCGTGTTGGTACGCGGGAAGGCAGAGAGGAGACCCTTTCGGATACCGGTCGAAGCGGGCTGCTCATCGACGAGGTGCGGTGCTGGGTCCGGGTGGCCCGAGTAGTGTCCGGTGGCGTTGGCATGCCACAGATCCACGAGGATGTTTGGGATGGGTTCGCACGTGTCGACGTCAATCACGCCGACGTCCATCTGGAAGTGCACGCCGAGCTGCCATTCGGCCATGTTGGCGCGGATGGGGTGGTGCTCGGTGTGGTAGTAGGGCCCTTGGGTGGCTTCGGGAGCGAGGACGCAGGTCGAATTGCGGATTTTGCTCTCGACGACAGGGTCGCACGCCATGATGCGTTTGCCCTTTTCCTCGAGCGCCTTGATGCCCTTTGCGGCAATCTCGCCATCAATGCCAAGGTCCTCGAAGTATCCGTCGATGAAGAGGTTCTTGTTCTGCACCGAGTCGCCCCCGAGCACCTTTTGCGCCCACGACTTCTTTCGTGCCGCTGTCATGGCGGCGATGGCAGGTGCGCAGTGGTAGGCTGCATGTTGCTGATCGAGGAACTGCACCACCTCTTCTCTGGTTTCCGGACCGTGTGCCACGACGGATGGCAGCAGCGACAGCGACGCTGCTGCGGCCAAGGCTGTGAGAGGAGCGCTGAACTTCATGTTCGGTGGTGATGAGGTCTGGGATCGGTCGGCGAGAGCGTTGGCTGTGGTTTCTGTCGATGGCGAGGAAGGACACCGAGCTCTCGAGAATATGGGGTAGAGAGAGTTTGGAAGGGGAAATGCAGCCAGGTCACAGGATATATAGGAGCCGCGGCGGATCCAGTGATGCACCTACGAGCCGGACAAGGGCGGGGAAGGGGGATGGTCGAACCGTTGCGGTGCGAGAACAGAAATATTTCTTCCGGCTATTTGCAATCCATTGGTTGCTGTGCGACGCCGCGTTTCCTTCGTTTTTCCCTCCCCACGTTTGCAGGGCGACGTAGGCAGGAACACACACTGCTCCAGAGTGCATTTCAAGGATATCACGGCTCGACCTCGTTCGGACTCGATTTATCCACCACACTCAATATGGAGTGCGGATCAAAGTGTGTTTCCAGCGATGCTCGCCGGTCGATACAATCCGCGAATTTGGTCCTGGTCTTCAGGCTTTGAATCTTCATCATCTTCTTGAGAGCGTTACCCCCTTCTCTTGAACTAGGAATAGAGATGATGACCAGCAAGCCTCATCAGCATGCTGTAACACATGTTTCGCCAAATGACCTCGGGATGCTAGCTGGCCGGGCCAAGAATACTTACGGAAAAATGAATTTCTGATAAAAATGTGGATGAAAGTTGTTCCTGTGAGGGGAAATTTACCTATTTCCGACAGAGACCCTGAGAGAGCCAGGGAGGAAGAAGCCGGTCCAAGGCCCGTGCTTGACAGCCGCGATTCCTCCACTTATTCCGCCTGGCTCGAGGAGCGGCCAAGCTTTGCGGGGACCGGCTCAACCTTTTGTCGAGCAACACATCGCTCATCGAGGTCGAGACGAGTGATCAGCTCCTCGACCAGTGACGACGACCGTCTTCGCATTCGGAGCGCACGATCCGCCTTTTGCAATCATGCCACGAATCCCATACCGATACCCGGCGTCAGGCGCTGACCCCATTGCAGATGCCATTCGAGAACGACGAGGCGCTCGAGGACTCACGCCGCTTGATGGGTCGCTGCTCAACGCGCCTGCGATCGCAAACGGCTGGAACACGCTACTGGGAGCGACCAGGACCAAGAACTCGATCCCCGACGATGTGCGAGAGATGATGATCCTCCGCGTTGCCGCGCACAATTCGGCCAACTTTGAATGGATCCAGCACGCACCTGTCGCCGAACAGGCAGGGTGCACCACCGCGCAGCTCGCCGCAGTACGCGACGTTAGAGCTTCGCTTTCGTCCTCCAAGGTGCTCAGTCCGCTGGCAAAAGCAGCTCTGGCGCTCGCCGACGACATGACCACCAAAGTCCGCGTGCAAGATTCGACCTTTGCATCGCTCAAATCTGCGTTCACCGATAACGTCAAGGAGCTCGGAGACAAGGGCAGGGTGGACGGATTCGAAGGCGAGGATCTCGTCAATCGCAAAGTCGCAGAGGCCACGCTCACCGTCGCAGTATACAACATGGTCTCTCGCTTCCTCGTCGCCATTGACGTTGATGACCGCGCCAACGTTCCAGTCCCCAAGCCCGAAGGCAGCGAGCACGTCCAGGATCCAGTTTCGGTCACACTTCCGTCGACCGGCCCTAGCTCGTCGGCAGGGAGAGGACTCGTACAGCTCCCAGACGGACAGCTGCTCGGTACGCGCGTCTACTTCCACAGCATGACGGCTCCGTGGATTGTGTTGATCAACTCGCTGATGACCGATCTGACCATGTGGGATGCCGTCATCCCAGCGTTCTCTTCGCGCTTCAACATCTTGTCGTACGACCAGAGAGGGCACGGTAGCTCGGCAGTTCCTGCTGAACCATGCACAATCGCCCAGCTATCGGACGACGTGGCCTTCCTGCTCGACAGCCTGGCCGTGAGAAAGGCGTATGCAGTGATCGGCGTCTCTCAGGGTGGTGCCACGGCGCTGTCGTTTGCGCTTCGACACCCTGATCGATACGAGAGGTTGATCGCATGCGACACACAGCCAAGCACACCTGCCGCCAATGTAGCTGCTTGGGACGAGCGCATCGCACTTGCCAGGAGCAAGGGCATGGGCGAGCTGGCGGCGGCGACTGTGCCGCGATGGTATGGATCCGGCTCGCAAGCAAGCGCCGAGTGCAGGACGAGGACCGAAGAGATGATCAAGACGACGCAGGTGGAAGGCTTCGCTGCCGGCGCGCATGCTTTGCAGAACTACGATCTCGTCAAGGACGGCATCGTCGAAGCGTTCAGCAAAGCTTCATCGAGCCGTCACCTGCTGCTCGCTGGTGAAGCAGATGGCAAGCTGCCCGAGACTCTCCAGGCGTTCACCAACAAGCTCAGCGAGGCGGGCGCAACAGCAGAATTCGTCGGCATCCCCAACGCTGGACACCTTCCCATGTGCGACAACCCAGACGCCTGGCTAGAGGCCGTTCTCAAGTTCCTTGCATAGGCAGCATCTCCCAGCTACGTCCTTGATCAATTGCAATGCAATCTGATCTGCCCATTACCCCTCTGACCCCGCATTATTGGCTCAGGTTTCACATTGAAACGCACGCAGATCCTTGAGGACATGATCTAGACGAGCAAGGTTGATTGACCTGAATTGGCGAGGAAGTTTGGCAAAACATTACATGTTAGACCCTTTCCCTTCTTGCGTTTGCTATGCGAAAATGATTTTACAGTTACTCGTCCGTGTTCACGTGACTAGTAAGAAAATCTGGTGGAATGCCTTCCGAGTCTTTAATTCGTCTTGTAAATCAAGCGAAGCTGAATTCGAAATACAAGAAATTCGACAGAAGACAGCCAAGGACGACTGTCCGGCTCTCTGGGGCAGCGGTGTGTCGTCAAAATGGTTGGATCCAGGCCGAGAAGACAGGCAGCCTGACACACTGCGGGAATCCGCGATTTGGTAGATTCGGTTTGAAGCTGCCTCACGCCTGCAGTCACGCAGATTCAATCGACTCAAGGCAGAGCAGCCAAGTCGGCCGCTAGCGAGACTTGCCTGCCTTCGAAGTTTGCTGAATGGTCTCTCCTCCGCCATCCTTCCATCATCCTCAAGGCTCACCCCCCTCATACATATTCAAGATGGTACGTACCCTGCATCAGAAGGATTGACGACGACGGACAGCAGCATCAGCATAAGCATAAGCTACGACAGCAACAGCAGCACGAAGCCCAGCAAACATTGTCCGACAGTTTCAGCGAAGGCAGCTTGACCGTCTCACACTCATCACATCGAGATTCATCCGAGCGCGGCACATATATCTACGGGAAGCTGGCGCATGCTGTTATAGAAAGACAGGGCGACGCAGATGGGATGGCGTACAAGACAGTCAGTGAAGTAGAAGCTGAAACGGAGGGGACGACATGGAGACGTGGGAGATTTGTGATCGGCATTGTCGTATCATTCTGCCAGGAGCATGTTGTCAGATGTGCGGAGTCAACGGCGCGGCTTGAAGGCCTGGCCATCAACGATAACCACGCCGTTTGCTACAATTGCATTTCAGCGCGCATCTCGAACGACCAGCACGGTCTAACGACCACAACATCTTCAGCATGGATAGACGGATTCGCGACGAGTCAATGAACCTTTCCGTGCTCATGCCAGGGAGAAGCCAGGCTCCGTTCCGATCAACTTCGAATCACTTCCGTTCACAGCAGATGTTGTATCATCGAACAATTCGACATCAGGCCAACACCCTCGCCGCCACTGTCATGCTACAGCACCTTTCTCTCGTCCGCTCATTCGTCGTCGTCGATGCTACCTGTCTCCATCTTCTTGCGCTACATTGTTCAAAAACTTACCAATCCTCGCCAACACTGTACGCCATTCAAACAACAGGTCCGTTACGCTTTCGACGACTCCAAGCTTGCGGAGAAGACCGCCAAGTCGCGCGGCCAGTACCTCCGTGTTCACTTCAAGAACACCCGCGAGACCGCCGCTGCCGTCAACGGCATGAAGCTCCAGAAGGCTTACGCTTACCTCGGCAACGTTGTTGAGAAGAAGCAGTGCATCCCCTTCCGCCGCTTCAACGGCGGTGTTGGCCGCACCCAGCAGGCCAAGGAGTTCAAGACCACTCAGGGTAAGTTTTCAGACATAGCAACGGTCAGAGCACGACAGTGATACAACACGCAAAAACATCTCGGGGGAAGGAAAAGAATGACTGGCAGAAGGTGACGAACAATGTGGACGGGAAGGGTCCTTTGCAGGGAGGGACGTTGTATTCGTATGCGACCAAGGCCAGCCGATGACTGGGCAGCAGAATGGTGGTTTGGAAGTTGCATGACCAACCTTGAACCTTGCCGATGCAAGTCACAACTACGGAGATATTGGGGAACATCTTTCGAGTGCACGTGGCTCTCACCGCGTGCTATCTTTCAACGTCGTATTCTGGAGCCGAAGCAGCAACAGCACGTCTTTCGTTCATTTGCTGACCTGTACCCATTCTCTCCTTTCGCTCACACCAGGTCGATGGCCCGTCAAGTCGGTCAAGTTCCTCCTTGCCCTCCTTAAGAACGCCGAGGCCAACGCTGAGGCCAAGGGTCTCGAGACTGAGGAGCTCGTCATCCGCAACATTGTCATCCAGCAGGCACCCAAGACCCGCCGTCGCACGTACCGTGCTCACGGTCGTATCAACCCTTACGAGGGACACCCCATCCACGCCGAGATCCTTCTCAGCGAGCCCGCTGCCCAGGTGCCCAAGGCTGCCTCGACCGATGTTGTCCGCCTCAACAAGCGCCAGCTCGCTCAGAAGCGTGTTGCCGCTGCTCGTGCCATCAAGGCCTAAACGTCCCTCTACACACACATACACACACGTCACGCATCTTTTCGCCTCCCCCTCGGGCTCCGAGACGGCGGCTCCTCCCTCTTCTCGTCTCATCTGCATTTCAGGGACGGTCGTCTCGTCGCACACCTACCCACCCAAAACTACACGCCGTTTCCTCACTGACTTTGATTTTGTCAGATGTAAGCTAGTACCACTTTGCACCTCCCGTATCCAGACATCAGCAGTCTGATGCGGGTTCAAAAAAGCCAACCAACTTTTCGTTCTCATTGTCTGGTTTGTCTGCTGTCTGTCACCTCGACCTCAGTCACACAGCGTATTTGTGAACGTGACTTGTCCCATTGAAGCTTATTTCAAAAAAGGTGCGATGTGAACATACAATTCACAGCGAAGCGAAATGATGACCGACTGGCGTCCCATCTCCCTGACCGAACGCGACAGAGTGAAGCGAGATGGAAGCTCAGTGGTTGGCGGCAGTGTTTGTCGACGCAGCGATGGGTTGGTTGCCCGTCGCGAGCTGGAAGTTTTCGAGCTCCTTTGTTGCAGTCGCTGCTTGAAGCGGCAGCGTGGGTGTTGCAGCTGTACCACCAACCGTGTCTGGCACTGTCCTTTGCTTTTTGGTCGGTGACGCCATCTCTGTATCGCCGTTGTCTACCGCCGTCGCCGTATCATCGTGTGATGCACCGTTCGTCTGTCCCGCTGCCTCTGCACCGTTCTTCTTCTTGTTGCCCGACTTTGCCCTCTTGCCGTTCACCTTGCTCGTCGCTGCTGCAGTGACACGATTCTCACCCCCTTCAAAGACATATCCGGGCAACTGCGTCCACTTGATATGCCGAACGACGATGCCCATCGATGCCTCGTCGTACTGCTCCCACTGCTTGACCTTGCCCGTGAACTCAGCGGTGGGATAGCTGATATCAAGCTTACGCGGGCCCTCGCCCGCCAGCTTGGGCTCGATGCTGAGCCCAATGAAGAATGTGGATGTGTAGATCATCCTGTGCCCCTCTTTACCCTCGGTCACCTTCGCAGCCTCTTCAGCAGCAGCTTGCTTGGCATCCTCAGTCTCGGGCAATGCTGCCACCTTCTGTGTTCGCTGCGCCACTTCTTCCGGAATATCACCCGTAGCAACAAGACGCACTTCGTGGTCGTTCCAACACTCGGACACCTGATCGAAACCTTTGATGAACGGATGTGCGCATGTGATGGTCGGTACCAGCTCGAGCTTCATCACGAGCTGACGAACCTTGGACTCGACCGTGCCGTGCCATTTGAGCTGCAGATCTGCCGATCCTGAGGAAGCGATAATCTGGAGATAGTTTTTGTATTTGAAGAAGAAGTCATGCTTGGCGAAAAGCTCGTTCCAGTCGGTCTTGCCGATGATTACGCGGTCAACGACCTCGGCAGCGCGCTTGAATTCGGACGTCATGACCATCTGCGTCGACTGCGATACGTTGTGTGTCGCACACATGCCCGGATAGGCGGGAGTAATGATGGGCATGCGGTGCAATCGGTCCGATGGGTAGAGCTTGGGATTCCAGACGCGCACGGACAAGGGTCCATCCTCGATCTGTGTGAGCAAGACTGGTTGCGGCCACTTCCACTGGTAAAGAATGATGAAGAAGCGAGAGACGATAGCACCTGCCGCTTCATTGGGATACAGCTGGCAGATACGAGCCGTCAACATGGCCCAAGCTACGCCACCAAGGAATCCCATGACGTTCGAGTAGATGGCACGGCGCTGTGCCCACAGCTTGATGCATCGAAGCGCCATGCGGAAGACGTGAATGTTGGGCACCAATCGCAGGATGCCATCGGTCACTCTTGAGCCACCCAAACTTCGAACGTCGCGTTCGTCTAGACTGCGCAGCAGATTGTCGTCTTCGAGCGAGAGATTGTCCTCGACCCTCGGCAACGCGAGTCGAGCAAAGGTGAAATCGATGTCAACTCCCAAGAATTTGGCCGCAATCAGTGGTACGTGCGCTGTAGGTACGCCTGCTACCTCGGTGACTTCCTCGCGCTCCTTGAGCATGGTTTCAAAGACCGAAAAGAAGTCTTCTCGCTGAACGTGCTTGGGGACGACACAGAGAGTGTCGATATCGGACCCTGGTCCGTGCACACCGAGGCGGTAGGAACCGAAGGTGAAGATCTTGCCACCTGCTGAGCGAGCGAGCGATTCCGACATGCCGTTGGCTATTGAGACGCGGTAGACAAAGTCTTTGACCATGGCGTCGAGCTTGCCCAAGATGGCCTCGCTGCGGGGTTTGTGGCAGGGTGTAGAGTGGAGGTCAGCTGGGGGTTCAGCGCTGCATCGAGGAGGGAGGAAGTGTGTACACTTACCGAACCTTGCTCTCCTCGTCACTCTCAAAGACACCTTGCTTTTCTAGCTCGGCAACGAGCGTCTTGGTCACCTCGATCTCTCTTGGTGTGGGTCCGTTGGTGGCGATGGGTGGAGTGACACCGAGATTTCTCGTTGGCCCGCCGCCGAGAGCTGGCTCTACTGCTGATGCTGATGTAGGCATGTTTGGTGCTGAAGTTGCTGGAAGGCGCTGGAAGGTGGTATGCACCTCGCGAGGTGAGTGTTTGGAGAGCGAATGATTCGGTCGGTGGCCGATGATGAGATGAGGAAGAGACAGCTTGAGATCAGGACCAGTTCTGTCGCGGATGTGATGCGCAGGAAAAAGACGTTTTTCGTGCAGGTGTCGTGGAAGCGCCGATAATGATTAGGACCGATCGCTGCGGCGGAAAGGAGGAATCGGTTTGTAAATGCCGGAGCGCAGGCTGCAGAGACGAGGAAGGCTAGGCTCGATGTAGGCTTCTCAAGAAGGAAGGCGTGCTTTTCGTGACTGACGCGGTGGCTGAGGGTGTGATGGACCGAGCTAGGTTTGCTGCGAGAAGGGAAAGACGGGAGAGCGTGCGATGAAGAAGGAAGTGGGGCGGAAGCAAGCCGAGGCGAAGCCGCAATCTGCATTCAAAGCTCAGGGCAAGCGGCACATCCGAAAAAGTGGAGCAAGGCAGTGTGCGAAATCAGTTGAATTTCCCGGCAGGAAGAAACGAGACCGCGCGAAACGCCATCGCTACGCGCTACAACACTGGTATGGAGGCCAAAGGTACAGCATCAAGTATGTCGGCGCCGAATGCTATATGCAGTGCTAGACAAATTTCGATGAGTCAATGTGATGCTCATTCCATCGACTGAGCCAATCGCTCCTCTGTCTCCGAGTCGCGCAGCCGAGCAGCCATTAAAGACTTGCCAAGAGCGACAGCCAATGGCACGGGCACGGCGTTACCGATCTGCCTGTATGCCGAGGTGAGGATTGGGTCCGTGTGGAACTCGATCCAGTCCGGGAAACCTTGAGCACGGGCGCATTCTCGAGCAGTGAAGAGCCTGCGTTGATCGGGATGGATCATGCTGCCTTGCACTGACGCCGACGTCAAGAGTGTCTTGAAGTACTTGTCGCCGTCGATTCGCTCGAATCTGAAGTGCTGATCTTGCCATCTGCTGTTCTGTACGAATGGATCAGAATGTAACCTCCTGTCAGTGAGGAGCCTTGGAGCTCAACGGAGGTATATACACTCACTCGAAATCCTCCGAGAAGCGCTGGCTTCCTCACATCGCATTGATTCCATGACTCGAAATCGGCACCGGGCCGCAGGGCGACGTTGACTACCCTTTCGACCGCCGATGCAACGGTCCCCGAAGTCTGATGCTGGGCTACCTTGAGGACGCTCTGACCGGTGAAGACTCGCATTCGCTCTTGGTAGGAGTTCGAAGGACGCTTTGCGTACGCAACCGTGACGAAGCCTACCGCTTTTCCGGGCGAGACCGGGAGCTGCGGTATCCCCAAGTGCTCACGCTCGATCCCGACGTCGTCTGGACCGGCATAGATTTCGTGTGGGTCTTGCCAGTCGAAGACGGGCAGGTCATCGATGGCATCGGCCACTGTCACGGCGGGTAGCATGGCCGCAAAGTCCTCTGACCGCGCTGCATGAGTGCGGCTCAAACCGTCGGTCCAGGTGAACCGGTGTCCTTGGGGACCGAGGAGTTGATGGGATGCCCGTGGCATCTGCGGAAGTACCAGCTCGTGTCGAGCGCCAATCAGTACAAATCTTCCCCTTCTCTGCGGACAACCGAACGATCCGGACTGTACAAAACCGCATGTCGCCGCATAACCGAGATCCAAGAGCGACTTAAGTGCGAGCTTGACCATGCCTTGATCGCGGCCGCGCAGCTTCGACTGTGTGAATCCCTCGACATTCTCGAGGACAACATATTTGGGCCGAAGGTGCTCAGCCCACCCAAGGACCGTCAAGACCAGAAGGTTGCGCGGGTCCTTCTCCGCGGCCTCGCGATTCGCCCTTCGGTTCTTGCGGCTGAACCCCTGGCATGGAGGACCGGCGGAGATAACGTCAATCTGCCCTGGAAGCGGGTACGTCAACCCCGCTGGCGAGACTCTGCCTTGAATGGCACGTCGCAAGGCATCACCGGCATCTTCGCAGTGCACATAAGCGTTCGGATGGTGCATCTTGAATGTCTCTACTGAGTCCGGATCCGAGTCGATCGCGACCTTTGTTTCGCAAGCACCGGACAGATCGAGGCCGATGCTGAGTCCACCGGCGCCGCACATCAGCTCCATCGCTTTCAACGGCAGCTTGCCTCTCAACCTCCTTCTCTCCAATCTATGTTTGGCGGTGCAAGGCGCGCACTCGTCCGATAGTTTGTTGACATCCTCCTCGGCGACGAGGAAGTCCTCGGAAGTCCAGGAAGACGACGCGCTTGTTTGTAACGAGACGTAGCATGTCGACACTGGTGCAAACCTAGCTCTTGCGATACGCTCGATCTGGGTATCAGGAACAAGAAGGCGATCGTTTTTGAAGGCTGACGCAGTGAGGGCTTGGCGATGAAGACGACGGATCAAAAAGTCTTGGTTCCGAACGCGATGCACCTGCACGACATCCAGTAGTGATCCGTCGCGAGGCTGAAGCATAACGAAATCGCCCTCGTGATAGTGGACAGCGGAACTGTTTGAGTCGAGGTGAGACAGCCACTCGTTCAATCCGTTGAAAGAAGGCCGCTTGGCGTCCCACGAGTATCGCAGCAGAACCGTGCTCACGTCGATCTTGGAACAAATTGCTCGTCTCACAGTGAGCTTACGTGGGGTGGCGAAGACCTCCCTGCTGTCGAGAACGTCGTGCAGCATCGTCGCCGTTCCTCGAACCAGCTCGTATCCGGTAAGGGATATATTCGATAGGCCTGTAATGAGCAACAACGCTGTTCCCGATTCTTGGTGGGCCTCGGTGGGCCTCGACGATGTCGCCGAGCTCGATGATGGTCGGCATAACGACGCGTCGGGCAGCGTTGTCCTTGCGCTCGCCATTCTGTTTGGCGAAGAAACTCCTCAGCGCAACTGCAGCCTCCGTGCTGCCTTTGATCTTGATCGACGGCGTCTCGGGCCAGGACTCGATTCGAGTATCGACGTTGATGACCTCGTAGCCACTGCGAACGCGTAAGTCGCCGGAAAGCACCTTTGCGACAACCGGCGTCGTCTGGATGAGTTTTTTTGCCGTAGCCATGATGCCTGCTGCTGGCATGGAAGATACGGTCGCGCTGCTGGTCGATGTGGAACGGTTTGACTGCGATGTTCGACTGCTCAGGGACTCGTCACACGGACCTGCTCAGCCATCCGACCCGCAGAGCACAGAGTCACACGTTGTGTTCCGCACGCAATCAATGCTTTGTACACACCCGCTCTACGCGAAGCCGTGAAAGGACCTGACAATTGCAATAGGATTTCGAAGCCGGCATCCCAGAAATCTATCTACAGCAAATCAAAGATGTCCTTCTTCTGGCTCTGCTGCTGCGCTCCAGACTGACCCGACGACGACTGTGAAGCGAATAGAGCACTCGAGCTCTGGTTCTTGGCCATCTCGGCCATCGACATCTTCTGCTTGCCCGCGGCGCTGCTTTTACCCGACGAGGCGGCCCAGAGATCGTCAAAGTTGAAGGACGAGTTGGTCGAGGCTGCAGGTCGGGTGGCAGCGGTGGTGCTCGAAGCGGTTGCGGCAGGCGTGGATGGTTTCGAGGATGGAGACATGACGTTGCTCGAAGCTGCCGACTTGGGTGCTGAAGGTGCGGCAGCCGGTGCGGAGTCGAAAAAGTCAAAGGACGCTGCTTGCGGCTGTACTGAAGGGGCGACTGGCTTAGCCGGAGCGGCAGGCGCGCCTTGGAAGTCATCGAAATCGTCACCAAACGCATCGTTGGCAGGCGTGGCCGAAGGTGCCGGTTTGGCGGCCGCAGCATGTGCAGGTGCAGGTGCAGCAGCGGGTTCGTCGTCGTCATCAAAGCTGAAGAGGTCCGCCACCTTGGCAGCTTCCTTCTTTGGCGGTGCTGCAGGGCGAGGGGCGGCGGCGCGTGTCGTGCTCGAGCTCTGCCTTGGTCGATTGGAAGCAGTATCTTCGTAGTCGCCAGCATCGTACTCCTCAAAGCTATCACGCGCAGCTGCGCCTCCACCGCTTCCGCCGCCACTCGAGCTACCAATGCCAGCAGCTCCGCCGCCGGCGTAGTAGCTGTCGCTGCCAAATCCTCCATACCGACCAGTGCCGCTGCCAGGAACGAACTCGCCGTTGCCTCCACCAGTGTACTTGGACTTGTTGCTTCGAGCCTTCCTCCTTTCCTGGCGGATGCGATCTACGTCGGACAGCATTTCAGCGAGTTCCTTGGCGCGGTTACGTACATTGATGCCCTGATCCTTGCCCTTCTCGTCGATGTAATGGAAGTTGCGGAGAATCTTGATGGTGGCGAGGTGTGAGCGGGCGTCGTCGACGACGCGCTCAGATCCGTGCTTGACGAGATACTCGAGCAACTGAAGGGCCTTGTAGATCTGGCGCCACTCGCGCGCCTCTTTCTCCATGAAGCGACGGTAGATGGTAGGCATGATCTCGTTGAAGTCCTGAAAGTTGTTGGTTGCCTGGGCAATCTCCTGCATAAGAGTTGAACTGGCGCCCCAAGGATCATCGTTGGTAGCCTCGTCGACCTTGGCTTCGATGTCGCTGACGTTGAGCGCGTAGTTCTTGGCCTGACGATAGAGCGACTTGACGTCGTACATGGTCAGGTTGGCGAGCTTGCTGCCAAGATCGTCAAAGTCCATTTTGGCAGAGTCGAGCGAAGTAAACGATGACGCGAATGGTGGTGTTGGTGGTCTACAATGAGGGCCCGTGCGGTCGATGAAGGAAGAGTGGCGGTCAGGTTCAGATGGGCTTGAAACGAGGCTGCAGGCGGGAGTTGCCAGGTGCAAGATGCCAGAGAACGAGAAGCAAGGAAGAAGACGATCTGGAGTTGGTTTGGAAGAAGTTGAAGAAGGCCCACGCCTGACTTGTGCTTACAGATCGTTGTAACAGCGAAACACACCTTCCCGCGCCGTGTTACTTTCTCTGGCTGTGAGACGGGCTCGGCACGCACAGGTAGCGAGTCGCGCCATTCGATTTACGTGGCTCGTTCGCCGCCGATCTATTGGAACAAGCTGGATTTTCGCCAAGGCAGCACAGCCTGTCTGCTGTTTGCACCTGGATTTCCCCAGCCTTCAGAAATTCGGACGGCAGGACGTGATTCTGCAACACTTCGGCTTCTTCTCACAAAATCGCTGGCGCTCATGTTCCCGAAAGACGCCGTCAAGGCGTGGGACGTGGCAGGCGATCATGATCAAGAGCAGGACCGGTCTTTACTCATCTGCTCGGTGCAGTGTACACGAATGGGTTGCAGTCCATGAGAGCAAGCTAGAAAAGTGAACTGGGATTCAAGAGGAAGCGGTATCTTCCGCGCCGAAATGGCGATGACGTCTAGTGTCAATAAACAACAAGGCCGGCGGCTACGTTGGCTCGACCGGTGCGAGATGCGGTGGTGGTGATGATGATAGGAGACGATAATTTACTGATTGAAAAGTGTTTACCAGATCATGCTGCTAAGGTCGGATCGGATTCGGTTGTAGTCCAGGATACCCTCGACCTGTCCGTGTGCGGCGAGAGCAAAGTCAGCATCCCACAAGTAGGTGCGTGCAACACGCTGGATGTCCTGAACGCCGATCGAGTCGATGGCAGCCTGGATCTCCTGTGGCGTGTATCGCTTGCCGGCGGTGACGAGCTGTCGTCCGATGTCCTCAGCGATGGCGGTGGTACCGTCGAGGCCGAGCAACAAGCTCGCCTTGAGCTGGGCCTTGGCACGCTCGACCTCACCCTCGGTGGGAGCGGTGCTCATTCGCTGCCACTCACGAAGCGTGAAGTGGATCAAGTCGTCAAGCTGCAGGAAGTTTTCCGAGACCATGTAGACACCCCAGAGACCGGTGTCCGAGTACGAGGTGGAGAAGTGCATGAACGAGTTGGCGAGGTTGTTGGACGAGACAATGTGCGAGAGGCGCGACGAGAGCAGAGGGCTCGAGCCGAGCGATCGATCCCAGTTGCCCATGATGGACTGGAGCACGAGCATGGGGAAGTAGTCGGGCGACTTCCACGAGACACCCTCGACGGCGAGCGCAAAGTTGCAGGTGGGCGAAGTGTCGTCACGGATGCGCACCTCCGAACCGACGAAGCTGGTCTTGGGCGACGAGGACTGACCGAGCTTGATAGGGCTCGAGCTGACGGGAAGGCTGCCAAAGTGCTGCTCTGCGAGCTTGACGAGCGAGTCGTGCTCGATGCCACCGGCACCGACGAGAACCATGCGGTCAGCGGTGTAGTTGGTCTTGATGTACTCGGCAAGGTCCTCGCGCTTGATCGAGAGGATGTTCTTCTTGGGGCCGAGGATGGTGCGTCCGAGAGGCTGGCCCTGGAAGGCGACCGAGTGAAGGTGGTCGAAGACGACCTCCTCCTTGAGCTTGTCAACCTCCTCCTGCTCACGCAGGATCACATCACGCTCGCGCTCGATGGCCGAGTTCTCGAGCTTGGAGTTTTGCAAGATGTCCGAGATGATGTCGACGGCCTTGTCGACGTCCTTGCGGAAAGCCTTGGCGTAGTAGACGGTCTGCTCTCGCGAGGTGTAGGCGTTGAGGTGGGCGCCGAGGTTCTCGACCTCGAGCTCGAGAGAGTGCTGTGATCGCTTGCCAGTTCCTGCGTTATTGCAAAGAGGTTTGATGTGATGGTGAGACGCGGCGTTGAGCATAGCGCAGTGGTTCATGATCCAAATCAAGAAGTTCGAGGTCAGTTCCATTGTCCGTTCTGTAAATTATTGCCCCCATCCATTCCAAGACTATTTCATCTCGGGTTCTAGCGCATCCCGAAGAAGCAGTCCGCGCAGCATATCAGCACCGATTTGTGTGCTGTCTGCATCTCACAGAAAGTCGAGAGCGGGTTGATGATCAAAGGTGTTTGCGATAGCTGCGCCGAATGATCCTTGTCATTTGCAGTGGCAGCTGCCTTGTGCAGATGGCTGCAGAGCTCCATCAACTGTGACCATCCAATGAAAGGCTGACGGCTGATGCAATATGCTGCTGTGTCGATGCGATGTACGTACCCTTGAAGGCCATGTGCTCGAGGAAGTGGGCGGTTCCGTTGGTGCGGTCTGTCTCGGCGCGGGAGCCGGCATCGATCCAGACACCGACGGTAGCGGTCTGAGCGGAAGGGTTGGACTCGGTTGCGACGGTGAGACCGTTGGAAAGGGTGGTGGTCTGGGTGATGGGCTGGCGCGAGACGGCGGTGGCCAGGTTGCGCAAGGTGAAGGTGGCAGCGGTGGCCGGTACCTTGTTGGCTCGGGCGAGCCTCAAGGAGGACTGTGCGAAGAGACGAGCAGCCATGATGACAGGTAGGCTGTGCGGCAAGGAGGATGAGGTGTGGTGATGAGAGGAGGTGTGGTGAAGAAGGAGAAGATTACCCGTCGTCGTCGACGATGATCTGAACAATCCGTGCGGAATCAACGACGCAATCCCAAACCTTCGCAAAGAGCAGACCAGACCCGGCCAGCCTCCGCCGCGAGCCACAGGTGATTTCCGTAGCAGACCAACGCAATCCGCTTCCGTTCCTTCTCAACTCTTTCGCATAGGCACAGGCTGGAAGAGAGGGAATTTGGGTGACCATTTTGCTCGATTTCATTGGTGACCGACCAGCCTGAACCATTTCAAATGCGCAGCCATCTGAATTGCGTGGACAGCGAGATTGTATTCTTGCCTTCTGCAGGCTGGACATTTCGACTTTGAGTTTGTCGCGTCTGGCTAGAAAATTGAAAAGCTTCCCAAGCTTGTTCCGAAGAAGCCCGCTCAAGGCAGCTGAGCGGTCACTTTGATAATGCGGAAATTCAGTACAGCTCAGCGCGACCATTGGTGATCGATTTCACCCGATACCAATACCTGCTCCTCGTTTCGACATAACATGAAAAGGATTTCGTGCGAGTCTGACGCCAATTTGGTGCGGCTCAGGGTTTGAACTTTTTTTCTTCTTGCCGGTTGGTGGAGGTATGGCTGGAAGACATGAACAAGCTTCTCGAGGCATGCTTGCTCCCTAGTACTCCCCACTGTCACAGCAAAGCGATCTTAAACCAACCTTCATCGCAGCAGTCATGGCCGAGGCAGGCCCATCTAGCGCAACCATGGCGAGCGCACCGTTCCATCATGTCGGGGCAGCGCATCGCTCGAACCTGACGGTTCTCCTCACAGCCAACTCGGTGCAGCTCGTCGATGGGCATTCCGATGGGAGCTTCAAGACGTACGCGATACCTACCACCGTCTTTGTCCCGCAACCTACACTACCCGACCAATCAGATGCAGCGCGATACGCCGACAACCCTCACATCAGCTTTGCTCGCCTCGCTAGCTTTTCGCACTCGGATCAATTTCTCGCTCTCACGGGAGACGACAAGGTGCTGCGAGTATGGAAGCTTGAACGAACCGCAGATGGAGGCATCTCTGGCTTCGAGTTTGGCAAGGAAATTGTGGTCAAGCTCTTGCCAAAGAGAGCCGCTGTGCTTCACTGGATGCCGCCGGGCGACTCGACACCAAGTGGATCGGAGGAGCTCATATGCATCGATCGATTCGGTGATGTACGCAGCTTCATGATCAACGAGAACGATGTCCGCACATTGCCGTCTGCGAACAAAGCGGAAGGCGCGGCGGCTGACGAGCAGGACGAGATGGACTCGCCAACCGATGCTTCTATGCAGATCCTTTTGGGCCACGTCAGCATGGTCACCAGTCTCGCCTTTATCCCAGCGTCGAAGCCGAGGGCGCCTCCTGCGTTCATCATCACCGGCGACCGTGATGAACACATTCGCATCTCCCGCTGGGGCCCCCAACGAATGGCGTACGTCATCGACCGATACTTGCAGGGGTCGGAAGCATTTGTCGGAGCTCTTGCGGTGGTTTCGGACGAAGAGGCAGGTGGAAAGCTTAGTCTGATCAGCTCAGAGGGTGGACGGGCTCTGCGAGTATGGGCGTTGGCGCAACCCGGTGTCGCTTCCACCGACACTCCATCCGACGATGCATGCGTCTCGATCAACGAACTCAGCTCAGCTTTGGCACCCCATGTGCTGGCCCGCGATCGCGAGGAACGCAAAAGAGAATCGAAAGCGCTCCAGGCATCGAGCAAACGAAACAAGGCTGCCAAGCGCAAGCAAAACGGCGATGCACAAACAGCAGAGCAGGCAGAGGTCAAACCGCTTGCAGCGCAATACTCGAAGGACAGCAAGCCGACGATCGTCATCTCGGATCTACTTCCGTACCAAGACGCGGACTCGAAGCAATGGTTGTTGATTGTGGTAGAAGGAGCCACTGCTTTCTTCTCTGTTGCCGTGAGCTCGCTGCTGGCATCTCTGACTTCCGACGACAAGGTGCGAGACATTTCGGATCAGGTCCGAGTCACGCGTGCTTCGGCCCCCATCCTGCATCTCACACTGGCTCCCCATGTTGACGCTGCCGCTTCAGTTTCCGTCATCGCCACCTTCGACACGCGTCCCGAATTCTGTTCGGAAACACCGACAACCCAAGCCGAGGCAGAGGTCGGCATCTTTACCTTGAATACATCCGGCGACTTTGAACGACAAGCCAGACCCGCCCTCGTCGACGCCATCCTACCCGCAACACAGCCCAGCGCCACCACCGAAGTCGAACCCGCCGCACGCGAGCTGCTAGATCCATCCATCGTCGAACACCTCGGCCTGTACCCCGCCCTCACCACCTGGCCCAAGATCGAGGTCCCTTCATCGGCCGAGATCATCGCAACCCGATCTTCGCGCAAAGGCCGATTCAACCACCCGCTCGACACTTCGATGATCGGCGTGGCACAGGTGGAGCAGACTAGACCGTCAAATGCGTCGTCGAATCCGGAGGCGGACGACGAACAGCGTAGGAAGCTGGTCAAGACCATGCAGGGCGGCAAGAGGGAACGCGGTCGCGAGAGGAATCGCGAGGCGATTCGATTGGCTCAGGAACAGGCGGCTTCGCAATGAAATGAAGCAGCAGCTACAATCGCTCCCCAATTCTTTTAACAACACTTGAAGAACAAGAGCAATGACACGAGCTGAATTATAAAAAATTTCGATGATGGGACACGACGTTACGATTTATCGCGAATCTATTGAGTGAGACTCTTTGATCTAAGCAGTGCTGTTCGAGCTGTTCGAGTTGCCATTAAGGCTCTGGATGCTCGACGTCAGCGCAGCGATGGTATTCTGAGTCCTGAAAGTGGGAGCATCATAGTCCACCGAGTAGATCGAAGCCGAGGCCTGGCACTTTCCGTTCGAGATCACTTCCGTCTCACCGGGCAACGAGCAGTTACCGGCATTGCAGACATTGATACCATCACTGCCGAAAAAGGCGTAAGTCGGAAGACCAGTAGTGGCGTTGACAACGAGCCGAACGGCGAGACCTTTACCGGTCATGCGGGTGTGAGTCCAGGTCAAGTTGGTGCAGCTACCGGTTGGTGCGATCTTGGGGTAGTTGACAGTGAGCCCGATCCCGAGAGGCATGATGCGAGCGGAAGAGTTGGACGACTTGGCGTTGTCCGAGAGGGCGGTGACAAAGTTGGACGAGTAGGTGGCGAGCTTGACGGATTCGTCAGCGGGATCGGAGAGGTTCAGGGCGGTGTATTGTCGGACGTTGGTGGAGGCACTGAATGCGATTGAGGGCACATTGCGCCCCACAGCAAAGTACGAGGCTCCTAGCGTGCCACTTCCCGTGTAAAATGCAATGCCAAGATTAGTGCCTTCGTTGGGACCGCTGAGGACGAGGTCGACGCCTGCGGTGGAATCGTTCTTTCTGGTAGCGTTGAAGAAGTATTGAGCATCGTGATCGAGTGCCCAGCCAGAGCAAGCGGCGGGGGTAGCGTCAAGGTATCGCAGACCGGGATCGGTCACGTTGAGTCCTGCGTAGGGCGAGCCGACGGGAACAAAGCCTCCACGACCTGCCGAAGTGAGGTTGAGCTCGGTAGGCAAGACAACGGTACCGCCTTGGCCAGACTGGTTGGCAGCCGGAGCTACCATCAAGACACGGTGACCGGCTCTACGAAGAGCATAGTAGAGCGCACGAATGTTGGCCGAGGCCCAACTGTCGTCGTTGGTCAGCACAATGTTGAGCGGAACCTTTGCCTTGTGCACGTCGGCAAAGCCAGCGGCACTGACGCCATAGACGGAGGGGTCTTCGAACGACTCGGTGCTGTTGTAGGAGAGGGTGGAGTTGTAGCTGTTGATGATGGTGCCGTTGGCGACGACGGGGGTGGAGGGAGTGGCAGACGCAGCTGCAGAAGATGCTGAGGAGGCAGTGCTGGTAGCAGCAGCGGGGCAAGAACAAGCAGTCGAAATTGCGGAAGGCGAACCGACAATGCTGGACGAGACCACCTGTCGCACATCAAGAGGCGTGGAAGACACGCTGGCGGAGGACAGCAGAACGGCGGTCAAGAGTGAGAACAGCTTCATCTTGCAGGTCTATGGGTAAGGTTGATGGTGTTGGTGCAGGAGACATTTCAAACGAGGCAGCTCGATGACCTTATGTACGTATGTCGGCTAGTCATCGTAAGCAGTTACTGACGATCTGTCTACTGGACATTGTAGCTGCTGATGCGCTCTGCTGTTGATCACCCATCTCGATGTGACGTCCTGGAAACCGCAGATGATCCAAGCGTGTACTGGCCGTGATAGTCAGAAGGACTGTACCAACCGAGGATTTGGAAGAAAAGCAATGGTTGGAGACGTTCTTGACACGTTCTCGTCCTCGCATGAAGTCACACCACGTGCGAATGCCAAACAGCGGTTGAACGAGTTTCCGGATCGAAAGGAACGGCCGTTCCCGGTCGTGGCGGCTAAGGGACGAAGCAGAGGAGTAGGAATTCCATGAGGCGAGGAGCTGCCAGCCCAGTAGCGTGTCTCGGAAAGTATCGAAACGTTTGAAGTTCGCAGTAAACGACAGCCAATTAGACAGCCAGCGACCAAAAACGTTGTGCCACAGCCGAGTAGCGAGATGGCGAGTTCGGCCCCACTTCGAAATCTTCGAAGCAAGACAGAGTGTAGATAAGATGACGCGAGAAAACGAGAGCAACCGTTCAGCCACCCGCCCGCCTGCGCGCCACTCTCGGCTGTCCGAACACCTGCGGGTCGAGGCCGCGACCGTGCCTGCGGCTGAAACTCGTCCGGTTGCCCCTCATCCTTGCCTGTGGTTGTCGAGCACGGATTCGTCCAACAACCAAATCGGTGGATGAAATGCAAAGAGAACGTGCTCACCTTCTACCGAAACGTCAGAGAAGTCGTTATTCGGCAACTCGGCCGGTGATGTTCCTCTAGCGGCGTCGAGGTCGAATTTGCAGAGAGAAGCCCGCGATGAGGCCGGGTTTGGCAACTGTCACTCGGTCTTGCTCAGTCAAAACGAGTTTGGCTGTACCGTCGCGGCTCCTTGGCAACCTCGTTCCTGTCAGTGACGCGATTTCGCGGCCAAGAGGGGCACTTGACCCCATTTCTCTGTCACCGCAGTCGTGAGCGAATAATTGCCGATGTCACAAGCCAAATACGGACCGTCAAACAAAGTTGTCGTGTGAGCGTGGCACACGAACGCACGATCCGGTCAACTTTTGAGCGGACTGGCCTTTTATCAAGCCTGTGCCAAACGATGGTCGGGCTGGAAAATTTCCTCCTAATGATGATGGAGTCGACACATCCATGTTCGGCAAATTCGTTGCTGCGTGCCACCGAGTCGGTGCATTTCTACTCCTCTTCCACCGTCTCGTGACTTGAGCAAGATGAAAATGTTCAATTGGAGGTCGCCTTGCTGGACGTACCAAATTCGCCTGGTCCGAGCTCAGATGTGACTCAGCCGCTCGAGGCATGGCTACATATGGCTGTCATACATCCTTGGTCGGACGAGGCGTTGAACGGGGACTCACAGCATTGGCAGTTGTCGCCTTCAATGAGAGAGAGGGAGAAAGGCAAACGGCAAAGCCACATTCGGCACATGCTGATGCAGCTTCACAAGCAACACTCAGCATCCGCCAGCTTGCTCGATGTATCTGCCGTTGCATCAGTCAGCCTGAGGCCTGAAGCTGCTCCTCACTGATACGATGCGTCGAGAGCGATTGCTGTAGTCAAGCCCTTCTGGTCTCGGCACAAGTCGATGCGCATCCAGAGAGCATGCTTGGCAAGCGACGCTGCTCGGACGCGTAAAGACTGAGCCGATCAGTCTCGAGGTACGTGCTCTGCTGAGGGAGATGGAAGCATATAAGCAAGGAGCTTGCAGTGCAATTCGTGCTGCCTCGACCTCATCCTCAACCTCCATTTGGTGCACACCTCAAGACACCTCTAATTAAAAACCTACTCCCTGACCAAGCCAGCTCTCTCTCTCGGCGACAACATTTTCAGCATGTCCGACCCTCAAGACATCCAAGGCATCTACCGAATCTTCTACCAGGGAGGTGCTCTGGCGGGCAAGAGGACCAACTATCCTCTCACCGTCGAAGCGCCCAACAATCCAGAGTACGAAGATTGGATCGTTGAAAACCTGCACGAACATGGTCATGTGATTCGCCAGAGAACTTCGTATGAGATGGGCCTCACCCATCCGCACAACGTCTTTCCCGGCTGCCCTGTTCTGCTGAACGATAGTGTCATGCCGGTCAGGTTCGAACCTGCTGGTCAACCTAATCATTTCATGTGAGTCGCCTCGGCGTTGTGACGGAAATGCTTAGAGCCAGGAAGAGCAAGCAGAACCTGACATTCGCGAAAATGTGTTCAGCATCCATCCCGGAATTGACACGCCTGGCCACGAAGACCTAGCCATGGCGACGGCTCCAGCCGTCGACGACGCTCCCAAAGTGAGTCACTGTCTCAATATCCGGCAAGTGAAAGGTCGATGGGGTCACTTCAACAGAGTTAACGGGGTTCGCTGTTCTCTCTCCTTCGTGACGCTTTGCAGGTCTCGTGGCAGCCGAACGATCATGCCTCCGTCTGGCGTTTCGAGAAGATCGAATAGTGTCCAGCTTCAACGTATGAATGTCGCATCCGGGCTCCGCTGTTGAAACGATTCTCTGGATTGGAATGGCTTGTTATTGATCGCTATCATCCCTGATTGTCTTGTCCTGTCTCCTGTCTCTCGTCCGCATCGTCAATGCGACTAGTTACTTCGTCAACGTCTGCAATTCAATGGCAATCGATCATCATCGCGACACGCAACATCAAGCGTAGTGACCGGGATGCCAGACAGGCGCGATAATGAGATCAGTACCGAAAAAGAATAAAAACAAGCGATGCATTGCAAACGACGTCGAAGACGAAGAGTCGGGATAGCGAAACATGGAAGCGTCAAAATTCACCCTGTGTTACGCAAAAGATAGAATATTGAGATGATGCGGTGAGCATGCGTATTTTAGGACGATTTGTCCACGTCAGCGTTTATGGCGGCACTTACGAAGTAGGACTGCTTCTTAACTCGGAACTGTTTTTGCAAAGGAGGATACTGTTCCCGTGGTCAGAACAGATTGATTCGTCATTGGTATGGCCGGCGCGGAATTTCAGTCTCGATGCGCTCCGAAGAGAAAGTACTCACCTTATAGGGCGCCCCTTTGCGCATGCGGTCGCTGTCATCCTTGGGATACGCGAAGCCCTTGTCGCCCTGACCGTACGAGGGTCTTTTCGCCGCTTCCAACTTGGCAGCCGCGAGACGCTGTCGTCGACCTTCCTCGGTCTCGCCGGGAACGCGGTCAGCTACGCCATGAGGCAGACGCTCCTCGGTGGCCTTGTCGGTTGGAGCGGACTTGGCGGATCCGTTGTCGGAGGCAGGAGGATGAGCGGGACGGCCGGCGCTGTCCACCTCTACGTCCTGGAAGACCATCTGCTCTTCCTTGACGACGTGTCTGCCCGTGGGTGTGCGGAACACATGCTGGGACGCCTCGGCTTCGCGGACAGCGTTGCCGAGCTGTGCCTCGTCATGCTGCTGCTGCGCCTTCTTCTGCTCTTCAGGCGAGAGCTGCTGGTCGTAGGGCGAGACGTACTTCTCACCCCTTGCAGCAGCCTCCTTCCTAAGACGCTGCTCATCCTCGATGGAAGGTAGACCCTCGGCCTTACGTTCGCGTTGCTCCTCCTCCTTCTCGATCTTTTCGTGATGGGCAAAGTGCTCGAGGTCTTCCTTGTGGTTGTAGGCGTCGTCGGTCTGGGTCTCGGGGGTGTTGTGGTAGAGCTCCTCGTGGTGGACAAAGAACTCGGACTCCTCGTCGTAGTGGTGACCGAGGCTGCCGATGTTGAACTCTGGAAAGAGGGGCAAACCGTTGGGGCCGGCGTCGATGAACTCCTTCTTGGTGATGAGGTCGTCGCCGTTGGTATCCATGGCGATAAGGACAGCGCTGACAATCTTGTCGGCTTTCTCGTCGTGGACCTCGTGGTTTGCCGAGTGCTTCTTGGACTCGGAGTGGTGAACGCCGTAGATGGCCTCGATCTCGGAGCGGTCCAGGACACCGTTGCGGTCGAGGTCGTGGAGCGCAAAGGCGCTTCCGAGGTTGAAGGCGTTGATGTGGTGCTCGGTGCGCATGTGCCTCTGGATGTAGCTCTCGTGCTCGATATCGGTGGGCTTGAAACCGGCGATCTCTGCGGGCTCGTTGGAGACGGCGTCGTGCTCGTGAGCGGCGACACCGTTGAGCGAAAGGGAAGAGAGGAGGACCAGGCCGAGGAGGAGCCAGGAGACGCTCATTTGGGTTGCACCGGTGGAAGGCACAGGAGCCGAGGTGCCAGCGGCGCCGGTAGCACCGCCTTGCTTCCTCTTGTCCGAGATTCGTTTAGCCTCTTCGTGAACGTCGGTGACGGTCTTGGAGGTCTTGGAGTAAAAGTCGTGGATCTTTGGATGGTTGGCAAAGGCGTTGTAGTAGTCGCTAAGCTTGGTCCAGACGAGGTCAGTCTTGGACTTGACCTGGGGCTTGTCGAGAACGGCCTGCGCTCGTTGCTGGATGTTTCGAGCGAAGGACGGGTCCTGGACGGCAGTGGACGGATCGGGGACGGTGGTGGTGGTCTTGGGACCCTCGACACTAGCGTTGTCGCCGGGGACGGGCATGGCTGCTGCAACCTTTTCGGTGGCAGAAGAGAGGGCGGCAGGACCGCTGGGCGTGTGCTCGGTGCTGGAGGTGGAAGCGGTAGAAGCGGAAGGAGCAGCCTTTTCGAGCTGTTCGCCCAACGATCGGTCGAGTTGGGAGAGGTAGCGCTTGAAGTTGGTGGAGAGGCCGTGCTTGCTATCGAGCTCGATGGCGCGCTTTGTGATCTCGTCCGAGATGATGTAGCCGTGGGCGAGATACTCGGCAACGATGGCGGTCCTCGGCTTGTCCTCCTGACCAACAGGTTGTGCGTCATCGTGGTGGAGGGTAGTTGAAGCGGCACCAGCAGCAGCAGAGGCTGCAGCAGAGGCATCGGCGGCGAGCGAAACAGACAGGTGAGCGCCATCGAGCGAGCTTCCGTGGAGCATCACGGCGGTGCTGGCAGCACTAGGCTTGGCGAACGAGATGAGCGCCTTCTGATGGGTGGCACCATCGTCGGTGAGCTCGAGGTTCGTGATGGAACCACAGAAGCTGAAAAAGTCATCGATCTGCTTCTTTGCTGTTGTGCTGCTGATACCCGTCACGACGACGGCGGAAGCTGGGGCGGTGGCTGCCATGATGAGCGTTGTGATCAAGCCTGCGATGCAGTGCGAGTGGATGATGCGAGTTTTTGCAAGGAAGAGGGAGAAGAAACGAGAGACAAGGCCAGCTTGCGGCGTTTCTTAGTTTGCTAGCAGAAGAGAACAGTACGGTGAAGACGATGCGAGAGCGTGCTTAACAGTGACCTATCGGACGGACGATGTGCGATGTGGGTGTGATAAGTGAAACAGGATGATTGCGCAGTGAGCGGTGCGTGCGTACCGTTGCGTTGCGGCGACTTTTGGAGTTGGCTGAATCTTGGACTGCTGTCACACCAACGTGTTACTTTGGGCTCTGCTGTTACGCCCCTGGCGCCGAGACTCGAGCCATATCACACACAAAAGTCGAGTTTCTCGTCTCGGCACCTGACGCGTGCCGCGCTTTCCTTCTTCGTACGTATTCGTCGCTGCCCTTTCAGCATTTCTTTCTGTTGATATCCCAGGATCTGACAGTTTCCAAAACCAATAAGAGTCAGACATTTCCAGACATCCAAGCGTCGATTCAACATTGCTCTCCACGCTCTCAAAATCAACAACTCGGTCCGGAAAAACTCGAAATGGTCTGTCGCGAGGTTCGTCCCCCGGCCAACCGCGAGTGACGCAGACTTAGATTTGTGAGACTTCACTTTGGTCAGATTATCCGTCGACCCTATATGCCATCATACCGATCAACAGCGGAGATCAAGATGAACATGTGCTGCTGCTGCTGCTGCTGCTGCTGCTACTGCTGCTGCTGCTGCCGCCGCTGCTGTCGCTGCAATCGAGATGCATGAATCCGTCACATGCAATCCATAATGCTTTGACTCTAACGTCAAGGCAGCAGTGCACCGATGGAGGCATTGTGTTAGAAGCATACTTTGCACCGGTCGTGATCGCGACCGAGCATGCACGTCGAAAGCTGAGCTAGCTCCCAGACAAATTGCCCCGTTCCGGTTCTTGGAAGATAAGGAGAAGCTGCCAGCTGCTCCATGGAAACCAAATAGAAGCATCCCTGCGGGATTGTGACGCTCGACGAGCAAACAAACATGACGAACGAAGCCTCGAGATCCAGGCGCTTGTTCCTGAGCGGGGTTTGCAAGGCCCCTCAATGTGTGCCATCCCCGTCGCGTCGCTATAGCACAGTGCTGCAGTACGGACACATTGCATCAACGCATGACAATGCCGAATTGCAATCAATCCATCAACCGAACAAAGCGGAGTTGCTCTCTGGGGATAAACTCGACCAGCACGGATCGATCTATATTTGCGACCATTTTGACCATTTTGCGGCCTCGCTCCGAAAATGGCGAAAGCATACCTACTGTGTTCTTGTGCTCCCGCCCGAGATACCGTTGATACTTCCATATGCTTAGTCACAAGCGAGTCTGCTTGGGAGCGGCTCTTCGAAAAATGACATAGAACATGACTTGCGTGGATCTGCCGGATCGTTCTTTCGAGCAAGCGTCGCTCAAGACCAAGCTGGTTTCACACACGCATTACCGAAGCAAATCAGGAAAGGGAAGAAATCGACGTGGAAAATGACGACATGAAAATCCACCTCCTCATTTGTTCCCTCCTTCATGAATCCTGTCAGTCAATCCAACAAGGCCATCCTCGTTTCCCATGTGCGTCTACCCGAGTCTCTTTGCAAGCGAGATCTCGTTTCGGCTCACCTCCTCGGACAACGATGTGAAAGCACCTCGCGTGTCAATCCGGCTCTCTGGCACTTGCCATCGCGCTTCCGAAAACCTCGAACACGCTCTCGTACGCAGAACCAGTCAAGCGGTCTTCGCCCATGGCATTGTGCTTCTTTGCAGCGACTTGTACGTGCTCCTGGTGCCAAACACGGCTCTTGCTTGGCACCAACAACGCGGACAGGCGATGTTTGAGGCTCTCTTTGGCCTCCACCGACGCGGTAGCAGCCGTGTCTCTGCCTGCTTTTGCTTGCAAACTTCCTCGAAGCTCACCCGCTCTCGACCGCTAGATGGGATGCTCGACTGTGCTGACCGAGTTCGCCGTGATCGGTCTTGACGTTTGCTTTTCGCTTTTATCCGAGGCGATACTTTGTGGAGTGCAAAACTCGCTGTGCTCTGTTGCCCATGCAAATTACCGCCAATGGCGCTCACTCGTAGCCTTTGCTGCTCCCACACCAGCCTTTGGCTTCACCGACTCCCTTGAACATCGCTGCGCGATGAAGTGAGGCATGCACGCTCAACTGCTTCCTAATGCAGGCTCAAAGCGCTCCCTTTGCGGACTCTGAAATAGAGACTTGAGAACTCTGTGGAGCATCCCGCGGAGCTTGAAGTTGCAACGCGCACTCCCAGCTCAGCCGGGAGCCTGATCACGAGCTTGAGTCGAGTCAGCAGCCTCTTATCCTGGCTCTGACGACCTGCTCGGATTGGACTTTTGCAGCATGTAACTATTATGCTTGGGTCAAAAGCTTTTTGTGGCTCTGCCGCTCCATTTCCTTCACACATCCGCTGAGTTGAAACATTGCTCCTTTCACCACGTCTCACTTGAATGCTTCGAAGTCTGCCCCTTGGCGAAATGCTGCTTCGGGCTATGAGTCCTCCTTTCGTTGGCACTCATGCACTCTATCGAACGCGACAGCAGACGCAGCTTACATGTGTCTGCTCTGCGAGCATCTGCCTCATTCCACAGCGGATTTTATCCGTGACTCATGCAGCAAACGGAACCATACGGACATAGCCACAAGCCGCGCTGCCAAGAAATGAGGAAGCTTCAACAGGTTGGCGCACTTTGTATGTGTCTCGTGGAATATTTGTTGCGATCCACAAGCTACGAGCCAAGACCATCGCGCACCGCTGGAAGCGCTTCATGCCTCCAGCTTCGACTTCAAGACGTGTATGTGTGCGCCTTTGCCGGCCTTCAACATTCCTTCGCGGGATAGCTTCGCAGCGAGGAGACTGCAGGGGGAGTGCGTTATTTTGCCGCTGCCAAGACTATCAACGTGTACACTCTTGGAGCGGAGCCCACGTACCCTGTTGGCATACGTGCAGAGCAGGGCCGGGAATACATGGCCCCAAAGAAGATGATACTGTATCTTTTTACTGAGGAAAAAAAAAAGAATTAAAATTATACCCACCAGTACTGAGAAGTAGTAAAGCAGACCAATCAGGCTCCGCTTCCATGAGCGAATCCACCGATTGAGTACGAGTCACATCGCCTTGCAGAGCTAAGTCGACTGGTGGATATGCTGTTGGCGCCCCAGAGCGTCATTCGACCTCGGCTGGCGAATTTTGGTGCCGAGGCTCAAATGCATCTTTTAGCGGCTGCCACCTCCCACGTATGGATCTGATCTTCGCTCTTGCCATCCACACAGATCTTCAGCGACAGAACGAACAGCGTCACCCCGAAATACGCGGCGCACAGCCCTTCGACGAGCAGTGCCCCTGTGCTCTAGAAGCGTCCCGTCGGACCGGAGGCGAGATTTCATGCTCGTGTTCTCCGTCTCGCTTTCTGACATCCGCTATCGGCCCCGTTAGCGAGGGTGTCTTTGGCGAGCTGGGTACGCGCAGCAATCAGGTCAATATCGGCCTTGTGCCTCGCCTTCTTTCTGGTCTCCGATCAAGACTCCGCTCCAACGCCTCACTGGTGCTTTGTGCTGGAGATCAGCGCTACTGTACGCTTCTCGGCTGCACGACATTCCGCATTGGCTGTGTTCTTTCCGGTTGCTCTCATTGCTCTCCGGAAATCTGGCATCCTTGATTCTAGATTCCGACGCACTTTATCCTCAGGTGCAAGCTTGGCTATTGCATTACACTCCGACGTTTTGAAACTGTGCCTTGTCTGGTACATCTCTACTGTGCCACGCTTTTCTCGTCTGACGTTGGCGGCATCCCTGTCTCGCTCCCTACTGTGCTTGTCCCACTGCCTCGTCACGCATCAGATGTCTACGCCGCCGCGTGGCCTGCATATGTCCATGATGCATTGTCAGGCCCTGTCACGCTGTCACATTGCCCCAAGGGGTGCCGAAACGCGACTGCGTCATCCCCCCGAGGGCATCGCTTGGCCGCTGCTCCGGTTGCGCTCCTTTGCCCACGACGATTGGAGTGTCCTTTGATGATGATTACCGAGGACATCAGGCCAGACAGACAGATGAAGCGGCGTCGGTCGATGTGCAGGCCTTGTTTGTCTGATCGGGGCTTGATGCTGCGGAAAAACCTTGTTCATCAGGATCGACGTTGCCTGTCATTCAGCCGCCACCGTCGCTGAAGGCTGTCGTTGCATCTTCTCCCACCAGCTGGTTCCTCACATCCCTTGTCCCGTGGATTGGTCGACTTTTCGACGTCCGCTCCCGTCAAAGCTCACGTTGCAGTTTTATCCTAAAGCCACATCTGCGCCCCTTCCTTCTCTCTCCCTGTCTCGGTGACTTCGCAACCGCGACCTCTTCAGTGCTCCAACATTCGTTGACGTACCACGACTAGATATTGCGTTCGTCACCCGCCATTTCTATTTTGCCGACCTTTTGGTTCCACGATCTAGGGTTGTTCCGACATCATCTCTTTCCCATCGAAGCTCGGCGTTGCCTGGTCAGAAAGAATCAGCAGCTTTCCGTCTTTTCGGTCCTGCCCGTGTCAACCCTGCGTCCTTTCAACCAGCCGCACATCGCGACATTCCTGCAGTTCATCGCACTCTTGTCTCGCATGTCAGTCATCCTGCCGTGATGCTGTCCCACGCCGATGCTATTTAGTCGCTTCTGCTGCTACGTCCTTTCGCCTCATCTTTCCCCCTCCCTTGTACCCCTCTCCTTCCATTACGGCTCAAAGTCTAACCTTCGTCTCATCGGGCGTCGTTTCGACTTATACGTCAAGACAGTCCGCACTCAAAGCATCATTCGCCCACAGCGCCTTCTCGCCGCCAATATCGTCATTCAGCGACAACGACAGCCCATCGACTACACATCTCTTGATTCTTTCAGCACCTCTCATCGCTCCGACCCACTGCCCTGCTTCTACCGCGATCGACCTGTTCTGACTGATTCGTACAGCTCCTTTCAATCGCCTCTTCCGACACATGGTCAACTTGCCTCGAAGGATTTCATTGCGTCAGCCCAGCAGCAAACTTTGACGGCCGGTGGGAGGAAAGATCCGACCAAAGCCAGACGACCGACATCTAGGCGGAGCGCTATTGTCAGCACTCATCGGGCAGCGCGCTTCAAAAGAAGCAAAGGCGTTTGCTCATTTGAACGCACTAGCTTGACCCTCTGCCTGCATCACAGTGTGAATGCTGCCGAGATTGCTGTCGCCTTACTCTCGAGGTTGCTCATCGGTGAGCCGTGTTCCGATCTCACACTTCTTTCCTTTGCAAGATCTGACTTGCCATCTACCGCAACACCCTGCAATTGACAGCTCATAAGTCCGTCCGTTCGAGCCCAAGGGGCGGAGGTACCTTGGACCTGCTTCCTTCCTTGGGGCTGCCGAACCAGCCAGTACGCGGCAGAACCCTACTATCACCATGTCTGGAGATGCCCGCGACTACCGCGCATCTCCGACTTCCAAGGAGTACAGTCTCGAGGCGGATGTTGCGCCAGCCAAAGGGTCGTCCAGGTCGCCGGCCGACAGCGTCGCTGATGTCTCGCCGGTACATCGCATCTATTATCCTTGCTTTGGCAAGATAGATATCAAGACATACATAGATGCGCGCTTGTACGGCTTCAGCTTCCAACGCATGCACGACGAATGGGTAGTGATGGGTAAGCCGCAGATCGATACAAGCCATTGGCCCCGCATGCCTGGACATAGAGGCATCCCGACATCGCCTGCAGACTTCCTGCGGGTGGCCGAATACTACGACACGAAATTGTACGAACAGGTTCTGCTTGAAGCGCAGGGAATCCCGGCCGACCCCAACCGACCTCTGGACGACTTTTTCGGATCGATGGTCACGACTGCGGCCATCGCCAAAGCCGACTTTGGCGTCTACCGCTTCACTCAAGATCAGCCATCCGCGAGTGAGGCGGCAGCGCAGCATATGTGGTACCAGACTTTCAACATGTTGCTGCAAGCGTCGATTCGGTACTTCCTCAGCGAAAGGTCCGTATGCGATCGTCTCGGAGCACACAAATGCGTCCTCCCGCTCCTCTTCGGACAGGCGCACTCAATGACGGCGCCGAGCCTTCTGGAAAACCTCACCTTCCAAATGCAGATCCTCAGGAACGTTTTCCCCAACTTTGGCGAACATTTCGGCCGGTGTGCCGCGGCCAGACCACCACAGCAGCCGCTGTCGCCAAGCCTGGTCGTGACGAGTCCGCACGAACCAAACTCAGCAGCTCCCGCAAGCCATTTCGGCATGCATCAAGATCTCTCATCAAGCGAAGGCAAGACCTTGTCCGGCTCCAAGCAGCGCTCCTCGTTCAGCGCTGCAACGGATGGCGATGCTTCACATCAGCTGCTAGCGCAACTGAGCCAGCCGTTGACGTCGATCTTCATCCCTGCTGAGATGAAAGGGCGAAGAGATCTGTTTGCCGCCGCTGTGCATCCCTCGATCCGCTGCGATATTGCGCTGGATCAAGTGGTGAACTTTATCGATTCGCGGATCGTGACGTCGACCTCGACGTCGGCCTCTTCAGCTTCTACGCCAGCATCTATAAGGACGACGACGCCAATCCATGGCGCACCAGGGACCAGCGCGATCTCTTCTGGATCATCTCTGCCGTCTTCGGACGCGGGGTGGCAGAGGCGCGGGCACAGACGAGTCGAGGAGGATATGGGACCTGACATCGAGTCGGCGAATTTGACGTTGCAGCCTCCTCCGCAGACGCACGCTGTGTGGTCGCAAAGAGCTCCAGATCGATCTCCATCCGAAGAGAGCAGCATGATGACGCCAGAGGAAGCTATATCTCTTCAGCTTGAGAGGTCACAAGGCGGCCTGGCGCATCCCTACTTCAGCTCGCTTCCAACGACACCAACCGAGATGTATGCATCCGACACGCTCTCGGCAGCCTCACAAGAAGGAAATCAGCCACACTCGAATCGCAGAATGTATGCCTCGGGAGCGGCCGCTCTCTCAATGACGTCGACCTCGGATGGGGACTCGCGCAAGCGCACCCGTGCGGAACAGAATCGTGAAAAGATGAAAGCATATCACAGGAGAGTTATGCAGCAGCGAGAAGCTCTCACCCGTGTGCTAGCGGATATGACGGCCAACGTCGGATTTTTACCCGCTGATGCGGCACAATTGAATCCGAACGCCTCCACAGGTCTAGCGGACGGTGATGGTCGGGAGGGAGCCGCGGGTACAGAGACGTCGGGATCGATCGGTCGCGCGCCACAAGAGTCGAGCTGGTCGGTATCGTTGCGCAACAAGCAGAAGCAAGAATCGAAAGCGAGGCTGCGAAAACGTGAGATCGAGCAGGTGCACGAGCTGGGACTGTACGCCAGCTACGCGTGTGCCACGCTCTCGCGCTCGCATTCGTCTGATGCGGAGACGACGCCGTGGATGGGCCAAGGGAATGCCGGTGATGCGGCGGCGAGGCGAACCGAAGGCGAGCGGAGCAGCTCTGCAATGCCATGGCGCCAGCTCGGGGAACAGCAAGTGTCAGACGCGGACCTGTACATGTCGAATGCCATCGTGCGCACGTTCTTGCGGCATCGCTCGGACTGGATTGCGCTCATCTCTGCGGAGCAAAGGCTGGCGAGCGAAGTTTCAAAATTGTTCCCGAGCACGGACGATGCGGGCGCGTCAGGAGGTGGCATGAGCGCGGGAGGCGACGAAGCTGTGTCTACTCGGTCTCACATCAAAGTGCTGATCGACCGAGTTCAAATGGAGGAAAGAGCAGGTAGACTGATGATGGCAGGGCCAGACTCGACTGCGATGGGTAGGGCAACTTCTGCAAACGATCCAAGCCGCTCGCCAGGCGGGACAAGCCCATCAAGTCCGTTCATGGCTGCCGATGCTGCGAATGCCGCGCGAATTGCAGCGACAGGACCAGGAACATATGGTCAGCATGGATACATGCAAGCTGGAGCGGTTCTACTGTCGCCAAGCTCTTCCGAGTACGGAGGGATGGTGTCGCCTTCTGGCGTGATCCGACCTGCAGGTGTGGACGAAGGCGGAGATTACTTCAGCCAAGATCGGAGGCGCCCTCACGAGTCAGCCATAGCGACGCCCAGCGTGCTGCGGTCGAGCAGCGGATACAGATACAACACGAGCCACGGTCAAGAGGCACGGATGGCAGCTCAAGGCGCAGCAGGACAGCTGACGTCGCCGCTGGAGCATCCACAGGTACGTGTGTCGACGCACTTTGACGAGCGGAGCCATGGAGCGATGACAGTGCCGGGCACATCTGGATCTCGAGTTGCGCACGGCGCGAGCCTGTACCACTCGCAGCCTCTGCATGCACCTCCTCTCGGGTATGCGAGCTCGTTGCCCTCGCAGAGTGGTGGACATTTGGACGCACACCCAGCTGAAGGATCACCGACACCTGGCGGGTCGCCGTCCGTGTTGCATCAAGGGTACCGTCCGCATCAGCCGGGTTCACCTCAGTATCCACCGAACTATCCGTATAGTCAGCAAGGTCCGTATGGTGGCGCGTGATGCGTTGCCAACACACGAGACCATGCCAGCCAGCTGCGTGGAGGAGCACACAAACAAAAATACACACACAAAAGCCGCAAATTGCAGCACTCAGATCACCTGCCGGGTTGCGGCTTGCATTCTGATCTTTCGAAACAAATGTATACTATCATATTAATACAAGCGAATAGTCACCCTCTTGATGGAGTCACTCGATGAATACGCATTGCACGTGAATGTGGTTGGGCTCGGTACGACAGCTCACGATGAAAGACGTAGATTGAGAAAAGCCATGGACACGGCGCAATGTGGGGGGAGACAGTCGAGTCAGGGTAGACCAGCTAAAACGAAGACGTTGCTACGCTGGTAGCGACATGTCACGTTGTGCAACCCTTTGACAGCGGACATGCCATTTGCGGTACGCGCGAGGGTCAGGATCACATGTCGAGCTGCCGAAAGTGCGGATCAGCATTCGTCCGAAGAGATCCGAACCATCTCGATGGGGTTGACAGCTTGACTCGATGACATCTTGAGCGCGCCTGATTGGCTGGCTGGCTGTTTGAATGGGGAATTTTGGCAGCGCGGTGACTTTTTTCTTAGCTCTGCGTCGCCGTGACTCGAAAAGCCCGCATCAATAAAATTGTTAGAGCGTCGGATCCATCATCTACCTTTCAAGCATACGCAACCGCCTCAGAGCCTCTGAACTGTCACTATCGCTGACGAGTCAGTCCGGATTGTGGAGCCGGAACGGGTGGTGGGAGACGAGGCTGTATCCGGCTTGCTTGCCAGAGCACGGTAAGCTGGCTGTGACTGGTGCAACAAGTGGGTTCAAGTGGTGGATCAAGGTGGGGCTGCGTATTTTCGTCGTTGCCGCATTTCACGCATTTCCGCTTGAGTCCTAATTCCAGAAGAATTGCTTCCACAGTTGACGAACGGCGCAATACCAGTGTGCTTGGATCCCATGCGGCTGCGGGTGTTTGCTTCCAAGTCACACAAACTGGTGGCTGTGGTCTCTGTTGCACCAGAATGACAGAGCCGTGCGTTGAGAGACACTCACAAACCTCAAATACCATCTCGGCTCCATCTCTAGCTCCAACTCCCATCACCCTTCACCTTTCCCCCGACTTGTGTCCTCCCGCAAAGATGGCACCAAAAACGCTCTACGAAAAGATCTTCGATTCGCACCTCGTCCACGAGGAGGCTGACGGTACCTGCCTCATCTACATCGACCGTCACCTCGTCCACGAGGTCACCTCGCCACAGGCGTTCGAGGGACTTCGCAATGCCAACCGCAAAGTTCGCAGGACCGACTGCACCCTCGCCACCGTCGATCACAACATCCCCACAGCCTCGCGAAAAGCCTACCGCGACACCAAGTCGTTTGTCGAGCAGGCCGATTCCAGAACCCAATGTCTGACGCTCGAGGAAAACGTCAAGGCGTTCGGTCTCACCTTCTTTGGTCTTTCGGACAACCGTCAAGGCATCGTGCACATCATCGGTCCCGAGCAAGGCTTCACCCTTCCTGGCGCCACCATCGTTTGCGGTGACTCGCACACTTCCACACACGGTGCCTTTGGTGCTCTCGCATTCGGTATCGGCACTTCCGAGGTCGAGCACGTGCTTGCCACTCAGACGCTCCTCCAGAAGCGTGCCAAGAACATGCTCATCCAGGTCGACGGCGAGCTTTCCGAGGGTGTCACTTCGAAAGATATCATCCTCCACATCATCGGTCTCATCGGTACCGCAGGTGGTACTGGCCACGTCATCGAGTACGCCGGATCCACCATCCGATCGCTCTCCATGGAGGCTCGCATGTCGATCTGCAACATGTCGATCGAGGCCGGTGCACGTGCCGGTCTCATCGCTCCCGACGAGATCACCTACGAATACATCAAGGGCCGCCCTCTCGCACCCAAGCAGGGTGAAGCCTGGGACCAGGCCGTCTCCTACTGGAAGTCCCTTCCTAGCGACGAAGGTGCCAAGTACGACACCGTTATCAAGATTGCCGCCAAGGACATCCCTCCCACCGTCACCTGGGGTACCTCTCCTCAGGACGTCGTCGCCATCACCGGCACCGTCCCCGACCCCAAGAAGGCGTCCAACGATGCCGAAGCCAAAGCTTGGACCCGCGCCCTCGAGTACATGGGCCTTGAAGCAGGCACGCCCATGGAAAAGATCAAGATCGACAAAGTCTTCATCGGATCCTGCACCAACGCCCGTATCGAGGACCTCCGCGCAGCCGCCCGCGTCCTGCACGGACGCAAAGTTGCCGAGGGTCTCTACTGCATGCTCGTCCCCGGTTCCGGCCTGGTCAAGAAGCAAGCCGAAGCCGAGGGTCTCGACAAGATCTTCCAGGCGGCTGGATTCGATTGGCGCGAGGCCGGTTGTTCCATGTGTCTGGGTATGAACCCGGATCAGCTGGCACCTGGCGAGAGATGCGCTTCCACCTCGAACCGCAACTTTGAAGGCAGGCAGGGCGCCGGTGGACGAACCCACCTCATGTCGCCCGCCATGGCAGCCGCTTGTGCTGTCACCGGATACCTCACCGATGTCAGGAAGGTCGTCGGCGATTCGTCGGCCAAGGTCGGAAACGAAGCTGGAAAACCCGCGTTCGAGATCCAGGTGTCCGATGCCAAGTCCTACCTGATCGACGCCACCCCCGCACCCGCTCCCACCAACATCCCAGCAGCCTCCACCGATGAGGACGCCATCCGCGATGTCCCGCCCTCCCAGATCTCCACCGCTGGAGCTGGCATGGAAAAGTTCACCAAACTCACCGGAATCGCCGCCCCGCTCGAACGATCTAACGTCGACACCGACCTCATCATCCCCAAGCAGTTCCTCAAGACCATCAAACGCACTGGTCTCGGGTCCGCGCTCTTCTGGCCCATCCGCTACGACGCCAAGACGGGCGAGCCCGATCCGTCCTTCGTGCTCAACCAGTCGCCATACGATCAGTCCAAGATCCTGGTGGTCACCGGTCCCAACTTTGGCTGCGGAAGTTCGCGCGAGCACGCCGCCTGGTCGCTGCTCGACTTTGGCATCCGCGCCGTGATCGCAGAGAGCTTCGGTGATATCTTCCGCAACAACCTGACCAAGAACGGCCAGCTTCCGGTCACGCTCACCAAACCCCAGATCGAGAGGCTCACCGTGGACGCCAAGGCCGGCAAGGAGATCACGGTGGATCTCGAGAACCAGGTGGTGGTCACCGCCGATGGTGCCGAGAAGTTCAGCTTCGAAACCCCCGAGTTCACGCGCCACTGCCTGATCAACGGTCTCGACGATATCGCGCTCACGCTGCAGAAGGACGAGGCGATCGGAAGGTTCGAGGGTAAGAGGAGCACCGAGACGCCTTGGCTGGATGGATTTGGGTATGCGGGCAAGGGTGTCGGAGGCAAGATCGTCGATGCTGCCAAGGGGATGGTCAACAAGGTGGCGGGTACAGAGTGGTGATTGCCCGACCCCCAGCGCAAAAGAAGTTTTTTTCGCATGTTGCGTGAATGATACTTGTCTGTTGGGCTCGATGATGTAAGAGAATTCTGTCTCGACTTTGCAGGACTGGCAGTGTGAGAGCTTTGTTGTGCGTGTGCGAGAGCTCAACGTAGAGGGCGCGGCGCGACACACACCGGATGAGTTCCAAGAACCCCGCATGATCGCGTCGATGTTTACGGCGACACAAGCTCAGCCAGGTCCAAGCCCTCGACCAACCACTCGCTCGCTTTGATCATTCCACCTTTCGAGTGGACGCGGTCTTACGCAGTGAAACCAAATTCGGGCAACGTTGTTCGAGCTTTCGAGAGAAGCGGTGTATTCGTTCCTCGCGATTCACATCATTGAGACAAATCGTACAAAGTGGTGTTGATGCATAACAGAAACCCTCGTGTGTAGTACGTCTAAAACCTACAAGCTCGCTTACTCCTCCTTCTGCAGCTCCTGCATCCGCACCAGATCCGCGTAAACCCCGTTCCGCCTCAACAGCTCCTCGTGCTCACCCATCTCCTCCACCTTGCCATCCTTCAACACGTAGATCATATCCGCCCTGCTGATCGTGCTCAACCTATGCGCGATGGCAATCGTCGTCCTGCCACTCGCCGCTTTGTCCAGCGCCTCCTGCACCACCTTCTCGCTATCGCTGTCCAACGCAGAGGTCGCTTCGTCCAGCAGCAGAATCCGTGGGTTCCTGATCAACGCCCTCGCGATCGCAATCCTCTGCTTCTGCCCTCCCGAAAGCTGCGTCCCTTTCCCGCCCACTTGCGTATCCCACTTATCCGGTAACGATTCGATGAACGCCAAAATGTTGGCGGATGCAGCTGCCGATCGCAGCTCATCCATGCTGACGCTCGATGCATCTTCATACGCTCCCAGACGGATGTTGAACTCGATACTCCCATCGTACAGCGTCGGTTCCTGCGAGACGAGCGCCATGTGTTTTCGTACCTCGCGCAGGTTGAGCGTGGAAATGTCCCGCCCGTCGATGAGGATCTTGCCCGAAAGCGTGTCGTAGAACCTCTGGATCAGCTGAATCGTCGTACTCTTACCACACCCACTCGCACCCACCAACGCGACATACGTCCCCGGTTTCACTTCGATATCCAACCCCCTCAACACCCTCACCCCCGGTCGCGTGGGATACCTAAAGTGAACACCCTCCAACTTGACATGCCCCTCTACACTCTCCAACACCTCCCCCTCATCGCTCGTCACATCGATTTCCGGAACCATATCGAGCAACTTGATCGAATCCCACGCCGCGGTCTTGGCGTTCGAGATATCCGGAACAAAGCTGAAGGCGTTGGACGCCTGAATCGATCCAAACACCACCGCTGTCAAGATGGTAAAGTACTGACCCGACGTATACTCCCCCTTGATGAGCAGGTGAGAGCCGTACCAGAATCCAAGACCGATGATCCAAAACTGCAACGCTTGCGATACAGCGTACAGGAAGTTGCCGTAGAACGCCGTGTTCCTGGAAATCTGACTGGGAGCATCGAGCTCCCTCCTGTAGATCTCGAGGCAGTCCTCCTCTCTCGTCAGAGACGCGACCACACGCATCGCGCCCGCCGCTTCACACGCCTTCGCCGCCGACCCTTCATACGCCTTCTTGATCCTCGCATCCTTCAGCACCACCAACTGCAACCGAACGAATCCAGCAGAAAGCGTCAGCGGAATACACGCGATCACCACCAACGACAGCTTCCACCCGTTGGCAAGAGCAATGATGGCTCCAGTCACGAGCGTCGAGATGGACTGAATGATCGTTCCGAGCGTCACACCGACGAGACCGTTGATCTTCTGCGAGTTGTCGGCGAGCGAATTGCTGAGCGAACCGGAAGAGTGAGAGTCCTCATCGTGGTAAGAGACATCCGCTCGCAAGTAGGCGAAGAGCGACATACGACGGATGCGCTCCATCAGAATCGACGAGGCCTTCATCAGCGTATAGGTCTGGATCGAGATGGCGAGAGTACAGAGGATGGCAATGACGAAGAAGTAGAGCGCCCAATGGTTGGCATCGCGAAGCATGGTACTGCGCGCCGGTTCAGGGCATGGTCCACCACCGATCGCACTGCAGAGCGAAAAGTTCTGCAGCGCATGACCGAAGAGGATCGAGAAGCACGGATAGGCAGCACCGGAACAGATGGACGCAATCACACCTGGAAGGTAGAGCGACAAGACGTGATCGCCGTTGATCTTGGCCAGTCGATAGAGCAGGTAGAAGATGCTGGGGATCTTTTCGTTCTCCTTGTCTTTGGCGGCTTGCTCTCGCTCGCGCTGCTGCAGGATGGCGCTGGCGACACTCTGACGCGTGCCACTCTTTTCGAGCCCGGCAGGCATCTCGGCTTTGGCTTCCTGTCGCACCGCAGCTTTCTCCGAATCCGTAGTGGCAACCGGAACCTTGGCGTTGGACGCCACGAACTTGTCTGATGCCGCAAGATCCTCCTCATCATCGACGACTTTGCTGCCGACCTTGGCGCGGATCTTTTGCGCGTCGACGAGCTGAGCGTAGGCACCATTGAGCTCGAGCAGCTCGTCGTGCTTGCCCGTCTCGAGGATGACGCCTTTACCCATGACGACAATCTTGTCGGCGTTCTTGATGGTGGATAGGCGGTGGGCGATGGTGATGGTGGTCCTGTTCTGACTCGCTTGCTCGAGCGCATCCTGCACGACGGCCTCAGATTGCGTGTCGAGCGCCGAAGTAGCTTCGTCGAGCAAGAGGATGCTCGGGTTCTTGACCACGGCACGAGCGATGGCGATGCGCTGCTTCTGACCACCCGAGAGCAAGAAACCCCGCTCGCCCACCATGGTGTCGTAGCCGTTGGGCAGCTGCGAGATGAAGCCGTGCGCATTGGCCATCTTGGCAGCATCTGTGATGAGCTTCTCCTGCTCTTCGTCGGACACGTGCTGGTAAGGCGTGTTGATGAGACCGTGAGCAATGTTGGCGCGGATGGTGGTCGAAAACAAGGTGGGTTCCTGACTAACGAGACCGATCTGCGTTCGAAGCCATTTGAGGTTGAGATCGCGTAGATCGACACCATCGAGGAAAGCGGCACCTTCGTCGGGATCGTAGAAGCGTTCAACGAGCGACACAATGGTACTCTTTCCGGAACCGGATGCTCCGACGAGAGCGGTGACTTTGCCGGCGGGGACCTGCAGCGAGAAAGAATCGAGGACGGGCACATCGGGTCTTGCTGGATAGCTGAAGCCGATATCCTTGAATTCGAGATGACCTTCGCACTTGTCAGGTCGCAATCCGGAGGGGTCAGAGCTGTCGATAGGAGGAACGCGGTCGATGGTCTCAAAGACTTTGGCACCGGCAGCGAAGGCGTACGAAAGAGCCTGCATGTTGGGTGCCATCATGGCCATGGAGAAGGCGCCGATGAGGATGGAGAGGATGACGTTCATGACGGTACCGGAAGCGATGCGACCGCTGGCGAGCAGCTTTGCTCCAAAGTAGAAGGCGAGGGCGTATCCACTATAGATGACGAAGAAGAAGACGCCCATGCCGATGCCTTGGAAGAGGGAGCGCTTGATGCCGAAACGGGTCGCTTGGCGGTTGCTCTCGTCGTATAGATCGACGAGGTTGTCTTCGATGCCGAACGCCTTTGCAGTGCGGAGAGTGGCGAGAGCCTCTTCGGCGATCGAAGCAGCCTTGGAAACGCGGTCGAGTTCTGCCTGCTGAAGCTTGGCGGTGACGGCGTTCATGAGGGCACCGGCGATGATGATGCACGGGATCATGGAGCTCAATGCGAGGGCGAGCTCCCAGGACTTGACGTAGGCGACGATGAAGCCGGTGACAAAGGCGCTGATGAACATGACCGACATGGGGATCTTGTCGCTGATGCCCTCTTGAATGAGCTGGATATCGGTCTGGATGCGGGTAGTGATCTCACCAGCACCGACGACGTCAAAGTAGGCGATGTCTTGACGGAGGATGGCTTGTAGGTACCTCTCGCGGATGCGGCGAGTGACGATCTGACCGGTGTAGACCCATGCGGCCATGTAGATGTAGGTGGCGACGAGCATGGCGATGCCGATGTAGACGAGGAAGAGAACGCCGTGGGTGATCTCGCGATCGAGGTGGCGACGTGCAGCGGGGATGTCGCCGCCAAAGAGGAGAGCGTTGGTGTACTCGAGGAAGGCGGTGGTGAGGCTGCCAAAGACGATGGTCATGAGCGGCTGTACGGCGCCAGCAGCAGCTGCAGCGATGAGGCCGATGAAGTTGAATACGTGGTCCCAAGGGGTGGCGTAGCGATAGAGCTCTCTGAAACCGACTCGGTCGACGGTGGCGTCGTCGTCGGCGTTCTTCTTGCTTCGTTTTGCGCGCTTTGTTTTGGAGGACGATTCGTCGCTCTCTCTAGCCTCGGAACTGGACTGCGAGGAGGTGGTGCTACCGTTGTCAGGCTTTTGAGATGTGCCGTTGGAGGTGGAGCGATGCGGCGGTCTGGGAGTGGGCTGCATGGCGATCTGAACGTGGTCCGGTTGCGATTGTGCTTGCTGCGCCTCGGAAGGCGGCGAGTGCTGTGGTTGTTGTTGATGGTCGTGAATGCTAGCATCGTCTTGGTCGTCGGGTTGGTCATCATCGAGGGCGTGAGCAGGCTGTGGATCGCTGAGGATTGCCTGCTGAGCATCTTTGGCGCCCGAGTCCAAATGGGATTCGAGGCGCGAGCTGTTGTCTTGCTGTTGTGAGGCAAGCTGCGGAGCGGGAGTAGGAGGCGTAACTTGGCTGACTGCACCAGGAATGCCTTGCGGTGCCGCATTGGCGGTTGCACCGGCAGAGATGGCGCTCATGTCGGCGGTGCTGTATGTGGTCCAAATCCAACGAGGGGGTTGGCGGGTGTTGTCAGCGTTAGAATGACATTTGGTTGAACGTCAATCGAGCCAAGGTGCAAGCGACGGGTGTGGTGGCGACGCCGAAGATGATGGTCGGGATCGATCTGGAACTGAGCCGACGCTGATGCTGACCCTGACCCTGGCCGTGAGGATGTGAGTGCGAGGTTGGTGTGCTGCAGTGCTTGACAGAGAGTCGACTCGGAATAATGTTTTGCTGCAACTGTGCGTGTGCCTGTTTGGCCTGCCTGATTTGATATTTGGCGCAAGCATAGCCGAACCCTGAGCGACGCTGTGCCTCACACACACACACACGTTTCGGTTGTTTGCCAATTTCAAGCGGCAGCTGAGCTTATTTGCTTTGGCTGGACGCGCGCACAAATCACTGTTATCGCCTCCGACCCGACTTTGCCATTTGGTCACACAGCCCCTTCACCGGAAAGTGTACCATTCGCATTGTTGGTGATGTACAGGTTGGATCAGTCTCTCGTTGGTGCTCACCATACTCGACAGAGCTACTCCAAACAGGTATGGCCAGACAGCAGGAACGGGGTCCCGGGCGAGTGAGGGACACACAGCACGTGTGAATTTCATTCTTGGCCCCACAGTGGCAAACTCGGAACCCAACACCGCGCGTTCCGCGGATTTCCATTCACTCACTCACACCGACCGCATCACTTCCGCAATCGACACGATGAAACATACTGCAATTGACAAGAGACAGAAAAAATACATCAACAAACGAACGGACGACTGCATAACAAGATACAAAACAGAGAGGTGGTCATCAATGCGACAGGCAGACAACAGAGAAACGCAGGAATCGACTACGACACACACTACCTCACCCTGGATCAGGCTTCGAGTCCCTTGACTTCATCCACCTGGCCCCGGATGCTGGTGACGCGTGATGTCGTCTGGTCGAACCACTCGATCGCCAGGTTCGCAGACGCCTGCTTGGCTTCCTGCTTCTCCACCTCCGCCCTGCGCTGAGCGATGGCCGTGCGGAAGCGCTCCTGCAGATCCCACGACGCCAGACGCAGCACCTTGCGTGTCTCGCGTCCCACTCGTGCAGAGTGCACCGCCGTGAACGATGGCTCCTCGCCTTGGCTCTTCGTCGACGACGACGACCTGCTGGGTGCCAGTGCAGTGAGAGCATCGCTCGTGTTAGAACGCAACAGCGTACCGGACTCGAGTCCAGACTTGATGCTGCGTCCAATATTGCGAGGTACGCTGTTGGGCAGGTCGTAGATAAAGTACACCACCAATCCCGTCGACACGACCGCAAGCACAGGTCCAGCCCATCGACGAGCCGTAGGGTTGCCCACCAGATCCGAGATGCGCACAAACGCGTCGATGGCCGTCTTGGCTCCCAGCGTCTTGCTTCCCATCAGCGTCATCGCACCCAGACCCAACGACACCGACGAGACCAAGCTCAGCTCGTCGCTCGTGCTCTTGTCTGCTTTCTTACCGCTCTTGTCCTGCGACAAGCTGCCGCCGGTGACGATAGTGAAATGGTGGTAGGCATCGAAGAAGTCCGAGGCCTGCACTTCGACCACCTGCGCACCCAGGCCCAGTCCGACCAGGCCGGGCATGGCGCGTCGTTTGGCGAACATGACATCGGGGTTGAAGATCCTCTGGCGCTTTTCGGCGTCTTCGTCGGGCAGGTGAGCCAAGCCGAGCTTCTGCACTCGGTCCACAGCTTGCGAAGCCGTGCCGCGTGCCGTGTCTTCGACCGAGCGCAGCGCCAGCTCGAGCGACGATGTGAGCGCGTGTCGCACCTCTTGCGCGTACTCCCAAATGTTGAACAGACCAGGGTAGGCGGGAAGCTGAACCGCTTCCGTGGCGGGCCTACCGTTGCCGATGAGCTCGATGGCAGACGACAACTTGCGCTGCGCCTGCTGCATCACCGCCGTCACCGCCTCGTCCTCTTCGCCCTCGACCACCGACTCGAGCTTCTGTTGCGACGCTTGGCATCGCGCCAGCTCGGGGCGCGCCACCTGTAGCGCCTTGATAGCTTCGGCCAGTTCGATCTCCGCCACTTGGGTGTTGATCTTGGCAAGGAAGGTGATGTCGGACAACAGACGCAGCATGTAGGTCTTGGAAGGCAGCAGTTTGGACTTGGCACGCTTGAGCAGCACAAAGTCGCGCAGCGCATTCTCGAGGCGCGCGAAAGCCTGCAGACTCTCGGAGCTGCGACTCTCGACGAGCTGGCCACCCTGAACCTTGCGACCGAGCTCCTCGGATGGCGTGTCGGGCGCGGCGCTGGACTCATCGTCGGCCTCTGCGCCAAATACGGCCTGCGAGTCGACAAAGTGCACCAGGTTGGCAGCATCCTCGTAGGTGGCGGGGCTGAGCTGTCGGATCTGGTCGAGCACGAGCTTGCGACACTTGTCCTTGTTCTTGATCGACTCGAACTTGTTGACGACGATAAAGACGAAAGCCTTGTCGTGCGATGCGTTCCAGAGGAACTCCTTGGCAGAGAGGGTGAAGTGGTTCTCTGCGCTAACGACAAAGACGACGACATCGATCTCCTCCTGACGCGCAAAGAGCGCGGTGGTCTTGAGACTGTCGCGGTTAAGACCGGGTGCGTCGATGAGGGCGATGTCGACGATGCCGTTCTTGAGCAGCGAGTCTTGGGCGGCGCGAGTGTCGTGGGCGTAGCACTTGAGGATGGGAGCATCTTCGGGCGAGACCTCCTCGGCCTCGGCGACGATCTGCTCGACGTCTTGGAGTGTGTGGCGAGTGAAGGTGGAGTCGTCGTGGCAGTCGTACTTATGACCTGGCTTGAGCATGTGGACCTCTTCGACGTCTTTGTTGAGTAGGGAAGCGTCGAGAACCTCGCAAAAGACGGTGGTGCAAGGCTGCTGGTCGGTGGGCATGAGAGGTCGGCGGAGCAGAGCGTTGACAAAGGTGGACTTGCCGGCGTTGAGATCACCTGTGACCAACACCTTGGACTGGGTGTCGGAGAGACGCTGCTTGAGGTTCTCGAGGTGACGTTCGGACTTTTGCATCCTGCCGTCGAGCAGCTGTGCTACCGACGAACGCTCCAAGGAGCGCACGAGGGCTTGCGGGTTGGCGGCGAGCGAGCCGACGCGAAGATCGAGTTTTAGGACAGACATGTCGTTGGACTCTTCTGCGTCTTGGTCGGCTTGTTTGAGCAAAGCTGGAGCGGCACGTGCTGGAGTGCTGGGCAAGCTGGCGTGACCGCCTGTGGTGTTGAGGCGCATCAAAGCAGGAGGTGCAGGGCGATGGGCGCTGTCGACGGAGGAAGATTGGAGCTGTGCGTCTGCTTCCTCGAGGCTGTGGTTCTGCGAGTTGGACTGCGAGCGCCTGTGTTGAGAAGAGAGCTGGCGCGAAGGACCGGCGGCGGCGGCGGCGGCATAGTGGATCAAGCGCTTGTTCTTGTTGAAATCGCGCAGATCTGCCAAGAGGTGGCTGGTGGTGTCAATGGCGCCGACGAGCTTGTCGCGCGAATCTTCGAATTCGGACTGGTGCTGAGCAAAAACCTGCTTAGCATCCTGTTGTGCGCGAGCATGGTCAATCTCGCGCTGTTTGGCGTGGAAGAGATCGCCGCCATTCAACGAGGTAGACTTGGCTGCAGGTGTGGAAGGCGATGCGAGAGTGAGACTGTGAGAGTCGGAGTCATCCCACGTCTGAGAGCGCATCACCTTTTTGTGCGGTGTAGCATACTGCTGCGATGATGAAGTGGTGTGGTCGGTCATTGTGGTGTGTGGTGTGATTGCAAAAAGGTGCTGAGACTTGTAGTGTTGTAGCCTGTATGATTGAGATGCTACAGTTCAGATGCTGCCGATACACATGACACGGCGGTGGAGAACAAAGGGACGATGGAAGAGTTGTGGTGAAAGAGAAGGAGGAAAGCGATGGCGATGGTGATGGCAAAAGGAGATGGATCGAATGACGATGGAATGACCAATTTCCAACAGCACAGCGCACTCGCGATGCGATGAGTCGACGCAGAAATGACTGAGCTCGCGCTTCCTCGTCTGCCCGATCGACAGCGCCAGAGGCGGCGTGCTTGCTCAGCTAAAAAAAAACATAAAAAAGACTTTTCGAAAAGGTTTGTCGCGCCGGTCCAAATCCCACCGCACAACACGGACATTTGACTCGGCCGTCAGCCGTGATTATTTTGAGTTCATCATTTATTTGAGACTGATGAGCTGCCTCTCGCTACCTTGCCGCTCGCCAAAACATCTACGCTTGGCGAGGTCAAGTGACGCTCCCTGCTGACGTCGTTACCCGGCTTAACATTGTTAGCATTTCTTTACCAATGCCCCTGTTCTCTCTGATACGACACTCCGTACACTCTCTGACAACAACATCAAGGCGATGGCAGAACCAGTTGGAAGGGTGGACAACGGTTGCATGCTGATTGGTTTGTATCAGTCGAGAAGCATTTGCAATGGTACAGTACTGATCGAGACGATGTTGCGGATTAGACATAGTCGAAGAACTTCATGTCGATGCTGCTGGTGAGCTCCTTGGCCTGGCCCATGAGAGCCTGGAAGTCTTCACCAGCGCGGTGCTTGGTGGTGGCAACATCGCTACCCTTGTTGTCGTACGCCTCAAACACGATGATGGTGTTGGGGTCGTCGCGGCTGCGACCGGGCTGGTATGCGTAGCAGTCGGGCTCGTCGTCCGAGTTGGCTCGTGCGGCGACCTTTTTGAGCAGCTCGACGATCTTGTCGGCTTCAGCAGCACCTTTGGCCTGGATGCTATGGGATGGGAATGAGTTGGAAGACACTAGATCAGCAACGATACCGACGACGCACGTGTACGAAGAGTCGGGAGCGGATACTTACGTGACCCACATCATGAACTTTCCGGTTGGAGCCGACATGTTTGCGACGATGGTTACTGTTTGAGTAGGAAGAAATGGTGCAGATGAGGAAGGATGGTGGTGGCAAGACGAGAGAGAAGGAATCTGTTTGCTCGTCAAGCTAATGTCCGATGATCCAATGGTTGCTTCTGGAAGACGGTCCAATTTGATAGCCGGGGCCGTGCAATCTGAGAGTATCGAGCCGTTGTGTAGCCGGGTCCACAGAAATTCAAGTTGCTCTGCTCTATCTGAAGCTCTAACATTACCCATATCTCACAGAAAGGCGACTCCAACTCCGCGACGTATTATAATATTATATGCAGCTCGACGACGCAATGCATTCAAGCAGGCTCATGCTCAAACAGGCGAGTCAGAACGCCCACAAATTCGAAACCCAAGAAAAAACCGGAAAAAGTCCAAAAAAGAAGGTGGCTGCGTGCAGTTGCAGCGGCGTCTTCTCTGACTCGTGACAGCGACGGCTCAACTCTGCAGCGGCTTATCTATCCTCTCCTTCTTCTCGCTCTTTTGCAATACCATCACCATCACCACAACCGCCAAGGCAACCCTCCTACGACGTAGCCGGCGATCCCTTCGTTGACATCCACGATGCGCTCATATCGCGCCCCCGTGGCGCTTCGTCTTCTGGCAATCGCAGCTTCGCTCCTGCTTGTCGCTTCCTTCGTTTCAGCACAACCCGCCGTAGCTTCATCAATATCAGGCTCCGATGCCCTTTCCAGCAGCAAGTCGAAACACCACCACCATCACGGTGGCCGTCACAACAAGAAGCAGGTCCGAGAGGAGTGGAGCTCCATCATGGGCTGGTGAGTATTGCTTTGCCGCCTCAAATGTCTTGAAATCTAGCCTCGCAGCCCGCTGACGATCCTCTTTTGCTTTGTGTCTTGCACTGCCGCCCGCCGCCTCCTGCTTGCTGCCCCTCTCTTGCCGTTATCGTCGAGTAGGGTCTCGTAAGTAACGCTCGTCTACAGTGATTCACATCATGGCCGTTTTCGTGTGTCTCGCCAACAATTCAGCTAAGTCGCAAAACCACACCTTCTTTTCTCTTTCTCCTTCTTCCCATTCCTCCCTCTTCTCGCAACAGAATCGCTTGCTGGGTAATTGTCTATTCGCCGTACGTTTCCGTTCGCTCCTATTCCCACTTTCTAAATCGTGTCCTCTCTCCTTTCTCTTTCTTACATATACCGCTTTCCAGGTTTTGCCCTCTTTCAGTCAAATGCATCAAAACTACATCTCCAAGTCCGCAGAAGGTCTCTCCATCACCTTTGTCGTCATCTGGCTCGCAGGTGATGCTCTCAACGCTGCGGGCGCTTGGTTCCAGGGTCTGCTTTGGACCATGATCATCCTCGCCCTCTACTACTGCGCCTGCGACTGCGTCCTCATCTTCCAGTACTGGTTCTACCGCAAGTACTACCACCGCGGTGTCAAGATCTCCACCATCTCTGCATCACTCGAAGCGAACGAACGCACTCCACTCATCGCAGACGGCAACGTGATCGAAGACGACATCTCCTCAAAGGACGATGACGACGACGAGCCATCGGTCCGCACTCAGATCATCATGTACACCCTCGCCGCTTGTCTCGTCGTCGCAACTGGCGTAGCAGCATGGTGGGTCGCCGAACACCACTACGGATCCGACGACGATGTCACACAGCCCATTCCCAAACCCGAACCCGTCGGCTGGCGATGGGATGCCCAAGTAGCAGGCTGGCTCTCTGCCGTCCTCTACCTCTCCTCTCGCGTTCCCCAAATCCTCAAGAACCGCACCACCAAATGTGAAGGTCTCTCATTGGCGCTCTTCGTATTCGCCGTTGCAGGCAACCTGACCTACGTCGCCAGCATCTTGCTCAAGAGCACGCAACGCGATTACATCGTCGAGAGCTTCTCCTGGCTGGTCGGCAGTCTCGGCACCGTCTTTTTGGACTTTATCGTTCTCGGTCAGTTCATCCACTACAGGAAAGCAAGGAAGGAGATTCACAGGTTGAGGAGGTCCAGCATCGCTCATCAGGAGAGACAGAGCGTTCAACCACAGCCGGCGGCATAGAAAGTCAACACACCGATGGCTTTGACTCACAGACATCAGCAGCATTCGTGTCATGTTCCGGCGACTTCTTTACGGAAGAGCCGTGATTTTGTCTTACAGTAACTTGGCATCGCAAAATCCATCTAGACAAGCTCTTTACAGAATGTGACATTGCTGGTGGAGGCGGACTATCGATTTCTGGTGCCGCCGAATCCGGTGCTTTCCCTGAAAGCGGAACTTGAACCACGATCGCTGTCATCCCACCCTCTTCTGCGACCGCCGAAATGTGAGGATGGTCCAGCAGCAAAGTTGCCATCGTAGCCGCCGTAGGGGTCGGGGTTGAAGAAGCTAGGTTGTTGTCTGCGACGTGAGGAAGAGGCAGCGGCCGAGGCGGCTAGACCTCCTAGACCGAGGCCTGTCCAGAATCCAGGTCTCCAACTTGAGCTTGTTGATGAGTCGGGTTCGGGTTTGGGTGTGTATGGTGGAGGTGGCGGGTTTGCTCCTCCCGGCCACCAACCTCCCCCACCACCACCACCACCACCACCACCTCCTCCGCCTGTTCTACCAGCAGTCGCAGCTCCCGCATTTCCTCGTATCGCTTTAACGAAGTTCACAACGATCATCGCCAAGACGCCCCAAAACACCACCCAGAACACGCCTTCGACCAACCTCTCACCCCATCCTCCTCCTTTCCTCCCCCCATACCCGTCCCAACCACCTTCCCTCCCAATTCCGCTCGGCAACAACGTATACTCCAACGCACAGCTATCCTTCAACACGTACGGATCTTCCGCATAGTCGTACCCCTCACAGCTCACCTCCACTCTTCCCATCCTGATCGTGACGGGCAGATCGGCGCTGCACTTCCACTGTCCGTCTCCCATTGCGGTGCACTGTACCACGTCGGGTTGAAAGCGTCGACATGGTGAACCGATGCAGGTGAGATGCGGTAGAGGTGAGGTTCGTCGAAACGCGGTGTGTTTGCCAGAGTAGAAGGTGAGCGTGCGGAGGGATGAGAGTGCCACTCGTCGACCGGCGCCGTAGTAGGCAGCGTTGGGCTGCCAGCTGTATGCGGGAGCAGTAGTTACGGCGAGTAGGGCGCATACGAGCAAGAGTAGATGAGTTGATGAGCGGCGCATCGTCGCAGATGGTGCTCGGTGTGAAGCGCTGCTGTGGAAGCGTTGAGTAGGCAGCAGATGTCAAAGTGCGATTATTGAATGTGATGGGCTGATATCCACTGCATCACGGAGCGATGATGATGGTCGGAGATCAAGTTCAGATGGAAGCAGGGGCTAAAGGCCACCCTAGGCCAAGGCGAGGAGGACAAGGTGACGTGGAAGGGTCCAAAGGGTCGTACCGAAATTTCCAGACGTGGCCTCCACACTTTGTCTCATGCAGCACAGCACCACCTCGGATGCGCAATTGTACAGCTCAACCGACAGCGAGAAACAAGTGACAGCCGAGTCGCTTGTCGACGAGCGTGGTCCTCATCATCATTGTGACTTCGGACGCAGTCTGATTTGCGATAGCACGCTGTGTCTGACTTCGGCCGTGTGATTTGAATTGCATCCGCGACATCTACAAATGAGGATCCACCTTCTGCGCCCTCCTCACCTTGTACATAGCCATCCGCTCCCCCAGGACATCCTTCACCACCCTTCCTAACCAATTTCTCGTCTCTGCCGGATCCAACACAGTGTCCACCTCGGCCATACTAGCAACGTTGATCCCCCTGCCGTTCCTGTACAGCCCTTGCACCGCCTCATCCGCCACCTTGGCCCTTTCCTTCGGATCCTCGATCCCAGCCAACTGCTTCTTCATACTCAACTGCACCGCGCCTTCCAACGACATGGGTCCCAGACTGGCTGCTGGCCAAGTGGCGCAGATCGAATTGCTCAGCGTGCTCCCTCCCAACATCGCCTGAGCTCCTAGACCGAACGCTCTGCGCAGCACTAGGCCGACGAATCGGCCGCCGGACTGGGTGAACTCCGCGGCCGAGGTGAACCAATCGCCAAACGTACGGAAGGATCCACCAGCGGTGGAGGTCCGTTCGAATTCGGGCCCCACCATGAACCCGGGTGTGTCGCAAAGACTGACGAGATGCACCGCACGAGTTCGGGCGAGGAGTCTGAGGAGGCGCGTGGCTTTGAGCGCGGCGTGCGCGTCGATGGCTCCGCCGAGCGCCGACGTCGGGTCGTTGGCGAGAATGGCGATCGCTTGACCTTGGATACGCGCGAAACCCGTGATGATGCCTGTTCCCCAGTGTGGTGCCAGTTCGACAAAGGAAGAGTCGTCTACTAGAAGCGAGATGACGCGACGCACGTCGAAGGCTCGTCGACGATGCTCCACCTTCGGCAGACACGTTCGCAACAGCTGTACGTCTTGCGAGTAGCTCCACCGTCCCTCTTCCACCGAAGGCTGCGTGAAGAAGCCGACGATCTTCCTCGTCATCGCCGCAGCATCCGTTTCGTTGTCGACCACCACATCGACACCACCTGTCTCTGCGTGGACCTGAGTCGGACCGATATCGTCCGACTCGACCACCCCCAATCCACCCGCTTCGATCATCGCCATGCCGCCCATCCCGATCGACGTCTTACCCGCCTTTTCCTTTTCCCCTGCCAACTCTTGATCTCCACCTTTGGTCGCGATCACAACATCGCACGTGCCTAAAAGCGCCGCGTTGCCCGCAAAGACGTACCCGTTGGCGACGCCCACCACCGGGATCCCCTTCGCCCTCACCTGACCCATCAACGCGAAACTCGGTGTCATCAACCCGGACCCCGTCGGATAGTCCGTATCCCCTGGCCTCCCACCTCCTCCCTCCGCGTACAAAATCAGCGGCGCTGGATGCTCCAGAGTAGCAGTAAGGATCCGATCCAGCTTCAAGTGGTGGAAGTAGCCTTGCGTGCCAGCCAGAACCATGTAGTCGCCCAGGATGAGCGAGACGGTGTGTCCTTCGATGCGACCGAAGCCGGTGACGATGCCGTCTCCGCTGGTGCGCGCGATGAGGTCTTCGGCGGAGTAGCGTGATCTTTGGGCTGCGAGAGCGAGATCGCCGTACTCGATGAGCGAGTTCGCGTCGAGGAGGAGCGAGAGGTTTTCGCGGACGGTGAGGAAGCCTCGTGCGTGACGCTTTGTGACGGCCGAGGTGCGGCCGGCGTCGGAGATGGCGTGACGACGACGTTGAAGCTCCTCGAGTTCGGGACGTGGGATGGAGGGGTCTTCTGCTGGGTCAATTGAAATTGACGAGGAGGCCATATCGGTAGAGGAAGATTCTGGATTGTTGCTGGTGTCGATGACGATGATGACGTCGGAAGCGTTGATCACCCCACCTTGCTTGACCAAAACTTTGTGCACCTTGCCACCAGCACAGGAAGCATCCGCTCGAATCACATGCTCCATCTTCATCGCTTCCACCACAACCAGCTCTTGACCCGCGCTGACCTCCTCTCCCTCCTCCACCGAGAGTTTCACCACCATCCCGCTCAGATGAGACTTGATCGCGGCCTGTCCTTCTTCCACCTTGACCTCGTCCGCTACTTCACCCGTCTTTGATGTAGCTTCATTCTGACCGTGGTCACCACCGCGTTTTGCGTCCAACTCTTCCAAATGTTTCGCACGCTCCGCAAGCGCTCCAAAGCCATTCTTTACCGTATGGATGTGCTGTCTCCCCGCCTTCACCCCTTCGTCCTCCAACAAGGCCATCAAAAACCACCTGTTGGTCCTCACGCCTCCGATCACAGTCTCCTCCAACGCCCTCCTCGCCATCTCCACCGCACTCGCGTAATCCCGCGCCGTAACGACAACTTTCGCCAACAGACTGTCGAACATCGGATTAGCCCGATACTCACCCAGCACGGGATGCGGCGGGTGAGCTGCGGTTTCGATGCGAACATTGCCGCCGATGGGCCAGATGAGCGAGGTGATGGTGCCAGCTTCGGGCACGGTTTCGTCGGTAGCTTCGCGGAAGGATTCGGCGTTGATGCGCGCTTGGATGGCTGTGGTGCTGGGGAAGGGGATGGCGCTTTGCGCGAGTGCGAGGTCGTTGAGGGAGAATTCGAGGGCGACGAGCAGTTGCAGTGCGACGAGGTCGAGGCCGGTGACGTTCTCGGTGACGGTGTGTTCGACTTGGATGCGAGGGTTCACTTCCATGAACCAGAATTGGGCTCGATCCACGTCGACCAGGAATTCCACCGTTGCGAGGCTCTTCAGACCGACCTCCTGTCCTAGCTTCACCGCCGCTTCTAGGATCCTATTCCGCAATCCATCCTCGAGGTGGGGTACGGGTGCGATCTCGATGAGCTTCTGATTGCGACGTTGAAGAGAACACTCTCGATCCCATAGATGGATCACTCGACCTGATCCGTCGCCGATCAGCTGCACTTCGACGTGCTTGGCGTTCGTCAAAAAGCGTTCCGCATACACGGTTCCATCTCCAAAGGACGATGCTGCTTCGCGTGAGCATTCATCGTAAGCAGAACGGATGACAGATTCGATGTCCGAAGAGCCCTTGGGTAGATGTACGACACGAATCCCTCTCCCACCACCTCCATTCGCAGCTTTGAGAATCACACTTCCCCCGCTCCCTACTCTCTTTGCAAATTCCACCACATCCTTCGCCCCATCGCCTTCCCTCGCTTCAGTTCCATCCACCACCGGAACCCCAACGCTCTTCGCCAACTGCCTCGCAGAAACCTTATCCCCCAACCTCCTCAACTGCCCCGCCGTCGGTCCTAGAAACACCAACCCTGCCTCGGCACACATCTCCGCAAACTCGGCATCCTCCGACAAGAACCCATACCCGGGAGCGACACCCCAACACCCGAACTTGAGCGCGGCATCGACGATGGCGCTACGATCGAGGTACGCTCGAGGACCGTGGCCGGGGAGCTGGTGGGAGTGGTCGGCGAGCGAGACGTGGAGAGAATTGGATTCGCTGGAGGTGTAGATCGCCAGGGTGGAGATGCGCGGAGTTGCGGACAGGTGAGGGAGGGGAAAGGTGCGGTAGGTTCGAATGAGTCGACATGCTATTTCGCCTCGGTTCGCGATGAGGATCCGTTTGGTTTCCACCATCTTTTTGAGGGAATTCGACCGAAAGATGCACTCTATGTGCTTCTCAGAGGGCCTTCCTGGTGCGACGATGTGATGGTAGACGAAGCGATGGTTGAGATCAAACTAGTGATGGTGTAGGGATTGTGTGGTAGGAAAGGAGAGTTGAGAGTTAACGCGGTCCGACGTATGCACGGCCGTTTCTTCCCCACACTTTTTTCTCCGGTCCAACCGGTAAAACCCTTCGCCGGTCACGAACACAACCCCGGATTTTTTGGTCCCACAACACAACGCTTCACTGCGCACACATACACACATGTCCACACACAGCTTTCGCGCAACACACAGCTCACCAACCACACACCTAGCAACACGACATGCTTCACTGTCATCCAACTAGGTTTCGAAAAATTACTGATTGAAAAGTCTGGTCATAGTCGAAGTCGAAAGAGTCTAGGAAGAAATCTGTTCACTTGGCGGCCGCGGTCCTTCGGGTGGTACGACCCGAACGCGTCGTAGTCGTGGTGGTGGAAGACGAAGCTGCGTCCTGCTCTTCAGCTGCGGAAGAAGCTTTCGCTTTGCTCCTTCCCCTTGTAGCTGTAGCGGTGGTGGTGGCAGCAGCGGAGTTTGCACGCGTGGATCGAGTAGCAGCAGCTCGTGCACGCGTGGTCTTGGGTGCAGCAGCGGCAACTTCCTCCTCCTGCTCCTCCTGCTCCTCTGAATCTTCTTCGGCTTCGGCTTCGGTCGCTTCGGCTGCTGCTGCCGCCTTGCTGGCTTTGCCGCGAGTGGATCGATTGCGAGCCGCGGTGGTAGTGTGTTTGGGTTTCGCCGGTTCGTCAGCTTCGCTCGCCTCATCGTCTCCGTAGCCCGCGCTGGAAGACGGGAGGTCAGAAGTAGCCACTTTTGCTGCTCGAGTGCGGGTGGTGCGTACAGGCTTTGTAGCAGCCGTGGCACGAGTGGTGCGTGTTCGTGCCGCTCGCTTGGGCGGTTCTTCGACCTCTGCTTCGTCTGCTCCTTCCTGGCTCTCTGCGGCCTGTTCGCTCTCCTGAACCTCCTCTGCCTGCACTGGCTCCACTTCCTCCGCTTTGGCCGCAGCAGCAGCAGCCTTGCCTCGTCTGGTAGGCTTCTGAGGCGACGATTGCTGAACCGCCTCCGCTGGAGCAAGCGTGGCCGTGATAGCTTCCTCAGCTGCCTGCTTGGCCTTTCGAGAGCCCGTCCGGCGTGTAGGTTTAGAGGGAGACGACGCTTCTTCCTCGACTGGGTCTTGCTCTTCATGGACTTCTTCCGTGTGTGCCTCCTCTGTTGTCTCCTGAGAGATCTCGGTCTGCGGTGCAAGCACATCTCGAGCAGGGCCAGCGGGAGCGGCAGATCGCTTGATCGGTGAGGATTGCAGCGCACGCTTGGTCGGAGACGCAGATCGAGCGGTGCGCTTCTTAGGGGAGGCTGAAGCAGCGCGACGAGAAGCTCGAGGCTTCAAAGGTGATGCCTCAGCTGCTGCAGGCTTCTCTGGACTGGCGAGTTGTTCTTGCACGGGTGCAACATCGGCGGAAACAGCGTCTGCTTCCTCCGCTGCATTGACGACCTCCGCGGCTTCCGGCTCTGTAATCGGCTCCGATGATTGTTCGCTCTCCTCGCTCTCTTGCACAGAAGCGTGCGGCTGCTCCTCCATGGCATCGTCGTTTTCAAGATCTTCTGCGACAGTTGGCTCTGCTGCAACAGCTTCCGATTCCTGCTCGTCGTGGACAACTTGCTCCTCGGACTCGGTCAGCGCCTGTGCAAGAGCCTCGTTCTCTGCATCCATCGCAGATGCATCAAACATGGTCACATGCAACTCTGCCTCAAAGCCTGCTGGCATTGGCGATGCAACAGGCTCCACCGCTGCCGGCACTGGAGTCGCTGCGGCCGAACAAGGAGCAGGCGCCGCCCTCGGAGTGGCCGGCGTCGATACAGCGACCTCGGCTGCTTGGCTTCGACGAACGCCACGTCTGCCCTTGACGGGGCTAGAGCCGAGCATCGCCTTCTTCCTGGGCGACGACCTGGATGGAGACAGGAGTTCGACAATCTCCGGGTTGGCTCGCATCCTGTCGCCCAAAACGCCGTATTGAGGTGGTTTTTCCGGGTTGGGTTGGAGTATGTCGCCGAGACCCTGCATGTCTGGCGTAGCAGGGGCAGCAGAAGCAGCGGAGAAGAGATGACGCATCGAGTTGAGCGCTGCTGGCGTCTGAGGAGGCTGCAAGGGCGCAGTGCGTGCCTCGACTGGTCGCGAGGGGCTCTGGTGGATCTTTGAGCTGATCTGGACAATCTCTTCCTGCTGCTCGAGCTCTTCGTCTTCCTCATCGTCGGTCAGCTCTTCCTCCTCTGCCGTGAAGAGATCGTTGAGAGCCTGTGCGATCTTGCTGGACTCTGGCTCGGCCGCTGCATCCTCGACTAGATCGAAACCCATCGAGAGCTCCGTAGCTGGCAGACCGACGTCTGACACACGAACGACCCTTCTTGCTTTGGAAGGGGATGATTGCATCGCCTCACTGACCTTGTCGGCAGCGGTTCGTTCTTCTTCCCGGGCGACCTCATGGACGATACGCTCGCCCTCTCCACTGATCTGAAGGCGGATCAAGGCGGAGCGGTTCGACGACTTGGCATCTGCAGCGCCAGCCGGCGGCATCGAGATGCGGCGCGAGTGGGTCTTGGAAGCAGGTTGAGGAGTGGCGAACTGGGGCAGCAAGGAGGCTTTGACGGGGCTGAAGTCATACGTGGGTGCCTTCTTTGGCGATGGCGAAAGCACAGAGAGGCTTTGGTCGACTTCATCCTCGTCGTCCTCCGAGTCCTTCCATACTTGAGCTTCCTCGTCCGACGCAGGGTCGGGCGCAGTGTCAAGGACATCCGCGTCGACTCGTTCGGCACGGAGATCGTCAGCATGCATGCTAGTCTCTACAATCGAGGCGTCGAGCGCGGTAATCACCTGCGCCGATGCCAAGTCAGAGATGTTGTTGGGCATCGACATGGACTTGGAGAGGCCAGACGGACTGCTGCTACGCTGTGTACCGGGCGCTGGAGGCAAGAAGAGCCGATCGGAGTACGCTTCGCTGGATCGGAGCAGCGTTTGGGTGCGCAGTGAAACCTTGCGTCGAGAGGCGAGACTGAGTCGAGGGCGTCGCGGAAGCGGTGTGAGGCCAACAAAGTGTTGGTGCTTGACAGGAGAAGGTGTCTTGCTGATGCCTAGCTTAATGGATCTGGACACAACGCGGCGGCCTGCCCGGCTTGCGAGCTGCTCAGGGACCATTACTTCCTCCTCCATCGGTGCTGGCTCAACATCGGATGCATCGGAGAACTCTTCCTCCGCCTCTTCGTTCTGAACCGCTTGCTGAGGCTCGGAAGATTGGGGCTGTGCCTCTTTATCTTCCGTACGCTCTTCGGCATAGAATCCGAGGCTCATGCCTCGGAATGGTCCAGCACGGCCGAAGAAGCTGCTGCGACGCTTTGCACGCTTGGGACTGCCACCCTTGCTTGGCGAGGAACTGGGTGTGGAGTCGGCGTCATCAGCAGGAGGTGGGATGTTCTCCGAGTTTTCCGCGTCGTCGAAGGCTGTGTTGGCGTCGTCAGTCTCCTCAGGGACGTCTGCAAGCTCTTCTTGGTCTTGCTCGAGCTCCTCGACAATGATGATATCTTCGGTCGACTTGTCGTCTGTAGAAGCGGTATGTACTTCTTGCTGCGCTTGAACGTCCTCCTTTGGTTGGTGGTTGTCGCTGCTGAAGCTGCCATCCTGTTCCTCGTCCATGGTGTCGAGGGGAGGCATCATCCTCATCTGCTTGACGGGGCTAAGTCTGCCGATGAACGAGTTGGCATAGAGACTGAAGCTGACTTGCTTGGGCGGTGCAGTCTTGGGCTCTACCAAGGAGTTGTGGCTCTTGGCGGGTGTGCCAAACAAGTCGGTGACAATGACAGATGAGGCGAGGCTTTGGCGCGACTTGTTCTTGTTTGCCTTGGAAGGGCTCACGTTGGCCGTCTGCATGAACCGCTCGAGGCCGTTTGCCCTGCGAGCGTCCCTTTCTGCGTTGCCGTTCTTGGATGATGAGGCGGAGTTTTGGGAAGGACGAGCGGGTGTGTTGATCTGAGCGGCATTGACGAGACTCATTCTGACCCTTCTTCTGTTGGTTGTGGCGGGTGTTTGCGGATCAGCTTTTGCGCTTGCCTTGACGGGCGAAGAGAACATGCTGGCTTCTGCCGATGGCGAGCTTGCATGTGCGAGCTGTGGGAGTTCAAATACGAAAGAGCGTTTGGCAACAACGATGGAGTCGCCAGTGTGTAGCTCGTATCGTCCAATTCCGCGAGGCGCAGGGTACACCTGCATACCGTTGAGCAGTACTCCGTTGGCACCTAGAACCTGCAAGAAAGCCTCATTGCCGTCGCTGCGCTGCCCCCCTTGTATCTCGATCTCAATGGTGCAATGGTGTCGGCTGACATCGTTGACAAGGAAGCGAACGTCATTGTCGAGAGAGCGACCCATGGTGGTCTTGAGAGTTTGGATTGGGAAGCGCTCTTTCTGCCTGCCCTTCTTGTCGAGCAGTACGAGGTAGGCAAGAACAGCGTCGGAATCCGTCTGTGTTTGTGCAATCTGTGCCGAGGCCGAGGCCTTGGTGGGAGATGTGACAGCATGAGAGCTGCTCTGATCATTGTATTCCTTGACTGGCGAGGTGGATCGTGATGACGAGAAAAAATTGGTAAAGCTGCTGGATCTGCGCAGAGGCACAAAGGTGTTTGGCTTGTTGGAGGGTGAGAGGACGCCAGCAGGGGCGTCGCTGTTGCCTAGTTGATCGAGCTGATTGGCAGACGAGCTCGGGCTCATGCCGAAAGAGCGACGGATAGATTTGAGCATGGTGATTATGATGCTCCTGCTTCGTGAGCAGGCTGTGCTGATCGATGGTCTCGATCGGTTGGATAAGAGGTTGAAATGCAGCGTCTAGGCCAACGTGAATATGGAGGATGAAGGACTGCGGAATGGCAAGATGATCCGTTGTAGCTGATTGCGAGTCGTGAAAGGATCTCGACGTGGCTCTTGAGGACGACGGAGGGGCCGATGGAGGCTGTTGATGATGGCTACGATGCAGGGCTGCTTCAGCGAGCTCTATGCGAATAGGACATCGAAGAGGATCGGGATCGAACAAAGGGTTCGGCCAGCTACTTTTCGCTCTTTCCGATTCCCGCCTCTGTCACTCGAGCTCAGAAGACGCTGCCGCTGAACCCTCGGAATGTCACATTCTGCGCTTGTTTCCGTCAGTGTGATGAAGCGCTACCAACACAAAAACAACTCGCAAGTCGCACCTGTCCATCTCTGCCAACCTCACGCTTCTTAGCGCGTACACCAATCCGTGGATCGCGCGAAATCATCACGTGATCTTGACAGGTCTTTGTGTTCAATGTTGAGATTCAACAATATTAAATCTGCAAAATCGATGTCGTGTGTACTCCACTTCATCGCTTGGGCCACCGCACAGCTGCCGGCTCGCTCATGTCGGGGAAAAGTCCAACGAGCTTGCGGACGACCACAGCTCTTCTCTACCCAATCAATCCGCTTTCTGCCATCGGCAACTTGCCCAGCGTCGCCCATCATACTTGCCTTCGCCCCCACACGTTCTCTGTTCAAGATGGCCCTCAAGACCGATGCCAACTGCATCTTTTGCAAGATCATCGCCGGCCAGATCCCATCGCTCAAGCTGTACGACTCGGACAAGACGTACGCTTTCCTCGACATTGGTCCTATCTCGGAGGGTCATGCGCTTGTGATTCCCAAGCATCACGGCGCTAAGCTGCATGATATCCCAGATGAGCACCTGACCGAGCTGCTTCCGGTCGCGAAGAAGATCGCAATCGCCACAGGCGCAGAGCAGTACAACGTCTTGCAGAACAATGGCCGCATGGCTCATCAGATGGTCGACCACGTTCACTGTAAGTGTCACGCACCGAGCAAGTAGATGAGATGAAGGAAGACCAGAAGCGGTGAGGCTTTGGCCTCTCGAAAACCCTTCGTATGGAACGAGCGCTGACCTGATCTTGCTTTGCTATCTGAAACGCATTCATGTACACAGTCCACGTCATTCCCAAGCCAGACGAGAAGCAAGGACTCGGTGTCGGCTGGCCCGCAACACAGCCTGCCAAGGAGGAACTCGCCAAGCTTCACGATCAGATCAAGGGTCGTCTCGAGAAGCTTTGAGCTGCCGTTCATGCTCACAAAGACGCGGCATTATATGTCACACTCGACACTTTAATCAGACCTTGCATTGCGCAATGGACGTATCCGCTGCATGCTACTTAGGCAGTTCGGTAGATGAGATGGACACCACTGTCGGTGTCGACGATGCTGCTGAGCTCGCCCACCTTGAGACCGAAAGCGGCATCCTCGAAAGGCTTTTGCATCTGACCACGCTGGAAGAATCCGAGATCGCCGCCTGCTCTTGCGGATGAGCAGTCGCTGTGGTGTTATTCGAACAGAAGAGGTGAATGAGAATGGAAGAGTCAGCAAGGCGTACATCGTGTCGAAAGTAGAGCCGGTGTGACTTACGAGTGCACGCTGGCGAGCGAGGCAAATTTGTCTTTGCTCGAATCCTGGTGGAGCTCCTGCTCGAATTTCTTGAGCTGCTCGATAGCATCCTGCTTTGAGCGTGTGATGTTGTTCTGTAGCGCAGGCGCAGACATTCCCGAGACATTCCATTCAGCCATGTGGGCTGAGGGCTGAACTGATCGTCCTGTACTTGGTACTCACCTCCTTCCAAGAGCTGGGTCTGCGGCTGCCAGCATGCTTGATGAGCAAGTGGCTGGCGCGAACCTTGTCTGGCTTGTCAGCAGCTCCGCCTGGCGCGTTGGCAGGGTCGAGGTATTTGGCACCAGGCAACGAGCGCACCGACTCTTCCGTGTGGCCCTGTGGGATCTCCCATGTGGACTGCTGCGACACAGGGTCGTAGAAGTAGGGCAGACGGCGCGAGTTGCTGAATCGGATCTCCCACTGAGACTGTCGGCAGCAGCGAAAAGGGCCACCAATCAGCATGTACTTCCAAGCGCTTGTACCTGGCCGAATCCATTTCGGCACTGGATGCACTCACAGACATTCTGGCTGTTTCTTTTGCGATGGCGAGTGCGAGGAAGAAAGATCTTCGGTGTGGTGTTGTTTAATAGTGCAAGGTCGCTTTGAGTCTTCGCGAGCTCCGATGCGGTGGAGGAATTATCTTTTGAGTGGACCGAGCGCCAGACCCTTCTTGCTGTATGTGAGAGCGCCTCAGCTTACATCTTTGAAATGTACCGTGAACCCCTTTTCTCAACCCTATTTTCTTTCGCTCAATTCTTCAAAGCCTCAATTTTGAGACGATCCGGGTGAATCGAGACAACGCAGGAACTCGAGATGGTTGCAGCAGGGTCGCACGAACGAGGTCGATGCCGTAGACCGCGAATAAGCGAGCTGTCTGAATAGGTCGGCTCTTGACCGACAGTGGCTGCATCGGCTTTGATACCAGCGTTACCTCGCACATCTGCTTCTGCTTTTTAGGAGGTCAGCAGGTAGGAAGCAGGCGACATCAAGCAGGGGCTGCTCACTCGACCCGTACAGCAGCTAGATCAAAGCGGTCAGAGTATCGCGGAAAGCCCAGCGTCGAATCGAGAGAGTGGCTTTTTGCATCGACCTGCCAACGGATCTGCCAGCACACGAGCATGGCTGGGCACATCAGTGCCCAATCTGTTCCCCACTCTATGCAACGAATTGGAGGGCAAGGGGCGGGAAGGTGTTGCGTGCGAGCGTGATGCCTCTGCATTAAGCATTAAGCGCAATTGTGGCGCTGATGCAGAGGGAAGGATCGACGGATCTTCTCACGCCGCCGATGAGACCAACACACATCTAAAAGAGCAACACCAGACGGCAGCGCCAAAAACATGAGAAAAATAAGAGGTGCAGTCGGAGTTGTAATTCCCCTCCGAGAGGCAGCCAAAAATTTCCTGTAACATTACTCCTACACTCGGATTCTGTACCATGGCAACGCACAAACTTTGTATGCGGAGACCTCTCGGCATGATAGGATTCACATCCGTAGATCTCTTAAGGCTTGGCCTTCAGAGCCTCAATGATGCAGTTCGGCGTGGCCGAGAGCGTGATTGCTCAGTTCGGTACTTGTTCGGGGTGCATCCGCTGCAACACAGTGTCAGCTGTCGGATTGGAAAGCCGACTTGAGCACCGTGCTGCTCTGCCGCTCGAATCGCCGCCGTCGCTGTGAGGCAAGCCCCGGCAGCAGCCTGCAGTGAAGGTCTCGCTCTGTATGCCGCTGCCATGGCGGTTGCTGGAAACAACGCAGACATTTCATCTCCGCCCGTCTGTTCCTCTCACACCACCAGCATGTCGATCAGCTGCTCGGATTCGACGCCGGCTGCGGGATCGACGTATGCCTTCTGATACACGCACGATCGACGCAGGCCTACTTCCCGGACAGCCGCTTCCAAACGCCGACGCCTCACGAAGAGCATTCCATCTACTGGGCGAGCCTTGGCCTCTTCATCTCATGCTCCCTCATCTGAATCTCGATCTCGATCCCACTTCATCTTCTTTCAGCCTCTTGCTTCTCGACGTACACATCGAACCCATCGCTCATTCACAGGTCCATTCGCGACCGACCCTCTCCAGCTGCTACCACAAACTTCTCGGACCGTCGCGGCGCATCGACCAAGGCTTGAATTGGTCGGGAGGAACAAGTCAAGCCGAATCTGCGCATACAACGCCACAGCTTCATCAAAGCAGCCGTGGCGACACTGACTTCGTCTTCTGACAAGTCTTTAGGCCCCTCTGCTACGAGCCTGTCACTTGTCGTCTACACACCTGCATCTTCCCGCCGCATATAGCTGCTTGTAAGGCAATTGCAGCTCCCATCCTGCGGCAAACAAATTCGGCGACGTCCAAGCGCATCCGCTCGGGCCGTCTGCATTTCTCGGACCACTTCAGGAACAGAGCACACGTATGAAAGAAGTCCGATCTTGATCAGGCTTGTGTAGCGCCCCTTTCGCTGCGCTCACACCTCGCTGCTGCCATCCCGTCAGCGTAGGATCGGGCACACCTCCAACATAAACTTTCTGTTCGAAGCAATGCCTAGCTTTGGCCGTTCTCGAATATCCGCATCGGCCCATACGGATTCATCAACAGGTTCCATCTCGTCATTCACATCTTCTCCGGAGCATCAGCATGCAGCTCACTCCGACTCGGTCAAATCGAGATCTGCCCACCGAGAGCCGCTTTCCTCGCTCGCTCACAATCTAATCATCAACCAACATAGTCCGACGGCGACTCGACCTGTCGTGAAGCTCCACCACTCAAACCACGCAGAAGACTCTCTTTCGTGTTTGAAGCCCCTGCCATCCGTCCCAAAAGACGTCGACGCTGACGACGGACTCGAAGAAGACGGAACCGAGCTGGTGCACCGGCCTCGCGCTTCGCTCCACGATCAAATCGACTCGGACATCTCTAGTGCTTCCGCCAGCAGTGCCGCCAGCAGCACCGCTTCTTCCTCCATGGAGACCAACTGGCAGGAAACCTCGCTCCGTCATCAGGTCGCCAGACTGGATATTCAGTACACCGATGTCGATCTTTCGCAGACTCAGCCGCCAAGCGTCTTTGGTCTCCGCCGACGAATCGTCGCTGCTGCGCTTGACCATGCCGTACGGCAGCGTCACGACGGTGATCCCGAAAGAGCCTCGGGCAGCTCGAGCCAATTTCAAGACCAAGGCATGTCGGAGTGGCTCGCGCTTCCGCAACCAACAAGTCCATGGAAAGACCGAATTCTCCGCAAAAAGAAATCTTTTGGCAAGAAGCAAGCCAAAGCAGCTTCTGCTAGCCAAGCCTCGTCCCACGGCCCAATGCCCGACTCCGCTGCTTCCTCTATATCAGACTCTCCAGGCCGCAACAGATTCAGCTCGACGACTGGCCTGTCCTCTTCGCACGATACGATGCTCAGACGTGACAAGGAGCTGACCGAACGCGAAGTCGAATTCGACCTAGTTGTCTTGAGTCGCTTTGAAACAGCAGAGCTCAAGATGACCGTCTACACCGAACATCGTCAGGGAAGCTGGGTGGTCAAGGGTCCCGCACCGCCCGCATCAAAAGTGTTGGACGAGCCACCTCTCATCTTCAGCCCTTGGGATTGCCAGATCGACAGTCGAGCCATCGTCGAGCGCAAAAAGCTGCGGTCCTACGTCGAGCTCAGCGACACGACCTGCGCAGTTCGCTGCACCACCTGTAGTAGCGCCCACCACCAACGACTCGGAAAAGCACCGGAGACGTTCCGCATCCAAAGCGGAAACACGATCGCATGCAAACACTGCCAAGGAAGCAATGCAGTACAGGCAACCTATGTCGTCTGCGTGACGCTCCGCCAATCGACGTTTCTCCCTCTCACCATGCCTGCACGTCACCAGGCGGGAAAGCCGCAGAATGCTTTTCGGGCCTACCTGCCCAAAACGACGTCGGCCATGTCCCACGTCGACCTTCTCCGTATGCGGTCCATGGAAGCTATCCGCTCGTGCGCACTTCGGGTAGGTCGTGCGCATCACAGAGAACACGATGCTCGACTGCTCATGGCCAAAGCTGTACTCGAGAGACGCAGCTGCAGCAGCGTTGCTGTCATCAACCGCCTCAACGGCGTGTTTCGAACATTTGATGTGACTGATGGCGGCTGCATTCGCGGCGGATCGGGCTTGATCGAGGAATCGAGTCGCATCGTTGAAATGCCCGAGCTGGCTAATGCGCTTTCCCGTCTTCCCGTTACCGCTGTTGTACGTCCAGAGGCAACGTACAGATTCGTCGACTTGGAATGGGTCGACATGGCTAGTTCGAGGGACGTCTCTTTGGAGAAGAGGCGATCGCCGAGCATGTATACGATGGAAAGCAGCGGCGACGAGTCGTACTCTCCATCTGCTTTTTCATCCTTCCAACGGGCGCAGGATGTCGGTCGACACGGAGGCAACACTTCGCGCGATTCGCACACCCTGCGTGGCGCACTTCCCGCGCCGTCAACAGCGGGCGACATGTCCGACAGTCGGAGACACGCCTCGAACACGGCTGCCTCGCAAGCCAACGCATCAGCAACGTCTTCATCAGCGTCTTCGCTTCGTTCGTTCGCATCTGCCCAACAGCGAGTCAGCACCACTTCTGACGCAAGCCGTGCCGGCATGCCCAACAAATCGATGGCTCGAACCGTTTCAACCGGCTCTGCTTCCACACTGTTGTCGGGCGGCAGCAGCGTTTCGGCTCGAACGGCGCAAAGCTGGCAAACGACCGCTGGCAGGCAGCTGCAGTAGACACTCGCTCTTCGCCTCACGATAAACCAACAGATATACGCCCGATCCGTGTTCGTATTGCAAAGGTCGGTCTCTCTGTCCATGTCTCTCTTGTTGTAATGGGATTTCTTGATTTTTTTCCTCGTCTGAGCATCTCGCTCGTCCGACTGCTTATTCTCTCACACATTGAACGCTGAACATGCACGTTGCTCAATGAGACCTTCGCACGATGAAAGGAAGCAGAAGAAAGAGGTAGTATTACACTGCGCATACAAAACAGGGCAACAAACGGAAAGACGCGGGGAGAAAGAGAGGGAGAGTGAGAGATAAATTCGTCAGTATCGGCTGTCAAATTCTGCCAATTTGATCCACCACCGCGGTAAATGGACGGGGCGACGCGCTGTGGGAGAGGGAAAATTGAGAGTTGCCCCGTTCGCGACGCTTCCAATGCGCAGATGACGGGGGTTTTGAACCGATCCATCCACCAAAGGCGCCACACGGACTCGGACAGACTCGAAGAGATCATCGTCCGGTACTGAATTTGTGGCAGCTGCGGTGTATCGTGCAACAGGGGGAAGGAGAGGAATGGGAAGAGAAGCAACTGGTCGCGGGCGACGCGACACGGAAGGCCAACCTCCGACCGCGCATTCACGCGGGCAAAGGGTGGAGAGGGTTGGAGAGAAAGACTTACAAGTTCGATGAACGACTCAGCACATACGGCGACAGGCATGTCGAACAGCAACCCTCCTCATGACAATATCGTCGTGCTGAGTGATCGTGTCGCAACGCCATCAACGAATGAGTGGGACGCGATCTCGATCGTCTCGAAGCGGAAAATTAGGCCTTGTTCTTGGGGTTATCCTTGGAGGAAGCCCACGAGGTGGCGGCCAGCTTGAAACGCTCCTTGTGCGCGAGCTGAGGCTTCTCGGTCTTGAGCTTGGCGAGCTGCTCCTTCATATACTTGTTGTAGGCCGAAGTCTTGCCCTTCTTGGCACCAGCGGCGGCGGTCTTCTTGGGAGGCATTGTGGAGTGGAAGTGTTGGGTTAGGAGAGAGGAAGAGAGTTGTGTGGTGGAAAGATTCGAGGAGGAGACTCGAAAAGACAAAAATGGAAAGAGATGATGGATGGGAGAAGGAAGGGAAGGGAAGGGGGACACGGATGGATCTCAAAGGGAGGGGGTATTTGTGCAATTGAGCGAGGAAGGGGGGACGACTAAGAGAGAAAGAGGCAGATACGTTTCGTAAGGGGAAATTGCCACACAAAGTGAATAAATGCACGCGGAGAATCTGGACAGAGGGTGTTGCAGCGCAGCATCCGCCAAGTCGACCGGGAGTCCTATTCGAAAAGGGAAAGAGGAGAGAGTCCTGACCAACAAAGTAAACTGCGACCCCACACACGGCGACCTATTTCTGTGAACCGACGGACGCTTTCGATGAACGGACGAGCGAGCGACGCGAAATCCGGAAACGCAAGGTGTACAGTGTGTATGTACGGCATGCATGAGCAGCCACACCCACTCCAGCCTCAAGAAACACGACACGACACTTGAACCCTGATCAACCATGCGCAGCCGCCCGTCCCCTGTCGAGGTACGCTAGCGCGTAGGGACGCTGTGCCGTTTGTAATCACAAAGCGTTGCGGTGAATTCTCGTTGATGGAATAGAAGCAAAGGGAATACAGTGTATGTGCGCACAGGCAATACTGTATTACCGGAGAGGGGCGTAAGGCGAGCTTGCCCTTGGGCAAAAGTACAGAAAGGCCCATGCTCGTCGCGTAGGGCGGAACGGTAATACAACGCACGATCGAAAGCAGACTTGCGAACCACATTACTCTTCGACCCGCTCAACGAGCACAGGCGCTGGAACGTCGCGCGTTGAACACAGCTTCTGAGCGCGTACAGTGTGCGTCTCTGACTGAACGGTTGTTCGACTAAGATCTCATTTGCAAAAGCCAACCACAGCCTTGCCCTCAACATTTCCAGACAACTCAGCCCTTTCTCTCTCGCTCGCAAAGAGAGATCCTCTCTCACCAGAATCACAGACTAGGGTTCTGCAACGATGCCTACCTGCTTTCAGTTAGCTGCTCCCTCAAGGGCGTATGCTATTTGCAAGCGGCGGGAAGGGGGACCAGCAGGGCCAAACCCGCTAGACTGGAGCAATGCGCAATGGCACTAACGAGGCAGGGTCCACACTGCCCGAGTGCCTGTTTTCAAATTCAGACGCGCCTCTGTGCATCCACTAAGGCTCCAACAGTGCATTCCTCGAGTGTCAAACGCAGCCGGCGTCGCGTCACGCGAGAAACAAGCATCGCCGCTCGGATCGCCCATCCGTTTCCTCTTTGCCGCTCTCATGGCGCGGTTTTTCGCTGCCGCCAATGTAAGAGAGTGTGTGTGACTGACGAAGCGGAGATTCGCGACGTTTGCTTGCGCTCAAGGTGTGATACCCTCTTCATAGACAACTGCTTCCTGATGAGAAGCCGCACCAGCAGCAGGTGTTCAATGTGCCACATGAGCTGAGATAGGATGTGTGAGAGTGACCCTTCGTCGGCAATCAGCTGGCTTGGAAGAAGCCACAGAGGCTAGATTGTGCGCTCTTTGGGGAGTTGTTTGCACATTGTCGCCATGCCATGCCATGCCGCGAGCTTACGTGCGAATGCATAGCTCAGTACACTTGGGTCAAACTTGCCAACAGCGAGGTAAAGCGCATCACCCGATTGACACCGGATCACTGAAGGAAAAAGAAGTGCCTCGGACCTCTGCCGATCGATTTTTTGAAATAAGCTCGTGCTCCTTTTGTCCTGTGTGGGGTCGAGCGGTCCAATTTCGGCTCGTGCAGTTTTGGTCAGCTGAGCTTCTTTTTGGCTCTTTCCCTTTTCTTCTTTGGCTCTGCTCCGAGGAGATTTCAGCCGCCAAATTGACCGACACCGTTCCGCAACGGCAGATCCGAGCTTTCCGGGCTCAGTTCTGGACTGTCGCTTTCAATGTTTGCATCGTAGCAGCAGGATTCATCTCGTTTGCACATCCACACGCATCCCACGCACAGCTCATCTCAGTATCGTGCATCCTCGCCTTCGACGGTTCACCCCATCCGTAGCCTCGGTACATGCACAGTATCATCGCCATCAGAAAAGCCAACACCAGCGTATCCTCGAATTGATCGGATACTGCGCTGGGCATCCTCTCTGAAGCTGAAAGCTGCCAACTCCACCAGAGTATCTGCATCTACGCTCCTCGCACTACGAATCGCATCATTCTCCTCACTCGGATCAGCCTAGGCGAGCGTCAACATCGTTCGACAGCTCCTATAATCCGCACCAGGGTGCCGTCCTGGCAACCGCATGGAGCCGCCAAAGGCTGTTCCGCTTCAGATTCCTTCCGAGGATGACGTGCCACTCTTCGATCCTAGCGGCCTCAGCGCATCGCTTTCCGCCGACGATTGGCACAACTCGTTCGATCTCAACAGCGTAGCAGCAGCCCGCCTTGGCATCGGCTCACCTACTTCGCAAAATGGTTCCGGCTCACTCTCTGCCTCCATAGCCAATCTAGCTCATTCCAACTCTCACACTCGCGAGAACACCGACTCGTCCTCGCGCCCACTCCAGTCCTCATCTATATCCCGTACCTCCTCCAACGACATTGCCTTGCAGTCGTCTCTCGACAATGCCGACGACGCTGCGAAACGAGGAAGACGTCGCAGAAGCTCTGCCATACAAGACACCGCACAGGCACAGGTCCATCCCACCGTGCTCCCGCAAAAGGACACTTCTGTTGGCTCCAAGGTCCGTATGTGGTGGGAGAGAAGCGCTGCTGGAACGCCAGACGTCGACACAAGCGATGCTCCCGTCGTTGAGCGTGAACCACCCTCTGAAACGCTACCGCCTCTCCGCATCGACGCTAAAGTGGAAGCAGAAGCATCCCCATCATCTTCTGTCCGCTCTCCCGCTGCCGATTTCCTCAGCGCCTTTTCCAGCCTCAATAGCGTGGTCCAGCCTGCCACATCCTATGACAACCGTTCGATCTCTTACAGCCCGCCACGTTCCGGCCATCGCAGCCTCGGTGCCTCGCTCATGCACGACGACACCCGCAACGGATCAGCCGCCCCTCCCAGCTTTGGCTCCCTGCGCGGCCTTGGAAGCGCCGCAGCACAGCTGTACGAGACACAGCTCACGACAGCCTCCGCTTCTTTGCCTCGGAGCGACGACGAAGGCGCCCGTGTCGGTCCCGCAGGCCGATATCTGCTGGGCAAGACCATTGGCGTCGGAGGCTTCTCCACTGTTCGCCAAGGCTGGGACCTCGAGGCGCAAGGACCAGCAGACCCAACTGCTCCTCTCATCGACGGCCAACGCAACGGACGCAGGGTGGCAGTCAAGATCGTCTACCACCATCACAGCCATATGAGCCAGGCTCAAGAGAATTCTTCCGAGACCCGGCACCACGACCTGCACTCGCACGAGCTGCGCATCTGGAAGAGCCTTCCGACGCATCAGCATCTGCTCCCATTGTTGCATCATGAAAGTCTTGCATTGGACACAGCGCATTCCGGCCAGCACCAAGGCGCAAACACGACCGCGGAGCTATTGATCATGCCGTACTGCGACCAAGGCAACCTGCTCGACTTTGTCCGCAGCGAAGGCGGCTCCGGCAGCGTCATCTTCTCTCCCGATGGTGGTCTGCCCTCGGCATCTCACGAGCGAAGGTCTGCCTCGGGCTCTTGGGCTGCACCAGGCTCGGCACGCTCGTCCACTCTTCTCTCGCGCAGCTCGTCGCTTCGTACCTCGATGGACGATCCCTCTCGACGCCATCCAGGATCGCGTACCGGATCTGGTTTCATCAAGGGTCGCAACGCTGTTCCCTCTCACGCGTTGGGTCGCGTAGCCTCTGTCTCGGCTGCTTCTCAGCTTCATACAATACCAGCTGGCCAAGAGGCGTCCTCGGTCGCATCGTCACCCGTTTCCGCTGCTGGCAGTATGTCTAGCGGCTCGCGATTGCTTCGCAGGACGGCAAGCCAGCTGCCGCGCAGCGAAGGCATCCCCATCGATGCCGCACGCGAGACCATGCGCCAACTCGCTTCGGCCCTCAGCACGTTACACACCAAATGTCACATCTTGCATGGCGATCTCAAGCTTGAGAACGTCCTTGGACAGGACCGGACATCGTGGAAGAAGCGCCAGCGTACCTCTACTAGCGGCTCTCACGGCGGTACGCATTCGAGGCAGAACAGCGGTAACCTTGTAGACTCCGTCGAATCATTGGCCACATCATCCGTCTCGTCAAAACACGTCCTCGACATGTCGGACGCCGTCATGCCGTGCTGGCGCATTGCAGATTTTGGCCTAGCCCAAGTCTTGGATCCGGCTCACGCCAAGGCTGGCATGGCAGGTGCGCCCGCTCTCATCCGCGCTCTCAAGGAGGAGGCGCGTATCTCAGACTCTCAGGGGGTGCAGAGTCGGAAGAAGGGCCACAAGTCCGGTCGTGGAGGATCCCTAGCCTATACCGCACCCGAGTTCTTACGAGCACAGGGCACGCCCGGCACCTCAAGTCCGGCGGCCGTCGAGTCCGCCGAAGAAAGCGACTTGCAGCCGGAATCGCCCTTCGCTGCCGATATGTGGGCGCTTGGCTGCATCTTATATGCCATGCTCAGCGGCAAATTGCCGTTCACCGACTCTTTCGAACCACGTTTGCAGATGAAGATCGCCAAAGCACAATGGGAGCTTCCTCCTCGGCTGCGTCGCCGAGCTGAACGTCTCACGGCGTCGTCGACCAGCACGCTAACCTCACAGGTCAGCCCGTCGGATCGCACACTTTCCACGGATCGGTCTAGCTCTGCTGGTCCAACGGATGCGAACGATCGCTTCGCTTTCAGCCAGCAGCGTCGATCCGTGTCTGGTTTGCCACGTGGAATAGCTAGCTTCGGGTCGATGGACCTGAGCGCTTCGCTGCCATCGCTGCTGCCCAGGGAGAGGCAGATGACCGAGCCGGCGACGGAAACGATGCCAGTACGTGCGGCTGTGGTGCATTCAGATCAAGTGGTCGGATCGGCACCTGGTCGCGCTGATCACCTCGAGAGTTTCGAGATCAACCAAGTCGCCAAGGCCAAGGCCGATGTGGAAGAAGATCCCGAGTCGGATCAGGACTCGGACATCGACTCTGGCCGGGACGGTCTCAGCTGGGACCGTGCAGCTGCTAGGCAGGTATTGCGAGGTCTACTCGAGCCGGATCCGCGGCGAAGATGGACGATCGAAAAGCTATGCACGAGCGCGTGGATTCGACGAGAAGGTATCGACCTGACACCGTCTGCCTCTCCCTTGCAGACCAAAGCTTTGGTCGGCGACTACTTCGGAGGTGAGAACGATCACAGGTTTGCAGCGCCCACGACAGCGAAACCCTCCTCCAGTGCCAAGGGCTTTGCTGCAGCTCGAGACATGACAAGTGCCGGCATGGACGAGGAGTCCCCGCAGATTCAGCACGGCAGGCGCTCTTCAAGTCTCGCCCGCACACGTCCGTCTCAAGTAGTGCTCGACAGTCCTGCGTCGGCAACCTCATTGGTGCAGTCACCCACAATCTCGGCGGACGGAGGTGATAGCTCCAAGCGTCGATCACGCTCAACATCGCGGATCTCGATCCAGTACCGTGACTCGAGCCGAAATCGTAGTACGGATGCTAGTGGAACCTCGACGCCAAATCGAGAGCGCGATCAGGCGTGGGCGCAGCATCACCTCGCGAGCTCTCTTCAGTCTCAAGCTCACGCGTGGCTCCATGCGACTGCCAAAGAGCGTAGCGACAGTCCAGCAGACTCGGAGCGGCGAGGTCGGATGCCCCGATCGAGGATGGCGGATCTGGATGAGAATACTACATGGAACGGAGAGGAAGGAGCCAGCAGTGACAGTCGCTCCGGATCGCAAGAGGCTGCCTCTCTTCGCAGGGTAGGCCCAATCGCCATTCGCGGACGAAGTCAGTCAAGAAGTCGCAGTCGTCATAGTAGAGAGTCGGCGTCTCCGGACCGTTTTGGACAACGGTCCACGTCACGATCGAGATCGACCTACTCTCTTTCGCGCGATGCGGGAATCAGCACCGGAATACTGTACGGACGCAGCGCCGAGCCTCAACCCACCGTTGGACTCGTTGTGGCGGACGAGACGCAGGCGCGACGCTCTTCGACCGCACGCAGCAGGTCGCGAGCGCCAGACGCTTTGGCGCAGATTTTAGATCGTCAGCGGTCACGAAGTCGGTCTCGGATCCGCGACGGCGGCGATGGAGCTCAAATCGATGTAACCACGAGCCGCAGCGCGTTTGCTTCTGGCACTGCAAATGACAGCACCATTGTATCGGCGGCAGCGGAGGACGGAGAGGTTTCGACGCGAGATCAAGAAGCACGAGGTCGCTCGCGCGATCGTAGGTGAACGGAGACGGCCTTTTAATATCGCATCAGATACCCGGCGTGCCTTTGCATACCATTCTATAGCACTCCTTTTCCTCCCATGGTGGTAGTCCGACGACATGCATGGTATCATCTTGTGGCTGTGATGTGAACAATGTCAGCACTTGGAGAGTGAGTTTGCATGTGATCCTGAGCAACGCCCAAGCGGTTGCCCGGATTGCGGGATGCGGATGACGGAAAAATCCACTACGCCTCCACACGCCGGAAAAAAAAAGTGACAGAAATGTGCTCTAGCTCACACTTCACTTCGTAAAGTCACAAAGTGTCCCAACTCTTGACTGAGCGCTCTCCGCTCTTTTCATCCATCTTCCCTTCGTCCCTCATTGCCTCCTTCACGACACCGTTAGTCTCTTTGTCTGGCATGTAAGATATTCGATGCGGATCCCACCATGGCCGAGCCTCCCTTTCAGATGCCCGGTCATCGGTGGGATCCAGACAAGAAACGGTTCTTCAAGATCCTGCCGGGTCAGATGCAATCGAAATCTTTCGATAGCGACACGGCTTCGGGATCGACAACTAAGCGTTCGCGGAAGGGCAAGCAGCGAGAGGTACCACCGCACGAGGGCAATCTCTTTTCGGAGACACATTTTCCCGCCATCGACGTCCGAACCTCCGCTCAAAAGCTTTCCAATCACAAGAGCGCTTTTCAAGAGGTCACCGTCGACCCTGTCACGCTCCGGCAACACGGCAGGCTGCCACTGCATGCCCGACAAATCAGCGAGCAACCTCGCATCCAGGCCGCCTACTCCCATCTCGCGCTGTGCACCGCCAGAAGGCCCTTCCGTGCCTTTCCGCACTCGACCGAGGTCGTCGATCTCCTGAGCGATCCAGACGCCTACTCTCTTGTCATACTCGGCAATGGATGGATAACCAGGAGCTATCCGACACATGCCGACTTTCGAGTCTTATGCGACACGCGCTACATTTGCGGTGGGCAGAGGCCTTCTTTCATGTGGAAAAGCTCCGACCTGCTTTGGTACGGCTGCTTTGACTCGGAAGGCCAGCAGAGCGGCATCTTTGTCAAGATGATGTCTCCGCGTGCTACAGGAACACAGCCGTCGTATTTGTCAGAATATTCAACCTCGCAATTTTTGAAGCATGATGCACCCATCCGCAGTTGCGGTCAGCAAGCATGGGCATTTGCCGAGGTCTTCGATGTTCCCCGCAACGCGCGACCGGCGAGCAATGGATCGCATACTGCGCAGCCCCGAACGCGAGGAGGAAGAGGTGCAGTCTTGTACGCCCTGTCGATGGGTAAGAAAGTCAAAATCCTCACCTACCACTTGCCGATTGCAGGGCTAGACCCCTCGCTGGCTGCTTCAGCCACAATCTCGTCCGCCAGCGATGTCATGGCGCTCGCATTCGATCTCAGCGGCGAATCACTCTACTGCGGCACTCGGTGTGGCCTGGTCATGGTCTGGCGACGTCCTACCAGCAGCTCAGCGATTGAGCCACCGCAACATGTGATGCCAGTCGACGCCGAGGGCTCCGTGACAAACTTGGCCGTCGTTTCGCCCACTGAACTGCTCATCGTACGCATCAATGGGGTCGTTCAGCTCGTCGACATGGCCACGGGTGAGACCCGGCAGCGATACAAAGGACACGTCAATTCGTATCAATACAAACTTGCCATTACGATCGACAAGAGATCGCGGATGTTTGCATTGGCCGGACTCGATCGTCGAGTTCGTGTGTGGTCGATCGACTCGCCTCTGCCCCTGGGCACAACGGCAACGTTCCTGCCTCCAGTCTATCACCCTCCTCAAAGGTTCCGAGAGGGCCAGTCACTAGTCAATCAGTCTTTGTACGACGAGTCCGAAGACGAAGCTTTCATCAACGCACATCCTGCTTCTAATGGCGACACAGGGATTAGGAGGGGCTCGACGCTGAGCACCGTCATCTTTGCGCAGGACCCGACCGTGCTGCGCTGGCATCCACGATATGTCTTTGAAGGAATCGACCCGTACGAGGCCGAAGCGATAGTTCAAGGACAAGGTCACCGATCTTGGCCACCGAAATCGCAGTGGAACGACCTGTACGTCGCGGTGGGCCCATGGGTCTACCAGTTTCGATTCCCGTAGTCTGCGGCGACGGAATGATCCGCCAAATGTAGCAAACGAAGCGTCGACAAGACTGGAATATACGACCCTTTGACACAACAAGCATTTCAATTCATGTATCACTAGCACCGTCACCGTCATGTGTACAAGTAACTCACAGCATACCTCCTCGACTTTCCGTTAAGATTCATTATTTCGAACACTTTACCAACGGAATCAACAAATCAGAGAGCAATCAACACACGAACGACACAAAACTGAAGAATTCGATTTGACGAAAATATGAATTGCAAGGAAAGCACAAGACTCAGAAACGGGTTGGGGAGGAGGGGCGATCTTCTACTCGCGGTGACGAGAGTGGAAGCTTTCCCAGATCGTGTGAAGACTCAAAGAGTAGGGACTCAACTCAATCTCACGAGAGGAAGGCACAAGCGCGAACGGTCAACCAGAGAGTGTGTGTGTGGCACGCAGACGTGTGTCTGAACCATCACCCCGCTGCGTCCATCCCCAGTAAGCTTTTCGAAGTCGGGTTCCGCTGATCCCTTGTTGTCCTGCTCTTGACGTTGTTGAATGATGGTTGTGGTTCGATGTCGATGACGACGACGAACTCCAACGACCATCAAAACAGAACAACGCAGAACAGCACCCGGAAAAAGTGCAAACCGACCGAAGATCGAAAAGCGAATAGAGGGGAAGGAAGACGGAAGGGGAGATGGCTTGACCCAAAGCCTAATTCGAGACTTGAACAGACGCTCTGGTGGACGTTTGGGTCAAAAGAAAGAATGGGAGTAAAAAACAACACCATCGCAATGGGATGGCTGGGATATATGGGGTTTTGGAGGAGGAGGTAATTGCGTATGGATTACACGAGTTGATGGATGGATGGATGACAGACGCCCCCCGAATACGGGACGTGTTGATCGGGTAGATGGAGCCAAGCGGACGAAGTTGAAACGGCCTAAAGAAGGGCCGATCGAGACTGTCGTCCAAGTGAAGACCCCTTTTGGAACAGGCGATCAAGCCGAAAGCAAGACAACCGGTAGAAGGTCGAGAACCCTGTCGATGCATTTAGATGAAGCCAATGCGGTTCGAAACGTCAAGAGCATCCTGGTCAGGGGTCAAACGAACGAAAGCCTTCTTCTTGCCATCGGGGCGGATCAGAGTGTTGATCTTGGCAGCCGAGACGTCGTAGAGCTTCTTGAGGGCACCCTCGATCTGGCGCTTGTTGGCAGCACGGTCAACGATGAAGACGAGCGTGTTGTTCTCCTCGATCTTCTTCATGGCCGACTCGGTGTTGAGAGGGTAGAGGATGGTGCGGAAGGCGTCCATGCGAGGAGCGTGGGGGACGCTCTTACGGGGGAAGCGGGGGTTCTTGGCCAGGTCGAGCGTCTTGGGACGACGGAAGGTGGTGTCGGTGCGGATCTTGCGAACCTTGGAACCGGAGGTACCCTTGAGGGCGGCCTTCTTGGCGGCGGTGGCCTTGACGGCCTGGGGCTTGTTGGCGGCGGGCATCTTGATGTTGATGGGGGATGGTTGATCGGTCGGAGAAAGATGATGGAGAAGAGACGAGGTGAAGTTCGACGTACGGCAAGGCTTGCAGCTGCAACGCTCCCAGCTTTGTCGCAGCGAAAAAGTTGGGCGAAAAGAAGGAATTCGCGGTAGCAGCTTAACAGCATTTTTAGAAATTAAGGTCGGCCGAGGTGATGTGATCAGGTGACAGATCAACCTCCTTTGGACGTAACATTTCGAAAACTTTTTGAATTTGAGAGTGCGCTGTAAGATCGCAGATAGTAATTCCATAAAATTGACGGCTCCCCGCCTCGCCTCGCCACGCCACTCGCCCACACACCCTGGCTCAGATAACGGAATGACTACTCGATGTCTCTGCCAATCCCACCAAATGAAGCCTATCTGTATGCCTTCGAGAGCGAAGACGCAAAGCACCTACTGACAGCACCTGACGAATTCAAGCCGACTCTAGCTCTCCTCAGCGACAGTCTGAAGCGTCTACGATGTCTGTGTCAGACGCGGGACGATCAATCGGAAAAAGACACGGAGATCAATCAGAAGAATGCAAATGGGTCTCCGCCAGGTTCCAACAGCGATGATGCTACAAGACCGAGCTCCGGTGTCGATGTCGCGAACCTGCATCCGATCCGGCACGAGCGATCGTCTCTGTCCTATCTGTGACAGAACGTGGGTGTTATCCTAGCGAATGAAAGCAAAAGTGGGGTTAACCAATCAGTGCGTTGCCCTGCAACGAGTGGGACTCACGATCATGGTCATCTGACAAACGCTTTTGCGGAAGCAACACCAACCAAATCGGTAGGGTATGATGGCTTTGTCGGTCGTCGGGCTTGGAAACGAAATTCAAAGCGGGAAAGGTGGTTGAGCAAGCCACAAATACCGATGGAAGCGAGATTATGCTGCCCCGTCTGTTGCAGTGTCATGAATCGCTTAGCCCTGAGGTCGGGATGCGCGAGCCACTGAACTCCGGCTTGGTGTCTACAGGAAAGGTTTGAGAGTCGATGACCGGCGAAGTCTCTGAGCGTGGTCGCGTTATCGGTTTCTTCGGTTGTTTCCGTTGTGTCCCGCGGGCCCACTCTCGCTTAGGGCAAAAGACCCGTAGTGATGGCGGGATTCCATTCTACTAGCTAAATTGGGATTTCAGACGCCGCCGGCGGAACCTTTCGAATTGAGCCGTGTCACCTAGTGACAGAAAGAGCGGCGAAGGCTCTGTCTTGGTTGACGCTGATGGCTCTGTTTCTGCCATCGTCGTGTGATGAGTTTGCTCCATTGGTCATTCCGATAAGCTTCGTCAGACAATGGAAACGTCCTACCGGCCCGACTCTCATCCGAACAAGAAGCGCGATAAGCGGTGAAAGAGAGGCAAAGCGGCGAGCATGTTATCAGAACGATTCGCGGCAGATCCCAGTGTGGCTTGGTCCAATCACGAAGCTTCAAGAGAGCTGATTTGTGATTGCAAGAACGGCCCGCCAGAGCTGCAAGTCGCTGCGATCAGATACACAGCGCTGCTTATTGTTCGTTGCCATCTTGCTTTTGGTCCGAGCACGAAAGTCCTTCACCGTCCAATGAGATCCTCTCTTGTGTTGTTTGGTCAACCAATCACATGCTTTGAAAGCCGACCGAATCCTCTCCTGCGCATATCGTCGACGCCACTATCAATCCGAATGTGTCGGTGGAAGCGATACTGATGTGCTCAACGTGGACTTCATTTCAGCACTCACGTACAAACGCTTTCTCCACCGATGCGAAGCTCCAAATGAGGTTCAGCCGCACATTTGCTGAGCTCAGAAAGGAGCGCATGCAGATGAAACGTTGGAGGAAAGGTTCGACTCGATCGAGGCCGATTCTCTGCGACCGTATCTGCTCACATCCTCTTCGTCACAATACAGTATGCCAGCCGCGCTCCGCAAATGAGATCGAACGCATGCACATCAGCGTCTCCGCTGCGTCTCACACCGACTCAAATGGCGTCAGAAAGAACCAATGACATTGAGGATGAGAGACACCGACAATGGCACGAAAGAGTGAGGGGTGGAAAGTAGACCGGGAACGGAGGGAGGCATCGCACCTGATTGGCGGGGCATTCGCCGTTTTCTTGCGTTGCCTCGACCTCTGACCCGGAATCTAGACTCCGACGGTAAGTCTTCGCGGTGGAGACTTGCCCTTTCCTACGGAAGCGATTTCTGACGCCGGTCTTTTGAGGCACTTGAACAGTCTCGGAACCACGCGACCGCGCCAGACCTGCGGTTCGAGTTTTTCCTTCGCAAAAAAAAAAAGAAAGGCCCGGTGTCACGGCCCAGACACTGCTCCGCCGCCTCCGCTGCAAACCACGAATTCGAATCACGGCAAGGAAAGAAGGAACACACAGGCGTGTGGCACGCGAGGCCCACGCGAACTTGTCAAATTCAGCAGTATTCCTGAGGTCTGGCCGCCGTGTACCGCCGCTTCTTGCCGTCGAGTTTCCTTTCGGAAGCCCCTACTGGAACATGCAGCTCGACTGCAGATGATACTGTGGGCCCATGATACCACAGCTGTGCGTCGGTACAACATGCAAGCGATTCGCCCTGACGCCCACAGCTGCGCTCTTCTCGCGCTCGTATCACTGCTGCTGTCTCGCCTATCGCCCACATGCTGCTTCTCTCGCCTCCATTGATTCCTATCGTGTCCAGACCCACCTTGCACTGTCCTGTGGATCCCCGTCTGTTTCGGAAGATAGGCAACTCGTCTGCTGCTATCCACCTCTCCTGCTCGATAAGGCTTGCTGCGTGACCCCACATTCGCTCGTGTCATTTGCTGATTGCGGACCCAACATTCGTTTCTCATTGGCTGACGATGCGTCGCCACTAGCAAGACGTCTGAGCTCTGGTCCACTCCCCTCGCGTTCTCGACCCGTCCTCTCGCCTCGTGCCGCTTGCCTACCAGCACGCCCGTTCCTGAAGCCACGACGCCTATCCATGCCACCCGCTCCCCCTCTGGTGTGAAGGTATAAAGGTCAACGAATCCCATCATCCTATCCCGTATCTTCATCCTTCTTCCATCCCTTTCACTCCTACACACACAATGTCCTACTCCCCTCAGCAAGAGAAGGAAAAGTCTGGCTCCTTCAAGGGCGGCGATGTCGTCGCCACCCTTGAGGATGGTGTCGGTGCCACCGACACCAACGCCTTTGACCAGCGCAAGGGCGAAGAGCTCAAGCACGCCCTCCTTCCCCGCCACATGGCCATGATTTCCATCGGCGGTGTCATCGGGACAGGTCTTTTCCTCGGTACCGCTTCCTCCCTTCACAACGCCGGCCCCCTCGGTCTGTGGCTCGGCTACCTGCTCATGGGTTCCGTCTGCTACGCCATGATGATGTGTCTCGGTGAGATGATCTCTTACCTTCCCGTTCCTGGTGGTCACATCAAGCTCGCCGAGCGTTTCGTCGGCAAGCCTCTCGCCTTCGCCATGGGTTGGAACTACTGGTACAACTGGGTCATCGTTCTCCCCGCCGAATTGTCTGCCGCTGCCGTCCTCATGTCTTACTGGTCCGATGCCAACCCTGCTATCTGGATCTCGGTCTTCCTCGTTGTCGTCGTCGCTATCAACTTGCTCGGCACTCGTGCTTACGGTGAGGCTGAGTTCTGGTTCGCCTCGATCAAGATCATCACCATCGTCGGCCTCATTATCCTTTCCGTCTGCATCGACCTTGGTGTCGGCAAGCAGGGCCGTCTCGGCTTCCGCTACTGGAAGAACCCCGGCCCCTTCAAGCAGTACCACGGCATCCAGGGCTCTCTCGGACAGTTCCTTGGCTTCTTCTCGGTCCTCATCAACGCTGCTTTCTCCTTCATCGGAACAGAGATCGTCGCCATCGCCTCTGCTGAAGCCAAGAACCCTCGCAAGTCCGTCCCCAGCGCCATTCGCAAGGTCTGGATCCGTATCTGCCTCTTCTACTTCATCGGCACTTTCATGATCGGACTTGTCTGCTCGTCGACCGCTCCCGAGCTCACCGCCGGCAAGAAGACCGCCGCCCGCTCCCCATTCGTCGTAGCTATCAACAACGCCGGCATCAAGGTCCTCCCAAGCATTGTCAACGCTGCTTTGGTCACTTCTGCTGTGTCCGCCGCATCGTCGGACCTCTTCACTTCAAGCCGAGCCCTCTACTCGCTTGCTATTGGCGGTTCCGCGCCCCGAATCTTCGCTCGTACCACCAAGCGAGGTCTCCCTTACGTCGCGGTTGCCGTCTCGATTGCCTTCTCCTTCCTCTCGTACATGTCGGTCCGCGATGGTGCCAGCACCGTTTTCGGTTACTTCGCAAACATGACCTCGATTGCTGGTATGGTGACCTGGTTCTGCATCGGTGTTATGTACCTCCGCTTCAACAAGGCTATGAAGGCTCAAGGCATGTCCCGCGACGTTCTGCCTTACCGCGCAGCTCTGCAGCCCTTCTGCGGCTGGTGGACGGTGTGCACTACCTTCATCGTCATGCTGTTCAGCGGATGGTCGGTGTTCCTCAACGGCAACTGGTCCGTCAGTGACTTTGTTACCAACTACATCCCCATTCCTCTCTTCTTGGTCCTCTACGGTGGAAACTGGTACTTCAACCGCAACAACGGTGCTCACATCCCATCCAGCGAGGTCGACCTCACCACCGGTCTTCGCGAGATCCTCGAGGCTGAAGTGCCCGAGGAGAAGCCTACCACCATCGGCGGCAAGGTCTGGGCCTTCATCTCCTAGACTGTCTTGTCTTTCGTCGACGTATACCACAAGCACGGTGTGATCTCGCATCGTTGTCTTCCTCTGTATTCTTTCTCTCTCATGCGTCTTGTAACGGGTTACGATTCCTTCTCATGATCAAAATTGATGCCTGACGGACTTGTTCTTGACCTACAATTCCTGGATGTGCTTGTGTGTCTGATCCGCCGGCATCCTCTGAGCTCAAAGCGTGCCTCTTACTCGATCATTGTTCTTGGTCGACATTTCTGTGAGCTTTGAAACCTCGTTTTGCCTCTCCGATAGTCACAGCTTAGGGGTGCTTCAAAGGCGATCTATCTCAGGGAATGCCAGCTTCAACTGTCGAGAGGAAGCAAGGTCGATGCATTTCGTGAAGAGCCGTTCATCTTTTCCTTGCGTTTTTTGACATCGTTCGCCTTGATCGTTCTGCTCGAAACTGGGCGTTGGGCCAGACTGGCTACGGCAGCAGAGGTGAAAGCATAGAAAGCATGAGAGGGAGTAGATGTATGTGTCGAATCAGCAGATAGAGATGACCCTTGGAATTAGAAAATGTGTTAGTGCGGAACCTCAGCGGCTGTTAAGGATCTCATACACGAGCTTCTACTCCACTCAATTTCGACATCCAGAGCTTTAGGGTTTAGCCATGCAGCATCGACAAGGTTGACAGCGAGATGAAGTACGTGTTGCAACAAGACCAAGAGCGTGTGAATTCTGCCCGTCGACACGCGTCCTGCGCTTGGCTTTCCTCCCTCGACCTTTGTGCGCTGCTGAAGACCAGTCGCCTAGGCTCAGCTCGCCTTCCGCATCCGCAGTCTTGTTTATCACCTCTCTCCTTGCGCACACCCAATGGAATCCGCTCGCGAGCTGCTAGAGACCAGTCGCCAAAGCTCAGCTCGCCATCCGCTTCCGCAGTCTTCTATATATTCTCCTCCCTCCCACACGCCCAGTTGTACCGGCTTTCCTCCATACCACCATCCCCATCCCGCAGCATATATACAGACCTACCTTCTTCGTACATCGCTTCGAGACCTCGTTCCATCCTCATCATCTTCCTTCTCAGCGTTCGCTTCCAAATTCGCACATTCCAGCGATCAAACACCTTTTCTCGTCGTCGCAATCAGCATCAAAGATGTCTTCGGTCCCTGACGCCAGATACACCGGCAGGATGGGAGAAGGTCTCACCGAGGCTCAACTTTACGAGCTCGCAAAGACGTACGCCGGAAGAATGGCGCAAGGAGCCGACGTCGGGCCTCTCCGCGACATGCCACATGCGGAACTGGTGCGGACCGTCGAGCACCCGGACTACAAGTTCTTGCAGCAGACATGGCCTTACGGATACGGATTCTTTTGCGGCAACGTCGTGTCTGTCTTCTAGCTGGCTATCGGCATGCAGGTCGAGGGCGATCCGCTTGATCAGCTCGATGCTCTCATCAAGCGACTGGGCTTCTACCCGCACCAACAAGAGCAGGTCAAAAAGGTCCTCGAGGTAGCTTTCCACACCTTCCTGGCAATGCAACTGGTTTCGAGCGGTACCACCTGGCCAGCAACCTTCGACTCGTTTGATCACGAAAACCTGACTAAAGCTATGTCGGTCCTAGATGCGCATCCGCTGATGCACAACCTGATGCATCCTCCGGCCTCCTTCTATGAAGGTATGGCGGACGTACTCAAGAAGGACCCGCATCTGCCCAGCGAAGCGGTCTTGGAGACGGTCAGGCAGGGTGTCAGAGTGCGTGAAGAAGGTATGCACCAAACCCTTGTCAAAAAGGCCTTGTCGATGGCCATACAACTTCAGTACACGACTGCTTCTCAAACGTGGCTCTCGGTGGAGAGTCAGCGAAATGCCACCCACCGAAGCCAGTGGGAGCAGCTGCGTGGAATGACGAGGATCTAGAAAGTCAATTTCGGCGCCAGTGATCGAGAAGATCGAGTCCAGACCCTTTTCGGCCTGAGACTAATGATGTACGTCAAGATGCTTTGATTACGGTGTACGCGTGACAGTGGATCATACTTTGTGTTTGTGATCCGCCTCGGTAGTGATGGGTGTCGACTCGCCGGCAGAAGGTGCCCTGATTTCAGCCAGATCCGAAAAGTCGTCTTGCTTGACCTGAATGTACGAAGAAAGTAGCGAATGACCATGCAAGCGAAGTCAGTACACAGCGTGATGTTGAAAAGCAATGTGACGAGAGTACGAACCTTTGAGATCGAGTAGAAATAGACACTGGTGGCGAAACCCATGATCAACGAGCCGGTGATGAGGTTGCGCATGCGATACGGCTTTCTTGCGCGTTTGAGACCTTCCGAGATACCGTATCCGTCAGGGTGGTAGGTAGCATGTGTGGATCGAGGGGGAACAGTGGATTGTGTCGCCGAGCCGTAGGATGCGTTGGGGCCGCTACCGGCTTGCGTCGAGTTGAAACGTGCCGATGCAGGTGCGCGCGAGCCAGAAGCGGCGCTGAGGAGCGGGAAAGACAGCATCTTTGCGAGAAACGCTTTGCGGACACGGCAACGGATTGGTGATGGTAGCGAATAGTACGAGCTGGTGGCGAGCGAAAGCAAGCAATGAGGTAACAAGACTCGCTCGTTGCCGAAACAAAGAAAAGGCTCCGAGAAGAAGCCGAATCCCGAAGAATGAGAGTATAGGGAAACAAAGTCTAACATCTCTAGACCGACAGGCCAAACTGAGCCATTGAACGCGACAAGCGTGTGACGCGCAACAAAAAAGTGACTCTGCTCTTCTGTCGGCTAATTTTGTTGGCAGCAGAAGGCGGAGTGAATTTTGCTGAGTTGCAAGAGGGAAATATCAGCACGCGAGCATTGACCACCTTGAACCTTCTGGATGCCCACCATACACCAAAACTGCAACGTCACTCACCAGTCACCGTGGAGATATCCCCTGTCGAAGCCATGGTGTATCATCCAGGTCCTATAGCAGACTAGCAAGCCAGAAAGCGAGCGAGCAGCCGTAGCCTCGCCGTCATGCCCGGCATACCTTCCAAGCCAAACAACATACCCTTGGCCTCGTCACTTCCCAAGGTCAGCTTCCGCAAAGTACCGCCAGACGAGGCGCTCATCTTTCACATACCGCCTGGAATCATCGACGTACATACTCTACCGTTCGGCTTCAACGATGGCTCCGACTACGAAAAGCCACACCACTACATTCGCTATCTCGAACCCATCGAGGGCGACCTCAAGCGCCAGGTCGAATATGACATGGACGAGCAGGACCAAGAGTGGCTCGATGCGCTCAATCATGACAGGCGCAAAGACGGTCTCGATACCATATCGTACGAGGTCTTTGAGATCATCCTCGACCAGCTCGAAAAGGAATGGTTCGATCTCATGAAGCGCGTTCCGCCAAAAGCACGCCATGGCGCAGCGGCCGACCTTACAGGAGACGGTGCAGATGCCCAAGACGCCGACTCTGACGGTGGCGAAGACAGCAAGTGCGCCATCTGCGACGATGGTGAGTGTGAGAACTCGAACGCCATTGTCTTTTGCGACGGTTGCAATCTCGCCGTGCATCAGGACTGCTACGGAATCCCATACATCCCTGAGGGTCAGTGGCTCTGTCGCAAATGCACCGTCTCGCCCGACCGTGCTGTCTCGTGCATCCTCTGCCCTCACGAAGGAGGTGCTTTCAAACAGACCACCACCGGCAAATGGGCTCACCTTCTATGTGCAATGTGGATCCCTGAAACCGGCGTAAGCAATCCTGTCTACATGGAGCCTATCGATAGCGTCGAACGCATTCCAAAGGCAAGGTGGAAGCTTCAGTGTTACCTGTGTAGGTACAAGATGGGTGCCTGTATACAATGCGACAATCGTTCCTGCTTCACGGCGTTTCACGTCACCTGCGCTCGCAAGGCCGGCCTTCTCTTCCGCACAGAACGCACGCGCGTCTCGCATCACCTCTACGACGACTCCGACAACAGCGACGACGAAGGCTCCGAGGTGCTGCGCGCCTGTTGCCATCGGCACATGCCTCCGAACATGAGGCATCAGTTCAAGATCGACTTCGGCCGCCAAGCTGCTGCGGACGACGATCGTTCCGAGACCTCCTATCGTACGTCGCCTTTCGTCTCCTCCCGCACCCGCGAGCTCTCGGTCGAGTTTGGCGTGGGAGCGCCACTGATATCCGTCAGTCGTCGAAGCTCCCTTGTCGGCAGCCATGACAGCGCATCAGCTACCAACGATGCCCGCAGCACGTCCAAGTCGGCTCGTGCGTATAAGAAAAGTTTCAAAGCGGGGCCTCCACTCGTCCCTGCCTACATTGCCAACCGCGTGCTCGAGTACATCACCAAGGTTCATCTTCGCAAGAAGGCCACCGCCGTTCAAATTATCGCTCGCTACTGGTCGCTCAAGCGCGAGGCCCGTCGGGGTGCCCCTCTTCTCAAGCGTCTACACCTTGAGCCTTGGACCGCCTCCACACAGAACAAGGAGCAAACCGACGCGCAAAAGGGCAAGAAGCTTCACTTCCTCCGCAGCATCCGTGGAGACCTCGAACGTGTGCGCATGCTGGTTGAACAGGTCCGTAAACGCGAAAAGGAAAAGTTGCGCCAAGCACAAGAGATCCGCAACTCGCTTGTCGAGCCCGTCTTGTTTCCTTTCCATGCCGACCTGCGCGCTGCCGTCGCAAAGCTCGAAGCCGTCGATCGTTATGGCTTCTTTGCGCAGCCGGTCTCCAGGATCGACGTGCCTGATTACTACGACATTGTCAAAGAGCCTATGGACTGGACCGCCATCAAGGACAAGATTGCCACAAAGACGTACGAATCGGTCGACGAGATGCGCCAGGACGTCCTCAAGATTGCTACCAACGCCATGACATACAACAAGGCAGATACCCCCTATCACAAAGCCGCCACCAAGATCCTCAAGATGATACCCGATGTCTTCAACGAGTTGGCAGCAATCAAAACGTCTCATCTCGTGCATCACCAGCAGACCAAGGCGCAGGCAGAGGCAGCGGCGAATCATCAGGCACAAGAGCTGCGATCTGATGAGCATCCGTCCCTCGAATCGACTTCAGCAGACACAGCATATGCCGACATTCGACAACAGCTGCTCGCTTTGGGACTCGAGCCTCCAACAAGTCTGATCTCACTTCTACGAGACTATCGCTTGATGGAGGATGCGGAGCAAACGGATCTCAGACAGCAGGCTTACGGAACACATCCGTTGCCTCCGACTGTGCATGTCAAGGCAGAAGAGGACGCTCAGGCAGACGGACAGGAAGGGCAGGTAGCGACACAACGCTGCGTACCCATTGCGCCTGTGACCAACCTCATGGAAGACTTTATTCGCCAGTTGTACGTGCCGCCGCCATCAATTACCAATACGGCAACAGTCTCCCCCACAGCAACAACGAATAGCAAGCATTCGACCGTGAAGACGTCAGCAGCAGCACCAGCCGAGAAAGGGCCTGTCTCTACAGCACGCAAGCGCAAGCCTTCGGAAACGCAGCCAAAGGAGCCCGTCGAGAGGAGAACCACACGTCGGTCCATCGCTGTCGAAGCTGCTGCCGCACCGTCAACAGCAGATGACACAAACAAACAGCAAGCAGCCGCGGAAGCTGCCCCTGCGACTCCAGCACGCAGCAGACGCCGAAGCACGCAAAGTTCTGCACAGACAGCGCCGACCGATGAGGCTCGTCGGCCGCTGGCCGAAGCGGAACGAGCAGAGCCGATGAAAAAGTCGACCTCGCAGACGTCCAGCAAAACGCAAGACGGCATGCAAGTCAAGGAAGACGTGGGTGCACACGACTCTTTCCTCTTGTTCAACACTGGCTGGGTGCTTCCCGAGGGTTCCAAGCGTCATCGCAATAGCGCTGCGCGACCAGAGATGATCGGTCAGCGGCCTCGCAAGATCTCGGCGCCTGAGTCACCCGGTCCGTCGGCCGGTACTGGTGCTGCTGACCTGTCTAAGCTGGCAACGCCGCAGCAGCGGCCGAGGTCGCGAACCGTGCTCTCTTCGGACTATCGCTCAACACCGGCGTCATCCACGGCAAAGGGCAGCACGCGCAAACCAAACAGGAGGGCTAGCCAAGATGCAAACACGGCGGCTAGTTCTCCACTCACGACGGACGATGAAGGCGCAATGGACGTCGCTGCTGAATCGCCGGCAAAGTCGAGCAGGCTGAAACGGTCGCGAGCGAGGGAGGCGAGCGCTGCCGAGGCAAGTGTCAACGACAACGTTGATGACGACACGAAGACACCTTCATCGACACGACGCAGTGCTCGAACACGTACCGCCTCGGCGGATCTCGCGGCTTCTCCTCCTGCTTCAAAGCGACAACGTACAGCGTCGAAAGGGTCGCCGACCAAAGCAGCCGTTGATTTTGTGGCCAACCCTCCAGCAGCCGGTACGAAGGTATGGGCCAAGGTGGACACTTTCCCACACTTTCCTGCGGTCGTCATCCGAGACAGGTCCGATCTTCCCGGAGAGATGCTTCGAACCGAGCCTGAGGACGGACGCATGGTGGCGGTGAGGTTCTTTGGCAAGCAGACGAGCTACGGGTGGATCACACCGCAAAAATTGGCTCCGTTGATGGTGGATGAGGGCGAGGACGAAAAGTATCTGAGGCTTGCTGCGAAGAAGGGCAAGACGAAGCAGGTTAGAGATGCGTATGAGGAGGCCAAGACTCGGGAGTAGGATGCAGCAATGTGAAAAGTCATGGCATTGTAGCCACTAGGTCAATCGAATGAGTAAGAACATGAGCATCCAACTGACGATAACGACGAGGATGGCCGAGAGGATGAACCAACCCATGCTGCGGGCTTTCTTCGAGTAGACTCCGAGTCTTCCGCGTGTGCGGGTCATGAGGTCGAGGTTGTGGCCGAGATCGGTGCCTGCCTTTTCGAGGAGGAGGCGGTCGCGTTCGAGCGAGTCTGCGAAGGCGAGCGAGTTGGATTTGAGCACCGAGGCCATGCGCAGGAGTTCGGAGGAGAGGGCTTCGTGGGTCGCGCGGTCCGATTGCAGGATTGTTTCGCTGGCGGAGGTTGTGGCTGGTGCAGAGGTGGTAGGGGCGGTGGTGGTGAGGGATGAGGGGGGTTGGGTGGAAGAGGAAGAGGAGCGCACGGCTCGATCGTATTCTGAGTAGTCTTCTTGGTCGGTGGTGGATGGCTGAGATTTGATGCCGCCTAGCTTTAATGTAGAGTGGAGCTCTGGATCTGTGAGGATCGATTCCGCATCTGAGACGTCGTCGTCTCCGTCAACCGAATTGATGGAGGAACGGTCATCTTGGTCGTCGATGGCGGAGAGTGTACGTTGCTTCCAATACTCGTACCCTTGCCGTGTCGCAGAGTCGTATGAGGAAGGTGCTGCTGTTGAGGGCTGTGGACCGACTGCAGCCGTGAAAGTGCTCTCCGACTCTGCGTCGCTCGATACACTCAGCATCCTCAACAGCGACTCCACAATGCCGATGTCCTGCCTTGTTCTAGCCAGTGCCAACTCTCTCGGCTTGCCATCTCCGGCAGAGCTAGAGCGTTGCAGCTGAGCTGCTACCTCGCGCAGATTTGTGAGCAAGGTCAATGTACTCCAGAACAGCTGCGGGTCATCGCTGCGGGAGTTTGCGGTGGTGTCGGTATCAGCAATTTGAGCGTGAAGCGCATCGACACGTGAAGCGAGGCTGGCGCTGCGCTGGACGAGGTTGTCTAGGTTCGGTGATGCAGAAGTGCTGCCATTGTTGGATGTAGATGAGGTGGAAGGAAGACGTGCGAGGTATTGTTCGAGTTGATGGCGCGAAGCTGCTGACATTGAAGGCAGGCTAGCCAGGGGGGCGGCTTTGTGCATTTGCGACATTGCATGCGCAGAGTGGAATGGAGTGCAAGAGTCTGCGATGGGATGGTTGCTGTCGAGGGACGAAGGTGTTGAGGTGGAGCTGTCATTCGTTGGCACTGCGAGCACAGACCTCGGAAGTCGGCGGTTGCGTGAAGATGTTAGATTCGAGAGTGACTCCTCTGACGTTTCGTTGTGCGCCAAAAATGTTTTCCGATATGATGTTTCTTCTTGTCGTATTCGCCATCCCTTCCACCATCACAACCTTATCTAGCGTACTTATCCCATTCGCGGCCTTGCCCACACATCGGCGGCTCTACCTGAAACGCGCGCAAACATCTATTGATGTCATTCTTGCGCTCCTGCGTCCTTCCAGCTACTCGTCGACTACCTTGCCTTGCATCCGCGCTTTCAGCACCCTCAAGCTATCCGCAGCTTCGGTGTCCGTTCAGCACGCCATCTACATCGCCGCAGCTTGTCAGACCCTTCCATACAAGTCGTACAAACCTGTTCAAAATGTCCTCCGCTGACGCCGATCAGGCAAAGATTGCCGAGCTTCAGGCGGCTCGCGCCGAGCAGGATGAAAAGGTCCAGCAGCTCCGAGCTGCTAACACCGAGCAGTCGACGCTGAAAGCCGAGATCGGCAAGCTCAAGAAGCTCGAAGCCCAGCTCGCTGCCATGGGTCTCGGCTCGTCCAAAGCAGGCTCTTCCAAGCAGGAGGTCAAGTTCACCCTCAAGACTCCCAAGGGTACACGCGACTGGGAACCGCTTGCCATGTCGCTCCGCAAGCGCATCTTTACCACTATCGAACAGGTGTTTTCCGCCCACGGTGCCGTCACCATCGACACGCCCGTCTTTGAGCTCAAAGAGATCCTCTCTGGCAAGTATGGTGAAGACTCCAAGCTCATCTACGACCTGCAAGATCAAGGTGGAGAGCTCTGCTCGCTACGATACGATCTTACCGTCCCCTTCGCCAGGTTCGTCGCCATGAACCAGGCCGAGTACGGAAACGTCAAACGCTACCACATCGCAAAGGTGTACCGCCGCGACCAGCCTGCCATGTCCAAAGGTCGATTCAGGGAGTTTTACCAGTGCGATTTCGACATCGCCGGCGTCTACGATCCCATGGTCCCCGATTCCGAAGTGCTCTGCATCCTTGTAGAGACGCTCAGCGCTCTCGGCATGGAAGGTTTCACCGTCAAACTCAACCACAGAAAGATCCTGGACGGCCTCTTTGACATCTGCGGTGTGCCCTCCGACAAGATCCGCACCATCAGCTCCGCCGTCGACAAGCTCGACAAGAGTCCCTGGGCTGAGGTGAAGAGAGAGATGGTCGAGGACAAGGGCCTGGCTGCAGACATCGCTGACAAGATCGGAGAGTATGTCAAGCTCAAGGGCGGCAAGGATCTGTTGGCCAAGTTGAAGGCGGACGAGGTCATGATGGCTCACCCGGTGGCGTCGCAGGGTGTCAAGGATATGGAGTTGCTCTTCGACTATCTCGACGTGTACGGCATCTCCGACCGTATGAGCTTCGATCTCAGTCTGGCGAGAGGATTGGACTACTACACCGGGTTGATCTACGAAGCTGTCACGGCGGCTTCTGCTCCTCCTGGATTCAACGGCGACCAAGCGGCTGCCACGGACAAGAAGAAGAAGCCCAAGAAGAAAGGAGCCGATGGAGAGGAGGAGGTCGACGAATCCTCCGTGGGTGTTGGATCCATCGCAGCTGGTGGACGATACGACAACCTCGTAGGAATGTTCTCCGGATCTAAGAAGCCCGATGCCGTTCCATGCGTCGGCGTCTCGATCGGCGTAGAGCGCGTGTTCGCCATCATGACGCAGCGTCTCAAAGAGAAGGAAGCCCAGGGCCAACGCTCCACCATCCGCTCGAAAGAGGTCGAGGTGTACGTCATGTCCATCGGCGGTGAAGGCTTGCTCAAGGAACGCATGCAGGTAGCCAAGATGCTCTGGGATGCAGGTATCAAGGCCGAGTTCATGCACAAGGCCAAGCCTAAGCTTCCCCAACAGTTTGGCGTGGTGGATAAGGAGGCGATCCCATTCGCTGTTATTCTCGCACCCAACGAGTGGAACGCCGAGTCGAGAGAGGTGAGGGTCAAGCAGCAGAAGGGCAAGGATTCGGACGAGGGTCAGGGTCAGGGTGAGGCGGTCAGGTTGGATCAGTTGGTGGAGCACTTGAAGAAGTTGGGCGCTGGAAAGGGTGCGGTCGCATTGGCAGAGCGGGAGAGCATTATCTGAACGAGTGCAGTTGAGGTGGAGCATGATCTTCGACGCCTCTAGAAATGCGAATGTCTTGCTTGACTCTTCGATCGCTGGCGCCTTGGTAGGGTTGATGTGCTGAGCTGTGCTGAGCTGTGTGGTGGGGGGTATCTGATCAGCTGACGTCGGCTCATCCGCAACCGCAACCCTCGGCGCTGCAGCCGCCTTCTCTCGTCGGAACTCGCCGTACCTGAGCCGCAAAGTCGCATTCCTCGCCAAGCTTGCCTTTCGGAAAAGTCGACTTGATTCGAGCTGTACAAGTACCTAGCTATCTTACAAAACCCTGCCGACTGAGCGATCTATAGCATACCACCTCGAAGAGCAAGCACCAACTGTGACATTCACATTGATAAACTTGGTCAGCGTACACCATTCTTTGCTCCAACTATATCAGACTGGTTGAGTCGTTGAGTTGATGACTTACGTGCAGGACGCTTCCGCCTTCGACACCAAAGTCCTTGGCCGTCTTTTCATCGTGCCTGTTATCTCGTCCCGTGACGGTATCGATGCGGAGTAGGGTCAGTAAAGGCATCGAGAGTGTGAAGTTGGATGACAGTTGAGCCGATGATGAGACGTACATTTGTTTACCGCCAAAGATGAGGCGTTGTTGGGCTGGTGGAATGCCCTCCTTCTCTTCGACTCGCTCCTTGATGCGTTGGATCTTGTCTGTCTGCTCGATGTCCAGCTCGATCTCTGTTGTCGGAGTGCACATTCCGAGATGGTGTCAAGTATCGAAGGCGTCGAACAATTGTGCAGGTAGTGGAAGCGTTAGCATGTGCGGTCTGATGCATCTACTGCGCAAGGTGGGACGAAGCTTACCCTTGCCGGTGAGCGTCTTGACTTTGATCAACATGTTGGTGCTCTACTGATGGACGGTGATCTCTTTGCTTTTGGATGATACCGTAGTCAAGAGGATACGATGAGTTGTATGCTGCAATTATCTACGAGATGCTGATGTTGAAGATGCAGGTCGACAAAGTCGTGGTTGGTCGAAGTGAGAAGACAAGATCGATCATCAAGGGTCCGCGCGCACGCACCTAAAAGGCGAAATGTGGAGCAACATTCCCTTTTTTTTTCACAGAAGCAAGATGGACACACTCTAACAACCCTTTTGGGCGGCTCAATTTTCCAGATTTCGGGCATTTCGGCCTGTGGCAAAACAGAAAGAGATCGAGTGCGTTCCCGACGACGAGCGGAAAGAGCTCAAATACTGGTTTATGGAGTGCGTCGCCATGCAGAGCCAAGTTTACCGCCGATGCGTCGCGCTGTCGCTACGAACGACGGGGTCACTCAAATCAGCAACCTCGCACGCGAAGCTCGTTGAACGCGCTTCGTCCACTTTCTCTTTTCGGTGGGAGCATCAAGCACATACAGCGTCACGGGCGGGACACAACGCTTCAGACTGTGTATTGCATCCATTACGCCTACCAAGGTGCACCGAGACCGTGCACAGTCGTTGACGCAGCGCGCTTTGGAACAATCTGGTGGTGAACCTTCCTCTAAGTCGAACATGGCGAGATTCTCACGGAGGAGCGACTACGATGGGGGCTGCATGCGTCGATGAGCATCTAGGTTCTCTTGCACGCCACAGTTGTCGCCGGAAACAGCAAGGCCGCTGGCCAGCTCGGGCCTCGAGTCTCCGAATGACTGTCCGAACTGAGGAATGGAGTGCGTCATGGAGCTCTGTCGCAAGCTGCCACCAGCTCCCGGCATACCGACTAGGCTGGCGCCATTGTCCCTGTACTCGATGGGATGCTGGAGATGCTGCGAAGGAACTGACTGGCGCGCTGGCTGCTGTTGGGAAGGCGAGAACGAAAGCATCGAGGGAGCCCCGCCCAGCGTGTTGGATCCCATGAATGTTGTTGGAGGCAGACGCGCGCTGCCAAGGCTCGAATAGCCTGCTGGAGCACTTCTAGTCCCGTCAAAGTAGGTATTGCTCGAAGTACCGCCGAGCGTATCCGAATCGGTCCAATTGCCGCTGGCGTATGCGCTCGACGAGGTTACGGCTTCGCCAAACAAGTCAGTCGACTTGAAGTTGTCCTGCCGAAAGTGGTTCGATGGTCGTTCGCCATAAGGGTGCATCCGAGCCGTGCTGTGTGCGAAGGAGTGGCTTTCACCGGAAGTCAGGCTGCTTGGCATGGTTCGACCATAGCTTGACATCACCGAAAGCTCTCCACGATCTCTTCGGTCACCGAAGGTCGACTTGCGGGAGGCAAAGTCGCGGCCAGAAAGGTCATGCATGCTGGCGCTTCCACTTTGACTTGCTTCCGGTCGCTGTGGATCGCTTCCGCTTCTGCGTTCGGCGGAGTGTCCGGCTGAAGAACTTCGTTCCGAGGTATCGTAATCCTGACTACCGCTAGCATAGCCTCCATCGAGTGCTCTCTGAGCAGACTTTGTATCCGTCGTCTGCCTTTGATCGTTGCTGTGACTGCTACTGGCTTGCTTGGATTTGCCCTTCTTCTTTGGTCGATACCGATACGTGGGATACATCTTTTGATGAGCCAGCTTTTTCTCGTCTGCCATCGATTCGAATCTCTGCTTGACGGCCGTTGTCTCGTTCTGCCACATCTGCGAGATGATCCTCGAGATCTCGGCCTGCGACTTGGGCTTGTCTGTGGATCCTGTCTGTGTCTGAGCTTCGCGATTCTGTTGGATCTCCCGAAACTTCTGCGAGCGGTACAGGATCCACGCATTCGGTGGACGTGGAGTATGTGGCTCCGCTGCCGCTTCAGCACGGTTCCGCCCTCCACGCTGTCCATCCAGAGAGCTGTGCTGATGTTCCGAATGATGCTGCAGAGTATATGAGGTGGATGGATGTGGCGTTCCGAGCGATTGGGAGCCCGTCGGGTTGCCTGACATATGCATTTCCAACGATTGGTCCGAGCCGAAATGCAAGTGCTGCTCGCGAGCATGCTGCTGTTGGTGCTGGTGCAGCTGGGGCTGCTGATATTGGTGTTGGGTTTGCTGATTTTGGAAAGCGTGCGAGGGAGAGTGGCCGGTGTGAGTCAAGTCCTGCTGATAGTGGTTGTGATGCGATGGGTGATGTGGAAGCGTGCTGCTGTAAGGCGGAAGTGACTGTGGCTCGGTCTCATGTTGGGCGTGAACGCTCAGCAAAGGATGCGGCGTAGCATCACCACGCAGTCCTCCACCTACAGAAACATAAGACGAGGAAGAGGCCGGATACAGCGGTGAGCCGTCGACGTACGTCGTGGTCCGGCCGAAAGCGTCAGGCTGCGAAGGCACGGATGCTGCGCCGTCCATCTCTGGACGATTCAGTCCAGTACCTCTATCTTCCCACTGGCCTAAGCGGGAAGGACCCGAGCCGACGTTATAACCGTGCTGCGCCATGATCTGAGGCAGAGCTGATGAAACAGTCGCTCGTGGGATCTAAGAGAATCAGAAGCGAGCGGCAACAATGACGAAAGTCACAACAGCGCCATCCGCAAGGACGATGTGGATATTCGAGGACAGAAGGAAGGGAAGTGGAGTTAATTGAAGTTGTCAGTCTACGGATCATTGTCATTCTGATCGCATCGACTTAATGGGAGGCCAAGTTCTCGAGATAGCATGTTATCGGTCAATAAGGCGGCTTGCAGCCCAAGAGATGCACACGAAACGACTTCGACTCCATGCAGAAGCCCGCCAAATGGAAACCCGGAAGCGAGGCGCAGGTTGTGTGCATGTTCATCTCATGTGTGGCAACGAGGACAATGGGAACACCATGTCATAGAAGCACGCCGGAAGTCGGTACTACAAGGAGAGGAACTTACGGAATCAAGGAAGCTCCAACCGAAGCACGATTCTCGAGGGGCCTGGCTCTTGATTCTGAAGTGGATAAGACCGACGAAGAAGCCACGACAAGTGCATGGACGGGGAAGCACGGCGGAACACGTTGAACAAGGTGGAAGGGAAGGAAGAAAGGCGGTGAAGATCAGTACCTCGTCTCAGAGCTTTTCTGCGCATGCAGATGAAAATAGAGTAAGCCTGCAGAGTGATGCCCTGGCAGGTGCTGTGCCGCTGAGCCCGGCTAAGACGATACGCGGCTCACAAGGCACGGTAAGCTGCTGTGCAATGTCGTCGAGACATCTGAACCGACGAATCAGGACCATGCGTAGGACCATTCGCCCACCAGCCGAATCATCGGGCCAGCTGATCTTCGCACAAGAGGTGTATGAGGCCCATCAGCCCGCAACACCATTCATGTAATGGGATGAGAAAGCAAGTGGGAGACAAAGGGGGTTTCACTTACGGAGACGTTCTCAATATTACTTCCATATCAATGCTGTCCTTTGTATCCTACGCTTCGACGATGAGGAGCTCTGTGAGAGAGATCAATGCGATTTGGATGTCGAATCGCGGCGAAATTGGGTACGACGTCTGATATGGTGCAGAAGAATGGCGAAGGGAAGGAAGGTAGTGTGGTTGAATGTTGTATGGTTGGTGGCGAGGATGCAACAACTAGCTCGCTCGATGGACCTGAATACGAAACTTGTCGCGTGTACAATGTACGAAGATTGATGAAGCTCTGCAGACCTGGCGGCTTGCCCGTATTGAAACACTGCCAGGTGAGATAGCCAAAAAAAATGATCCTGCCAAGGCCGGTCTCGTGTCGGACGACGACAGCACGTTTTTTGGCGCCGAAGCCCTTTGTTCGACGCCAGTCTGTCTGCGACCCGAGCGACTAGATCAACGGGAGAGACTTTTCAGGAAAGACGTTGCGTCAAGCCCGAGCGAGCTGTTAGTGGCGAAACGCGGACGGATGTGTAGCTAGACAACGCATATAGTAGACAATGGCAGGCAAGGTGCCGAGCAGCGCAGCGTTGTTTAAGTTTCCTTCAATGATCCGGTATGGGTATTCTCGGCAGGAGACAAACATATCCGGAATGGGGTAAGCTGTGACGAGAGGAGGTCAGTCAACACAACTCAGGCCCGCTGCAAAGAAAAGCAGCTTGAATAGCCTTGCGCGAGGGGCCCAAGCAAGTCGCAGCTCGCATCAAGGGTTACCCTCCGCTTTTCTCTACCGAAGCCCGGAAAAAGCGAAGCTATTCGGTTGTTTGTCAGTGCAAACGATCCGCACCACTGTTCAGCAAGGCAGCGGAAGGCGGATAAAGCATTCAAAGACGCTGGGAGGCAGGGACTTGTTGGAGTGTCTACGTGCGATGGACGAGAATGAAGGGTCGGTTGAGGGGGCGAGAGACCCAAGGTGAAGTAGGCAGGTTTGATGGCGGATAGGCGGCCCGGCATAGAGCCGGCTGGGGCGATGGTGGACCGAAAGAAACAAAGGGAGTCTAAGGGTCGCGGGAATGTGCTTCCAAGCATCAAGAACAATGCTTAGACAATGGCGGCAAAGTTTCGAGGTCACAAAATACGATTCCGCAGCAGGTTCGAGCGCGTCAGCAGCAGCAAATACGTGCCCAACAGCCCTTCCAAAGTAAGCGTGCATTGTTCAAGGACCTGACAGGTCGAAATCGGTGACATCGAGTAGTTCGGCCGCGCGCCTCATATCGGGGAGCCCTTCAAGAGAAGACCCACGGCAGCGAAGGGCGGCGAGAGCCTTACAAATGCTTCGGGAATCCCTGCTTCCCGAATCGTTGCGAGGCGAAGAGCAGCAAAACTCCGCCCAACAGCTGACAACGTTTGTATCACGTCGATGAAAGCGAAGGGGCTTGGCAGAGGGCGTCATCGAGGTGTACGACGCGGCCTGGCGTTGCGTGAACGGGGCATTATCGTTTAGCTTTGGGTCCAGTTGGATGCCCACGCTGTGTGGTGGAGCCGACGACGTAGACCCAGGAAGCGGAAAAGGCACCAACTCGGAAGACGAACTTGCTTTTGCCGCCAGACTGAGTGGACGCGAAAAGCGAGGGGGATCCACAAGCTCGGTTACAAATCTCTTCCCCCATGCGGCGCGGGCGGATGCAAGGAAAGAGCGCGACCTATCTCGAATCGGACGATCTCTTCCTCATCAACCAATGAGGCGTCGGAATCGACGAGTGCCATCCGCTTCTCTGCTCTGTGGTGACTACAAACAAACATACTGTACCACGACACAGTTCAACCGAGCCAATCCGTGATTATTTGGTCCAGCATTGCCTTCCATTGACGTTCGCTCCCTCTGCTACCCCTGTCGTGGTGTCTGAATCTTGCTACCGTCGTGTCGTATTTGCGATGATCGCACTGAATCGTCGCATGCTCTCCATCTCTGAACCCGAAAAGGAGCGTCTGATGATCCATTCTGCAACTCGGCGGCAACCCAGGTCAGAATGACACCTTGCACATTGGCACAAAATCAGCCAAGAAAAGGCAAGATAGACGCCAGAAAGCTATAGCAACGAGCATCCATGAGGGTTGCGGCGAGTCTCACCATCAAACTTCATTCGCAGTTCCAATCGATAAACGTCGAAAGTCCCGATCGATGATGGAGTCACCACAAAGGTGGCACAATGTCTCCTTGAGTCCTGGATTCGGCGTCAAGGCGAACAAGGTTGGGATTCTTGTCCCCGACTAAGCGAGTCGGTGTCGTCGCTGTTTGTCTGCTGAACTTGAAAAGTCAATCATTTGGAGTACCATCGGTCGTCAGCAATGTTGACATGCGAACCGTCAACAGCTCGGCAAGAACACGGCGTTCCAGCGTAGAAACTGAGGAGGATGAAGAAATTCCATTGCAAACTCGGATCTCGATGAAATCTCGGTCAGACCCAGCCGTGGCACAACCTAGGAAGGTCCGCCGATGTTGCAGACTGCGATGCCATATTCAGCGCTACAAACGTCTTCATGCGTCTGGAAGACATTGCATGTGTCAGCATGCTCATCAAAATTCATCTTGACTCCGACGTCGTTGCTGCAGGGGCTTCATGATGCCCAACACACGTCGCACTCTCGACATGAAATGGGAAGACGCGTGGGCGCGCATAGATCTTCCATGAGTTGTTTGGTGAAAAGGAGCACAGAAGTTGAAGAACAACGACCCAGATTTCAAGGGGTGTTGACTCGAGTGTTCGACGGTGCTTTCACGCCCTCTGAAGGCTTTTTCACAGCCGCCTTCAACTTAGTACTCATGCCGCGGGGGCGTTCTGCCCCTCGTACCGCATGCTTGATGCAAGACCCACGCGAGCGTTCCCGCCTTGGCATACCTGACGAAGAGGGCGCCTTACATCGTGTGTTGTCCAGAAACTGTGTCGGCTACTGTCTTGATTCAAATACTTGGTAAAGGGACCAACACCTCTAGCTCTTTGAAGGACCCATGACACGAGTTGCAGCGGAACTGTCGATGATGTCGAGGCTTCTGGTCCAGCTCAACCAGCCTCATCTAATAATATTTGAGATAGGTCTTTTTGACGCGCGATTCATCGGCGGGAACTCGCTTGGGGCTTGCACAACGACGTGCTCTCTCTTTGCTTTAGCCGTCGCCTTGTTGGGATACAGGTCTACTGTAAGGCCATCAGAATTTCAACACCGTCAGACCCAAGCACGCGTAGTCCGCTTCCATGACGATCGACAGAATGATGTGACCTTCGTTCGATATAAAAAAGAAATGTTCATTGCTCTAACTGACATTGAAAAAGCCATCTCGATCGAGACGCTTCTGTTCGCATGCGGAGGGCGAGCGAGATTCGGCGCCTGCCTTAGATCCCGTAGGGCTTAAAGGATGGTACGGACGCCGGTGCCACCTCGCTTGCGGGCTCCGGCCTCCGACGTCGTCCCTTTTGCAGTCTAGACTCCCGAAGTTCTCAGCAGACCTCGGTCACCACCACGACCATACGGCAAAATCAGCCTAGTACGGTATTTTCGAACATGTTTCTTCCAAACAAGGATACCTCCACTGAGCAGCAACACTGCGAACCGTATTTCGCCGAGCATCCTCGCGGTCGCAAGGAAAACTCCTTCGCATTGGGAACTCCACATTGATGCTTGCCTTGCTGTGGCCGAATCAGCACTGGCACTGAGGGAGTCTGAGCGCTCAAACAGAACCTCGGAAAACACTCTCGGAGATTTTTGACAAGGCTGTGTCGGGTTGGGGAAAGGAGAGGGGGGAGGGGAGGAAAGGCCTCTTTCTGCTGCATATGCACTAGATGCGTGCTCCAACGCCCCTAGTCAAATGACGGAAGTCGATTGTCTGCGCAAATTCCAGCTCGGGAACACCACACTATCCCTGACACATTGGGAAGCACAACGGTCTGCGAGATTAGAATACCGTCGCAATCAAGTCGGCGATAGAAATGCAGACTTGAAGAGCGCCTGTTCTGTCTCACGTCGACATTGAGGAGAAGAGCGGGTGGCACCCAGAAAAAGGTAGCGCAACGCGGTGAATGCGCGGAAGCGTGGAATTTATTGATTGCACAGAAACCGTAGTATTCGGACTCACAGTTGTAGGCTTTTCCGCAACCATCGAGACCGGAGACTCGATCGACGAGTTCTCGGGTTCGCTTAGCGTTTCGGGTTGCGTTTCCGAGTTCCAGCAATTCGGCCACACAGGTGAATCGCACACAAAGACGAACCCATTTCGCTTCGCCCTGACGAGAGGCGTTTCACCGTTCTTGACCGCACAGATGCAGTCGCGTGATCATCTTCCGCTGCGACGTTCCCCTTTGGCCGCATGAAGTGCAGTAGCACGGAACTTGGCGCGCTCGCTTCCTGTGCGCACGTTGCATCGGGCAGGAGCGTTGAGTTCCGACGCCCACCTTTTTCACACCCAATCTTCTCACCGTGTGAGCCGCTTTGTAGCGTCTCTTCCAAAACTCACCTTGCAAACGTGTCCCAATCTTGATAGATGGGACGAGCGCCGCCAAGACAACGCTGTCTCGAGTCCAGCCGAATGCGGCGCTCACCCAATCCTGCTTTTTTAGATTCAGTCGTGCGACCATTCGGCGCAGAAGCAGTTTTCGGGAACGACACGAGAGAGACCACGGGATCCATGTTTCCATTAACTTAACGAGACCCCGAGCGCGATGGGCGTGGGACGCCGAAGCAAAAAAAAAAACGAGGCGTGCTTTGTCCTGCAGAAGCTTTACGCTCGCTCGCTGTTCTGCATTTGTCTGTCATTCCGTTCCCTTGTGCCTCGGGTAAGTTCTGAGCGGAAGACATGTGCCATCGAACACGCGCTTCCAATGCTGTTCGACAACAACATCAGCTGCTTCCTGCTCTCGAAGAAATCGGCTCGGCGAAATGAAATGGTCTTTTTTTTGCCCTGAGCCCACGTTAAGAAGATCAATTGAGAAGATCAATTGAGACGTCTTCTGACCGCGCTGACTTGAGCAAGCACTGTCTCCCTGCTCACTTTCGTTTATATCGCATGCTGGCACTGACAATGCTTGTAGGTGCAGACGAACTAGGATCAAGACTATCGTTCGGGTTCGGGTTCGGGCTTCGGTTTCGAGTTTGGATACGATCGGCGCAAGGAACAAACACAGGTCCCCAGGGAATGACCCGCGGCTGTAAAGTGGTTCGCGAATCTGGAACCACCAAACGATCGGAGCGCATTTGTCCGAGTCCGAGTCCGAGTCCGAGTCCGGCTTTGACGGTGAGACACCCGAATGTCAGGTCGTAAAACCAAGGTGGTACGATACTGCGTGTCGTCGAGATCATGTTGGCGGGCTGCGTTCATGCCGATGAATAATCCACGCTGACAGCTCCGTCGTGGCAACGATATGCATGCAGTAAACAACACGGCATCGGCAATGCTGGAAAGACGAGCTGGGATTGGCTGAGCGACTTGTTCCGAAGCAGCCGAGCCTAGATGTGTTCTTATGCAAATTGCGAGTTTCGATCCATTGTCCTGCGTAGTGGGAGACGTCGGTGACCGGCGACTCATTCGACTGCAGCTGGGACATTTGCGCAAAGCAGCCGTCGGATCTGCCAGACAAGGACATGCCACTCGGAGAATTGGGATCAACGAAGATGGGTGTTGAGACGGCAGGGTCATGTGCAAGTGCCAAGATCCGTGTCATGCTGACAACGACAAAGGCTGCATGCGTATGCTTTGTATTCTTGGACACGGTGATCCGAGGAGATGTTGTTGTATTGGCTTGGTACCTACGAAGGCAATGTGCGTTTTGAGGTCCTGCTTCAACTGTCTTGCCTCGGCTCGCATACGTGTCGGCTGCGCCACAGGACGACAGAGTCCTTGCCAAACTTGGCCTGGCTTGGAGCGGTCCAATTCGAGTCGTCTTCCTTCTCGAGGACAGCTGGCAGCTCAGACGTGAAACCGAAACCGTCTTCGCCCACTGTCACTGGGGCGATTGTGACGAGCAGAGCATCGATCAGCTGCGGCTGCTTCATCAGGCTATCGATCACGGCTGCACCGCCTTCCACCATAAGTCGCCTGATACCCGCCTGATGAATGACTCGGAGAATTGTGGTCCAATCAAGCAATTCCGCTGAAGAGTTGTCGTGCAGCTTCATCACCTCGACACCAGCCTCCTCGAGTTGAGCCTGCCTTTGAGGGTCGACCGTGCCCGATGTCAGCACCAACGGCTTTCGTCCGATACCCGCACCATAGTTTCGAATCAGCTTGCAGTCGGTTGGCATGCGCAGCCTAGAGTCCAGCACAATGGGTCTCGGGAGCTCCGATGTAGGGGGCGGAGGAGAGAGGAGGCGAGCATTGAGTTGAGGATTGTCGTTGAGGACTGTGCCGATGCCTACCATGATGCCGTCATGGAGCGTTCTCAATTGGTGCGTCAGGAGCATGCTTTCGGGACCGCTAAGCGCCATCTGCGCTTTGCCCGGTCCAGCAATCTTGCCATCTTGAGACTGCGCAAATGTGAGTGTGACGTGCGGCTGTCGATCACTGGTGCTGAATCGAAGATTCTCGTGCAGAAAGCGGGACGCCTGCGTCTCTTCTGCTTCCGTAGGCGACATCGAGGGGACAGGGCTTAACAAGAGCGCACCTCGTCAGAGGACAGCGCTCGGACTGCTGTTCACGATGAGTGGTAGAGACGGCGCGGCTGTGAAGGTGCGCCAACGCGATCCCTGGTGCACCTCAGTCTCTTGCTTGGTACGGCTGTTCCGACGGCTGAAGCTCCGACCCGAGCTCAAATGAAAGGTCGTTGCTGCGTGCGCTAACTGCAGGTTCGATGTGACTGCGCCCCTCTTTCGGCTGAACCGCAGGTGAAGCTGACCAGCCAGCAGTCGTCACCAACTGTGTCACGCCAGCGGAGTGATGAGGCCGTGGCATGTGTCGTAAAGCGTCGCATAGTGTGAACGTGCGAAGCTTTCTTCTGAAATTGTGTGACCCGTGCAGGCCGCTCAGGCCTCCTCGGCTGCGCGCTAAAAGACCCTCTTGAACAATTTAGACGGCGTCAATCTTCGTCTCTGTTGAAGCGGGGGCGCGATACGCGACACAATGCGTCGAGACGCGCTGGAACATCGTGATGGCATATCGCCCTCGTCCAAATATGCCGACCACTCTGTCTTGAGTGCAATCGAGTCGAAAGCGATCCTCGCTTTGCGAGACGTCTGCATGACTCTCGGCGTTGGCATGGTTGTCATTGAGAAGCGTGGGCACCGAAGGATGGATGAAGATTGGCCCCGAGGTGGACCCTGAGAAAAGTGGTCGGCAAACCTGCAAAGCCTAAATTTTCGTCTTCTTCGCGACTTTTCTCCACACGACGCACGCACACCATCACCAACGAGCGATTCGGTCTCGTCGATAGCGCATCGCAGTCCGGCTCGAGCCCCATTCAACTGCCCGCTGCTCATCTACACCTGGGACAGCGAGATCCAGCTTCGGCTGCATTGAAACAAAGACGATCGGTCGTCGCAAACTAAGCTCATTGCGCTCATCCGACCGGCCAAGACGGGCAGCGACGACAGGCCAGCGAGCCTGAAGGTGAACGCTAGAAATGACTACGCAGCTCTCGAACGACGCCGCTACCCATACAGTCGAGGTATCTATCGACGGCAAGCCTGCCTCCATCGGTTGCGACCATGAGTTTCTCTTTGTCGTACGGGGCCGTTCGCGTCAGGCCGATGACCTTGCAAGCAAAGCATACGTGCGCGTGCCCCTCGCCCTCGTTCTCAACGCATCCTTCGTCTCGGACTCAGATGGTGGCTCGCTCCTCGTGCGCCTATTATCGCCGCCAGTACAAGCGCAGAGTCGACAGGCAACCGGTCCATTCTCGCTCTTCAAAAAGGACAAGTTACCGCCAAAATGTATGGAGTCGCTCTCGCAACAAGCCTACGATGCGCTGGTGCCAGCGGAGCGATCCGAAAGACTACGGGAACAGCTCGAAGGGCCGTGTTCTAATCTCCGCCTTGTCAAGATCGAGGCGCGCGTCGTGTCCGTCAAAGATGGAGCCGATGTGGAAGCCAGTGCCCTGGCTTGGGTTGATTTGGTCATGAGCAGAGCCTACCGGCAAGTCAAGCCTTTCAAGCGCGTCAAAGTTCTCATTAATCCTGCCGGTGGGCCTGGAAAAGGTCGTCAGCTCTTTGAGAGCCGCGCTCGCCCCATCCTCGAGGCGGCGGGCTGCAAACTCGACATCACAATCACATCACACCGAATGCACGGCGTCGAGATCGCGCGTGACCTCAAGGTGGAAGACTACGATGCGATTGGTGTAGTCAGCGGCGATGGTCTTCTGCACGAACTACTTAACGGGTTTGCGATTCGCTCGGATGCGACCAAAGCATTGGCTCTGCCTCTGGCACCTATTCCGGCCGGTAGCGGAAACGCCATGTCCATCAATCTTCTAGGCGCACAGCAGGGATTCAGTCTCGCGCTCGCGTGCCTCAACATCATCAAGGGTCGTCCTATGAAGCTTGACCTGCTGAGCGTCACGCAGCCGGCTTCCGCATTTGCTCCAGGTGCGCCGGTGCCCGGACGGCCGCTTGAACGATCCCTTGGCAGACGCGGAGGAAAAGCCGTCCGGGAAGCGACAATCAATGGCGGTCCGATAGCAGCCACGCGAGGCTCGCAAGACGTGGCAAGACTCATCGACGCTCCCTCGAAGCCCTTCGTCCAATACTACTCGTTCCTCTCTCAGGCTATCGGCATCCTCGCCGACCTTGACTTGGGCACTGAGCATCTGCGCGCCCTTGGAGATACTCGCTTCCTCATCGGCTATGCAACTTCGGTGTTGCGCAACGCAAAGTGCGATGTTGATGTCGATATCAAGCTTGGCGCAAGGGGAACTAAAAGCAGGGAAGAGATGCGTCAACGAGTAATCGACTTCTATCACACCAGCCCGCCAACGACCGCCGACCAAAATGGCAAAGACGACCACGCTGGGACTGCAGAGGCCACAAATGGCAGTGACGTTGAAGGACAGAACGTTTCCGCAGACCAGAATGGCCGAAATGGCTCCGCTGTGGGGCTGCTTCATGGCGACGTCACGGAATCTCTTACAACAGATGCAGGCCCGCCACCGCCGTTCGACATGAGCGATCCATCGTGGCCGCATTCTTTGCTCTCCAAGAAGAGCTCTGTACGACAGATTGGCGCAACTCTGCAAAGCTCACAAGGAGACGAGCAAGGGTCGAGTTCAGGCTGGGTCCGCATCCAAGAACCCATTGCAAGCCTGTACGGTGGCAAGCTGCCCTTTGTCAGCCGTGACATGATGCAGTTCCCCTTTGCGCTCCCAAACGACGGCACGATCGATGTTGCCATGATCCTCCACACGGGAGGGCGGGTTGCCAAAGTTCCAGAGACTGGTTATGCAGAGAACGGGCAGATCGTGTACCAAAAGGCCATGACCTATCTCAAGGTCGAGGCCATCCGCGTCACACCGAGACTCAAGGAAGGAGACAAGAAGCTCAAAAATGGCGGACTTATTAGCATCGATGGCGAAAAGGTGCCGTATGCGGCCTTCCAGGTAGAGATAGCGCAGGGCCTCCAGTACTCGGTCTTGTCGCTGTACGGTCGGTTCTGTGTACCCGTCGTGGAACCACCAGCAGCGTCGTGAGTCAAAGTCTCGCTTCCGGATCCAATGACACACGCTCGGCGTCCATGCAATAACATCACTGTTCATCGATACTGATTCTGAGCTCGGCAAGCCAGCTAGTACCGCATGGAACGTAAATGTCGATCCGTCTCGGCATTATGTGGTGTGATGGTTGAGTTCGGGAATAAGGCGATTGATTTTGCGGTGACGTGATCAGCAGGCGAAGTGATCCGCTGATTCGTCTTCCGGTGCTGGGGCTGCAGGGTCTCCATTACACGGCTGGGACGTGCATTTTCGGCTATGCAGTGTATATATATTTGAAGGCAATGCCGCGCTGCTTCTGGTATCCCTTTCCTCTTTCACATCAACGACAGACCAATCAAATATCCTCCGTGGAAGCAAGATGTCGCTTACAGCCGCAGCAAAGCAGATCGTGGTGGTGGTCGGAGCCGGACCCGGGTTGGGCTTCAGCGTGGCTCGCAAATTTGCCGAGCAGGGTCACCCTGTAGCGCTTCTATCGCGTTCCAAGGAGCGTCTAGAGTCGCTGGCTGCGCAGATCAACAGCCTCTCGGGACAGCACGGCCAGGCAGTGGCGTACGCTGTCGACGTCCAGGATGAAGGGTCGGTGCACAACACAATCGAGCAGGTCCAAGAGCATTTCTCGAGCGGCAAGGCGGGATCAGCCCATCAAGGTGCGGCAATCCACACTGGCATTTTCAACCCGGGAGGAGGTTTTGTGCGAGCCGGTTTCCTCGATACCAAAGCTAGTCAGGTCGAGGATGCTTTCAAGACCCAAGTGTGAGTACATTGACACCACCGGGTCCGAAAAGCTAGCCAAAGCGTGCTAACAACAACATGTGCTTCCTTTTCTTTTTCGTCGAACGATGGCAGATACGGCGGCTTTGTATTTTCCCAGGCCATCCTCAAGGCCATCACCTCGAGCGCTGCATTCTCTCAAGCGAGTGACGCAAAAGTGCCGCTGGGCAATATCTTTCTGACGGGCGCCACGGCTTCGATCAAAGGCAGCGCCAACTTTGCAGCGTTCGCTTCGGCCAAGTTTGGACTGCGTGCGCTCGGACAAAGCCTGGCGAGGGAGTGGGGGCCCAAGGGGATCCACGTCTCGCACTTTATCATCGATGGTATCATTGTCACGGAACGGACCGACGCTCTGATCGGCAAGGACTATGCGCCCGAGTCGCGCATGGATGCAGATGACATCGCTCAGGTGTACCTCGACACATTCCGCCAGCCTCGTAGCGTGTGGGGATTCGAGATCGACCTTCGTCCTTCGGTGGAAAAGTGGTGATGGACGATATTGCGGGTTGCATCTGATGTTGTCTGGATCAAGGCTCTTATTGGTAGAGCAGACGTCCAAGCGTGATACTGTACCTTGACCGTATTTGATAGCCGGCTGAGGCGACTTTGTGGAGCGGCTCGAGCCTGCGGCCGGCGAATTTGACTTGCCCAATGCGCGAGAATATATTTTTTTATCTTGAATAAAATCGGCATTGGCATCCGGATGACGCTCGCAGCAGCGCGTGTGAGTGAATTTACTGCGAAAGGCGCATGTGACAGGGACAAGAATGATGACCCGCGCTCGGCTGCTGAAGGACGAAATTGAGCTGCATGGTCTCGATTGCTTGTCGCTGCGTCGTGCGAGGTCATCGTCGTTCTTCCACCTCGTAGCGGGAACATCCAGCTGCGCCGACATCTCATTCCGACGCGTTGACCCTCAATCGCCACCATGCCGTTCCACAATCCATTGGCGAAGCAACCCGAGTCGTACGTCAAGAAGAAGGAGTATGACTTTAAAAAGACGCTCGGAGAAGGCACATTCGGCATCGTTCGCCAAGCAACGTGGAAGGCAGCGGATCCGCCCATCAATGTGGCGGTCAAGGTGATCAGCAAGCGCATCCTGCGCGGTCACGACGAGATTGTCAAGGACGAGATGAACGTGCTCAAGGGTCTCGATCAACCGCACGTTGTCAAGTTTCTCGACTGGTTCGAAAGCAAGGACAAGTACTACCTCGTGTTTGAAGAGGCGACCGGCGGCGAACTCTTCGAGCGCATCTTGGAACGCGGCCGATTCACAGAGCTGGATGCGTGTAAAACGATCCGTGCGGTGCTCTCGGCGATCCAATATCTACACCACCACAACATTGTTCACCGCGACATCAAGCCGGAAAACATCCTGTACCGAACCAAGGAAGAAGATGCCAACGTGGTGTTGGTCGACTTTGGAATCGCGGCGCATATGAAGAGCGACGAGGAGGTGCTGACGTCGGTGTGCGGCAGCTTTGGCTACGCTGCGCCCGAGATCCTCGCCAAGAAGGGACATGGCAAAGCGGTGGATATGTGGAGCTTGGGTGTCATCACGTACACCATGCTCTGCGGCTACACGCCGTTTCGCTCGGACGACGCGGCGGCGCTGGCGGCCGAAACGCAGCGCGGCAAGGTCGAGTTCCACGATCGATACTGGAAGAACGTCAGCAAGGAAGCCAAGGACTTTGTCAAATCGTGTCTCACCGTCGACCCCAAGAAACGGCTCACTGCGGACCAGGGCATGTCACATCCATGGCTCACCGAGCACAGCGAGGAGACACAGGGCGTGCACGACATCTCGGCTGGATTGCGCGAGAACTACCGAAAGCGCTGGAAGTCGGCGATCGCGGCGGTGCGTGCGTCGACCAAGTTCCGCACATTTGCGCAGCTGGCGAGCGAGAGCCGCTCGGAAAGCCAGGCTTCTTTGCAGACGTCGGGTGTCTCTTCGGATTCATCTTCGGCGTTTGCAGACGAGGCAGGCAAGATCTCACCGCCTACCAAGCGCGAGCTGTACAGCGAGAGCGAGGACGAACAGGACGGAGACGCCAGCGAGTGGTTCGATACCGAGGACGGCGATGCGGCTGCGACAAAGGGCCGTGACGCAGGGAATACGGAAGCTTCATCAAAGAACTCGAGTAAGGAACCGGGGCTGGTCGAGAAACTCGAGAACAAGCTTAGCGATCTGAACCTATCTTCGTCCAACAAGTAGTCGCTCTGCTTGGTTGTGTCGTCGTCGTGGTTCCCGTGCTCTCATCTCTTCTTACAGTTTCGTTCTTGTGTCCGTTTTGCAGTGCCGTCTTGCAGTGTCTCTTGTAATTTATGCCGAGCCGTGTCGTCTCACTCGTTGGTGTCTGGTCCGTCCCCACGTCTTTTTGAGCGCATCCGAAATTCCACGTTGCGTCAGAAATCGAGCGCAAGAATTCAGGCAGTTTAAAATAAATAATTCTACAGCGGCGACAAAAAGTGAGACCGACACGCGGACGGTGCAGCGAGTACGTCTGACGAACGACTCGATTCCTATGCGCGTCATCAGTAAAGTGGGCGCGCCGGTCATCCGAAGAAATCACAGCAATCAGCTGTCGCTCTTTGCATTTTCTTCGCGTCTTCAAAGCTCGAGGCGGTACACAATGCTCCGAACGCCAAGCTCTCGGAGCCACAATCTCTCCAGCGAGCTCACCAACGCAGAACTTGTGGCTGACATTGCAGCCAGATGATCTCACATGCACAATGTGTGGGACAAAAGATAGGATTTTCATTTTGAGATGTGAGCATCGCATGGACCCTCTGTCAGGACAACTTGACCAACACACTTTGCATGCACGAGCCGTTGCCGCGTCCTGCTCTGAGTGTGGCACACGCATTCCATCAACCTCACCAGTTACAGTATCCTCTTAGACAAATCATATCTCGCTCGTCCCAAATCTTCGAATCAATACTTGGCCGACCAACACTCTGCCCTTCCACCACCGTCGCCCGCCCGTTCCTGGAAACTCGGTCCCTTGCTGTCGTTCGCATTCACCCGCGCAGCCGCTGGTGCTTGCGACTCGTCGTCGCACCTTTGGCAGCTACGAATCTGTCTCTTCGATTATTCGTCCGGCCTGACCCCAGCTCATGTCCTCGTCGGCAGCTCTCAACGACGCCCTTGCCGCGACAACTTCTCCATCCCCTGTGAGCGATCGTGCTCTGACCGACTCACGTCTTGCCAACGTCGCCTCTCGCGGGAGAGGCCCAAGCGCTGACGAGGACAAGCAGATCAAGGTCGTACAGCACAAGAAAAGTGGGTCGACGCTCGCTCACAAGCGTTCCGTCAAGTCGATCACCGAGGAGTACGAACATCTTGAGGAGAACTCCATCTTCTTGCGTCCCCCATCCCGCTCCTCTCGCTCCTCCTCGCCGACCTCTCCAGCTGCGCAGCTGTCTCCACCAGGCTCTAGCCTCCATCACAGCCTCGACGTACCCCAAGCTCGGAACACACCTGCTCTCCACAAACGCAACTCGTTCTTGCTCCCCGAAAGCTCGGAAGGCGCCTCTCCTGTGGATACACCGCCTCGTCCGAGAAGCCTAAGCAGCAGCTCCGGCACGACGCTCTCTAGATCGCCATCCATCAGACTCGCCAGCGGCTCGTATCCATCGACACTCCAACCACCGTCCAGAAAGTCTTCCACGTCTTCCATCCGTTCTCTGCCAGAGCCTCCCCCGCAGCTCAGTCAGCTTGCAGACAAGGCGTCCGTCGCGGGTCCTACAAAGGACGACCAACTGCAAGTCATCGAGTCAGTCGTCGTCATGGGCACACCTACAGCTCACACTTCGCCCAATACGGCTTCGGCCCAGACCGAGCATCCAGAACCGAATGTCGGCCAAACGAATGGCTCCACGTCTGCCGCGGACACCATCGCGTCGGAGGTTGCCAACGATGACGCGCTTTACGAGGACATGGACACCGTAGCCGACCTCAGCAGCTCTCACGCCGATTCGGGTCTGTTGTCTGCCTCTGATGCTGTCGACTTCTCCAAAATGACCCTTGCAGAGAGGCGCGAGCATTCGCGAAGACACTCGCATGTGCACAGTCGCAATCTGAGTGTCTTCTTCCCACGACCAGGCACCGAAGCCGAAGCGGAAGCCGATGCTGCCAAAGCACGCGAGCAGTTCGAACATGGCGCAGATACCGCCGCTGCCTCTACTTCTTACGCTACTGGTACGATGGGAAGCGATGCAAAGGTGCATCGCCGCGGTGGAAGCGGCAATCGTCCACAGATCACGGTCAGCACAGATACTGCTACACTCTCGCCTCGATCCGCCAGCTTTGCCGCGCTCACCGCCAATCAACAGCGCTCGAGCAACAGCAGGCTCGAGACGCCGAACCAGCTAGGCAGCGATCTCTCGCCGAGCCCGACAAAGAGCAGACGCGGACATCACCATCGTCACAGCGTCGCTATGCTCGACTCGGGCCTGAGTCCTGTCACATCCATGCACAATGGCCACGCGATGGAGAGATCCACGTCATCCACGTCTTACTTTTCCGAGACCTCGCATGCAGCTCCCTTCGACGCCACTCACGATCACCATTCACACGATCACAGTCACAGTCACGGTCACGGCCACCAAGTCAAACGATCGCTGCACGCGCGAACAGTATCAGCGCTAGGTCATATCCCACAAGCGTCGCGGCCGCTCTTGTTGTTCGGAATCTCTCACTTTGGCCTGGGTGCTGGGCTGTGGATGGCAGGGCAGGAGGCAGACTCTCTCTCGGCCACCGGTCTGGGCTATCTGGTGGTGTTCGATGCTATGGGTATCCTCAGCAGCGCCATCTCAGATTGGGCGCTCGAGTGGGAGCAGCACGCCAGTGATCTTCGTAGAAGGAGAGGCAAGCCCGAGGGTGCTACAATGAAGCGTCCTTACGGCATGCACCGCGTTTCGACTTTGCTGCACTTTGTGCAAACCATTTACCTGCTGTTTGCCAGCGTCTATGTGCTCAAAGAGTCGGTCGAGCATGCACTGCTGGAAGGCGGCGGTAGTGGAGACGTTCAAGGCGGTGCGGATGGTCTGATGGAGTCGGCTTCGGGACACGATCATTCACACGCGCATGCCGAGCACTCGCTGGGGATCGTGATGCCCAACCTGCTGCTGGCTCTGTCGCTTGCTGCTTGCGTCGTGTCCAACATTGTGATGGGCAACCACGCTAGGTTGGTGGCTGCTTGTGGCATCAGCACCGCAGCGTCGGGTGGCTCGTCGGGAGGGCCGCGTCACGGACGAAGCGGGTCGGTGCTCATGCGTCCGTCGGAGCTGGCATCGCCGCTGCTGGCCCTTTTGGCCAACCCGTTCAGCTTGACGGTGCTGTTCTTCAGTTCGGCATTGCTGTTTGCGGGCTTGACGATGCCGTCAATTCAGGTGGCGGCGCTGGACAAGGTGCTTGCGGGGCTCGAATCCGTTTCCATGTTTTACGTCGCCTATCCCGCATCGGTAGCGTTAGGCAAAGTGTTGCTGCAAACGGCGCCCGCAGACGCTTCTCCGAACAAGCAGCAGCTCAAGCGTGCGCTCAAGGTGGTGGAGCAAAACCCACTCGTCTCGTACGTCCCACCGCCCAACGTGTGGCAGTTGACACCTCCCACCTCTGCCTTGGTTCAAGCGGATCGTGGATCCGGCATGCTCTCCGGTTCCAGCGGTAGCGGCGCAAGAGGGGTGCACTTTGGCAGCAAGAGCGCATCTTTGGTCGTTGCAGTCACGGTGTTTCTGCGGGCGGAAGCATCGGATGAGGACTGCTTCGAGATGACCAAATGGGTGTGGGAGAAGTTGGCGCCGAGTGTGGGCGCAGGGAGGGGACTGATGGCGGGCGAGATGCTGCGCGGGACGCAGAGAGCAGGAGAGCTGACCGTGTGTGTCAAGAGGGAAGGGCACGAGGAGGATGGCGCCGAGCATGGCTTTGGTGGATGTGCGCATGATCATGGGCATTCGCATGGTCACGACCATCATAGTCACGATCACCACCACGACCATGGTCACAGTCATGGTCATTCTGCACACTCGCATGATCACAGTGGACACGACCATTCGCATGATCATGGCCATCATCACCACCATCATCATCACTGAACTATGGTCCCTTCACCATCTCGGACTATTTCACACTCGTCTATCATTTGTCATTCAATACAACAGAGAGGAAGGAGCAACATCTTATATGATGTATGAGAATACACTGAGCGAGAGTGACAGACACGGCTAAGCATTTTGTCGGAGTTGGCCGGTCGCATTGGGTAGCTGAGATTCCGAGACTGCACGTGGGCAGAGGCTTTTTTTTTGGTGACTCGTTTCGCAAGCACAAAAAGATCGTCGCGTATCGTGATATCAGATCTGCAACTAAAATTAATTGTTCTTTCAGCGGGCCACCCGATCCACAGCCGATCTAGAAGAAGGACGCAAGAAGAAAAAGTGTTTGAACAGCAGCGGCGGATCTTCGGATACATCGTGCATGGTGTGATGGGAACAAGGATCGTCGATTTTCCTACCATCACTTTCTCATACCATCACGCATATCACCCTCGCGAGCTCCACTTCTTACTTCTACAACTCTTCGCTTGACACAAACGCTCGCAATCTCCGCATCTTCTGTCGCACCTCGAACATCCATAGACAACCGCGTCAGCTCTCTTCATCAACCAAGTTAGAGCCATCGCATCAGATCCGCAGCGCAACTCACACACAACTCGTCCAGCATGTCGAATCTTCTCAGCGCCGAGAACTTGAACGGGCGGCTCCTGTTCGCCATCCCAAAGAAAGGTCGCCTCTACGAGAAGTGTCTCGAGATCCTCTCTGGAGCCGACGTGCAGTTCAAGCGACAGCACCGACTCGACGTAGCGCTCGTCCAAAACCTGCCCATCGCACTCGTCTTCCTCCCTGCTGCCGACATCCCGCGCTTCGTCGGTGAAGGTAACGTCGATCTCGGAATCACCGGCCAGGACATGGTCGCAGAAGCCGGCGAAAATGTCTCCAGCTTGATCAGCGAAGAGCTGCAGCTCGGATTCGGGAAGTGCTCGCTCCAAGTCCAGATCCCCGACCCTTCCCTCCCGGCAAACGCACAAAAAACGATCAAATCCGTCGAGGATCTCGTCGGCAAGAAGATCGCCACCAGCTTCGACCACCTCGCCGGAAAGTACTTCGCCGAGCTCGATGCCAAAGTGACCTCGGCACGTCAACTCTCTGGAGCGTTGTCGCAAGGCGAAACGCTTAAAACGCGCATCGAATACGTCGGAGGCTCTGTCGAAGCCGCCTGCGCGCTCGGTCTCGCCGACGGCATCGTCGACCTCGTCGAAAGCGGCGAGACGATGCGCGCGTGCGGCCTCACACCCATCGCCGACCTGCTCGTCAGCCAAGCCGTCCTCATCAAATCCAAAACCCCGCACTCCCGTTCCGACACAAACCTCATCCAGCTAATCACCGCCCGCATCCGCGGCGTCATCGCCGCAAGCAAGTACGTCCTCTGCCAGTACAACGTCCAGAAGAAGGACCTTCCACAGGCCCTCGAAATCACCCCGGGCCGAAGAGCCGCCACCGTCTCCCCACTCGAGGACGCAGATTGGAACGCTGTCAGCTCCATGGTGCTCAAAGCTCAGGTCGCCACCATCATGGACAAGCTCGAAGCCATCGGCGCTAGCGACATCCTCATCGTCGGCATCAACAACTGCCGTGTCTAACTTAACCCACATCCATAATCTTGCACACACCATGGCATTGCGTTGATAGCATTGTTCATTTCCTTTGAGACGATTCCTGTTCCGACTTCCATTCCGTTTTGAGCTACTCGAGCCTGTCGCGACCCAGAATGTTCCCAATCTCTCGTCTAGGCTGCAGCCACCCCAAAAACGACGGGAACCTCCTGCCCATCCCATCCGCATAACTCGTAAACGCCGTCGAACTCGACAGCTGAGAAGAGACCGATTCCGATCTCTTCCTCAACCTCGCCTCCGTCATCTCCGACTCGCCTTCGTCGATCGACAATGCCGGAAGGAGCGGTTCAAAGCCATCCGCCTCGCTCTTCTCCAACAGATAATTGGCAAACGTGATGAGGTATCCGTACCTCTGCAGGTAGTTGGTGAAGACTGTGCTGAGGTGCTTGTGCTTTTTGGTTCCGGGCTCTGCATTGTCGGCGCGCAGCTTCGAGTCGTAGATGGCTTTGCGAAGGTTCTGCACCGCTTCCATACGGTCGATCGCCCTGTCCGTGAGCTTCTTGGCCAATTTGCCGTGGGACAGCACTCCGACGAGCTGCAGGATCGTTCGCCACTCGCCCTGCAGGTGGAGATCATCCTCGCGGTTGTCCAGGTTGTCCTTCGGCTGACCGAACGCTTCATCCTCGGCGTCATTGACAATCTGCGCACCTGCTACAGCTTCATCGCTGGATGTAGAGGTAGGAAGCACCATCGATCCCGACATTTCGTAGCTCGAAACCAGTTGATCGCCATAGTGCCACACGGTCGAGACCAGCGATGCGATCACCATGCCGGTGGTCGTGCGTCCTCGACCCATCTGACAGTTGAACACGCAGGCGGATCCGGTCTGCAGAGCCGTGATCACCCTCTCCTCAAGCTGCGAGAAGACGGCAGGCACCGGCGCCTGCTCGTCCGTGATGGCAAGACGAGCGTAGTCTACCTTGTATCCCTCGCGTTGCACCAGCTCGTACACCTCGCGCGGAGTCAGCACATCTCCGTCCTTGACCGTCTCCCAGACGGGGATGATGTCGAACTCGCCCTGACGAATCTCGGTTTCGTCGTGTAGCAGCACACGTCCACCGCGTTCGGCGGCCTCTTTGAGCATGTCGTTCTTGAGCGCCAGCTCCATCCCTTCCACGACATCCGTGGTCACGCCAGTGGCCTCGATGTTGGTGATGGGCTGATCGGCAAGTCGCAGCACGTGAGGGCGGCCGTTGACGTACAGCACAGGCTCTTCTCGCAACGACGTCCAGACCACCTTGGCAGGCCCATTGGGCGCCGCACCCATGCGCGTCAGTCCGCGTCGCAGACCGTCCACGGTGGGCATGCCCGAGCCCCACGTTTCGCGACCGTACGTCATGAGCGGCGTCTTCGGCGTCATTGGCGTCGAAGGCTGATTCGGTCCATTGGTTTGATTTGGTGGAGTCAAGAGCAGCGAGACACCGCGCAAGTTGGGCATGCCCTCGATGCGTTCCGGAAGGCCAAGCTTGAGGATTCCGCTGAAGAAGTCCGACTTGAGCATCGTGTAGGCGGAGAGGATGCTTCCGCTGCGGTGCGAGACCACGTCCTGCACCTCGTCTGAGAGAGCCATACCGTCGCTGGCGTCCACCTTTTGCAGCGGCATGATAGTCGAGATGTCGATTTTGTCGAATTCCTTGGCGATGGTCTCGAAAACGGGTTGACGGTTGACGAAGGATCGGAAGCTGGGAGACGCTTCGAGCAAGTCCGGGCGAGTCTGTGTGAGGTACGACTGAAAGACGATGAGCAAAAAGTATCGTCGAAGGTTGTGGATGGCACTCTGGATGCGCTTCTTGCGCAACGCTTCGTCTTCAGTGTCTTCGGCCGCGAGACGAGCTTCCTCGATGGCTTCGCGCAGGTTGGTGACAGTGGCACACTGATCGATGCAATCGTCCACCATCCTCTTGACCTCCAAGCCTCTTGGAATGACACGCAGCAGACTGTTGATGAGGTGATAGCTGAGCGGAGCACGTTTGGGCAGCTGGCTGCTGTCTGTAGCTTCAGAGCCTACAGCATCGTCGAGCAGGTCGGCGTGGAGAGTGTTGCGTGCGTCTGGCGTCGCCGAGCCACTAGCCTGAGCCGATTCCGAAAGTCGGAGTCCGTCCGAGCTATTGACGGCCCCGTCTGAATCCTTTGAGTCCTCCCCACGGTCACCAATTTCGTGCAGTCTCGATTCCGGAAGCTGCCTCTGTCCCTGCTGAAGCCATCTGGTAATCATGAGGATCAGAACAGCGGTCATGGTGCTGCGACCTCTTCCGAGCTGACAGTTGAGCACGATGGGCTCTCGCTCCACGTTGGCTTGCAGCACTGCCGAGAGCAACTCGCTAATGTCGGAAAAGTCGGGCGGCTTCTCTGCTGTCATGGGGATCCTTCGGAAGCGCAATTGAACTTTGTCCTTGAAATCGGCGCCGATGTGCGTCATGATATCCTGAACGGTATCCACATCGGATGGAGAGGCCTCCTCCCAAATGGGGATGACGGTGCCGTCCGACGTTTCGGTGTGCAGCAGAAGACGTCCTTCACCAGACTCGAGCTCATTGACAACGTCGTTTTTCAGACGATCCTCGAGCAAGAGGAGACGGTCCCAGTTGATGCCGCTGTACGCTTTGATGTTTCGGAGTGACATGCCCTTTTGACGAAGGCAGTACGGTTTGCCGTTGACGTAAACGATCGGCTCTTCTCGAAGGTTGATCCAGGTGACGGTGCGAGTGGGTTGGCTCGATGCGTCGGCCTTGCTCGCATAATGCTCTTGCAGAGCTGTGACGACGTTGCGAATGCCATCGACGGTCGGTTGGCCGGTAGCAAAGATGTTGCTGCCTGGAATACGGCGGAAGTTGACGGTTCCGCGGATGGGAAGACCAGCATTGCGCTCGATGAATTTGCGCCAGATGTCGCATTTGAGAAGGGTGAAGGGACGCAACACAATGCCTGCACGATTGCGGATCACATAATCAGCGAATTCGTCTCCGGGCACCTGTGCTCCTTGGCCAGAGACCTCGCCGAAACGGCTCTGAAGCTTCTCGGAAGTGGCGACAAGCTCGCCCGCTTTGCCACCGCTGAGGATACGCAGGTCACCGACTGGGTCGAAGAAGTAGAGACGACGACCCTTGGATCGGATCAGCTGGATTCCTCGCCAGATCTCGGCACGATTTTTGAGCCAGTTGGCGAAGCGGTGTTGGAAGGTGGCCGTTTTGCTGGCATTGACGTAGCTGGCAAAGGCCACGAGGAAGAAGTACTTTTCGAGCGACTTGGCAGCTTTTTCGAGATGGAGAGCGGCCTGAGCCTCATCAAGCGCGTCTGTCGAGTATCGGATTCTGGAAGAGAGGATGGTCTCTCGCAGATTGGTGACGTGAGCACAGCAGTCGATGGCAACATCGACGATAGCCTTGTTTTCGAGACCTTCGTCGAGGAGACCAGCGAGCTGTCTGATGATGCCGTAGTCACCCGAGTTGGCCTTGCGAAGCGACTCGAGCAATGCCGGGTTGGAGAGTAGGATTTCGATGGTAGACTGCGAATCGCGGGTCGAGAGACTGACGTTGAGGACACGGATGAGGCGCAAAAGGGAGAGATTCTGCGCTTGCTGTTCGCTTGCCTGTCGAAGGGAGCGAGCGACACCGGAGTGAGGCGTGCCGCTCGCAGGCGTCTGAAGTGGTGACTTTTGCTGTTCAGAGAGGGGGGCAAAGGGATCGTCGTGGCCGAGGAGGAGCATCTGCTTCCTTCGAAGGATGACGGCGGCCACCATGGCAAATGTGGTTCGAGTGAAGCCGATACCGCAATTGGCCACAAGACTTGTTTCGGTTGGATCGAGGTCTTTGATGACCTGGGTGTAGGCGTCCAAGTAGTTGTTCTCGAGGGCCTGGTCTTCGGCAATCGGGATGCGATGATAGTCGACACGCCAGCCCTCTGATTTGACGCGGTCCCAGACCTCGCGCACAGTGTGAACGGAGGCTTCGTCGACGGCAATCCAAGTGGGCTCGATCTGACCTGATGCTGTCTCTTCGTGCACCATGACCAGGCCTCCGTACTTTGACGATTCGCGCAGAATGTCATGTTTGAGACGAGACTCGATGGCTTCGAGGTTGTCGGCACGCATGCTCAGCTCAAAGGTGCTGACTGGACGCTCTGCTTCTCGCAGCACGAACGGTCTGCCACCTACGTAGATGACGGGCTCCTCCCTGGTGCAGACCCAGACGCATCTTCGGACCTTTTCAGATGCCGAAGGTCTGCCTGCGTTGGTTTCCGCAGAAGCAGCCGGTCCTTGAGCAAGCGAAGGCGAGCTAAGAGGGGAGCTGACGTTGGGCGAAGAGGTGGATCCGTTCGGTGCTGCATGTGGTGGTAGGCGTAGTTCGAGACCCTGTGTGCCATTCGTATGCTTGGTGGGCCGGGCGTTCAAAACAGAGAGGATGGTTTTGAGACCAGTGATGGTTGGCTGAGCTACGCCGTACACCTCGAGGGAGCAGTCTGCCTTGCGAAAGTTGGGAGCACCTTGGAGATGGAGGTTGAGGTGAGCATGACGGGCGCCACCGGCAAAGTGGTCGGTCTTGAGGATGAGGCCACGATTGAGCACGCTTCCTTGACGATTGCGTACGACGCTGTCTTCGCGCTGTGCCCAAAGTTGAGCACCCACCTTGCCGAAACCATCAGAGCCGAGGAGATTGGGTCTTGGGCGAGTGGAAGAGGAGGCCGATGCTGATGATGAAGAGAGGGAGCCGAAACTGATGGGTGGGTGCCTCAAGTCCGAGCGTGAAGGTAGGCGGATGCCTGGGGCAGCGTTCATGGCCTCGTGCTGAGGTTCTGGGAGGGGCGATGACAGCGCAGGCACATCTTGATCGTCGCTCAAGTTAGCCGGGGAAACGTCTTGTCCAGCGACAGGTGTTGAGGTCATGATTGGCCTGGATAACAGCGACGGACCGTCCAGGGTTCGTCCGCAGCCGTGTCGAGATGCTTGGAAAGGATGGCGTCTCGAAGCAGTCAAAACGGACTTCCTTACGGCCTACAAGCGATAAGGACAGAGAATGGAGATTACGGCGGTGATGGACGGGAAGAAGGCAGTAGGATAACAAATGGCCTATCGAAGTAGGTCTTCGTGTCACGGACCCTGAATCGGCCAAAGTCTGGCTGGGCCAACCGCAAAAACTCGATTTTGCCTTTTAGCGCGTTCCGCTGCTCCACTACACTGCTAGCTGGCACTTACACTCTTTCACCTCTTGTACTCACGGAGAAGACCGAACGCTGACCGAACATCCGCTCGCCCCTCTGTGATGGCTTCTCTTGTCCCTCGTGCTCTATCTGCCTCTGCCTCTCTCATGCAAAGACAGGCATGATCGGCAATGCTTCCAGAACCCGCAACCGCTCCATAGTTCCGACCCTCCGGTCCGTCCTGCCGGCAACCGATTGCAAAGCGGCTGCGTGCGAGCGTGTGTCACCTCCACATCGAGAAAGTTCGTGGTCTAACATCCTGTGATTGTTCGGCGATAACCCGTTGCATGAGCGGTGCAGAAGCTCGGCGAATCACACGCGCCACATCACAGCGAAAGTGTGAGTGAGTTTTGCACGTCAAGCGTGCACTCTCTCGTCATCATCGGCTACCAGGCCGAGCTCAGTCGGGACAGACTCACCCTCACCCTCACACATTCACACACCCTCGCTGACCTGATTTCACCCACCCAAGCTATCTCATCAACCACCACATCCGCATACTCGCATCTTTAGCAAAGCCAAGTCAGCATCTTCATCGCATAACAGCATCGTGCCTGTATCACCTCGCGCTCACACGCCACGCCAGCAAACATTGACTCTGCAGAGATCCCCTGCCTTCACACGAAAGCCTTGACAATTGGCTGCTCTCTCTGATCTTTCACTCGACCGATTGCGCTTCCACATGCAGCCGCTAGAATAGGCTCCCTCCACAACGTGCTCGAGCTGGCTCGCCGACCCGACGCTTGAAACAACCGTCGCCATGGGTCATGCACAGTCCCGGTCCCAGCATGACGGAGACCCAGGGCACGCTCGCCAAGATGCTACCATCCCCTCAGATGTAGCTTCGCATCGTACCGGTGCAACCAATGACAACCCAGCGAGCCACCATAACAACACCGATGCTGGAGTCAGCAGCAGCAGCCGAAAGCGACGTCGCGACTCTACATCGGTCGGCGACCCGGCCAACTCAGGCGCCGATCATGGTCCGCTCTCTCAGAGGCGAAGAACCTCACTTTCGTCCGACTCGCAGCCACAATCGAGTGCAGGCTCCATCTTGGCGGGCACTCAGCCGCTTCCGCCGTCGATGGACTTGGATGTAGCGCAACCTCCTCTTCCTTCTCCGCCAATAGCAGCAGGCTCCACAGCCACAGCCGATCTCCAGCAGAGATTGGACGCTGTTCAATCCCGAGGTGACACGCCTTCCGCAGTCGAGGGTGGCGCCACGCCGCCTCCGCACCTGGATGCTCTCCGCGAAGAAAGAGAACGCGCGCGACGACAGATCCTCGAAGCTCTCGGCTCGGCCCCCGCCTCTGTTCCTTCCGTGCCGACGTCAGCTCTGCCGTCCAGTCAGGGTGTTGACGAGGCGACAGCACCTTCATCATCAGCACGACAAGCACCTTCCTCCATCACCACTGATGCTGCTGCGTCTTCCACGGGTTTGGCGTCGGCCTCCATCGCAGCATTGATCGGAGGATTGGCGACGGCACCTTCAGAAGCTCCCGCAGCCTCGACGTCTTCAACCAACAATGCTGCTTCTGCAGCGTCGACTGCTTCATCTCAAGCCCAGTCCCAACAGCAACAACCACAACAGCAGCAGCAACAATCTCAGCAGTCCGCACGACCTCAGGCTTTCCGCGTTCCCCTGCAGCCGGAAATGATCAGCGGCACCTCTATGGTCGTTCAAGGCGCTCTTGTTGCTCGTACCCTTGCTGGTCGACCAGCATCGTCGGATTCTTCGTCGCCAACGGAATCATCTAGCGAGTCGGTCCCAAATGCGACTTTGAACCAGCCGAGCGCGACATCTCAGTCCGATGCTGCTATGGGCGCATCGGCCGGTGCCCGGAGCTTTCCCGACACCCCCGCTGCGGCGCTTGAGGGTGACAGCCTGCGCGGAGCGGTGACGCTCGAGGAGCAGGCCGTCATGCTTAGCCGCATTCTCGGCATTGCTGCCGCAGCCACTGCTGCATCTCTGCTCAACACGTCCGAAGCTCAGCACGTAGACCCATCCCTCCTGCAGACAAGCCTTCGGCGACCGTTTGAGCGCATGAATCAGGCGCCTAGCGGCCCCAACGAACGCTGGCTGGCCGACTGGCAGCGCGCTGGCACCACTCGCCGATCATCTTCTAACGATCCCAGCAGCGACTCGACGTCAGCGCAGCCTCACTCGCCATCCTCTCACAGTCTAGGCTATGGCCTTCGAAGCCGACTTGCTTCCTTCTCTCGCCGTGTCCACAGCGCGACCGCCGCCAGAGAATCCGCCGAGGCTCGTCTGGGTAGCGCCACAGTCAATGGAACGGGCGACACGAATGCAAGCAACGGTCCAGAGGCGACATCGACAGCCACATCCGAGAATGGCACGACACCGAATCAGACAGACAGGCGACAAGAGATCATCGCGCACCTTTTGAGTGCGGCAGAGCGCGAGGCAGCGTCGCAGAGACTCACCCGTTTACGATCAGCCGATCCATCGACGGCTTCGGTAGCAACCCAGCCTAGTGACGGCGTTCGCTCGTCAAGTTTCAGCGCATCTCGGCCCCTTGCTGATAGTGCACAGCAAGACGGGCCGCGAAGCAGTCTTTCTCGGCTTGTTCGATCGACCATCGGAACGTTCCTGCATCCAAGTCGGCTTCTTTCCAGTCGGAGCGTGTCATCGGCAGACACGCAGTCACCGAGTTTGGATCGAGACGGCTGGACAAGAGGGCGAGGTGGTCGGCTGGGTTCGAGCGCTTCGGGTGTCCCGTACTCTGACTTTTCGCTCGGTCCCAACGATGTCTCGGGCACGCTGCGCCAGGTGCGGAACGGGATCTTGCCCGATGGCGTCCCGGGCAGCTTCGGCAGCTTCCTCAATCACCTGGTCAACGATCTCATGGCGGCCGTGCAGCTCATGCGACCCTCGAGCGAGGAAACGCTTCCATCTGCACCGGAAGCGCCGTCAGCACAGACGACCAACTACTTTGAGAATGCATCTCACAGGGACACCACGTCCGGCGCAGAGGTACTGGACGGCGAAAGTACGCCCAGTCAAGCGCAATCTCGATCAGCGCATGTCTCTACCTCGTCGCACAACGACCCACCCAACGACTCGCAGACGAACCCTGGCGAAGAAGACGTCGAGACGCAAGCGAGGCGGCAGCGCGACTTTCAACAGGGTAATCTCTCATTCTTCCGGCTCTTCCGATTCGATCCGGTTGCGCCGTCGCAGCTCGTGCCGTGCATCGTGGTCGGGGTGCGCAGTCTCAATGTCACCGAACGCTTTGGCGAAGAGATGATGAGAAGCGAAGCGACGGGACCGGGACGAGATGCGGGCGGATCACGACAACAGACCTCGCGACCGACGTCGCTTGGTTCTGCTGGACCGACTTCTCCACGTCCTCGTCAGCGTTCTCAGTCGGAAGGTCCCGCGCCGACTAGGGCTTCCGCCGAGAGCGGATCTGCCGAGGCCGAGGGAGAGGGACAGGATCTGCCGGCATCTCGCTTCATGCTTTTCGTGTCTGGCGGGCGCTACCCACCCAATCATCCGCTGTTGACGTCGAATCCGACTACAGCCGGACGCGATCTCATGATGCTGATGGATCTGTTGAGCACGATGCAAGCGATGCAGCACAAGCCTAGCACCGTGACGCAACGCGAGATCGACGCAAGCGAGCTGCTCAAGGTCAAGGGTTCGCAAGTGCCGATCATGGTACGTGATGGCAAAGTGACTGAGAACATGGCAGAGCGGTGTCTTGTCTGCCTAGAAGATTGGCAAGACGACGATGACTGCCGCGTGCTCGCATGCCGTCACGCTTTCCACACTTTGTGCGTGGACCGGTGGATGACCTCGTCGTCCAACACGTGTCCGATGTGTCGACGCCAAGGCGTAAGCAAGGATGGTCGACAGGCAGGTGCTGAGACGGCCGATTCTCGGCGAGCAGCACAGACGTGAAGAAGCGTAACAACCTGGGTCGCACCGATTCGCTCTACATCCTCATTCCAAATCGTATCTCTACAGCTTTTCCGTCAATGTACTTTTAAGGCATCTTCTAATTTGCTTTGTGACGAACCGCACTCTCGCTGCACAGCTTCAATGAGCATGCGTATGTGTGATTGCAAGTTCGAACGAGAACATGGGCAGATGGCTTGATCGTCACGATCGCTTTGCCGAGACGGACTGGTTCCATTCGTCGGCGATGGCGGTTCGCAGCGCACGGAGGTCGGAACCGCGCTCTCCTTGATTCTGAGCTGCCTGCTGCTGAGCATCTCTGATGATGATGGATGTTGATCTGTTCGTATCTGCTGATGCCGAGGTTGTCGGTGATGTTGTGTCTTTGTGTGATGCTGAAGGAATGTGGAACAAGGAACGCTGCGTGGCATCCGGTCCTGCGTACAGGCTCGAAGGAGGCGGTTGGCCAGATAGCCTGCGTTGGACGAGCTCTGGTAGCGAGCGACCTTGTGGACGTTCGTGGTAGTTGCGAGCATCGTTCTCCCACAGAAAGTAGGCCATGACTCCTGTTGCGAGACCGAGGATGGGGTCAGAAACCCTGTTCAGGTGGGAGTGAAAGAGAGAAGCAAGTCAGCACGGCTTCTTGAACACAAAGCAACGGACGCAAGACAAGACGGGACAAACTCACCTTCCTATAAGGTATGTTGGCATTTCGAGAAAGCTGCGTTAAGGGGACTGAGGATCACTAGACCAAAGGTTGTAAGTGGCTGTGAAAGCTTGTGTGATGGTAGCAGAGCCACGAGTTGGGGGTCAGGACCCTGAAAAAGTGTGGAGGATCAATCGGGCTTGAGATGGTCTCGCTTCATCGACGATTCCATGTTAAGCTGAAGTTGAAATCCTCCATGCACGGCGACGTCGCCGCCAAAGGCACTTTGAATTGCCCAAGTCGGGGCAGGTTCAAAATTGCGACCGACTGAGTCGATTTGAATACATACCAATAAAGGAAAATGTAGCGTTGATCAGCAGTCTCCTGTCCCCAAGCTGAGGTAGGCTCTCGAATCGAGCTGAACAAGCACAGACCAAGCGAGCCGGTGGGTCGCAACAGGCTGTGCCGCGTTGTGTGCCGCTGATTCCAATCGACGACCCTTTCCAAGTGTCAGCCAGTCAGTCAGTCAGTCACACACACGCATGCCCGTCCCCGTCTCTTTCCTTTCTTCCATCAGTCTGTCCACTTCACCTCCAAGCAATCTTCCATCCAGCCCTTCCTTCAACAAGCGATTCGTTTTTGATCGCGCATCACATTTGTTTAGATACCTTCCTCTTATTTCGCCGATTGACGACGCCGAGCAGATCGACTGCCGGCCCTGCCTACCTCTACGGATTCGAACCATACTTCCATCCTCGCTGACCTTCCTCGGCTCGTAGCGGCACGTCCCGGACGCCGCGCAGTCGCCTTCGCCCGACATGTATAACAACATGCAGGGACAGGGCTGGGGCCGTCCGCAGCAGCCCCAAATGACTGGCTATCCACAACAGCAGCAACAGCAACAGCAGCCTGGTAGCGGCTTCCTACAGCCTCAGCAGACCGGCTACCCCGGCATGTCGCAATTCCAAAGACCCATGCAGACCGGTATGCCCTACCAGCAGCAGCAACAGCAGCCCCAACAAGGCCTCATGCCTCAGCAGACGGGTATGATGGGTGGCATGGGTATGCAACAACTCCGTCCCCAAGCCACATCCAACTTTCTCTCTTCGGGCCCCTCGGGCATGGGGATGGGCATGGGTATGGGGATGGGTATGAGCGGAGGTGGACTTCAGCCGCAGCAGACAGGCTACATGGGTGGACTGCAGCCTCAGCAGACTGGCTTCATGGGTGCCGGCGGCCTTCAGATGCAGCCCACCGGCCTCATGCCGCAAATGACAGGTATGCCCATCCGCGACCCGCGTATGCAGCTCATGAGCGCTCAGTTCCTGCCTGCCTCGCAGCCCTTTTCCGGCGCTCCTGTAGCCGGCAACATGAACTTCAGTCAAGCCAGCATGCAGCCATCCAACTTTCAGTCGCAGATCCAGAATCTCAGCCAGCAGCAGCAAGGCTCGAAGGAGCCTCGCATTCCGTGGGCGCTTACAAAGGAAGAACGCAAGAGCTACGACTCCATCTTTCGCGCTTGGGACTCCCAGGGTACCGGCTTCATCAACGGAGAGGTGGCGCGCGAGGTCTTTGGTCAGAGTGGTCTCGAGACCGACAAGCTCATGCAGATCTGGCATCTTGCAGATGTAGGCAACCGCGGAAAGCTCAACATCAACGAGTTCCACGTCGCCATGGGCCTCATCTACCGTGCCCTCAATGGCAATGATGTCCCCGAGACTTTGCCGCGCGAGCTCATCCCTCCCTCAGCTCAGGACCTTAACGACTCGGTCGACTTTCTCAAAGACCTGCTCAAGAAGGACACCAGCGTGCGTCACAGCACCGGTCTCAACATCCCCGAAGCCGGCTCCAACAGCAACGCTTCGTACGCCAAGGCCCGTTCCTTCCACGAGAACCCAGTCGCACCCAAGAAGGACGCCACCGCTTACAAGCACGACGACGCCGACGTGCCTAGCTACAAGAGCAGCAGTCGTCATCTCGATCGCAAGACCGTCCGCTACGAGGGCCAGAGTGCCACCGACGATCTCAGCGAGATGAAGCGCCAGCTTGAAAACACGCAAAAGATGCTCGACAAGCAAGGCGCCGACGATGATGAGGACCGCGAACTCGAGCGCGAGATGGACGACCTGCGCTACCGCATCCGACGGGTCCAGGACGACATTGAATACTACAACCGTCGCGGTGGCCGCGATTCCGCCGATTTGCGTCGCAAGGCTGAGCGCGAACTCATGCATCTCATGCACGAGCGTTTGCCTCAGCTCGAAAAGCGAATCGAAGCCAAGGACAGTCGCCAGCGCGAGCGAGACCTCGATCAGAGTCGAGCAAGGGACCGTCGCAACGATCCTTACAGCCGCTACAGCGATCGCGACCGCCTGCATGATGACGATCGCAACAACAGCCGCTCGGGCTCGGCGCTCGGCGACGGCGAGTATCTTCGCGGAACGTTTGACCGTGACAGCGACAGGCGTAGAGACGACGATGATCGCTACCGCCGCAGAGATGACAGTAGCGGCCGATCGACGCCTACATCCGCATCGCAACCGCCTCCACCTCCTCCGGCCGCCGCAGCCCCCAAGCCCGCTGCCCCCTCGCCAGCTCCATCCACCCCTACCGCCAGTTCGGGCGCTCCCAAGAACATGTCTGCCGAGGAGCGCGCCGCATGGATCCGATCCGAGGCTCAGCGACGTGTGCAGGAGCGTATGCGCATGCTCGGTGCCGTCGCCCCAGCTGGACCCGGTGCCGTCGATACGAGCGTCGAGGATCGCCTCAAAGCCGAGCAGGCCGAGGCTGCCGCCCGAAGCGCACAGGCTGATCAGGAAGCTGCGGCTCGTGAAGAGGCCAGGAAGGCCCGCCTCGAGGAGACTCGCCTCCGGACCGAAAAGAGTAGCCTTGCCACGGTCAAGAAGGAGATCAAGGAAGCCGAAAAGGGCGACAACCCGCCCCCTGCTCCCATCGTTCAAGCAGCCAAGGAAGAGATCAACGACCAGGAGGACATGATCCATCGTCGCGAAGAAGTCCTCGCCAAGGAAAAGGCTGAGCGCGAGGCGCGTCTCAAGAGGCTCGAAGAGCAAGAGGAAGAGGCTCGCAAGCAGGAGGAGGCCTTCAAGGAGCGTCAAAACATGTTCAGCAGCGGCTCCAAAGCAGCATCGTCTGCTCTTCCTCCTCCCTCTCGCAAGTCTGGCAAGGCTGCCGCTCCGCCACCGCCGCCGCCCTCACGATCTCGTGCTGCTCCAGCTCCCGCTCCCGCTGCTGCTGCAGCGCCTGCGCCGCCATCCTCTCTCGCTCCTCCGGAGGCTCCGCCCGCCCCTGCACAGCCTAGCCCGACTCCTAGCACCAGCTCCAGCACCAACCCCTTCCATCGAATGCAGCAAGGTGCAGGCGGTCCGGCTGCCAGCCCCTCGGCAGCTGCACCTGCAGCTCCGTCCGTCTCGACGCCTGGCGGAGGCACCAATCCTTTCTTCCGATCTCAGCAGCCTGCAGCAGACTCGAATCTTCCCCCCGCTAGTCGTGCCACCCCTCCCGTATCTGCACAGCCCACAGGTGCCACTCCGACATCGACCTCGCGCACCCTTCACACCGCGCCAAAGCACGACGACGACGACTGGGAGGATTCCGACAAGGAGGATGAAGACGAAGAGGCGGACGGACCTGGGTCTAGCACTCGTGCCACGCGCCAGAACCTTGCACAGGCTCTGTTCAGCAACTTGATTCCAAGCAGTGGCCGATCCACTCCTCCTGCCTCTGCACCGACTGCGCCGCCTCCGCCCCCCGCGCCGCCTGCCGCCCCGGATGCACCACCTGCCCCTGCCGCACCTGCCGCACCTGCGGCTCCTGCTGCTCCTGTCATCAAGCCGGCTGCTGGACCAGTCGATCGCGGTGCTTTGCTTGGCCAGATTCAAGGTGGTCTGAGACTTAAAAAGGCGCAGACCAACGATCGTTCCAAGGCGCTCGTTACTGGTAGCGTCATCGGAGATGCTTCAGCGCCTGTGCAGAAGTACGTTCCCCCTCCTAGCCCGCCGGCGGCTCCTGAAATGTCCTCTGCCGTCGAGGAGCGATCCGTTGCGGAAGCTGCGCCGCCGGCGCCGCCAGCTCCACCCGCACCTGCTGCTCCCAGCATGCCTGGCTCCTTTGACGCAGCTGCTGGTGGCGGAGATTTCGCAGGAGGCAATCCGAACCGACAAAGCGTGGATTGGGCCAACAGCCTTGCCAATGACCAGGCCAATACCAAGTCGGCCTTTGTGCCCGATGAGCCATCGGTGCGGGAGGAAGCTGAGGAGGACAGCGCCGACGAGGACGAAGGACCCGAAGATCTCGATGCCGTCCGCAAGCCGGCCAACGGTCACGCCGCCTTGGGCGCTGACGAGGTGGAAGGCTTTGACCTCTCACGCACCGTGCGTGTCCGCACTCTGTACAGCTACGCCGGTCAGCGTGATGAGGATCTGTCCTTCGAAGAAAACGACGTGCTGTCTGCTCATCCTGCCAAGGATGCTGACAGCGCCTGGTGGTACGGATCGCTCGCGAGCGGAACCAAGAAGGGCTTCTTCCCGCGCTCGTACGTCGAGCCTATCGATTCTCGTAAGTTTCACTGACTATCAGATCTGCTTTCATCGCATCGAGGATCGCCATTTGCTGACGACCCTTCCACTTTTTCTTTGATTCTCTTCTCAACCCGACACAGCCGCCAAGGCCAAGGCAATTTACGATTACTCGGGAGCCTCCTCGGAGGAAGCCAGCTTCGCCGAGGGCGACACGCTCAACGTCGTCGATCAGGAGGACGCAAACTGGTGGCGCGTCGATGTTGGCGGGCCCAAGATTCTCGTCGCTCCTGCGACGTACCTGGAGCTTTCTGGTTAGTGTCGAGCCTTGCTGCTTGCAGATTTGGCCCTTGTCCCTTGTCGTGTCTTGTTCCACCTTCCCCTTGCTGTCAACATGCGTGCCCAGGGTCATGCAAACAATAGAATTCCGTACCGTTCCGTCGTCGCCTCGTGTCCTATTCTCGCCTCGTATGTTTACCTGGCCGGAAGGCCCCGAGAGCAAGGGCGGGTCAGGTGGGGGGTTCCAATGTGATCCTGGGCCCCTTGCCTTGCCTGCCCCCATGCTCTCTGGCCCAAGGTCTAGTGAGCTCGGGGTCTTGTGCTTGTGCGGGTGGTCGAGGCATTTTTGCTGTGCGGTGGCGACAAGGTTTCGAGTTGAGAGAAGGGTGATCCGTTGAGCGTCATACTGAGATATTTCCTTGCTCTTCACCTCTGCGCTGTGACCACCTCTTTGACTTCCCACTCGACTTTAGGTCAAACAACGCAGAAGCTGGCACCCGCTTCCATATCAGCCAACGAGGACAGCGACAGCGGATCGGGTGTCATGGTTCGCGGTCATTCGCAAGAGTCGGAGCGTGTTAGCAAGAACACGCCAAAGGGTGTTGATTGGGTCATGGTGGACGAAGAATCGCGCAGTCTGGGCTCCTCCACCATTCACGTCCAAGCGCCGCCGCTCGACTCTGCGAACGACACCGAGGCCGACGAACAAGCGCAACTCGATGCAGCTCTCGAAGCATCGCAGAAGGATCAGCGGCTTCGAGACGTGGATCGGATGCGAGAAGATCGACAGCTGCAAAAGGCGATCGAAGCGTCTAAGATGGAGGCGGTCGCGTACGCACTCGGCTCCATCGAGGCTACGGGCGGCGCGAAGCAAGGAGACAGGGATACAGTGAACGAAGCGGAAGAGTCCGAAGACAGCGACTCGACCACTGGCTGGACTTCGAGCGAAGATGACGATGACGATGACGAGAACGAAACAGCTGCCACGACGGCAGCAGAGGAGGACCTGACGCCACACACGGAGGAAGAGATACGTCAGCACACCGTCGAGAGGCTGCGCGTGCTCGAAGCAGCTGGCGTTCTCGTCACGAGCGACGCAACAGAGCGTGGGAAAGTCGGAGCTTGTGATCCCTCTGCAGACATCGGAGGAGCCGACGCAAGCAACTCGACGAGATCAGCCCGTCGACCTCCTCCGCCGCCTGGACAGAAACGTCACAAGAACATCGACGAGCTCGTCATGCTTTCTCGGTCGCGCACGACCAAACGACCGCCAAAGCCAGAGGAGCCCCAACGTCGCAAACCGCCACATCGACCGCGCAAAAAACCAAGTCGGGATCTCCCTCCTGTCCCCGTCGACGGTGCTGCTGCAGCACCAGTATCGAGCAGCGACTACACTCAGCCCGGCACGATCCCAGAAGATCGCATGGAGGACGCCTACGACCGCTACCTGAAGCTGACCAAGGAAGTCTCGTTGCAGCCTATCCTTCCCGCCACTGCAAGCGCTTCCGCTTCTGCAAGGAACGCAACGATTGCTCCACCTTCGTCTCCGCCTCCTCTCGGCTCACCGGCACGACCAAGCTCTGCTGCTGGAGAATCATCTTCCCGCACGTCCGGGTTCCTGTCGACGATCAAGTCCATGTCGCAGCGCAATCCTTGGACTGTCTCGTCCAGCCCAGCGCCGTCTAGTCTCGGTGGCAGAATCGTCAGCGGACCCATCGCTATGGGTGCTGCCAGTCCATCTGGCGGTCTGCTGCAACCCGCAACGATTTCCGAGTCGCAGCAGGCTGGCACCGCCGATGCATCCGAGTCGTCGACGGTGGCTGCACGTGCAGGTGCTCCTTCGTGGTCGAGCCTCGTCGGGCCCGAACTGCTTTCCGGTCTCTCGGACACCGAAAGAAAGCGACAGGAAGCCATCTTCGAACTCATCTCGACAGAGACGGCCCACGTGCGCGACCTGCAGATCATTGTAGAGGTGTTCTTCAATTCGATGCAAAGCATGCTCTCCGAAAAGGCAAGCACCGTCATCTTTGCCAACATCGAGAGCGTGCTGTTCACCGCCGTGTCGTACCTATCGGACCTGGAAGCACGGCAGAAGGAGGATAGGCTGTTTGTCACTGCCATCGGTGATGTGCTTGGAAGGCACATGTCGGCCATGAGCGTCTACCTGCCGTACTGCGTAAATCAGCAAAGCGCGAGCGAGATCCTCGAGGCGGAACGGAAGCGCGACACGCGAGTCGATATCCACTTGCTCAATCTTCGGTCCAACCATCCGGCTGCAAGAGGACTTGATCTCAGCCACTTCCTCCTCGTTCCCATGCAGAGGTTGACGAGGTACCCGCTGCTGCTTGCTCAGATCCTACGCTACACGCCGGAGGAGCACATCGACCACCTGCCTGTGAAGACAGCCAAGGAAACAGCCGAGAGCATCCTCGCCAAGACCAACGAAGCCATCCGCGAAAACGAAGACGCCACCGCCCTCGCCAAGCTCTCCGAAAACCTCTGGCTCGGCGAGGAAGCGCGGCTCGACCTGACCAAGCCATTCGTCGATCCATCCCAGCCGGACGTCAAGCGACACCGTCGTGTGCTACGAGATGAGATGGTGACGAAGTCGAAATCGGGTCGAAAGCTACGCTTGGTGCTCACCACCGACCTGCTCCTCGTGCTGCACGCCCAGGACAGCAGTCTCTACCGAATGCCTATCCCCATCAACGAGGTGTCGGCGTCCGAGGCAAAGAGCAAAGGCAAAAGTGGCAAGTACGCGGATGCGTTCAGTGTGGTTCATGAATTGCCGGCGATGCAGACTTCGGACACGTTGAAGTTGAGAGCTGCAAACGCCAGGAACGCTCAAGCTTGGATCAAGGTCATCACAGCTGCAAGGGCTGAAGTGAAGGGTGGTAGCACCTGACGGAGGGTTCATGTGTCGAACCAAACTACGAAGTGAACACTCTGTGATTTTGATGAATGCATCGGTCGGCGGTGTCAGATAGAAGTGAAGAGTCTGATTGAGCTTTGTTGGCGGGCAGAAGTATGCGCCGGTGTATGTGCGTGTGTGCGAGTTTGCATGCGTGTCGAGTTCCGCCAAAACTCAAATGTGGTGTTTCCGGAACTCGGGGCGGTTGCGGACCTCCACTTCTACCAAAGAGCTCAGTTCGTCCTTGCCTTTCCTTCCGACCATCGTTCTTCGTTCGGTCGTAGCAAGCTTTCGCCATGTCTGCAGCCCGAGCGATACGTACGGCGGAGCGGCTTCTTGCACAGCATTCCAGACATTCTTTGAAGGCATCAAACATCCGTGTACTGTCGACTAGCAGCCATGCCTCCTCCTCACGAATGGGCAGAGGAAACCGTTACACCCTGTCTCGAAATCAACGTCGTCCAAGTCACCCTTCCGCCACACATCCAACTTCCAACCACGCATCGCACCCGGTAGCTTCCCATTCTGATCATCTATCGCATCCGACTACGTCTCCAACAAATCATCAAGCGGAACCTCGCACCTCGCCAGAGCATGCCGCGACTAACTTCCCAACCGACCCATCAGTGCACGTGCCTGCCGTGGTTCCTGAAGATGCCCACTCCGTCCTTCAAACCTCTTCCGACTTCTCGGGAGCCAAGCAACTACTCACGCAATCAGCTCTCGTCGTGACTCGAGAGATCGAGATGATGAACATCTTTCTCGGATTCGAACAGGTCAACAAGTATTCCATTCATTCGCCAACCGGAGAACTCGTTGGCTACCTCGCAGAGGAAGAACAAGGTCTGCTCGGAGGTGCGCTTCAACGACAAGTCTTACGAACGCACCGGCCGTTCCGTGCGACGGTCATGGATGCTTCTGGCAAACCAGTGTTGATGATTCGAAGGCCGTTTACGTGGATCAACTCAACGGCGAGCATCTTTGCGGTCAGATCGGACTATCCGGTTGGATACGGTGCCCCTCAGGATGCGGATCTGGAGCTGATAGGGGAGGTGCAGCAGAGGTGGCATCTGTACAAGAGGAGGTACGAGCTCTTTTTGAAGAGGCAGGCGGAGGAGGGGGAGGGGGGCAGCAGGTTCGTACAGTTTGCTGCGATCGATGCTGGGTTTTTGAGCTGGACGTTTCTTATGCAGGATGCAGAGAGCAGGTTGGTGGGTGCGATTGATCGGAATTTCCGCGGGTTTGGGCGGGAGATCTTCACGGATACGGGTCAGTACGTGTTGAGGTTCGATAGCGTCGGTCAGACTGCAATGGCGGATGCACGATTGGTGGATTTTTCTTCGAGCGCGTCGCAGGCGAAACCGCAGGGGATCGCAGAAGGTTTAGAGATGGTCGAGAGCCATGGAACACGAGCGCTGACGTTGGACGAACGAGCGGTGGCGCTAGCGACAGCGGTGAGCATCGACTTTGATTACTTCAGTAGACACTCGGAAGGTATGCATGGGGGAGGTGGAATGTTGCCTTGGATGATGATGCCTGGAATGGGCGGAGGTGGGGGAGGTGAAGCTGCGGAGACACCGAAGGGTGGTCCCAACGACAATGTTCCCAGCAATCCGAATGGCAACGGCGACGGCGGGTTTGGGACCGGTGTTGCGGGTGGAGCCATAGGGAGTGGGATGGATTACCCCTACGGCGCATCCGATTCGGGCATGAGCGAAGACGGGAGACTCGGTCAACCACCATCGAACCCGAACGGATATGGAGACGACTCTTCCCCGCAACAACAGGAACAGAGCGACAGTCCGTGGTGGAACGCGGATCAGCAACAACAGGGCGGACAAGAGGGAGATGTTTGGGGAACTGGCAACTCTGACCCGTGGGCTGGGGCAGGGGACACGCAGCAACAAGACGATAGTTTCTGGGGTGGCTGGGGTGGCAACGGTGGCGGTGATGGGGGTGGAGGTGGTGGCTGGGGTGGATTCTTTGGCGGTGATGGTGATGGCGGTGGTGGTGATTGGTAGTGCTCTTGGGGAGAAATGCAGATCGCCCCCTCTCATTTGGTGTTCAAGAGTGTGAAGTCGGAAGTTGAGCTTCGCACGAGATCCTGAGTGCAGCGCAAATGCCAATGCCATGCTCTGACAGACCAGCAGATCACAGCGTGATCCGCACGACGACGCTGTCGAATTCTTCAAATCGTAGTATACACTTTCACACCGCAGCACTCTCTTTCCTCTTGCTCCTCCCTCGCACACCTTCCTTTCTACACCATCCTCCTGCTCCTGTCCTCCACATGTACACCACCCACCTCTGCCGCCCTTCTCAACTCCTCCTGCTGTTTCAACGCGATCATCCTCTGACCCGACGTGGCATACATATTCCCTTCCAGCCCTTCGGTCCTGAGCACGGTACCGATCGACATGAAGAATCCGAACGTGGCTGCGGAGCTGAGCATGAACTGTGACAAAGTTCCGAGCGCACCTCTTGGTCCAGGACCCGCACGAAGGATTTGAATGCCACCTCCGATAAAACCAATTGTGAGTCCTACTAGTGTGCCTGTCATTGCGCCCATTTTGACTGTAGAAAAGAGGAGAAGGAGGTGAGTGACTGAGTGGGAAGGATGACGGAAGGAGAGGGAGGATATGGGAGGTGGAACGTACTCTTTTGGAAGACGGTGGGCTCGCCGCCTGGAACTCCTTGCATCTGAGGCGGAGGCGGCATTGTGTCGGTATCAAGGATGAGCGATATATAGGCAAGTTGAAGGGACCCTCGATGGTGCAAGAGGTAGACGATGGAACGAGCGGGATGAGAAGGTTGATGTCAGCTGGGAACGAGTTAAGCTGCGAGCGGCAAAAAGCTTTAAACCGCACCGGCACCGATCTGTCAAGTTTTCATACGCGGGGCAGGGCAGTGTAAGATTTCGCTCTCTTCCGTGCCTAAAAAATTGTTCGCCTCCACATGACTTGGAGGAGAATGCTTGGACCACCTCTAGCCCGAACCAACACCATCTTGCTCTTACCTTTCCCTCGGTAGCATTGCACCTACAGCAAGCTCCGAAAACACTATCAAGCTCCAAGCGTCAGCTTCACCAGGACTAGCGAAAATGGTCACCAAACTCAACGCAATCCCCACCCTCGCCTCGCTCTACACCTCCACACTGTCCTCGCCCGCCCCTTCCACCCTCTCCGCCTCCATCTACCCCTTCGCCTCGCTCCTCTCCCTGCACTGCGGCGACATCACCACCCTCTCCGTCGATGCCATCGTCAACGCCGCCAACAACTCTCTCCTCGGTGGCGGTGGAGTGGACGGAGCCATCCATCGAGCTGCCGGTCCATCGCTGCTCTCCGAATGTCGCACCCTCAACGGCTGCGAAACCGGCTCGGCCAAAACCACCTCCGCCTACAACCTCCCTTCCAAGCACATCATCCACACCGTAGGTCCCGTCTACAAATCCTCCTCGCACGATGAATCCGAACGTCTTCTCCGTTCCGCCTACCGTTCCAGTCTCGACGAACTCAACCGCATCGGCGGTAAAACCATCGCGTTTCCTAGCATCTCCACCGGCGTCTACGGCTACCCTTTCGAAAAAGCCGCCACAGCCGCTCTCGACGAAATCGGTTCTTGGCTCGAATCCAACAACAACCACAAAAACGTAAGTACCCCTCAGTCAGGGAAGAAAGAATCCGTCAAAAACTGATCTCACTCTAACCGCTTCGTGGTTGGTCATACAGATCGAAAGAATCATCCTCTGCTGCTTCTCCCAAAAAGACTACGACAAATACCTCCATCTAGCTCCCACCCTCTTCCCACCACAAGACGTCTTCAACCAGTACGCAGTATCATAGCCCATGTCACATATACCACTTTTTATCATCAAAAAAATAACTTGAATTGCGAAGGCAGAAACCGCACTTACGAATGATGCAAAGAACAAGCTCCATGTGTCCGTTTTCACTCGAGATCAGTAATCCGTTCCGCGCGAAACCACCTCCTTGCACGTCGGTCTCAGCAAGATCGTGTGCTCATACTGAGCCGTCATCGCCCCCGCGATATCGCACAGCGGCGGGTAATCCTGAACGACACCAAGCGAGACGAGGTGCTTCAGCCCCAACAGATAGTTCTTCTCGCCCGCACGATCGAGGTATCGTCGGCAGAAGGGCAGAGAGTCAAAGTGCTTGTTGATGGTACGCAGCAACCCGTGCGCCGAGTGGACACGGATGGGAATCGATTTGGGCAGGTTCTTCTTGCGTGCGTAGTGCGAGCACTCGCCCTGGTCGATCACGTAGCCTCGTCCTGTGGAGCCGAACGTCTCGATGGCGTAGTATTCGCCTTCTTCCATCTTTACGTCCAGGTCGGGCATGGCGACGATGGGCACCGACTTGCCGCCGTGGATCGAGTAGCGCTCGATGCTGTGACCGTTGAGGTTCTGAACACACTTGACCTGGTGCATCTTGCCGTTGGCCTCGAACTCGTGCGACTCCATGACCTCCTGGATCGACGCACCGATCTCACCGAGGCGGGCGTCGATACCGGCTTCCTTGATACCGGCGTTTGTGGCTGCCTTGACGGCGGCGAGTAGCGGATCCCAGGTAGGCTCAAAGTTGAGCGTAAAGGCCGAGTCGACGATACGACCTTTGACGTGAACACCGAAATCCACCTTGAGAACATCGCTAGCCTGAAGCACACGCTTGTCGCCGGCGTTGGGAGTGTAGTGAGCGGCGCACTCGTTGACCGAGACACCGGTTGGGAAGCCGATACCGGACTCGAAACCTTCCGCTTCGACGACCGCCCGCGTGCCGTCCTCGACGAGCTCAGCGATTTCGGTCATGGTCATACCGGGCTTGATGGCGCTTTGCGCGTACTGACGCACTTGCCTGTGAGCCTCGGCGGCTCGACGAATGATGTTGTAGTCGAATCCATCCTCCTGCTGCACAATTCTCTCTCGCTCGCGGAGCTCTTCGTCGGTGACGCGCTTCCTCTCCTCGCTGAATTTCGACGTATCGTACTGCTGAATCTCACCGACGGGATAGATGCCGTTGGTGAAGATCTTTGTGAGGCCGACACGAGGTGGAACGGTCTGCGTAAGCTTGGCCTTGGACTTCTTCTTCTTCTTTTTGTTCTTCTTCTTCTTCTTTGCTGCGCCGGTAGCAGCAGACGCACCAGCGTCGCCTTCCTCGTCGTCGTCATCGTCGTCATCATCGTCACCTTCGTCGTCGTTGTCCTTGTGGTCGCCGTTGGAGTGACCGTTGGTGCCGTTGGAGGTGGGGAGGGTTGTGTTGGCGAGCTTGTCAGCGACCTTGTCGACGGACGCAGCAGCGCCGTTGGTCGCGGCAGTAGCGTCGGACATATTCGAAGTCGTGGAAGGGGCGGTCAGATGCGGTGGAGGAAGTGTAGTGTGCTGTCCAATTCCGATGAGGTTTCGTCTCCCGAGCTGAGGCTCGATCTCCCTCGTTCAGATAGTGTGACCGGCAAAAGCGGAGGTGTGTAGTCCTTGAACGAGCGGGTCGAAGACGGAGGGTAAGGAGAAAGGCAATGGAGAGGTGGTGAGGTGATGTGCTCGACCCGAGAAGAGAGCTCTAACTGAGCTTCTCCGACTTGCTGGACCTGCTGCAGACGTCAGTCTGAGCGAAGCCGTTCTATGACGGTAAAAGTTGCCGTTCAAAATTATTTTTGCACCTTTTCTTTCGGCGTGTTCAAGCTTCGTAGTGTCGAGACATGTAGACCGCTGATTCCCCCGGGCAAATGCCCGATCCTAGATGGTAGGCGGATCAGGCCGATTGAGCTTTTCACATCGCTACTAGGTTGACAAAATCGCGAGCCTATTCGTGCCTGTGACCGGATAGCCCGCTTCTGTGATTCTGCATCCATGCTCTGCTCCTGCGTCTAGCGGTTTCACGACGTCAAGATAGTGTTACTCGCAGACAGCACCGTAGCATCAGTCAGAGAAAGCTCAGGCGCCGAAAGAGGCCTCGCGAGAGAGAGAGAGAGGGATGCAAGTTTTGGCCACATGTTCCCAGGCTGTCGGAATTGTGCCGAGACTGAGCCGCACCAAAAAATGAAACGCGGCGAGCTAAATTTTTTCTCTTCTTCTTCTTCTCGAGTCGTGAGTCGTGTCTTCGGAAAGATCCTTTTAGCGAGTGTCTTTTTTTTTGGTGGTGCAATGCTCACTCTGCAGAATCAGCAGCAGCAACGGGCGAGGATGTGATGAGGTTCGGGCCATTCAGCCGAAAGAGATGTGACCGTGGCTTGAGTTGCAACAAGACCAAAACTTGCGCTCCTGCGTGCACTGCTGAGTCTACGCTGCTGCCTGCACCCTGTGAAGCTCACTCGCTGGTCGGCCAACTTGTTACTGGTTTCGTGAGCGACCAGCCTCTGCCTCTTGCTTCCTCTCCTCTAGGTATCCACCTCACCGTCCTCGAGTGTCGCATCGTCCCTCGATCCACCGTCCATCTCCTCACACCCACGCATCTGCGATTCTGCTTCGTGATCGTCGTTGCTGACGTCGCATCTTCGACCATGTGTGGTATCACCGCTCTCCTCCTCGCCTCGACCGAGCAGTCGGCTGCGCCCGAGATCAACGAGGCACTCTCGTTGCTCCAGCACCGTGGTCAAGATGCTGCCGGTATCGTCACTTGTGGCAGCAAGGGCCGCTTCTATCAATGCAAGGCCAACGGCATGGTTCGCGACGTGTTCGACGTCAACGCCATCTCTCGTCTCCAGGGCAGCATGGGTGTCGGTCACGTTCGTTACCCCACCGCCGGATCTTCGGCTCACTCTGAGGCCCAGCCCTTCTACGTCAATGCTCCCTACGGCATCACGTTTGCTCACAACGGCAACCTCATCAACACCGACGAGCTTCGTCGCTTCCTCGATGCTGACGCGCATCGCCACATCAACACCGACTCGGACTCTGAGGTGCTCCTCAACGTCTTTGCCAACAACTTGCAAAAGACCGGCAAGTTCCGTATCAATGAGGAGGACATCTTCACCGCCATCCGCGACCTCATGAAGCAGTGCAAGGGTGGTTACACCTGCGCAGCCATGATCGCCGGTTTCGGCATCATCGCCTTCCGCGATCCCAACGGCATTCGACCTCTCGGCATGTGCTCGCGTCCCTCGTCCGTCGCCGACTCTGAGTATCTCGAGGGTCACGGCATGGACTACCTCTTCACCTCCGAGTCGGTCGTCTGCGACGCGCTTGGCTTCGAGGACTTCCAAGACATCAAGCCTGGCGAGGCCGTCATCATTACAAGGCACGCCGTGTCGCGACGTATCCTCACACCTCCCGCCGGCTCACAGGATGGTGCCGCCTTCTCCCCCGACATTTTCGAGTACGTCTACTTTGCCCGTCCAGACAGTGTCATGGACGGCGTTTCTGTCTACCGTTCGCGCATGGCCATGGGTGACAAGCTCGCCGACGAGGTGCGTCGTCAACTGCAAAAGACGGGCGAGACCATCGACGTCGTTATCCCTGTTCCGGATACATCCCGTGTTGCCGCGCTGCAGCTTGCACAGAACCTCGGCGTTCCGTATCGCGAAGGTTTCATCAAGAACCGCTACGTCGGTCGAACCTTCATCATGCCCGGCCAGAGCGTGCGTCGCAAAAATGTACGCCGAAAGCTCAACGCCATGGCGCTCGAGTTCAACGGCAAGAATGTCCTCATCGTCGACGACTCGATCGTTCGAGGTACCACATCCAAAGAGATCATCCAAATGGCTCGTGATGCAGGTGCCAGAAAGGTCATCATGGCTTCGTGCGCGCCACCCATCCGTTACTCGAACGTGTACGGTATCGACATGCCTTCGCGGAAAGAGCTTGTCGCCTACGAACGCTCCGTAGAACAAGTCGCCGAGTACATCCAGGCGGACATGGTCATCTACCAGACGCTCGAAGACCTCATCGACTCGGTGCAGCAGTTCAACCCGGAGTTGAAACAGTTCGACTGCTCGGTATTCGATGGCAAGTACGTCACTGGCGGTGTGGACGCCGCGTACATTGCGCATCTCGAGCACCTTCGCAGTGAGAACGCCAAAGCCAAGAAGGCAGCGGGCAAGATCCCCGTGATCGCCGAGAGCCAGAAGAAGATCTACGCGAGCCGTGCGAGCCCTGCCGCATCGAGCGTTGCAGGCGACGAAAAGATGGCCAACGAAGCTACAGCGGCGGTGCTCAACGGCAACGCCAATGGCAATCGCAAACGGCGCTTGACGGATGAGGAGATCGAAGAGGAGGAGGAGGAGAAGCAGCAGGCGGCTGGCTGCTCGGGTCCGATGAACGGCGCCGACGACATTGGCCTGTTCAACGGCTGGACCCGTTAGGAATCGATGCGGTTCGATTAGGCGTCGTTCGGTAAACTCACAGGGTCTCTCTATTTGCATATCTCTCAATGAAGCGTGAATTTGTTATGGTTTCATCGCTGTTTCCTGGACCTGGTGCCTTTGAGATATCGTCGCGATGCTTTGTTGATAGAGGATGAGTACAAATACAGATGTCGAGTTGATACAGGAAGTTTCAATGCGTTCGATACGATTGGATTATGGTGCTAGTCGTCGTCGCTACCGCCTTCATCGTTGGACGGATCTGATTCAGCGCTGCCGAGATCTGCTGTTGCTGTGGCAGCGATTTCGGCGGAAAGACCGGTGACGCTGTGTTCGTTACCGTCGTCGGCATTCAAGCCGGCTGCTTTCTGTTGGGATTGGATTCGTTGACGGATGAGCAGGATGACGGCTTCCTTGTCTCTTCTTTCGAGCTTCTTGAGTCTTCTTTGTAGGTCTCGTTTGAGGTCCCAATTTGCGCGTTTGGGAGCGATGTTGTTGAGGTCGAGTTCTTCTTGTCGTTTCTGTTCGTCGTCGGAGATGATGCGTTGTTGAAGACCATCGACGTCCTTTTCGACGGTGTCGGGGAGATCGCGTGCGGAGGTGAAGCGCTTCATTTGACCGGTGATGGGGTCATAGTTGCGGAAGTGACGCTTGATGAGCGATGCTTGGCGGAGAGAGGTTGAGGAGGATGAGGGGAGCGGGGTGGATGACTGTTCGGCTTCGCGCAGGGAGCGGAGTAGCGAGAGTTTTTGCTTGCGCGCTGCTGAGAACTCTTCGAGCGACATTGTCGAGGGTGACGAACGGATGCTGCTTCAAGACTGAAAGTGTGAAGCGGACCGGAGCAGCGATGTGTGAAGGTGAAGAGAGGTAGAGATGGAGGAGGCACAGGAGTTGGAGGACAAGAGTGTGCTAAATTTGGCGGGCGACGCTCGGAACACGGGAGTGCTGCACCACACCGCCATTTCGTGACAGAATGACTTTCAGGGTCCCTGCCCACCTCACACCTTCTCTTGCCACTTCACCCCATCTGGCTTGACACTCCTTCAGGTCGCATTCTTACTCGTCTCACTACTCACGCCCATGCGCAGATAACTCACAAAGGAATCAACAGACACGTCACCAGCGCGAAGTCGCGCTGAAACCACGCACATGCCGACCACCAACAGCCTCTTCGCATAACAACCCTAGTCATCTTGACTCTGTGCACTCTTCTACGAACTTCGAACGCTGCATCACACCCTTCCTCATCATGTCGAGATCACGCTCTTCGCCTGTAGCAGGCTCGTCCCGCTCTCCATCACCCGAGCCCGTCCCAGCCTCGTCCTACCGCATCGAACGATTCGACCCTACTTCTGCCATCCCGTCCGACTTAATGGTCACCTCGCGATCCAAACGATCCACAGCAGGTAACCGACTCAAAGCTTTACTCGACCAAGAGCTTGAAAAGGATGACGTCTTCGCCGAGGTCGAAAACGACATCGATTTTGAGGCCAATGAGAACGAAGCCGTCGATATCGTCGATAGCGATTTCGATCGCGAGTCGGATGACGATGCCAAGGCGGCGGAAGACGAAAGTGAAGGCGAGAGGGAGATCGAAGCGCAAGAGAAGGCCGACAAGCAAAGGAGAAGAGCACAGGCGAGAAACGTCGGCATCATCAAGCGCCCGGCACCGATCGCACCAAAGACAAGAAGACCGGCACCAACAGCAGAGGCGACCCAAGAAGCGAAACGAAGGCGCATCAGCTTTGCGCCAGACCAACCATCTTCGTCCACATCCAGTCTAGACCCTGGACGCAGAAGAACATCTGCACGCTCGTTCACTGTACAGTCGAAACGAGAGGTAGAGTCGAGGTTGGAAGAAGCGTCTCAGAGGAGAGCAGCTCAGCCGGTCAAGCAGGTGGTGAGGAAGAAGGCGAGTTTGACCCAGGATGCATTGATTGCAGAGGCGCTCGAGGTGGAAGAGGAAAACAGGGAGAGCTTGAGAAGGTTCTTGGAGCAGGAAGAGGAGAGGCGGGCGAAGCAGAGGCAGAGGAAGGAGAGGATAACGGGTCCATTTGTGAGGTGGGTGAGCGTCGGATTGAAGACTAGGGTTGTAGAGGAGATCGGTGCGGATGGCAAGAAGGAGCATGCGCATGTGTCTGCATCGGACAATGCCAACGCTTCCCCGGCGGCTGATGTCGATGCAGATAAGGCAATGCCCGTGCAAAATGCGCAGCAGACGAGTGCGAAGGACAGTGCAGAAGAGATAGTCACGCAGCCATCAACCGCGACTCCTGCACAAGTACCAACAGAAAACGCCGCGGCCATTACCACTTCGTCTGTCAACGGCGGTCAGAGCACAGGCTTGCTACCAGCAGCAGCCAATGGTCAAGCCTCAGCCGATATTCCTTCCCAATCCGGTTCGCCTTCTTCTCCCCTTCCAACCACCGCAACATCGCCGCAGCACGGTCCCGTCAAGCCAGCCGAAACTCAACCCTCCACTTCCACCCCATCAGCATCGGCAGTCGCCTCCAACGCATCTCTCACCCTGGACCCCGTCATCGCCGCACGACAGGAAGCATCCCTCCTCCGCGCCTCTTCCACCAGCACCACCGCTGCCACTCCCGCCGACCCTTCCTCCTGCTCCTCTTCTTCTCGATACGAGCTTCAATCGCGCACGCTGCTGTCCATCGAACGCCTTCCCGAAGACTGGGAGTGGCTCGACGAGTACAACACCCTCTTCGGCTCCCACTGCTCCTGGGATTCCTACCCCTTCGTACCCTCGCGCAATCGACCGCTCAAACCTCGTCAGTCCATCTGCCCCATCACCGGTCTTCCCGCTATCTACAAGGATCCCCGAACCGGTATCGCTTATGGTAGCAAGGAAGCGTACGCAGTGATTACGAAGTTGTTGGAGGGAAGATGGAGGTGGACGGGAGGACATTATCAAGATCATCACGCGGAGACAAAGAAGAAGGTCAAGGGACAGAAAGGTGGTGGTATGGTCGGAGTGGGTGCCGTTCCCCCGGAAATGGGGATATATGGCGACGATGAAGACGAAGCCGGAGCGGCGAATGTTTGGTCTACAGCTCGAGAACGTCAACCCGCGATCAAGCTCTCCAAATCCATCCCGGAGAAACGCAAACCTGATCAAACCCCAAAACCGTCAACTCCGTCCCAAACTCAGACCCGACCATCTCCAACACCACCTCCAAAAAATCGCTCAAAACCAGGCTTCGACGTCGTACTCACAAACGCCATCGCCCCCGGCGACGAAAAATCCGTCCTCGCCGCCGCTCTCTCCCTCCCCGCCGGCTCCACTAGATCAGGTCGTCGTGTTCAACGCTCTTAAACACAAGCTGCCATTCGGGATGATGCAATCGTATGCTTTTGGCGCTTCGAAAGGAAGAACTGGGACGGAAAAAGATGACACGGGTGACTGTGAGGATGATGAATGGAATGCTTTTGGATGAATGAGTGCAACCCTCGTGTGACGGCAGCTTTTGCTGGTGAGTCGTAATTCTTCCCCGACCATCGTGCTATTCCCACGTCGGGGTCAGACTAGCAGCGTCCTTGAGTGGCTTCACACCTTCCGCGCCGGTGCCGTTGCCCGTTAAGGAGCTGCTGCGCCTCGCCTTTCCAGCGCTGCTGGTGTTGCGACGCGCCAGGTCGTGCGGCACCCAGTTGCGCGCCTCGTCGATGGCCACCTGCCACTGCTCGACGTCCGGGTGGATGTAGACGAGGAAGAGATCGGATTCGACAAAGTCCTGCGAGCTGGTGGTGGCCGAGACGTTTTCGTGACGGATGGTTTGCACGCGGAGCTCCCAGTGCGTGGCGTCGGATCCTACGACCGTGGTGTGGCGTTCGGCTGTCGTTTCGTCGGCACTGGCGGTGAGACCGCTGGCAGCTGCGGTGGCGGATCCCGCAAATTCAGGCTCGGCCTCCGGTGCCACAAGCCGCAACGCATCTAGCAGAGCAGCGACACGACCAGCACATGCGGCCCGGACCGTGTCGTCGCTCCAAACGTCCCAGAGCTTGGCCACCGCCTCTTTGCCGATGCCAGCTTCGGACGATGCGCCGTCGTCTCCGTGCCATTGAGAGTGGACGTAGAGCTGTCGCTGCTTCTCAACGACGGTGACGAGGATGTCGTCGGCGGACAGAGGGATGCCGGTCTGGATCTTGCGCTTGCCTGCTTCCACCACCTGCGACGAAGCGAGTGAGCAGTCGTACCGGTGACTCCACACCAGCTTGTGTCCTGTGAAGGGAGTTGGAGGAGCGCTGCCGATGGACGCTTCGGCCAGTGCCTTTGCCGTAGTGTTCGGCGTGGCGAGCGGGGCAGACGGACCAAGGATCGGCGTCTGGGGCGAAGGGATGCTGAGAAAGGGCAGATTCTCGGTGCGTCGACTGCGTGCACGTCGACCCGACCTGCCGCGCTCGTCTCCGTCCTCTTCGTTCTCCTCCCCCTCGCGGATGTTGGCCTCGTCGAAAATGTCGTGCACGCGAGTCTCGACGGGCGCTCTTGGTACCGAACGAGACTGCAAGTATCGATCGGAGAAAGGGTGCGCCGAGTCGCTGGTGTTGACGCTCTCGGGCTGGGATCGATGACGACCGGCGGCTATGGTGGTAGCGGAGTGGCGGACAAAAAAGGCGCTCTGAGTAGCAAAGCGAAGCCTCCGGTCGGTGTTGGAGGTGGTGCGAGGTCGAGATGCTTTCCAAACCTTGGCGCCGTGCTCAGGAGGAACGGGCGGGTCCATCTGATCTTTGGGGATCCTGTAGATGCCAGATCCGATGCCTTGGATCTGAACTTGATAGCCAAAGTCGTCGGCGATGGTCTCGCACCATTTCTGAAACTCGTCGGGAGTGAACTCGAACTTGTGGTCGTCGTGACGGAATACGCGGTTGGTGCGTCCAGTGGGGTCGGGGAAGCCTGGCCGCGTGCTGAGGTCCTCGCCGAAGTGGTCATTGAAGCAGTAGTTGGGGGTGGTGACGAGGACGAGGCGAGGGCGATACTTTCCAAAGATAGTCGGCGCAAATTGCTCAAGCGCAGCTTCATCGAGATGCTCAATGATCTCGGTAGCGACGAAAGCGTCGTAGTCGTCGAGCGTCTCGTTTTCGGTCTCGACGGGACCTTGGAAGAGGCGCACATCGAGCGACTTCCATCGCGGACGATTGCGGTCGAGAGCGAGGCCGTGAAGCGAGAGACTCGACTTGGCATTGTCAAGCACCTTGCGCTCAACATCGATACCAATCAGGCGGGACAGCACGATGTCGTTAGGGCTGTAAATCCAATGGCGACTCGAGAGGAGGGCATCGGGCGGCGCGTCGTCTGTAACGTGCTTGTCCTTTGCTGTAGCTGTGTCGGGAAGGGCGAGTGCAGGAAAGCGATGGACGGGGAACTGGTCGAGCTGAAAAGCAGGCTGCATCAACGCCGAGAGCAGCACACCATTGGAGCAGCCGACGTCGACGACGGAGTCGGAACGCTCCTGTCGCAGCTTGCCCAGGACCCACGACTGCCTCTGTAGCCACAGGGGCGGATCGAAATAGATCTTGGCGACCATATCTACACCACTCGGACAAGTGCGACTGCCTCGCCCTGCAGTGTCCCGACGGTGTGAAATGGGAGCCCAAGGCGTAGCAGTGGCTCAGCGCAACAGCAGGTCAAATCCAGATCCGGTCGACAAAAGCTCGCAGTGAGACTGCTCAGCCGCTTGAAGAGGGCAGATAGAAGGAGGCTTGACCAGAAGCTTGACGTAGAGGAAGGAGGTGCCAAAGCCTCAGCGTCGGAACGCAGCCGACAGTATGAGAACGGCGTTTATGCTGTGCTTGACTGGTGGACTTGCCGACTACGTTGGCTGACGAAGTGACAGCAGGGATGTACCTTGCCTGCCACTAGTTCTGGAGACAAGTGCGGCAAGTTTCGCGACTGATCGAGTCACGGTCGGAGCAGACGACCGGCTAGGTCACTCTCTGTTGGTGCGAAGGGCGTGGTGGAAGGATGAGAGGCGACAGCAGTGACTTGCAGAACTTGAACAACCTCTGCTGTGCTTAAGCTTGCTCGAACAAAGCTGCGCAACGACGGGGGTCAAGTTCACGAGGCAGCTTGCTTCTTTGACGAGAGAGCTACCTCTAAGCGGACGCGACGGAAGTGCGAGATGAGTTCCGATGAATGATGGCGGCAAGGACGAAGGAGGCAGAGCGCAGAGGCAAGCCGAAGCTCACGAGGATTTCAATTGTGGCTCTCTTACACTTCGGGATGTTTCCCGGAACAGTCACATGTCTGCTTGTCATGCACTCAAATCACATCACGCAAGCACCAATCGGAGAGATCACACCGCTGCAGGACACGTCGAGCTTTCTTCGGAAGGATGCACAGCACCGTACTCCAGCACGTTAAGCTCGGAAGAACCCGAAGGAAGGGCACCCGTCTTGGCCTGTTGAGGATCGACGTGAAACTGAGGTTGATGCGCAAATCGCTCTTGTCACAGGTGGGTATTACGTACATTGCGGGCGGTCGTGCAATTAACATCTTCACCGTTGACAGATCTTTCTTGTGTGCCGTTTGAAGAGTCGGCTGGCAGCTCAGACTCTGGCCAGATACATTTATCCTACGCGCAAGCGCAAACTCGAAGGTCCTGCAGAGCAAGGGCACTGCTTTGCACAGAGCAGCGGGCTACTACAGACCATAACCACACAGCACAGGATAGGGGAGCAGACAGCGTGAGAGCGAGCGAGCGAGGAAGCGAGACAAGCAGTTAGGTCGCACAGTTTCTTCCACCTGACCAATGAGAAAAATGTGGGGTTGAACTTTTGTCCTCGTTTAGCGCCTACCGAAGGAGATTCTTTCAGAGGGCAACAACCACAGTACAGCAGAAACCTCCGTGACGGTGCTAAGCGGAAGATCTCCCCGTCTCATGAGACAGAGAGGGGAAAAATTATCAAATATTGTTCTATAAAAAAAGCTCTGGGGAATGTCACGACGCAATTTCGTTTCTGGACCCACGTCAAGACCCAACCTGACCCGGCACGTCGAGCGGAAAACGAAGTGGCCTCGCAAGGATCCGAGTTTCAAATCTGTCTGGTCTGGTTGTAGCGGCAGGAGAGGCTCTCCAAGACGGAAGCTTTCAGTTCGAATGGCTTGACCTGACCATTGTCGCACCGAATGGCGCGATGCCATGATAAACTGTTCTAGCGTCACTGACGAGTCGGATGAGATCACGACCTGACATGCTATGCGTGCCATCATTAGTTGAAAAACGTTTGAGTTTGCACGTTGCACCCTGGTACGAGCTCGTCTTTGACAGGCTGGATCAGCAGCAGAGCGAAGAGTCAAGCTGAAGGTACGAAGGTTGGATCGTATGCGTGCACCTTTCCGGCCATCACAGCCGCTGAAATCGCCGTGGACATCCTCCCACATTGTTCGATCTGATGCATTGCGAACAGAGCTGATAGGGCGTTGCCGAGAGCTCGAGTCCAAAGAAGCTCAAGCTCGTCGTGAGCATCCGAACAACAAAGCGCTTTGCGCGCCCGTACTACAAGACCCTTGAATCGTCAATTCAGGATACGATTGCAGAGCGCTCTGTGATCTGATGCGTGAGCGACGTCGACGGACGGAGATGAAGCGAGGCAAGCCTGGAATTGATCGCCAATGATACACGCTCGACAACCGCATTGACGTTCAGCAGCCAGGGCCTCGACACCCAGCTCAAGAGCTCCGCCCGGCGAAGATGCACGTCTGGGAGGCAAGTTGCTGCTCTTGTCGAGGCTACACATGCGGCGCGTGCTGTACGTCTCGGAAACGTGCGCATTTTATTGGCTGTCAATTCAAGGTGAGGGAAGCTGACTGCGGACTAAATCCCCCCAATTGAAGAAGCTTTTTGTCGGAAGACAGTCGTACTCGTCGTGACAACAGTAGCAGCAGTCACCTCCGCTTTTGAGACCGGTGCTCAAAACTGTTGCAACAAGCTCGTGGAACTTAGCGACGCAAGTCTAACAGTATATACGGAGCGATGACGGAACAAAAGCTTCCTAGCGGCCGATTGCGTCGTTGGCGCTGTTGTTCGGGATGCGACCAGAAGCGGTGGACGATCGCCGAGGGAATTGCGACAATGAACGGAATGGGTTATTGTTTGGGCAAGCGACGAGCAGCCGAGGACAATGACAAAAAGAAGTGGTAGCAAAAGCCAGCTTCCACCATTGTTCAGATCGGAGCTGTCAATCTAGCGGTCGGGCACCTCGGCTTCGCTTCGTTTGGATCGAAGTCGCAAATGCACAAGTTGGGATCGAAGGACCTCGGTCAAGTTCGCAGGTCTGAGCTATCCGATGCGGCAATCCCAATCCTAGAAAGGAAGGCTCTCTCAAGAGGCAGCTGCTAGCCCCAAGAGCACTTGGCATGATCAGTTCAAAATGCAAGTTGCTGGACGAAACGACATTTCACCGAAGATGAACCGTTGGTCGAGCCGGCTAATCGGATGCCCCCCGCGACATGTCAAGAAGCTCCCCCCACCCGGACGAACAAAGGCGCCATAGCACGAATTGCGATCGCGTCACGAGCCACCAATCAACGACAAGCTGGTCGCGATTCTTACTGTCAAGAATGCCACCAGTCCCATTGAACGGCAAGGCCCACGTCTGTCGGCCAATCACTCGATCGAGGATCCGAGGCTGCGTACAGCTCAGTACAAGAACGTGCATTGATGTTGCGGAAGAGACCGCTGTCACCACACGCGTTTCGGCCCTGCAGCCGCCAAGGACAAGAGTGCTTCGGCTGCGGGCCCGCTGCAAAGCTGGACACTCGTTCGGAGAAGGTTGGACAATAATAGACGATGTTAAGCGCTGTTCGATCTTTCCCCCGCGATCCTGGTGCTGTCCGGTGACCTACACCGTCTGCAAGGCTGCAGATTGCACGATGTCAAGGCAAGGGATTGGGCGAGTCGATGCTGCGGCAATGCTTTCCTCGGAGCCAGGCGACTCGTGCCTGTCAGTTGCCGCCAATTTCCGGAACGGAGCGCCATGCGAAATACATTGCCGCGAGCCGCGGCGTCCGTGTGTGGGCCCTTTTGCCGAGGTAAGAGAAATCTTGATCCAGCTAACCAAGTGAGGCGAGGACACGAGGGCACGAGGACGCGGTCAAATTCGAAACTGACGGCGGTAGAGGGCTTCGTGGAAGCTCACGGCTGGCAGGTTGGCCGAGTTGCCCTGAAGGCTTTTCCGAATGTTTGGCCCTGTGTTTCTCGAAGCGAGCCTTCACGATAGCACCCCAGATTCGACGTGCGTATTGATAAAAAATAAAAATAAAAAGAATCTTAAGCAAATAAAAATAGAAATGCTGGCTTCTCTGTTTTGTTTGATAGAACGACTGCGGCAATTGCCTATCCGCCAACAGACGCCAAGCTATGATAATCGATGCCTGCCCCCGCCGCAACGACTACACATGTCACACAGGTCGAGGACACTGATTTCACGCAGAGCTCGGCCGTAGTGTGAGCATTTTCTTGAACAGGTTGAACGGTGACCGCCGCTGCCAGAAAGCTGCTCTCATCTATCCTACCTGGTTCTAGTGCTGTTTGGGAACTAACAGTCCTTCATTTCAGGAGGAGGCGTGGGCGGTCCACGGTCTGCGGGCTGCAGTCTGCCTGCCCTTGACTGCAGGGCAATCGACGCTGTTCACGGGGAGGTGGGGATTTGTGCGTTGTGATTGGCTCGAGGCAGTTCGCTGATACGAGTGCGCATCCGACACCTGCAGCTGTCTCAGCCGCTCGCCCCGTGACCCCGACCATCCACCGCTGACTCTGTCTGATGCCTTGCCTGTCCATTTCGTAATCCATCAAGGCCATTAGCTTGCTCGATTTTGTACATTATCAGCTGCGAGGACGATCCAGCGTCGTCAGGAAAGGTGACCTTGAGCAGGTGTTTGGAGCGAAAAGGCTGTCCGAGTGCGAGAGGCGGATAGCAAGAGGGCCCTTCTGCGGGGAAGCTGAAGCCGCATCACAACAAAGCTGCACGAGACTTTGGAAGCGCTCTTCTCCGCCTGCAACGCTGCCGTCGCACTCGCTCCTCCCTGCTCTCTGCTTTGTCTCTGAAGATATTCGACGACATGTTTGTCAAGACATTGCCCTAGTGAGCCAAGTCGAACCACGCCAGCTTGTGCTTCGTAGCGTCCGTGTGAACGAGTTGGACATTTGAGCTGCAGCTTAAGAAGCAGGGAGAGACAAAATGGACATGCGCGCGCCTAAGCAAGCTGCAGGCAAGCAAGCAAGCGAGAGATCGAGCAAACAGCAGCATCCCGGCCCGTCGTCGCTGGATGATGCCTTCGAATGCAGCGTGCACCTTTTCCCCTTGAACGGACACCGTGACCGTGACCGACGCCGAAGCCTGTACTTGTCCATTGTTTCTTATTTTATTAATAAATTCGACGCTTGTCTGGGCCCTTTCTTTCTTACCCGCCAGGGTCATTGCAGTTTGTTCCTCGAGCTTCGTCCGCCTCGCGTTTTTCCGAGATGTCGACATCCAATCAGAAGACCTGCTCCGCCAAAAGAAAATACTCACAGCTGCACACCATCGAATCCGAAAAAAAATCGCTCTTCCAAAAAAGTTGGCCCCTCTGCAGCTCCGGAGACACTGCTTGCGTGCTGCTTTTTTTTCTGGCGTGCACCGCGTTGACTGCAATCCAAAAAAAAAAGTGGTCGTCGAGAGGCACACACTCCGTTCACTGCATGCTATGTCCGCGTGTCCAGGGTAGCTTTGGCTGTTGCTCCCTTGACACCACCATCGACGATCACGATACACTACCGACTTCATCCTTACGAACGACGCTGGCCGCTTCGACTCGGTTTCTTCTGCTGTCCGTCTGGCTCTTTCTCTTCGACACTGTCCTTAACCTCGCCCGTCTCCGTTCGACTTCGTCTCGCCTCACATTCTTCCGTGTGGATACCTTTCCATCCCTCAAAAGCCAGGTCAACCCCTGATCGCAGTCACGCATCGCTTTCGCACCTTTCCTTCTCCGTTTCCATACTGCTAGCGATCTTTCCCTACTCCCGGTCGTCTAAAAAAGTTGCCCATTCCACAACAAGCAACTCTGACCTGCCCTGCAGCTCAGAAGTCAAGCTCTCCCGGTGCAACTGTCCTCCTATCGAGCGCGCTACCTGCTCCGCCGGACCTTCGATTGGACACGGTGACCTCTTGCAACACTTTGCAGGAGCTAAACCGTGTACGATCCGCATCCTTGCTTCGTAGACTGACCTTAGTCTACGTCACCCAAATTACCCCCCTCAAAAAGCGGCATTCATCTCGACCGACAGCACTCGTGCATCCACGGTATCTCCTTTCGATACCTTCACTCCTGCATTCGAGTCTCATCAAGCCTCTCCAATAAGCGTCGCTGGAGCAAACACTGCATTCGGTGGCCTCGACAACCCCCTGATCCGTCTTCAAAACCCCGTTTCTCACCTTATCTCTTTCGCTGCACGACGTGAGTTTCCTTTCACTTTTCTTCTCCTTCTCCCTCTCTTTTTCAGCGAGCACGCTGCTTGGGCTGCATGCCCATGCTTTTCCGCTTGCTCGTTTCTTCTCCTTTGCATCTGCTCGATAGTCACGTCGACGACGCCAGCAGCGGAGAGACACGCCGTTCGCACTCGACAGAGGTCAGCCGTCACCAACCGACTCGATCGCAGTCGCTTCGTCTTGCGGGGAAGCGCTCGACTGAAGCCTCGGATCAGGTGCACAGGCTATTCCTGTCTAGTGCGACGGACCGTGCAATGACACGCTACCACCTATCATCTGGCCAGACGCTTCTTAGTTCCTTGGCAGCCTAACCGCCTCTTGTCCGTCTCCTCTTTTCAATCTTCTTGCTTTCTCGCCTGTCGGCTCTCTGTCGGCTCTCGACCACGCCGTCTGCCAACCGCCACGATATCTGCTACAACTACATCGCGATCTCCGATCGCCGCTCAATTCTCTTAAACTCGTCAACTCCGGTGTCGCGCCTTGGCAGGTTGCAACGGCCCCCGTTCTTCACGCATGAGCTTCTCTGACAATCGCATCAGCGCCACAACTACGACCGTAAGTGACATGCCTGTTCCGCATTCGGGTCGTGCGAGCCCGCCCGAAAGCAAAGAGGCTGACCTCCTGCTCTATCGATCCTCTCCACATCTTCTGCCAAATTTCAGACCTGCACCGTTGCAAGTCCAGTTCGCCGGGCTTACAACGAGTTGCCACAAACCATGACCATGACCATGCCTCTGACCGGCCTTTCGCCGCCCTCGAAAGGTTTCTTCGCTCCCTCCTCCATGCCCAACTCGAGGACGGACGCCTCGTCAAACGGCGCCATCTCCTCCGCAGTCCCCAGCCGTGGTCGCAGAAGAGAATCGATCACGGGCCAGATGCGTCGGAAGGCAACCGACACCGCTTCTGCCGCTGGTGCCGGTGGCGCCTCGGGACTGTCCATGAGCCGTGCCGCCGCAGGTGGGCCTGGTTCTCCCAACGGACGTCCAATCCCCATGATGGCTCGCTCCCCTCGGATGGGCGCCGTCGAGCTCGGCGGTCTCTCGACATCGTTTGGTGCTGCAGCTGAGGCGCTTACGCTGTCCTCGTCCCTCGCTTCCAACTCGACAGTGGCTCCTGGGTCGTTCCAAGCTCGTAGCAATGCACAGCCCATCAAGAATGAGGGTCGTTCGCAGGGCCACTCGCACCTCGGCGTCGAATGCTTCGGCCCCTCGAGCTTGGACAGCTCCATGCCCATGCCCAGTCCGGGAATGATCACTTCGCACTCGAGTGCAGGCGGTGCACTGGACAACGGTAATAAGCGCGACCGACGTACCTCGGTGAGCTCTACGGGCACCGTTGGCGACGACGACGATGACAAGGCCGGCAAGCACGAGCAGCTCCACCGCTGCGAGAGCTGTGCCAAAGTGTACCGTCATCCGAGTTGTCTTATCAAGCACCGCTGGGAGCACACTGTCTATTGGAAGGAGGCATCCAAGTTCCTCATGAGCAAGCATCAGCAGGTGCAGCTTCTTGAGGCAGCAGCCATCCTGGTAGGCATGGACGCCAACGCGCGATCGCTGCCGGAAGAAAAGGCTCTGTGGCCTGCGGCCGTCAGCCCTCCGTCTTCGGGTCTTCTTGGCTCCGAGTCGATCAACTTTGAAACCTTGATGGCTTCGAAGCGTCGCAACACGGTCAGCAGCAATGCGAGCGGCAGTCCGGCACGCGGACCTACGCCTTCGCTCGTGCTCAACGACAGCAGCGATGGTAGCACCACCAGCACGTACGATCCTTCGATGCGCAGCGCCACCATGAGCCCTCTCGCGGGTCTGGGCAATATGCGCCTCACCGAGAACGACGCCAAGCACCCCCGTTATCGTTTGGACGACAGTGCAAGTGGCAGCGGCAGCGGCAGCGATCGTGCGGATCGTTCGGGCTCGGCCGACATGTACGACGATGAAGACGTTGAGGAAGAGGATCGGCTTGATCAGGGTCAAGAGCGATACGGTGCGGACGCGGGTGGTGACGTGATGGCCAACATGGAGATGGACGACGTCAACTAGCGCCGCCCTTGTTCCTCCGGCTCCAGCAGTCACACCGCTTCAGTTCCACATCGGCAGTGCCGCCCGCAATGGTCTCACGAATCTCGGTCTTTCTTTTCGTTCTTATTGTTTATCCGTCCCTTCTAAACCTGCTTTCTCGTACCGCTCCTCTCTTTCTCGCAACCACCAAAGTTGGTGTCGAGAAAATGTACTAACAATCCATGTCATCAACACAAAAGCACACAGTCGAAAAAAAGGCCCTCGAAATGCCATTTCTCAATATCATGGAACTTTTGCCGGATAGACGCTTGAACGTGTTGTTGCGCTTCTGACTGCTCGAGACGGTATCGCTGATGAGCAGGAGATGAACGAACAAACAAAGACCCGATGATACAATCGGGAACGATCTTCGCGAAGATGAACTTGAATCTTGCGCGGACACCTGGTGAGTGGTAACCAGGACTTTGCCTGACCCCGATGGATTGGAAACACTGTGCAGGAAGTGCGCAGACTCAGTTCGTCCTGGTTCACTCATCCGCGACTCCCGGATCCGTAAGGAAGACTGTGGAGAGGAAGCCACACAACGCAGCAGGTCGCTGATTGGCTGTTCTGTACATTTCATGAGCGGGGCCCAACATGGGCGTCGAATGCGACAGATTTTGTGGAGCCGTAACGAGTTGGAAGTCGGATGGTGTTCCTCGTGAAAAATCTCTGAAATGGCGCGTGGTGATGCAGCGGTTATGCAAGGCTCTATGGTGTCGGTGGTAACCTTCTTCCTTTCGCCCCACGAACTACCCCATAGATCAACGTCACGCTAGTTGAGAAAGACGAACAGCAGGGAGCGAGCCTACGAATCAAGCGTGTATCGCCGCTCTCACCCTCTAAGTCTTCCGGAAGACGTCCTTAGCGAGAGACAAACACTCACATTTTGACCAATGACGTTCCGATGCGATGGAACAAATGTGCTCGGACGACGTCACCTCGTTACGAAATGTCCGGGGTCGGGAGCGGAGTTGACGATTTGTTGAAGAAATCGTATATGAAAATGGGAGCAAGCTTGCGAGGGAAGAGCTCAGCTTGATCAGGAACCGGGGAAAAATTGGATCAAATGACACCCACCAGTGTCAATGGAAAACGTCATGCTGAACTCCGAGGGTTCCAATGCTGGAGTATCATCCGTACATCCGTCGTACTCAATGTCCGTCCAAGAGGTCCATCGTATCGTAGCACTGAAAGCTCTACGCCAACCCAGCCTAAGACACTTGAGTATCAGCCCCGAAGCAAAATCCAGATTGACGGGCGGGAACGGGTTTTGGACAATCAGGGATGCGAGATGCGAGAGGGCGTAGCAGAGCGAGCTCTAAAAGTTCCGCTCGAGGTTGCATTGGCGAGCCCGAATTGGGCGTCAGTTTGCAATGCGGGTCGACTCTTAGCCGAGCGGCAGCCAATCAATCTCTTTTCTTGCTCCGCAAACCATCATCTGACATCAACAGCGTCCAATCGCTCGTTTGTCCAATTCGCAGCTCTTCTCGTCGTGTCTGTGTTGTTGACAGTGTCTGAGACTAGATCCCGAAGTCGGTGGCAAGCAGTGTCACTAGTCACCCTACTTGTCTCAGCGCAAAAGAAGGTTTCAGATACTTGCATCCATGGGGCGTTTCAGCCGCATTTCACATTCAACTCTCCCTTCCCCTACTCTTTCGGCCCCTCAAACAGGTGCCTCGCCTCCCTTTCGTGGGGTCCAATCAGAAGAGCCGGGAATGAAAAACAGTCTTCGCCGGCGTCAGTACCTGTCTCATTCCCAAGCTGTGGCCGCCATGATCCACTGTGCCACACCATGTCTTAGCTAGCACTGTCAAACAAGGCCAACACTGACCCTTCCGGACAAAAGATTGCCAACAACGAAGGTGGCGGGATTCGTTTGTGCTCAACGCTAGCGAGACAGCTGTGCAACCCGTCATTTGCCAAGATGCCCACGACAATCCCCGCCGGGTATCCTTTCCCAAATGTCTATAAGGAGCTCACACTATACAAGAATCTTGGTGGATCCTTCCAAGTCTGTCATACCTTCCTTCTGCCTAACGAGTCTTGAAGAAGCTACTCAGGACGTACATCCACGTCGATGGGAAGGACTGGATGAGCGTCTGCTCGTTGGTGGTCCACCGAATTTCTATATTCCTGAGGAAAGGGAGAAAAATTAATCGACTAAAAGAACACTGCATGGCGTTGATCAAGGCAGAACACTGCTCTAGCGCCCAAGGTCATACGCACCGGGCGTCAACCCACTGCCTTGTCGCTTTTGATCGCTGCAAGAGCTGCAGCAACGAACGCACTTTCAGCAGCCAACGGTCCAATTTGGGCTTGACGACAATCCAACCTCCACCGTCGCTGCCGCTGTGTCGTCCACGCCCGTCGTTCTGTCCATCCGTCCATCCAGAGAGCCGATTCCGGGGGCGTCGCTGCAGCTGGCCTCCAATGCTCCAGGCTGTATGAGAGTCAGTCTGCCAATCACAATGACACTCTCTTGATCTCCAGCCGAGAGACGCAGCTCTCTTCGGGTGGTTTCCCCACAAGACCTCGCTCCGCCCACCTCCTCCTCCGCCTCTGCCCAAAGTGGCTCGAGCCGCCTTCTTTTTTTTTCTTCCTTTTTTTTTCTCCCTGCTTCAGCGCCTGTGCGCTTTCAGGCGTGAATCTGGTTCAACTCCGCCCAGCGAACTGGGCACTCGTCTCATCCATCAGCCGCCCCGGACTGCTCGTCTGGTGCCGTGGCTGCTCTGCTCGTCGGCTCATTCTCTCCGCCTCGAGGTCTCGCATCACAACGCATTGCATTGCATCCGCCTGGCTCGTCCGTAGCTTGGCCCCCCGTTACGCCTGCCTTTCGTATTCTTGCTCGCCGCGCGCTAGTCTCAGGCTAGTCTTCGTCCATCGTCCAATCTGGCCTGACCGACCGACTGATTGGCCGAACGAATCCTATCGACTTTGCCCCGCTAGATCCAATATAACCCCATCAGCTTGTCACCATTGACATCTCGTTCGATCCTCCTTCACCACCGCCATAGCTTTGACAAGGTCGCCCTTTTCCTCTTTCTCCTTTCCTTCCTTTCTTTGACAGAAAAAGAGAACACGGCTTCCTCCTCATCCACATCACCCACCCATCAACCAAGCATCCACCGCACCTTGTCTTATACCCCGTGCCTGGAGCGCTCTCTCTACCTTTCGTACATCTCTCTTGCTACTTTCCACTCATCTCCTCTTTCGCTCTGGTAGCTTCTTCACAACTGTATCTCTGTTGTAGAACGCTCCTCACGTGTGCTGCAGCTGCTCCCTGCTCTGGTTTCGAAAGAAACCGCGGCTCGTCTCACCAGCTAACCTCAGGTACAGCTAGCCCTTTGATTTCGTAGCGAAAGTGCAGCGTTTTGGCTTTCGTAGCCTCTTTTACCTACCCGCTGTCTTTGTCAGGCAACAATCGCTCCAGCTTTACCAGCAGCGCGATCAGCAGCAGACTCAACTCAGCTCTTTAGGCGAAAAGCCCACTTCCATCCTCTTTTCCACGAATCGCATCGGAAAAGCCTCGCTTTCCGGCGCACCAACCGCAACCATGTCGAGCATCACAAACGATCTCGGCGAGGAGATCCAGCCCGCCTACCGAGGTAAGTCTCCGCATTCTCCTCTCCCGACCGTGACTTTTCTGCTGCAGCCACAGGCGGCGATCGTGTTGTCCAGCGATGTTTTGCTGAGCCAGAGGGCCAGTCGTTTCGATCGGACGGGCTTGCTTGCCTAAACCGTCAGTGCGGTAGCCCGGCTGTGGTCAGGCGGCAGCTTGCGAGTTGAACGATCCCAGCGCCATACGAGCGTCAGCGGCTCTACCGACGGGTCGCGTAAGCTCTCGGCTTTGCAGCTGTTGACAGGTGTCGGTGCATCCGATGCACGACGTTGCTCTAGCTCTGCCGTCCGAAAGGCTGATGATATCGATCTGAATGCTAACCTTGCACCGTGCTTCTTGGTACTTTTCACAGGCAATCTGAGCGATTCTCAGCAGAAGGACCTTCGAGAGATGTGGAGACGTCTCTTTGAGCTCTTCGAGAAGAATAAGGAGACCTCGGAACACATTATGCAGAACGGCGGTCCAGGTAAGATGGACAAGAAGAAGAACGCCTCTGCACCCAAGAACGAAAAAGATGCCGGCAAGGATATCCCCAAGGACGACAAGGCCAAGGAGGAGGCCAAGAAGGCCGAAGAGATGAAGGAGATGAACGAGTTCATCGACACGTACGGAGGCCCCATCCTGCGAGACACGATGTGGGAGTTCACAAAGATGGATCACCCAGACACCTCGGTCCTTCGTTTCCTTCGTGCCCGAAAGTGGGACATCGACCGCGCCCTAGCCATGATGGCAGCCGCCTGCAAGTTCCGACTCGAAAAGGATGTTGCCGGTATCATCTACAAGGGCGAGGACGGCCTCAAGGACGTCCCCGGTTTCATGAACCAGTTCCGCCGTGGTATCTCGTACATCAAGGGTAACACGGACAAGATGGAGAACCCCATCTACTTTATCCACGTCGCCCGCCACTTCACTAGCGCGCAGAAGCACGAGGTTCTTCAGGACTTCGTCTTGTTGGCCATGGAAAACGCGCGTCAGCTCACCACTGCGCCCTACGAGAAGGCCGTCGTCATTTTCGACATGGCCGGCTTCGGTCTCAAGAACATGGACTGGCAGTGCGTCCTCTTCCTCGTCAAATGTCTCGAGGCCTACTACCCCGAGTCGCTTCAGCGTATCTACGTCCACGGCGCCCCTTGGATTTTCAAGGGCATCTGGCAGGTCCTTCAGCCCATGCTCGATCCCGTCGTGCGTGACAAGATCAAGTTCTCCAGCAAGGCCAAGGATCTCGAAGAGCTCGTTCCCGCCTCCAAGGTCCGAAAGGGTATGGGCGGTACCATGGACTGGGACTGGGACTACATCGAGCCTCAGGCCGGTGAGAACGACATCATGAAGGACTCCAAGTCCCGCTCCAAGATCGAAAAGGAGATGAAGAAGCTCACCGACGAGTTCGAAAAGGTCACTCAAGAATGGTTCGAGACCACCTCGACCGACAAAGAGAACCCAGATCTCAACTACCGCCGTGAGGTGCTCGGCAAGCAGATTCGCCTCAAGAACTACCAGCTCCAGCCCTTTGTCCGGGCCAAGACCATCTACCAGCGTGCCGGCATCATGACTCTGGACGGTACGGTCACTTGGGAGTACCCGCAGACCAACGGCAAGTCCATCACCCAGGTCGTCAACGACCGTCACAACTACGGTGCCCTCATCAAGTGGCTCAAAGAGCACGACGAGGACACGCTCGAGGACTCGTTCGGTCACAAGAAGCTGTTCGAGATCTGCGAGGATGGAACCATCAAAGAGTCGTACGACGGCGTCGGCGGCGGAAAGGGCGGAAAGGCTGGCAAAGCTGGTAAGGAGAGCAAAGCCGGCAAGAAGACCAAGCAGAACGGCGCTGCCGCTCCCGAGCCCGAGCCCGAACCGGCCCAAGAGAAATCTTCCAAGAAGGGCGCCAAGGGCGCCGCTGCTGGTGCAGGAGGCGTCGCCGCAGGCGCTGCTGGTGCATTGGGCCTCAAGAAGTCCAAGAGCAAGAAGAAGGAACCCGAGCCTGAGCGCGAGTCGGAGGAAGCATCCGACGACGATGACTTTGAGGAACCCGAATCCGAGCCCGAGCCCGTTCAGAAGCCCAAGCGCTCCGCTTCTACCAACAAGAACCTCGCCCGCAAGCCCAGCAAGAAGGCTCCCGAGCCCGAGACCGAGTCCGAGGAGGATGAAGAGCATGACGGCGACGAACAGGAGCAGCCTCAGACCTACACGGGTGCGGCTGTGGGTGCCGTTACGGGTGCCGCAGCCGCCGCTGGTGGTGCTGCCGCTGCTGGTTTCGCATACCTGCGCGGAGGCAACAAGAACGGCAGTGGCGCCAACGGAAACGGCCGCGACGACGATGAGGACGATGAGGACGACGACGATGAAGACCACGGAGTCGCTCGTCCCGGCCAACGCCAGCAGCCTCGCACCGTTGATCACTACCCAGACGAAGAGGACGAGTTCGACGAGGACGGAAGCCCTGACGACGACCAGATGTCGGCCTACTCGGACGAATCCATCACCCCCGAGACGGCTGTGCGCCCCGACTACATGCAGCAGAAGATCAGCGCTTCCGACTGCCGCATCGACGACAACGACTGCCGCGAGGACCTTGCCGTCGTGCGCGAGGCCATGGCGCTCTTCCTCAACTCGCGCATGCGCGAGGCTGAAGAGCTCTGCATGGAAGGTGCCGGCACGCGCCTCTATAAGGCCGAGGGAATGGCTCTGATCAACTCGGTCAAGTCGATCATGACGTTCGAGCCCGCCGACTTTGAGACGGCCATCATGTGCTGCCAGCACTCGATGAAGATCTCCGGCTTCCTGCGCAAGAAGCAGGGTGCCATCGGCAAGCTCCTCAGCGGCAAGAAGGGTGGCTACCGCTCCATGAGCCTGGTGCAGCTCCACGCCGAGCTCGTCCACGCCGAATCGCAGCTGCTCAAGTCGGTGCTCGGCATCTTCTACTCGGGTGACAGCATCGGTTTCGTCAAGCAGGCGCTCGGCTTGCGTTCCGCCTACTTCCAGGTGCGCGAGCTCTTCCGATTCGTCGAGGCCGTCGATGCTGAGGCCGAGGAGGCCGAGGTCTCTGGCAAGCGTTCCGACGTCATCCACCTCGACCAGGACTTCCGTTCGGGTGTGTACCTTGGCAACGCCGTCTGCTCGCTCGTGCTCTCGATGCTTCCCAAAAACACGCTCAAGATCATGGAGGGCTTCGGCTTCGTCGGCGACCGCAAGTTCTCGCTCGACCTCTTTGCTCGCGCCGGTGGGTGGAGCAAGAGCAAGCCTCTGCCCACCATCTCGGCCGACGAGGAAGGTGTGCGACGACCGCTCTGCGACATTGTCATCCTCATGTACCACCTCTGGGTCTCGAGCTACATCCCCGTCACGGAGCTCGACTTTGAGTTTGCCGACAAGGTGCTCTCGTGGAACTTGGTGCGATTCCCCAACGGTATCTTCTACCTCTTCTGGTCGGCGCGTCTGTACGCTGCGCAGGCCCTGCCCGAAAAGGCGATCGAGTACTACCGAAACGCTATCGAGTCGCAGCGCGAGTTCAAGCAGTTGCACCACCTGTGCTTCTGGGACCTGTCGCTCACCTACCTGTGCACGTGCGACTTTGCGCGCGCGTACGAGTGCTACGATGTGCTTTCGCGCGAGTCCAACTGGTCGAAGGCCATCTACCAGTACGCCAAGGCGGTGATGCTCTACGAGACGGGCATGGACGACCGTGCCAAAAGCGCCACCATCATGCGCACCGTTGGCAAGCTCACCAAGAAGGTGGCCGGTCGACAGATCCCCTTCGAGCGATTCGTTGCGCTCAAGGCCAAGAAGTACATTGCTCAGCAGAACCGACTGCCGCTGCCCGGTCTCGAGTTCTCGTACTTGTGGCACTGCATTGGTCAGACGCCCGTCTTTTTGCTGGTCGAGAACACTCTGACGCGCATTGACGAGTTCATCGACGAGCTCGAGTCGTACCACAACCCCAAGTCGTACGGCACGGGCGAGAACGAGTACTGGTCGGCGTACTGCCTTGCCTTCTTCCTGCGCGGTGTTGCGCTTCGCTTCGTGGCGTACCCGGAGCCGCAGACGCTGGTGCGTTTGCCTGCCGAGGACACGGTGGGCCCGATCGAGGAGATCCAGGCCGATGCGGTGCAGTCGTTCAACAAGGTGTTTGAGCACGGCTCGAAGCTAGACGAGGTTGACCGATACCTTGTGTACTTTGCGCACTACGAGCTGGGACGTCTGCGTGGCTGCATGGGTCAGGACGAGGCGGCCAAGCTCGAGTTCCGCAAGGTCCTCTCGGGCAAGCCTCTCGAGGCCAAGGGCAAGGGTCTGATCGGTGGTGGAAGCAAGGCCAACTACCTGCTGAGCAACATGTGTCAGGTTCGTGCGCACGCTGCCATGGAGACGATGCGCATCCAGAAGTCGAGGTCGCGCACGTCGTTCTTCCACGGCACCGAGGGATCGCTGGCTAGCCAGAGCATCGCATCCAAGTCGACGAGGTCCAACTCGTTGGCGAGCTCCAACAGCAGGAGCATGAGCATGACCTCGCGCGGTACCTCGATGTCGAGCCGATCGGGTCGTGGAAGCATCAAGTCGAACACGTACGATGCCGAGGAAGGCTACCGCGCCAACGGCAACGGCCGTGCTCGTGCGCCTTCGCAGACCACCGACTACTCGCGTCGTCGTTGAAGATGCCGGCGTATGTTCGCAGATGATACCCTTCTCCTCCTTACCTTTTTTCTTCATAGTCGATATGTTGCGTTTGGTCCTTTTATGTTGCTGGATTCGCTAGTTGTGGCATCGCTAAGCTGTGTATCTTCTCATGACCGCTTCTATTTGCTCCTTACATGAAATTTGATGGTCGTTCCTCCGTATACCTTGCTCTCATCGTGGATTTGTCTGAGCATTGAAAGAGGGATCCGCGCACGTCACTGCATGTTGATACTGTGGTGCCTACACGCAGCCCACGGTTCAGGTGTACACAAGCATTTTCCTGTCTCTCTCTAACGTTGGGTTGCGTGAATTGTCTCGACATGTGTGAAACAATACCTTGAGACTGTGGTCGACGATGAGAAGCGAGTGAGATCGAGGAACGGAAATCGGGGATCGGGGCTAGAATGACTACGAGAAGACTAAGTTACGCTTTCCCCGAGCTGAGAAGGAACGTGGACGTAGGCCGAGTTGCACGTTGTCGATCTGCTAAACGAGATCGCCCCCTCTCACAGTGCAAAAGAAAACGCCTTGAATTTCAAACTGGCTGCAGAAAGACGCCGCCGCTGCTGCTGCTCTTGCACCGACTTTCCGGGGAGAGAAGGGGAAAATGGCGTGCTCGTCACGTCAGATTGCGCCTCGTGCCGAGAAGAATTTGCTCCTCGCGATCTGCTCCTTGCTCACTGATCATGATGATGATGACAGACAACCAAACAGCTACGAAAATGGATAACCGTTTGAAGGCAATTGATTGGCTCACCCCGTTCCTATTCTCAGTGGTCGCGGCCATGTGCGGCTGTCTCCTTGCTCTGGATGTCGAGTGCGCAATCAGATGGTGTGCTTGCACGAATCCCTGCAAGGCATTGAGTTGTCGAAATCGTCGTTCGGCGTGACGCCCTTGCTCTCTGCTCGGTGTATTGTGCGCGCCGATGGAGCAAGCCACTCGTTCACAGCCTGCCGGTGCAGAGTGTGAATCCGCTGCTGATCAACTGTATGAAGCTGCTGCCCCGAAGATGCTGTGTACCACAGACTAGAGTCTCTGCGATGGCCGGTGCACTTCTGACTCGGCGTGCCACGCTCCCCATATAACTTCCTTGTGTCTCTTCCAGCCTCCTTCTCCTCTCCCCTCACGCCTCTCTTTCTTCACCACCATCAACCTCATCTTTCCCTTGGCAAAGGTCTCAACGATGCCGTCGACCGCCCCTGCCCTCAAGCCGTGGGTTCCACCCACCCCCACCACCGAGACCGACCTCGAATGGGCTCCGCTCCACACCCTCGACCTCTCCACCATCACCGGTGAGGACTACACCACCGTCCCCGACTCGATCGTCTCCTCCGTCGGCGAAGCCTTCTCCCGCGACGGCTTCATCTACGCCGTCAACCACGGTCTCTCCTGGGAACACGTCCTGCGCCAGTTCGCCATCGGTCAGTACGCCTTCCACGGTGTTTCCGAGGCGGACAAGGCACGTTACAAGGCGGACATCCTCGGCACAGGTTCGTTTGTCGGATACAAGGAGCAAGGTCATTGGAAGTTGAACGGAGTCAAGGACAGGATCGAACAGTTGAACTTTGGATCTCAGTCGTTCTCACCCGAGGCAAAGAGCAAGTTGTTCCCAGAGTCGTTGCAGGAGTTGTTGCCGGAGATCGAGGAGTTTGCTCGCTACAACCATGGAGTCATCTTGCGAAAGATCCTGTCGGTCCTCTCGTTGGTGCTCAAGTTGCCGGCTGATTACCTTTGGAACCTGTCCAAGAACCCCGAGGTGAAGGGACTCGATCTGCTGCGCTATGCTCTCTACCACACACCGGATCAATCCGACGACGAAAAACTCGGCGGTGTCCGTCTTCAAGGTCACACCGACTTCAACTCTGTCTCGATCCTCTGGTCGCAACCCATCACCTCGCTCGAAGTCCTCATGCCGGACAACCAATGGCGTCTCGTAAAACACCGCGACAATGCGCTCGTGATCAACCTCGGTGATGCCATGCACTTCATCTCTGGCGGCTACCTCAAACAGACCATCCACCGCGTTGTAGCCCCACCCCGTGATCAGGCTCACTACGAACGTCTGGGCATCTTCTACTTTGCCCTGTTCAACGACGATGTTTCCCTCGAACCGCTCGAAGCTGAAAGCGAAGTCGTTCGTCAAGCGTACGCGGAGAAGAAACAACGAGACGGTGCAGGGTTCTGGGACGTCACCAAAGCAAAAGGTGAAAAGGTACCCACAGCAGGAGGTTGGGAACGTCTACGTGTCAAAGCCTACGGTCAACAACACGCCAAGAAGGCGGACGACGGTCACGACGTCGAGGAAATCGCTGGTCAAAAAGTCACCGGTTACAACGGCGAACGCGTCAAGCCAAAGAGAATCACAGACGTCCAGCGACAACAGTCCGTCACTGCAAACTAAGTTTCCGCCCAACCTACAGAGGCTTCAACCCTCACTATACCCCTTCACCCCCCCTCACACAATACACTTCTCAATTGTCCCCGTTCCCTTGCATTCAACATGGTTATCTGCCGTCCCCTCCCATCCCCTCTCTCTCCCTTGCATTGTCATTCTCTGTAACAACATCGTCTCAACACTTCCACACACTTTTTAGCACGCACAGCTTGCTGGCTCTCTCGTTTCTAGTCTTCTCTGCATCCAACTGCATGTTCTGTTTTCAATCTCAACGTGGTCGTCTAGCTTTGATCCGTCTGACCTGAGCGTTCGTGTCAGGCGTGCTGCGAACCTTCAAGTTCGCTTGAGAACTCGTTCGACGTAGTCGAGCAGCGCAGGTTCGTTGCCCGGGATCGTAGCGAACTGAACGCTAAGGAACGGAAGACGATCATTTGCATCGTACGGACCGCCTTCATAGTCGATCGGGTCGGCCTTGACGTATCCAGGCACATGCTTGGCCCAGTCGGGCGAGGCAAGGGCCTTGTCTCTGAAGTCCTGCCTTGGCCAAAGGGATTTGTCCAGCCGGAAGGGCACGGATACGGCGGGCCAGTCGAGGAGGTTGAAAATCTGACACCAGATCTCGCTTTCGCCCGCGTCGTCGAGCTCGACGAACGCGCGATTCTGAACGGGACCACCGAGGACATAGGTAGGTGTGATCAGAATGACGTTCTCGACCTTGTCCTCCTCATCGTCGTCCGTGTCTTCGCCTGAGTCGTCTCTATCGCCGTTCCGGCCTTTATCGGCGTCGTCGTCAGTCCTCGTTGGGGACGCGCCAATGGCGGCTTGGCGGATGAAGGTAGCTTTGAGCTGTGATAGTTTGTCTGGGTTCGGCTTCCATCGACGCTTTTCCTCAGACGTCGCAGTCTTTGAGAGACGCGACTCATCGAAAAGGGTACGCTGGATGAGAGGATCGTCGGCGAGCATGGCACGCGCGTCGTCAAAGCCGTGCTCCTTGGCGTGCTCGGTCCAGGCCGCAGCCCATGCCTTGATGTCGACGTCTTCCAATTTGTCGCAAGCGCTAGCTTGGGAGAGCTCGTCGCCTTGACCGAGCGATCTGACTAGCCGGAGAATCAGCTCTTCGACCTCGGGTGAGCTGTGTTGCGTCGTGAATACGATGCGAGGGTTGTTGCCCAAGTCCTCCTTATCGGCTTCTGCGTTTGGATGATAGCGCCGGTAGTCGTCTTCGGGATCCTCGGAGAGCTCCCGGCTATGGTCGTACTTATCACCATGGAGCTCGTCGGCGACAGCTTTCAAGGTGGAGAAGTCTCGCGCAAGCAAGCCTGGGGCAGTAGCAGGCACGGTCGTGTGCGGCAAACCCGTCATGAAGTCCTTTGGAAGCTCCCACCTGATCTTATCCAACTCTGACGTGAACTTGTAGCCGCAAAGCTCGTTGAGACAGGCCGGTTGACGGACGGACCCTCCCATGTCAGTACCGATACCGACGTGGCTACCACCTATTTTGACCAAGCTCGCTTCGCCGCCTGAGCTGCCCCCGACTTGGAACTCGTCCTCTGGACTTTGAACCTTTTCCGCCGGGTAGATTGAGCTTCTGGTGGTGCCCCAGAGGGGCGATTGCGTGGTGTTGGACATCATAAGTTGGGGAGCGGTGGTTTTTGCAATCATGATAGCGCCTGCATCGAGCATTCTGGTGACAATATCTGCGTTGGCAGCCTCATTGTGTCCTGCCCTCAAAGAGCAGCCCAGAGTTGTTGGGAGGCCTTTGACATGGATGCAGTCTTTCACGCTGAACACCAGTCCGAGCAAAGGAGAGCTGTCGAGTATCTGATCTGGCTCTTCGTCATCTCTGTTTTTGAGGATTCCGTCCCAGTAGCTGGCCTTTTCAAGCGCTTCCTCGTAAGGAAAGGCTGTAAGACAATGCGTCTCCAAGCTTGCTTTGATGGTCAGTCGTATCCTGGCTTCAACAATCTCCGTGACGGTCATTTCGTCACCCGTCAAGTTGATTTGAAGTTCGTCGAGTGGATAGCTTGCAATTGCATAGTCATCGACAACTGGATCGCCGAACTTCTTGTGGGCTTGGCTGACTTTTGCGAGAAGTGAATCAACGGCGGTTTTGGCGGCAGCGTTGTTGAGATCGGGACAAGGGTTGCGGAACTCTCCGCGGGGTATCTTGGAGCTCGACATTACGGAGAGTCGAGCAGTGTATTCGACGAGACTTCAGAGACGGTGGTGGAAGTGATTCGAGAAGCAAAGCCGCAGAAAGTCTCTCGAAGGCTCGGTTCAGGCCTGACCTCCTAATCGGATGTTGCCGAACACGAGTTGGTGGGGTCAGCAGAGTCGCGTGGAGCCGTGCGTACTTGTTTGGCTAAGAACCCTCCACACCAACACTTTTTATGCGCCTTGATTTTTGTACCGGATTTCTTCCGACGTGTCTCCCGAATTGTCACAGATCTGTGTGTCGGCTATGCCGTCAGATTGCGCAGTCGGCCTGACCACCACCACCACTCTTACGATCACGCCTAGCATGGCGACGCCAGCCAGGGTGTCCCGCGCACTTGTTGCTTGCTTGACGATGAGCATATCAATACTCTAGTTGCGATGCAATGTTCCTGCCACGCAAGCTCCAAAAGCGTTCCAACGCCGGTCGCGCCGCTGCGCCAATCGCAACGAAAACAGCTGCAGAAGATCCCAACGACAAGGTCATTAAAGTAGTCGAATCACCTCAGAAAGGGCAGCAATCTTCTTTGCTGCACGACAGTCCTTCGGCGAACAGAAGTGATACTCTAGGCGCGTCTCTAAGCCCTCCTCCCAAGTCATGTCGCACAGGTGTCGAGGCGGCTAAGCTGGATCGGCTCGTCGACTTCCTTTACATGCGCCTGTCACCTCTAAATCTCACGCTGAGCCAGACGAAACACCCTCCTGACGGGCGCGATCCAGGGGACGCTCCTCAGCAAGCCTATTCGAACACATTGCCGAAAACATCCTCTGACCAGCCTTTCATAGAGAGCAAATCTGCCACCATCCACCTTGCGCGTCTGTTGACCCTACTACCTGGTCTCGACACGCGCTGCAAATCCGTCACTCTGCTGTCGGAAGCTCTACAGACGCTTGCCACGGGCGCAGCTGCAAACTGGTTTGTCGTCCACGAAGACACTTTCGTGCTCGAATGGCTGCCTCCCTACATCCGATTCAAGGACCTGATCTCCACATCATGGAGTCCGTCCCTCATCTCTCCGCAGCTGGCTCCGCTGTTGGTGTACGCAGAGTCAATACCACCCAAAATACGAACCAGGGCCCAAGCAGCCGCATACGTTCATAATCTCATGTTCGCCCGTCTTACCGATCAAACTGGTCCCGGCATCGTAGTCGGCGTCTTCGAACCAAGCACCGTCGACCGATATCTCATGACAGGTCGCAACGAGCCACTTCCTGCATCCGTCCTCGAAGAAAAATGGACATCGGGCCGGGGCTTCTTCCTCCTCAATTCCTCGGACCTCGTCAGCTCGTTGTGCTCCGAATACCCTTGGCACTTTTCAGACAGGGCAGTGAACGAAGAGAAGTATGACAAGACGAAGTTGATTGGCGGCACGACTGAACCGATACGGTGCCTCTCATGGGGAGGCTGGGTCGAGATGCGCGAGCAGTACTGTAAACAGCAGGAGCTGATCAAAGAGAAAGCACAGACAGCATCCTCAGGTCAATGCGAGCCAGAAGGAAAGCTCGATTCAACTCACGCCAACACTGTCCAAGACAGACGCGAACGCAAAAGCACAGGTGAGCCGTCTGGTGGTAATCAACGCGGTAAGTGGTATCGTGGTACCATCTTGCTGCTCTCGCTCCATCCTACTCCGAGTACGAGCGATGCCTTGATCGTCCCGCCTTTCAACGAAGCATCTCAAGTCACGCCAGAGTTTCTGCATAGATACCTCAAGCCTCAGCTCGAGCAGCGGGTGCCCGAATCCATCTCCTATATCCACTCGCATCGATCAGCGAGCACGGACGCCGCCGTCGTTCAGGCGGCCATACGTACAGCGCATCCTCATCTTGCCAACCAGCTCCTCACACACTTCAGCGAACTCAAAAGCATGGACGAGACAGACGAAGATCAGTACTGGTTCCAGATGCCGGACAAGCCACGTATCAGTGCACTCAATCGTTTGCGCAGAATCAGCGCCAAGCTCAACACCGACACGGCCTGAATCGCCACCCGGGCATACACGCACAAATCGCGCAATGATCCGAAATCCCATGATGCTTTATTTGAACACTAGAAAAGATGCAAACTCTGCGTCAACGGCAGCTCGTCCGCGGGAGGCACGGTCAATAGTCGGCCTCCATCCGTCACCTCGTACGTCTCTGGATCCACCTTCAGATCGGGCGTGTGCGTGTTGAGCTTCATATCCTTCTTGCTCACCTTCCTGCATCCTTTGACCGCCTCGATCCTCTTGTTGACGCCGTAGCTTTGCACAATGCCCTGCTCGACCGAATATTGCGAGACAAACAGCACCGAGTTGTGCGGAGCCGCATTGGCGTTGGCGCCATGCATGGGCCTTCCATAGATAGGCTGTACTGTCGGGATCGACGCATTGGCATCACCCATCTGCGCCCATGCGACTTGACCGCCCTTGAGCACGAACTCGGGGCAGATACCGAATTTGGACGGCAAGTAGAATACAAGATCGGCCAACTTGCCAGGCTCGATACTGCCGATCAGATGCGAGCAGCCGTGAACGAGCGCAGGGTTGATCGTGTACTTCGACACGTAGCGCTTGATACGCAAGTTGTCCGACACGGCCTCGCTCGGATGAGGAACGCCCTTGACTTGCGGTTGCACGGTGGATTCTGAGTCGGGAAGCGGTCCGACCAGGCTGGCCATCTTGGAAGCAGTCCTCCACGTACGCGCCACCACCTCACCGATCCTTCCCATGGCCTGCGAATCGGAGCTGATCATCGAGATGGCGCCGCTGTCCTGCAACACGTCTTCGGCGGCCACGGTCTCTGCACGGATCCTCGAATCGGCAAACGCCACGTCCTCGACAATATCCTTCGAAAGATGGTGGCACACCATCAACATGTCGAGATGCTCGTCGAGCGTGTTCTTGGCGTACGGGCGCGTCGGGTTGGTCGAGGAAGGCAACACGTTGGTCTCTCCACAGACTCGAATGATGTCGGGCGCATGTCCGCCTCCGGCACCTTCCGAGTGGTAGGTGTGGATGGTTCGACCCTTGAAAGCGGCCAGCGTGCCTTCGACGAAGCAAGACTCGTTGAGCGTGTCGGTGTGGATGTTGCACTGCACGTCGTATTTGTCACAGGCGGTCAAGCACGCATCGATGACGGCGGGTGTCGCTCCCCAATCCTCGTGAATCTTCATACCTGCGCAACCGGCTTTGATCTGGTCCTCCAAGCCTGGCAGGCCCGAGTCGTTGCCTTTGCCGGTGAAGGCAAAGTTGAGCGGAACATTGTCGGTGGCGATCATCATGTTTCGCAGCTGGTCCTGACCGGGTGTGCACGTGGTTGCGCTCGTTCCTGCCGTGGGACCAGTTCCTCCTCCAATCAGCGTGGTGATGCCTGTAGCGAGCGCCTCCTCGTGCAGGTCGGGACAAATGTAGTGGACGTGGGCATCAATGGCACCTGCGGTCACAATAAATTTTTCGCCGGCAATCACCTCCGTGCACGAGCCCACCACCAAGTTGGGATCGACACCGTCCATGATGGCCGGATTGCCTGCTTTTCCGATGCCCACGATGTGTCCGTTCCTGATACCGATATCGGCCTTGACAATGCCCCACCAGTCGACGATGAGCGCGTTGATGACGACGACATCGAGAACAGCGCTGTCCGCACGACCTGAGGCTTGACCCATTCCGTCACGCAACACCTTTCCACCACCGAATTTGAGCTCGTCGCCGTAGACGGTGTAGTCCTTTTCCACCTCTAGCCACAGAGGACTGTCTGCTAGCCTCACCTTGTCGCCCACGGTGGGGCCGAAGAGAGCAGCATAGGCGTCGCGCGATAGCTCGCAAGGTGCCGGTGGAGGGATTGAGTCGTCCTCCATGTCCGAAACCGGTTCGTTGGCAAATCCAGCAGCTTCGATGCGTTTGACGAGGGCGGACTGGGATTCGGTCGAAGCGAGGAACTCATCGAGAGGGCCTGCAGCGAGGTTGTTGCCACCTGCGAGGATCTTTGTGCCGCCAACCTGGACGAGCGTGACGGTCTTTGTGTCGCCTGGTTCGAATCGGACGGCCGTGCCGGCAGCAATGTCGAGCCTCTTGCCCAACGCCAGCAGGCGCGGGAAGGAGAGCGCAGCGTTGGTCTCGAGGAAAGGGTAATGCGATCCGACTTGAATCGGACGGTCGCCCGTGTTTGTTACCTTGACCGCCACCCTCTTGCGCTTGGGGCAGAGCTGAATGGGTTGTCCTCCCCTCTTGGTCACGAGTGCTCCTGGCAGCACCTCGTCGGCAGCCGTCTTGCCGACGATTGCCTTGCTGGCCGCCGCCTTGTCTTTTTCGACCTGCGCCAAGAATACGCTCGCATCAGGAGCGGGGTAGAAGCTCGAGTAGAGGGCAGCATGGATGTCGCCCGTCTCCGTGCAGACGGGTTCATGCACCGTCACCAAAAAGGAACCGTCTGGAAAGGTACCTTCGACCATGACCTCGTGCAACAACTCTGGCACTCCGGGCAGCACATGGCATCGTCCCAAAAGCGCCTTTCCGTGCTGCATGAGCTCGGCCACGGAATGCTCGCCATCTCGGATACGCTCCTGCAGCACCGTCGCGATGAGCGCCGTAGCCTCGGTTTGGTTCAGACGGACACCTCTGGCCAAACGCTTTTGTGCGAGCGAGCCGGCATGGTGGAGCAGCAACTTGTCTCGTTCGCGTGGCAGCAGATGCATTTTGAGGCCGAGAGTGCAAGGGTGGTGGAAGAAGAGACTCTCGGTCGTATGTGGGGATCAGGGGGTGAGAGGAGGCGAGAAGGGTAGGTCCAAAGCGGTTGGCATCCCGATAAGCGCTCGAACCAACACGGCGGACAGCCGAAGCTTTTGTGAGTGTAAAGACCGCAAACTCGCCCGCCGCTTGACTTTATCGACGCACAGGCCTCGAGGACGCTCACCGTGGGGAGGCGGGGTAAAAAAAACAAAATCATCTCGAAATTAGAGGCCTAACACTGCTAAATTCGGACGGAACTCGGTTGTCTTTCTGTTTGCTCTAACCGAAGGGTGAGTGTTGGTTGTGTCGCACCCTCTCCTTCGTCTGTTTCCTTGCTCAATGGCTCGATCCAGCGATTGGACAAGACGCAATGGCGACCTGCATAGCGGCTGCTGGTATGGCAACCAGCGCAAGAGCCACCACCTCGAAGGTGACGCTCGAGGCATTCAGCCCATCGATAGCACGAGGTGTACGACGACCTATCCGCTGCAAGCCTTCTCAACGCAACTCCTTCTTCCACGGCACCTCAGCACGTCACACGTCGAAAGCTCCAACACAATCGTCACATGAAATCTCATCGTCGATCCGATCGCTCATGCGAGAATCCGCCCAACCCGTCGCACTCGTAACCACACTCCTCCCGCCCACTAATACGCAGATCCATGCAGCGACTCTGTCGAGCTTCACATCGATCTCCTTGGAACCGAATCTGGTGTGTTTTTCCATCAAGACGCCGTCGAAGCTTGCGGATGCACTGGCGTGGCACGTTTCGCAGCGAAGGGGTGGAGGAGGAGGAGTAGAGGTGGATTTCGTGATCAACGTGCTGTCGAGCAGTCAGGCTGGTTTGGCTGCAGCGTACGCTAGACCGGGCACTCCACCGTTGGAGTTGAGCGAAGCAGCAGAACAAGATGGAGGGCAGGCGCATCCGTTGAGATGTGCAGGGATAGATGGGGTGCCGTGCGGACGCGGGGAGACGGTGACGGTGGTGCAAGGGTCGATTGGAAGTTTGGCGTGTAGCGTGGTCGAGAGTGTGGATCTGGATCAGTACGGAAGCAGCGAGGGAGAGGTAGACGCGCAAGAAATGGAGGGGGAGTGCAAGACCAGCAAGCTATACATTGCCAGGGTCGTACACGTGCATTCGCCGGGAACGAACGGTGACGATACAAAGGGACAGGAGAGAGTTCCGCTCGTATACCACCGTCAGAAGTTCGTCTGCACCACAGAGACGGCCCTCATTGAATCCTGACCAACACGTTCACCAGAAAAAACAAGAGCGCACTTCTCGCACATACACACATCTGCAGATCTTATGCGCGCTTTCAACCCAACCTCCATATCCTACAATTTCAACAATCTTCTTACATCACTCTGACTCGAGGAACCCCCTAATCGCACCGCCTACATTCTGCACATCGATCAAAAAGCTATCGTGTCCGTGCGGTGCATCCAACTCGTAATACCTGACCGAGTCGTTTCCGTTCAACCTAAGGCACTCTGCGATCTCCCTCTGCTGTTCCACGGGGAAGAGGATGTCGCTCTGGACGCCGATGACGAGCGTGGGGATGTCGGCTAGTCTGGCCATGCCGCGGGCGAGGGCGGGGACGTAGGCGTGGGCGGCGGGGGAGCTGAGCGTGCTGATGTGCTGACGCTTGCGCGGTCTCGGGGCGGGGGTTGCGTTTCGATCGAGCGCGAGGTTTGTCGAGTGGTCGGCACCGTGTGCGTTGGTCCGTCGGAGTTGGAGATCGCACAGTGCGTGGTCGGACATATCGAAGAGATCCATCGCCTTGCTGATGTAGATCAGCGAATTGGCATCGTACTTGAGGCAAAACTGCTCTCCCTGATGATCGAGGTAGGTTTCGATCAGAAAATCGGGACACAAGGCGGGATCCAACTCCATCGACCCTTCCTCTTCGGTGGCAACGCGTCTAGCTCGACCGAACCTCTGCTCCCATTCGGGTCCGGATCGATAGGTGAACGTGGCAATCTGACGTGCAAGCTTCATACCCGTGTGCGGGGGCAGTTGACCGGCATCGTAGTAGAAGCCGCGGTTCCAGTTGGGATCGCTCATCAGGACGCTGCGTTGGGCGTAGCGGAGTGCGATGCTGGCGGGCGCGGAGCGAGCACACCCGCTGATGGAGATGAGTCGCGCCACACGGGAGCGTTCGAGGTGAGCGGCTGCGATGGACTGCATTCCTCCCATGGAGGAGCCGACGCTGGCGTAGAGTCTGTCGATACCCAGGTGGTCGAGCAGCAAGAATTGGGCTCGGACCATGTCGAAGATGCTCAGAATGGGGAAACGGGTTGCGTACGCCGCTCCAGTCGCGTCCAAAGGATGAGCGCTGGAAGGGCCGGTGGAACCATAACACCCTCCCAAGACGTTTGTGCAGATGATGAAGAACTTGTTGGTGTCGAGGGTCTTGTTGGGACCGATAAAGTCTTCCCACCAGCCCTTGGCGGGGTTGCTTTGGGTGCTGGCTGCGTGACTCGATGCCGAAAGACCGGTGTGCAGAAGGATCGCGTTCGACTTGTCCTCGTTCAGCTGCCCCCACGTCTCGTACGCCAGGTCGAACTGCGGAAGCTCCCCACCGTAGTCCAGCTTGAACGGTCGTGGATGGTGGTACAGCTGATAACCCGAAACCACCTTGGTGTAGGACGGTTCAGGGCCCGATTCGTCCACCTCCTGCGACTCGGAATCAGTGGCTGAAGCGAGCTGCGGTGACGAGAATTGCGCACGGAGACGGTCTTCTCGTGCTTCGTTGGCGTCTACGCAGGGAAACGCGACCGAGGAGAGCGCGCTGGAGGAAGGAGTCGAGCATGATGGTTTGGACTGCTCCGCGAGTCGTTGGAGCTTTTGACCCCTGCGTTCGTTTGCGTCGACGCAGGAGAATTCGGGTTGCGAGTGGACCGAGGAGGATGCATAGCGGGAAGTGCCGATGTCCGACCGACGGTATGCTGCCGCAGCCAAGGATGGGGAGGGTGTGTGAGACGAGGAAGATGCTAGTGACCGTATGGATGTCGTCAGAAGACGGGTTGATGAGCGTGACATTGCGATCCGCAGGAGATGCCTCGACGACGACGAGATGGGGGTGAGGTTGATGGGCGTGAGATTGGTGGTGGAAGGGCGACAACGTCGAGAAGATCGATTCGAGTGTCCGCGTCGACTCCACCGCCATCGGTAATTCCGACAGACGGAGAAACGTGAATCATCGTTCGGCAGTCTTTGACATGTTTGTCCTGCTTGCTCACATCAACGATCTCTCGCACAACTGCTGGTCACAAGTGCATTCTCTCCATCATCGTGCTTTCGCACACAGCATCACCGTGATCGGCTTGCCTATATCGCAGGTCGCAGAAGGTACTTTCGACGTGACAAGAAGGTGCTCCACTCGGTCGGTCGGCAATAGATTCTCTTGATCGAGAAGAAAAATCAATATATGAATATGCACGGCTGCAGCGATGGCGTGATTTGACAGATGCAGCGCGGGTTGCGGTTTGCGGTGCTGCTCCACCTCCCTCGCTCGCCCTTTTGCCGGCTTTCTAACCGAGATCCAGAACAAAAAAAAAGGGTCGAGCTTTGTTCCAAGCACGTTTCAAGCCATTCCAATTCTTCTTGAGCTTTGCATTCTCCATTGGTGTTGGTTTGGTTAGCAACCTCCATCATCCAAGTTCTTGACCTCAGTAGCAGTCGTCAGCATCGACGCATACTTGCAAGATGGTTCAGTAAGTCATTTCCTTGTCTTTCGAATATGCTGGCGTCCTGGGAAACCGTCTCTGACCATCTACCACACTCTCTCCACTCTGACTGACAGCGCCGACGCCGCCGCGCTCCCGACCTACGTCGTGACGAAAGCCGACTTCTACGACCACCTCGAATCCTCCCTCCTTTCGCTCATCGACCCTTGCACCGACTGGCTCTCGTCGCTCTCCAACGCTGCTTCGCTCATCTTCAATTCGATGAACCGCTTCCCCGTGTGGACCGAGAAACGCGTTAACTGGGCCGGCTTCTACCTCCTCTCCCCTCTCCTCCCGTCCGAGATCCTCTCACCCAAGCAGCGTCGCAACCCAACTCTGCTGCTGGGACCGTTCAACGGTCTCCCCGCTTGTCAGCTCATCCACTCCGTCCCGGGCAAGGGCGTCTGCGCAGACGCCTCCGCTCTGCTCCCACCTCGCGTCGTGAGGGTGCAGAATACCGAGGAGTATCCGGGTCACATTGCGTGCGATTCGCTTTCCAAGAGCGAGATCGTCGTGCCCCTCGTGATCAACAGGGCAAAGTTGAACCGTGTGCATCAGAAGGCGTTGGACGAGCAAAGCCCGAGGGACGGCAAGGCGGCTCAAGGCGACGACAGGTCGTGGGCGGGCAGAGGCGATGGCGAAGAGGTCATCGTCGGCGTGCTGGATATCGACTGCGAGTCGTTGGATGGTTTCGATGCAGAGGACGAAGAGAGGTTGCAGAGGATCGCAAACTTGATCGTCGAACGCTCGGCTTGGTAACAAAGCTCCTTCTCTGCCTTACACACACCACATCCGAACAATCACAATACCCGAGAAAAGTCACACTTGCAACGTCACAATACATCGCATCTTGCCAACTAAGCACCCGAAAGCGATTCGTGTTTTCTTAGTCCGTGCGTGTGGAACTCGAGCCAGCAGCAGTCGTCGTCGCGCCAAACGACCTCATCGTCCGTCCACCAGACGTTGCCGAGCCACCGATCGTCGTGTCTCCCGCATCATCATCCTCACTACTCTCCTTGCTGCCCTCCCTCCTACTCTCCCCTCTATCCTCAACTCCCTCTCCGCCGGAGGTGGATTCGTCCTCCAGATCCTCCCACGCATCCGTCTCTCCTCCTTCCCTCGCCCTCGCCGTCATCCTCGAGCTTGGCCTCGAGCTCGCCACATCCGTATCCTCCTCCGTCTCCTCATCCAGCCTGTCCAGCACCCTCCTCGACAGCTGGATCTCGGACAACTCCTCGGGCGAGATCGGCGCGGTCGGATCCACAAACTCCATCAACGACGCTTCCCCTCCTCCCCCCGCGAGTTCCCTGCTAGGACCCACACCGGACATCCTCCTCGCCTCCAACAGATCCCTCATCCTCGACTGTCGGATCGCCTCCTGCAGGTCAGCCGCATCCGCCTCCCGTAGACTCTCCATCGATCTCAACCTCGCCTTCTCCTCCTCGTCGCTGAACTCTTCCTCCTTCACCCGCCTTCCCACATACCCGCTCTCGGTCTCGGTCTCATCTTCCTCCTCCTCCATTCGTCTGTACTCCTCTCCACTCGCACTATCCTCCTGCTTCACGCCATCATCGCTCCTCATCCTCTGCTCCCCTCCTCCTCTCCACTTGCCTTCCCCCTGCTGATAATGCACATCCGCCTCCAAACTCATCCCGCTCGTCCAGATCGCCGCTACAGCCCACAGCGTCAACGCCGTCGCCATCTCGCACGCCAAGAACAACCCCGTAAACAGCAGGAACGACAGCACGGGGAAGTGGTACATGAAGAACCTCAACCCGGTCAGATGCGCATCGAAGCGTATGCTCGCGGCGTACGTCTGCAGCTCTCCCCTGCTCGAGTGACTGCCCACTGCCAGTGGAACCATCCTGCCGTTGCCCGGCAGAGCCTGTATCCCAGCTAGCGTGTTGTGGTTCCCACCGTACATCCAGTACTTGTCCGCGTCTGCACGGCCGACACTCACCTGCCCGTGCGTTACTTTCCGATCCGATCGCCCATCCACCCCCATCGACGACAGACCGGGCGCGAACGACGACGGTCTCAACACCGCCCGCCTCAACAACGAGATACGCAGCAACTGCGAGTTCGAAGGAGACTGCGTCGACGCAGGATTCCTCGAGATCATCTGCGAGATGGAATCGGCCGCCCTCACGGGCGCCGTAGAGTAGGTGAGAAGCGTCGGTTTGCTGACGTGGAAGACCGAGACGTTGGATCTGCTCTTGAGCTCCAGATCCACCATGAAGTTGCCCAGATCCAGATTCGCCTGGTTGAGAGGGACCGACAACTCGAGCGTTACGTCGTACGCCTGATCTGTGGCGAAAAACTCTCCATTGAGATCCGCCGCATTGTAGGACGAAGAAGAAGGCGTTGGTTCCCGCAACCGATACCCCTGCGCACCGTGACCGAAGTCGAGGTGCGCATAAGGAGGTCGATCCTGTCCATACTGCAGCCATATCTCTTTGCGCAACCCTACATCCGGAACCCAAGCACGGTAGAACCCGACATAACTAACGATAGCCGCCGCCAGAGCGATCCAAAAGATCGTAGCTAGCACACCGAGTCGCACCACGATCCGATGAGTTTTTGGCGACAGGATGATATCGCGTGTGTACTGCAGAAGCTGCGTGACGGGCGCGAGCAGCAGACGATCCACCAGCAGCTGCGGCCATTCCTGGATGGGTGGCAGCGAAGCGATCCAGTTGGCCAGATCTACCAGCGGTGGGAGCAGCGGTGGTTCGGGTACAGGCTGGGAAGTCCATGTCGGTGTTGTGGCTGAATATGTTCGCTGTGGCAGTTGCCTTTGACGCTGCTGCTGCTGTTGTTGTTGTTGTTGCTGCTGCTGCTGCTGCTGCTGCTGCTGCTGTTGCTGGTGGGACGAGATGCGCTGGTATCGAGTGTTGAGGTCGGACGAGCCTCGAGCGGATCGTTGGTGCGGGTATGACATGGCTGCGCGGATGATGTTAGGTGTGGGGTATCTTTGATTCAGTTGCGAGCTAGCATGGTATCAGGGTGAGTATAGGGAACTCGTGGGCTGTGGCTGTGTTGTTGATGACAAGTTGTGGTGGTGATGGACGATGACAAGTTGTGGTGGTGATGGACGGGGAGCAGGATGAAGGCTGAGTCCAGGCTTGCGACTCGCTGTCCGTGCACTTCGAGATCCGCGTGACGCCGCTGCTGGTTGCGCTGTTTGCACGCATGTGAATCCAACAGAGAAATCATTGACCCACGCGTTTCGGCTGTCCAATTTGGCGTCGTTCATTCTCCACTTTGCTGCTCCCACTCTAACACTCCGGCTAACTCCTTCTACGATTTAGTCTCTCGTGACGCTTGGCCATGACGAACAATCTTGCATGCTCCCAACCAACCCGGCTTCATCTTGGTCCAGTCTGCAAGAGCTTGTGCCGCTGCCGGCAGCTCTGGTCATGAAGTGGCTGCTTGCTTCGTGACCTCTTCTCCTCTCCGCTGCGTCTCGCCATGCGCTCGGATCTCCTAAAATGGTTCGTGCTCTTGGCGAATCTGGCGCAGGCCGTTCGAGCGGCACTACCTCCCACAAAGGACCCAGCATCCTACGTCGACACTCTCATCGGCACCCTCAACGGCGGCAACGTCTTTGCAGGACCCTCCGCCCCCTTCGGCAGCATCAAGCCCGGTCTCGATTCTGATGCGCCCAACAATCAGGCCGGTTTCGTGCCGGACGGCCACTCTCCCATCTTTGGAATCAGCGCACTCCACGACGACGGTACAGGAGGCAGGGCATCGCTCGGAATGTCCTCGCTGCTGCCGCAGTACTGTCAGCTCGACATCAACGAAGCTACCTCGGGATGCAAGTGGACCCGACACGCGAGAAGGGCCGACATCAAGCACTCTTCCGTCAAGAGCACCCCGGGAGAGTTTCACTTTTCGCTGCAGTCCGGGGTAGACGTCAGCATGGCTGCTAGTGATCATGCTGCTGTCTACAACATCGACTTTTCCGACGCTATCGAGCGTGGTTCGTGGAGGTCGTCGCGCTCAGCCACGGAAGAGCCTTCGAAGCGAGCAAACAACCTCGAGCCCGTCCTCGTGTTCGACTACATGACCGATCTGCAGAATAGCGGTCGTTCTCCAAACAACTCGCTCACCACTTCCTCCTTCGTCCTCCCAGCCACATCCGATTCGCCTGCTACGGAGGTGACGCGCATCGAAACGAGCGCCACCTTTTCCCCTTCCTTCGGCGTTGGACAATTCACTGTCTACACGTGCCTCGACGTCCCGCTGGTTCGAGCGATGGGAACGTACGAAATGGACAAATCGTCTCCGGACGCCAAAGATCTCACCGACGTCTATGGTGAGGCAGGTGTCATCTTGACGATCGACCAGGATCGACTTTCCTCAGCAGATTTCGCGGGGACGCTTCCCGTTCGCATAGGTATCAGCTGGACATCCACACGTGCAGCGTGCAACTACGCATCGGCGGAAATCCCCACCTTCCCTTCCACCAAATCTCTCTCCACCGTCGCGTTAGCTACTCGCTCCAAATGGAACGCGCTCCTCAGCGACACCCTCACCATCTCGCACGACGGTCTCACCCCGGACGACCTGACGCTCTTCTACTCGTCCCTGTACCGCACCTTTCTCTCGCCCAACAATGTCACTGGGGACAACCCGCGGTTTTCCACCACCGAACCCTCGTACGATTCCCTGTACTGCATCTGGGATTCCGCCCGTACGGTGCACCCGCTGTGGACGCTTCTCGCACCTGGGGTGCAAGCCGAAGTCGTGCGTTCCGTCGTCGAGATCTACCGCAAGGAAGGGTGGCTGCCGGACTGTCGGATGTCGACGCTGCAGGGGTTTACGCAGGGTGGGAGCAACGCGGAGATGTTGTTGAGCGATTCCTTTGTCAAAGGAATCTTGCGGGGCGATAGGGGGTTTTGGGAGGATGCGCTAGAGGGGATGCTTAAGGATGCACAAATCGAACCGCCCTCCTGGGGGCTTGTCGGTCGAGGTGGGATCGAAGCAAGACGTGCACTAGGCTACGTACCCCGCGGAGAATGGGGATCGCCCGAGAAACCGGGCGCAACACCAGGCAGAACCGCCAGCAGAACCATCGAGTACGCATACAACGATTTCTCCATCGCCCTCGTCTCCGCCGGTCTCTCCCACCCCACGCTCTACACATCCTACCGCGTTCTCAGCAACGACACGTTCAACCTGTGGAACACTTCGATCGCATCCGACAACTTCACCGGATTCCTCCAAGCGAGAAACGAGGATGGTTCGTGGGCGTACCAGGATCCACGTCGATGTTCCCCTGCATTGGAACCATTCGGTTGCTTTTTGGATCGAGGCGAAGGTCATGATTTTTACGAAGCTAGTAGTTGGCAGTACAGCTTTTTTGCACCGCACGATATGGCACAGGTGGTGGAACTGATGGGTGGAAGCAAGAGGTTTGTGGAGAGATATAAGCATATGTGGTCGATGGGTTATGCGGATATAGGCGATGAACCCGGGTTCTTGGCTGCGTATTCGGCCAACTTTGCCGTCGGAGGATACAGACATACGGTCGATCTCGTGGTCAAGTTGATGCGGGAAAAGTTCAGTACGAGCAAGGCAGGTTTGCCAGGCAACGACGATGTCGGAGCGATGGGAAGTTTCATCGTCTGGACGCATCTCGGTATGTTCCCCGTCGCCGGAACGGGGGTCTACCTGCTAAGCACGCCTCTGATCAGCGCGTACGAGGTGAGAAACGCCATCACGGGGAAGGTGTTCCGGTTGAAAACGCGGGGCTGGGATGGGGCGAGAAGGAACAAGTATATTAGGGAAGCGTGGTTGGATGGAGAAAAATATACGAGGAATTGGTTGTGCCATAGCGTGTTTGAGAGGGGAGGGGTGTTGGAGCTGGTGCTGGGGGAGAACCCGGGGGAGATGGGGAGCAGGGAGGAGGATTTGCCGCCGAGTCTGTCGACGGGTGGGTTTGGGTATGATTCGGCGGTGCTGGGGTGTTGATGCGCCGGTGTGCGGATGTATACTCTTCACCCTGTCGAAACCGACTCTCTTTCACCATCCCGGCACACACGTCGCCCGCCGAAACCATCACATACACACACAGAATACCAGAACCGAAGAGCGAATAGATTGCACCCTGTACTACTCTTGCAATTGTGTTTTTTACCTCCCTACGAGCTCTCCTCACCACTGCTCCCACCCTTCCCACCATTCTTGCCAGCGGCGTCGTTTATGAGCCCCAGATCCATGATGGAGCTGGTCGCCCTCACCTCGCCCTTCTCCCTAGCGGCGTGAGCTTCTTTGGCCTGACGTTGCAACCAGTGGTCCTTGATCTGCTTGGCGCGTGCGATCTCTTTGGTGTGGTGGAGGCATTCGAGGTAGTCCTCCTTGGCGCCGATGCAGTCGGAGGGTGTGTCGGCCGAGGCGTAGCATTTCTGGAACTCCTGCCAGAAGGCGAAGCATCGAGGTCGACCGCCTTTGAAGCTGAATCCGGACTGGTAGCGAGCGAGAAAGTGAAGCAGACAGAGGCGGTGGGTGGAGAGAAAGTGTGTGGTCGAGGGTGGTGCGCCGGAAGAGGTGAGTTTGCGGCGGTGTGTTGTGGTCCGATATCGTAGAGTCGTGAGCGAGATGTATGATTACAGCATTGCGCACGGTGAGGCAAAGTCGGCGAAAGAGCATGAGGAGGATTGGTTGAATGGATAGTCAGTCATCATGGTCCAGCGCATACCAATCTCGGAAACATGTCATAAACAAGTGCGATCAACTTACAGCCATTATGAAGTATATGTACGAGTGGTTTGTTCGACCTGGTTCCGTCTGTCGCTTGTTTGTGGTCGGTGTCCTCGTGAAGCGAGATGCGTGGAGAGTAGGAACGGTGGACACGATCGACAAGGGTTGGTGGTGAGGAACGATGACGAGAAGCCAAAGGTGTTGGAAAGAAGCGGAAAGCTGCAAAGTGAGCGCCAACCTCGAATTGCAAGCGGCGCGTTTCGGATCCGTTCCTAATCAGAGCGATCACGATTTTCATCATCAGTGTTACATCTCACAATTCAACTCAACTCGCTATTTTTTTCATGCACGGACCGGTTCCCCTCTTCTGCTCGACACGCTTCCAAACCCTCCGCTCTGCCACCTGTTCTGTTCTCGTTGCCGATACACTCCACTCCATCATGACGTTGCGGTTCAGCTGGTCGTGAAAAGCAATTTGCTATTTCATGTGGCCTGTCTTGATCCATCAAGGTTTGAGGAAGGGAGCCATGTAAAACTTCTCCACGCCATGCTCCTCACCAGCCCGATCAATCTGCTTCAGCTCGTCCTCGCTCAGCTCGAGCTGACCGTCGTTGCTCGAGTCCAACTGGTCGAGGTACTCCTTGGCACGCGACTCCTTGCTGGTGGTAGTAGTGATGATTCCCTCGGAACGCTGCAGAGCCCATCGGAGGAGTACGTTGGCGATGGTGCGCTTGTCGTTCTTGCCTGCAATCGAGGTGAGAGCCTTGTTCAGAGGGCCGTCTTCGGGAAGTGCGGACTTGTAGAAGGGTGCGAGGGCCGAGTAGGTCATGGTGACGATGCCGTGCTTCTTTTGCAGCGCGAGCAGCTTCTTGTACTCGTCGTGCGAGTAGATGTATGGGTGCTGCAGAGCAAACAAAAAAGGGGGATCTCGATCAGCGATCATTCTCATCAATCCCACAATGGGAGGAAAATCTTAGCACTTACGAATTCGATCTGGTTAATGTCAGGCACGCTCAAGCCAGCATCGAGCAGCTGCTGAATATCGCTAGCCAGCCAGTTGCTGACACCGATGCTCTTGGTGAGCCCTGCCTGCTTGATCTTCTCCAGCTCCTTCCACGCATCCACGTTGCTAGGCAAGCCATCCTTGCCACGAGGAGGTAGATGCAGCAGGTACGAATCCAACTGATCCACCTTGAGTTTTTGCAATTCCACCTTGACTGCCGACTGAAGATCCTTCATTCCATCCTTGCCCACTTTGGTGAGCACGTAGATGTCGTTGCGCTTGAGGCCGGATGATTTGAGGAACGACTCGATTCCGTTGCCCATCGACGCTTCGTTGGCGTACACTTCGGCGCCGTCGATGAAGCGGAATCCAGCGTTGAGCGCCATGGTGACTTGCGAGGCCGCGTCCGAGTTGTAGAGTGCGGTGCCCGTGCCGAAGGCGAGGCGGGGCAGCTCGAGGCCGGAGGGGAGGCGCACGGTCGGGATTGGCATGTTTGCGAGGTTGATAGCGGATGTGGTGTGTGCGTGTGTGTGAGTTGGAGGGATGGTAAGAGTTGTGGGGAGGGTCAGATATTATATCTCACTGCAACCGGCGGTGAGAGAGTGTCCAGCATCGGTCAGCTGAGCAGCGACGCCAACCTCCACGGACGCTCGTGCCATCATGACGTGCCGGCAGCACCTGGGGAAGGGCGTGAGCTATCTCCGGCTATGCACTTGATTCACCGGAAGTCTCGAACAGGTCAGATGTGCAAGTAATCGTGACTAATCGACATTTTCCCGCTTCTTCTCCTCTCCGCTTCGCTCCACCTCGAGCGCGATTTGCACACACCTTCTCGACGAGACCAACACTTTTCACCGCCGGCTCAGCCATCCACCACACCATCACCTTAACTCACAATGTCGGGTCAGACGCTCAGCGACCTGATCGCGACCGTCTTCCTCCGCGCAGCCGACCCGCCACCTCCGCCACCACCTCAAGCATTCGATCCTCGAGCACCCGAGACATCTACCTCTGCCTCTGCTTCCTCTTCCTCGTCCGCAGTCGACCCCGCCGAGGCGACGTTATCCCTTCTAGCTCGAGCGCAGCAGCTGTCCGACTCGATCGGCGTTATCTCTCCCAACGACGCGTTGCGCGACATCTCCACGTCTTCGCTCCGAACGCTCTTCCTGCCCTCGCTCCAGTCTGAACTGCAGACCGCCGTTCGAACGGGTACGGATCACAGCGCTCGCAAACAGAGGCTCGCTTCGAGTCAACATGCCGCCGCAACGTTTTTGAACCGCACCTTGGCGTTGGGTGTTGTTCCTCCAACGACCAAGCAGCTGCTAGGATGGACGCTGGTCAACGTCCCCGCCAACGAGCTGACGGGTATCGGGTTGGATTCCAGCCTCACCTCGACGGGTGGGGCGGCGCCACACGCTAGAGAAGTCAAGATCTCGCTGTTCAAGCTGGAACGTGCTCTCAAGAGCAACTTGGAACAGTTCCGGGATGCCTACCAGGCAAAGATCAAGCTTGACAGTCACGTCAAGGTTCCTTCGGATGTGGGGTACGATTTGCTGCTATATCCTAGGTCACGATCTAGCGACGATGACGAAGAAGAGGATGATGACGATGACGAAGATCAAGGTTTGGGTCAAGAAACTCCCGCCTCAGCACCAGGTGGAATCTCCTCCGTCCGTCAATACCTTCTCGCCCAACTCAACCTCCACTCCCTCAAAACAACCCAGTTGATCACCTCTGCAAGTCAGGAACTTGAACTCCTACGATCCCTACCCCCACCACCTCCCCCGAACTCTTCCCAACCCTCCACCTCCAACGCTGAAGAATGGCGTCTCGACCGCAATCCCTCCTCCCTCCCCACCACCGGCCCACTCCTAGCTCCCACCGGAAAAGTCCTCCGTCCCTTCACCATCACCCCCTCCACCCGTTCCTCCATCGCTTCCTCCGTCTTCCAACCTTCGCATCGTCTTCCCACAATGTCCATCGACCAATACCTCGAAGAGGAACAGCGTCGTGGCAACATCATCCAAGGAGGTGGTCAGGCGAGCTACGATGCCCCCACCAGCACAGAACAGAGACAGCTAAGAGCCGAAATGGATGGAACACGCGATGCGGAGGACGCGGAGGAGGATCAGAGAACCAAGGATCTGCAGTGGGATGCGTTCAGTGAGGAGAATAGGAAGGGTGCGGGCAATACGATGAACCGTGGGTAGCGTAACACTCTTGTCCAAACGGGTTGTTGGGGAACAAATGAAAGATGTGGGTTTTGGCATTTCTTAGGCACTAGGTTGCGAACATCGCAGTTTGTCAATCAGACCCTTCAACTCCGAAGCAGAATGTCGTTCGTCCCTACCCTCAAACACCTCGACAAATGCTTCCAACACCTGCACCAACCGTCGATCCTCCTGCTTGAAATGTCCACCTACCAAGCGCAGCATGTTCCACAACGTCGATGTCTCGATCCACGCCTGATGCCTATCCAGCAGCTGGATCAACAAGCTGAGCGTGTGGATGTCCGGTTGAAGCTGCGGAAACGTCCGGTGAAGGCGTGAGAGGTGTGCGAGGAAGCGTTTGAGCAGTTTTGCACGAGAAGGCGACGATCGGGGTGCGTCGGAGGTTGATGGCGGCGCGGCGAGGTGGATGTGCTGTGCACCACGGAGCAGCGTTGCGATCACTTTGGTCTGGAACCCTTCGTCGCCGGCTGCCACCGCGGGAGAGAGCAAGGTCGATGCGTATCGGAAGCCAGCGAGCAGAGCACCGCTTTCGATGCAGCAGCGAACGACGCCGAGCTTGGCATTCTCGCTCAAGTCGTGGATGCTGCCCATGTTGCGGGCTCGAATCAAGGCGAGGTCCGATCTGATCAGATCGAGGCTGCGTTTGCGAGTGTGACAAACAATGCGTGCTGAGATGGTTCGCAGTGTCGGTCCGCCCAGGTGTGGGAGCGTGCAGATGTCGGACCAAAGCTGTTCATCGACAGTCTTGTAGCCATGACTTGCCGCTACTTCACCTCGGACTCGTTCGACAGGTGCGTCAAGTGTGGCTGATGCACTGCCGTGCACCGTCATCAGCGCATCGTACATGACCGGTGTCCTTTGCAACGGATCAAGAACGCCGAGCACTTCGTACGCCGTTCTCGCACCGCTCGCATCCTGTGCGCAAAGCATCCGAATGGCGTCCTCCATGACCTTGGTCGACACCACTTGCGGTGGCTTACCTTGCTCTGCCCGCAGACGCGAAAAGCCTCCAGCAGCTCGCATCTCGCCTCTCTTCGCTTCGAGCCCTAAAGCGTCGATCTGCGCACGACGCTGTGCAGCCCGTATGGTACGAATCACGCGACTCCTCGCTCGTGTCAAACAGAGCAATTTGAACATTCGGTTGACCGTCTTGCGCTTGAAAGCGACGCCGTCTGCCATGAGATTGATCATCGCATCGCACATTCCGCGAACGGCGAGGCGAGCGTCTGCTTCTGCGAACAGGGTCTTCGTATTTGAAGCGGGAATTGCCGGTGTTGCCAAGGACGGAGTCGATATTGCTTCGGGAGTGTGACCAGGCGTCATGCCCAGTGACTGTGGCAGCTTGAGATCGTAGACGAGTCGCTCTAAGAGGTATCGGGATTGCGATGGCTTCATGCGAACATCTGCGGCAATTGCTGCCGCATGTCGAGTGAGTCCAGCTGCTTGCAGGTAGGTAGCGCATCGATAGAGGCTGTCGCCCCACATGCTGCGAAGCATGGAACGTGTCCGTCCCGGATCGGTAATGTCGGAAAAGGATACGGCCGTCCATGAGCGGTAGAGGTCCAATACTGTAAACGCATCTTGGGACCGCTTGACGCATTGCGACAAAATGTAGCAGCAAAGGTGTTCCCTTTGCAGTTGATCGATTTCACCATAGACGGCACACAGGGCTGGTAGCGAGCGCTCGCCAGATCGGATGAGTAGAGAAACGCGGTCATCAAGCTCTTGTCTCCGGTGAGGTCCAAGCGAGTCGATGTACGAAGTCGGGGCGACGATGTCCTGTTTGATGGGTTCAGGCGCAGTAGTGGCACCTATTGAGGGCGGGATTTGTTGCACAGAAGGGGTGAAAAAGTGGTCGTAGGAAGAATCTTCTGGAAAGAGTTGCTGTATTGACGGTGCTGTCTGCAGGCTGTGAGGGTCGGTACGGCGCGCTGATCTCCTAGCCGGGACGAGCGAGGCGGAAGCGTCGGTTGGCTGCCAGTAGTCGGAAGCGTCGGAGAGCTGTTCATGCCGATAGCTGTCGAGAGAGCTTTGATAATGCAGCTCTTCCAGTGGAAGCTCGGACGCCTTTTGTCGATGATGGGATGTACAGAAGCAACGAGATGGCCCTGCAGCTCCCTGGTCCAGATGTCCGTGTGGTGCATGTGGTCGAGATATGGCATTCCCATCGCTTCTGGATGTCCGCACCGGCCTACTAGCTTGAACGATGCTGTTAGAGCTTGCTCTTGCCGGCAGTGATGCTGCAGCGGATACGTGACGCTGAGCAGATGCGACCGGCCTCGCTGCTGTGAGCCGCAGCGACTGCAAGGCGGAGCTGACGGACATGCCCGGGCATCACTCTTGTTGCGAAGACGGACGTCGCCGCTTGAGAGTGAGTCGCCGCCGTTGCGAGCGAGTGTGCCGCACTTTGTAGGATGGAGCCAGCCTCTCCTTGGGCAGCAAGATTGCGTATGCTGGTGTCGGAGTAGGTTGTGTTACTGTTGTGACCGCATTTGGAGAGCGATTGATCGGCGCTGCAAGATGGTCGGACTGAATGAGAGCGGCAGTCTGGGCCAGAAATGGGCTTAGCTGTGTTAACCAAAAGATTGTTCTGCTAGGGAAGGCCTTGTGAATGGGATCGAGAAGCACACGATCTTGTCACATTCGCTGTGATTCGCAATGCTCGCACCGACACCGAAAAAGTTCTCGGGAATCGGCTTATATGGTCTAACAGCCCAAGTGACAAAAAAAAAGGAGGATGCAAAACTCGGGTCCGAATAAAACCAAATTTCACCGACAGGACTTGCCGCAGCAATTCGAACTGCAAGCGGAAGAAAGTGCCTGCAGGCGGCTCTCTCTCCATTTTGAGAATTTCCGAGCCTGCAGCCCCGCAGAAGCAGCGAGCGTTGTTGGCACCAGCTAGTTGCGATCCACACCAAAGCCCGCCCGACACTTCCTTCCTTCTCCTCTCTCCCCATCAATCCACTGATTGCCCGTTCGACCTTTAAACTTCCTTTCAATCCACTCTTTGAGGTGATAGGTAGGCCGAACTTTTCTACATTCTCCGCAACCCTTCACCAACAACCAACCAACTACAAATCAGCCAAAATGGGTGGAATGCCTCGTGCTACCAAGGAGGCTTGGTTCGAGAAGCTCACCGAGCTCCTCGAGAAGTACCCCTCCATCTTCATCGTCAACATCGACAATGTCAGCTCGCAGCAGATGCACCAGATCCGTCAGTCGCTCCGCGGCAAGGGTGTCGTGCTCATGGGTAAGAACACCATGGCTCGTCGTGCTCTCCGAATGCTCATCGGTGACAACCCGGACTACGAGCGTCTGCTGCCCCACCTCAAGGGCAACATTGGTTTCGTCTTCACCTCGGGCGACCTCAAGGATGTTCGTGATGTCATCCTGGCCAACCGTGTCGCTGCCCCTGCCCGTGCCGGTGCCTACGCTCCCGCCGACATCTACGTCAAGGCCGGCAACACTGGTATGGAGCCCGGTAAGACCTCGTTCTTCCAGGCCCTTGGTGTCCCCACCAAGATCGCCCGTGGTACCATCGAGATCGTCTCGGACGTCAAGGTCGTCGACGCCGGTAACCGTGTCGGTACTTCCGAGGCTACCCTGCTCAACATGCTCAACATCTCGCCCTTCACCTACGGTATGACCGTCGTCCAGATCTACGACCAGGGTCAGTGCTTCGAGTCGTCCGTCCTCGACGTCTCGGAGGACGAGCTCGTCGACCGATTCGTCCTCGGTATCAAGCAGATTGCCTGCATCTCGCTCGCCCTCAACTACCCCACCATCGCCAGCGTCATGCACAGCCTCGTCAACGGTTACAAGAACCTCATCGCCGTCTCCATCGCCACCGACTACGAGTTCGAGGGAAGCAAGAAGGCCAAGGAGTACCTTGCCAACCCCGAGGCTTTCGCCGCCGCTGCCCCTGCCGCTGCCGCCGCTGACACTGGTGCTGCTGCCGCCGCCGAGGAGGAGAAGGAGGAGGAGAAGGAGGAGTCCGATGACGACATGGGCTTCGGTCTCTTCGACTAAGCGCAGAGTCGCCAACCTGCACTCCCCTTTCCACCAAAATGATTGTTCGGCCAACACCTTGTGTGGCATGGTCGTCGATCGCATCTATGATCGTTCCTCGTTCACAGTTGGTCGATCGTCTCACTCTTATTTCTAGTTGGATGTCGTTTCATCACATTTCATCTCTGTAATGCAATCGACGTCTCAACCCAGAATCATTTGTCTCTCGTGTGTGTTTCTCGCTCGTTCAAACAACAACGTACGCGCACACGTCTCATTGCATAAATGAGGAGGACTGTTTTACAAGTCCACCATCTCATCGTTTCACCTTGAAGCTGGCCTCATCACGATCGTAGCAATCCCTGCACCTGACCTCTCCGTCCTTGTTGACTTTGGCACCTGAATCCAACTTTTTCCCGCAGATTGTCGGGATGGGTTTTCGACTCCACCTATCGTGTGCAGAGGGGGGTGGTGCGGGGGAACGACAGATGAGGCAGGGTTTGTGCCATACGGTTCCGCGCGGACCGAGGGTGGATTCGAGAGCGGAGATGGAGAGTCCGCAGTGGGGACAGGCTGCCATTCCACCCCATGACCGGCTGGGGGTGGTGGTGGGAGAGGAATTGGTGAGGAGGGAGGGGTTTGAAGAGGCGGTGGAGATGGCGCTGAGACGGGAGAAGATTCCTGCGGCTGGGTTGGGCTGAGGTGTGGTTCGGGCAGCTGCTCCCGAGGTCGAGTGAGAAGTTTTCGATGCATCCGCTGTGAAGGAGGCTACGACAGTCGGTCGGACCTGATCCCTCTCCCTCAGCGACGGCGCAGGTGAAGGCACAGGACTGGGCTTCAACTCTCTCTGATGCGTAGCATGACTCCCCTTCCCAACCCTCGTCGCACTAGACACATCCAGACCAGCTCGAAAACCCTTTCCCTCAACCTCCCGAGACCTCTGAAGAGATATCTGGATCGTAGGCGAACATCGTGGATGAGCGTATGCCGACAACCCCTCCACCGTCGAAGGCGCACTGTCGAGCCGAACAAAGCTTTTGCTTCCGTCGATGGGATCGTTGCAGATGGAGCATCGGAAGCACGAGGCGTGAAGATGGACGTTGTCGGGCAGCGTCACCATGACGACTTCAGAAGAGTTGTTGGATGGGGCTTCGAAGGGTAGGAGGTGGCAGGCGGAGCATCGGGTTGCGCCTTGAGCTGGCTCGAGCTGGGTTTGCGTGGGTTCGGGAGGGGCTGACTTGGATGGAGAAGGCGATTTCGATGCATGAAGTTCCTTGGTAGGAGAGTTGAGCGGTCGTGGAAAGCCGTTCACAGTACGGCTAGAAACCGCATCTTCCTTCGACTCTGGCCTCTTCACCGGACTAACACTTCGACTCCTCGAATCCCTCCTCCTCACCCTCTCATCCTCCCCATCCACGCCTCCCGCAAAGCTCGACTGGAAAGCAGCCAGGTTCAACCCGTCCCTGAATTGCGCCGTCAACGGACGTGGCTTCGTCGGGCTTCCGCTCCCCGTCAAACTTCCCGAACGAGACATCTTCCCCGGCGACGCAGGCGCATTGTTCGCAAACGCATATTGACTCTTCGACGGAGATCGGGGTGACACCTCTACGGATCCGTGCGACGTACTTTGCGGTAGAGAAGTGCTCGAGCTTGATCGAGTGGAGGATACCGACTGCTGACCCAGCTTTTTCGTAAGCTCGGCGATCGTTGCACCCATCGCACCGGTTCGTGTTGCTGCCGCTCTAGTCACCCTCCTCACATCCGGCAACTCCACCTCCCCCTTCGATAGCTCCACCTTTGCTCCTCTGGGTCGATCGAAACAGCTCTCGCAGACAGGCATGCCATCCATCCCCACCAACACATCTTTTGCGTCTCCACAAAGGCTACACTTCCAACATCTTCCGTGCCAAATCCCACCGCTACCCTTGACAAACTTACCATCCTCCTTCGTCGATCCCAACACGTCCTTCCCACACCCCCTGCATTCTCCCAAACTGTACCTTCTAGCGTAGCAGCTTTTGCAGTAGAACACATCCTTTCCCCCCTGCTCCGCGGTTGCGGATTGTGGTGGTGCGTAGAGCGTCGAATCTCTAGCAAAGATCGTCTTGCAGTCGTCACAAGACCACCGATTCCTGCTGGAAGAAGGCTCGACCATCGAGCCGCACACCTTGGACAGCACTCCGTCGGAACCGGTGATGAGCGGGTTTGTGTAGTCCTGACTCGGCAGACGTTCCAGTGGCGTGGTAGTGAGGGAGGAGCGGAGGTCGCGGGTGATGCGAGAAGGCATACCGAACCCGAGCGCAGGATCGTGGGATAGACGTTTGGGCGAGGAGGGCGGTGGTTGGTCGTGCAGGTATGGCTCGTGCGTGTCGTGAACGGGGAAGGAGAGAGGGTTGACGTAGCGGTGCGTCCAGGGATCAGGTTTACGAGCAGCAGGGATGTGAGGGGCTTTGCTGGTTCCACCGCATTTCGAGCAGCGCATTTTGTTCGAGATTGGGTCTCCGCATCGTTGACAGAAGCCTAGACGGTTGGGTGAGACCGGGGTGAGTGGAGACTTCGGAAGCGTTGACGTCGACATTTTGCGTCTTAAGAATGCAGACTTGCACAGAAAAGTTGGGGAATGAGCTTGAAGGAAAGTTATATGCTTTCGCCTGGGCCCTCGAGCAACCCTGGCACCGCGTTGGATGGGACCAGCTAGACCCTAGTTCAACGAGATGAAGTCGGACCGAACAGAGCCAGGTCGGTCTTTCTCCCACTCGAGCGCGGCCTTGCTGTGACCAGTTCTGAAGGGGGAGAATGATCGTTGTGACAAAGACAAAGTGGGCATCGACTGAAATGAGAAAAGCCGTCCTCCTCCTCGAAGCCCCTTTCTTTCCATGCGGCGGAAAGGAGAACAACACTTTGCAGCCGTGCGCTGCAAACCCCTTTTTTTCCCGTCTTGGACCCTCCACAAACAACACTTTCTTTTTTGGTTTCTGTCGTGTGCGCTACACGCGTGACGGGACCACGTGCTGCTGCGCTACTTTGCCATTCGAAAAAAGCACTTCACTGTCATACTCTTGCATCGCACACTTCGCTGCGCGGCAACACTGCTGATTGTCTATGAGAGCACGTTCGGAAGGAGTTCCGTAAGAGAGAGCGATCTGTACAAGCTCAACAGCCGTATTGAAGTTTCTACTGGATGTCGTTGCTTTTATCTTCGAGATGATGTACTACTACTTTTACACTATCGCAGCGGAAGAATGTACTGTTGGAATCGCATCCTCGCCTCGGAGCCCGGTGAGCTTTGCCTCTACTGCTCGCCGTAGCCCTGAGGGTTTCCACTCTGCCAACGCCACAGGTCCTGGGCCATGTCATCCAGATTCCTCGTCGCCTTGAAACCCAGCTCCTTCTCAGCCAAAGTGGGATCAGCGGTCAGATCAGGTACATCACCCGTCCTCCTTCCGACGATCGAGTACGGGAACTCGTATCCCGACACCTTCTTCATGGCGTCGACCATGTTGAGCACCGACATGCCGACACCTTTGCCCAGGTTGAAAGCTCGGTACTTGCCCTTGGTCTCGGTCTTGCCCTCGGCAAAGATCTCGTCACGGTCGAGCGCATCGATGGCGTTGACGTGACCGCCAGCGAGGTCTTCGATGTGAATGTAGTCGCGGACGCAGGTTCCGTCGGGAGTGGGGTAGTCGTTGCCGAACACTTTCAGTCCGCCCTCGCGGTACTTGCCGACAGCCATCTGGCCGAGGAGCGGCAGGAGGTTTCCGGGCTTGCCTCGGGGGTCTTCGCCGATCTTGCCGGACTTGTGCGCACCGGCGGGGTTGAAGTAGCGCAGGCCGATGGCACGGAACTCAGGGTAGGCATCGCAGACGTCGCGGATGATGATCTCGCTCATCCACTTTGTACGACCGTAGACCGATTCTGGGGCCAGACGCGTCGACTCGGGGATGGGCACCTTGGGAGGAGTGCCGTAGACGGTGGCAGAGGACGAGTAGACGAGACGGTTGCAGCCGTTGTCGTGCATCACCTTGAGCAGGTTGACCAGGCCGCCGACGTTGACGTCGTAGTAATCGATGGGGATCTCGGAAGATTCTCCGACGGCTTTGAGCGCAGCACAGAGGATGACACCCCAGATCTTGTCTTCATCCTTGTAGGAGTCGAACACTTTGGAGATGTCCTCCTTGCTGCGAAGGTCGCCCTTGAAGACGTCGACCTTGCAGTCGTCCTTGTCTTGTTGGGATGCGTCCGCGGGGAGCTCGTCGATGGCGATCTGCTCGAGACGCTTCACCGCGGTAGGGAAGGCATTGTGGTAGTTGTCGAGGACTGACAAAGCGATAGTGGAAGAGCAAAGACGTCAGCTACCATTGTGCTTTCCCCAAAAACTTGCAAGCGTTGATCAGAATGTACTTACCAGTGACGCGGTACTTGCGGGTGAGGAGGGTGACGAGCGCAACGTGCGAGCCAATGTAACCGGCACCACCGGGGATGAGGATTCTGGGCTTTTGAGAAGGCATCTTTGCAAGTATCTCGGTGGGGGTGGAAATGGATGTGATGGTCGGAAAGCAAGAAGACGAAAGCGATTGGAAGAGGAACACGGTCCAGGACGATGCAACGACGATCCGCAGCACAGCACATCTCACTCGGCTGTGCGTGTGTGTTTGTGTCGGACTGGCGTCATCTTGATCGACTGCTGCACAGTGCACAGCTCTGCTGCGCTGACTGTAATTTACTGGTCCCGAATCTTCCATTCGAGGCGTCACGCTGCGCCTTGTTGCAGGCCGGTGAACCCGAAAGAAAGATTGAAGCGCGTGCGCATAGTCGCACTGGCAAGGCAAGCCGATTGATTTTCTTCTCGAGAAAGAGAGCGCAAAAAGTTGAAATCAACACTTTTCAGGAGTGACACGCAGAGTGTTCCGAATGGGCGGACAGGTCGATCGCCCCCGACGCTCGGCGTTGACGTGGGGGTCCCGAAGACGCATTCAAGCAGCGATGCAGAAGTCGAGGCTGTGTAAGATTGTTCCTCCCACATCATTGCCGATCAGGCACCTTCCACTACATATGCCTAACGTGCACGGTGTTGCTGCGTCGACGTAAGGTGACCGCAGTGTCTTGTTTAGCTACGTGGGGCGTGGTCGCTCTTTGTCGGACACATTGATGGCGACAAACAGCCAACAGCGACGAGTACCGAACATCATAGCTTTACCTGTTAATCAGCATTGTGCTGCGCTGCGTGGAGCAGCTTTGACGGAACGGTTCTGGGGCCGGCGAAATCCGAGGGCGGGCTGTAAGCCAAAACTTGCTGCACTGGGTAGCCGCCAACAATGACGGCAAGTCCGAAGTCCGAAAACTCGAACGAACGGCTCTCGGCTCATTTCTGATTGCCGACCTTCTTCGGACGATCATTGCCTTCGTTCTGCCCCGTTGGAAAGCTCTCGGGCATTGTCGAGCAAGGCCGAGAATTCAGCACTCATCCACAAGTGCCCGTTAGATCGGACCGGCGCTACACAGCTGGTCGCGATCCATCTGTGCTCCGACAATGCTACCCACAGCAATCCTTCGCAACCAGCTCTTTGGCGGGGTTCGCCTTCCATGTTCTTTCTACCGCGGCGGGACATCCAAAGGGCTCATTTTCTCGACTTCGTCCCTGGCGTCCTTCGATCATGCAACACGCGACCGCATCATCTGTCGAGCTATGGGCTCACCCGATCCCGATAAGCGTCAGATCGACGGTCTAGGTGGAGGCATCAGCTCGCTGTCCAAGACTGCCATCGTGGGACCCCCCGATTCCGCTTTAGCAGCAAAGCTTCGAGGCTCCAGGATCAGCTTCAAGGACGGCGTCGAGTATGCGGATGATGAGAGGCTTGCATCGAGCTCCGAAAGCGGATGGGATCTGGTGTATAGGTTTGGACAGGTACCAGTGGAAGAGGGAACAGGGATCGATTGGACAAGCACCTGCGGCAACTTGGTTTCCGCCGTTGCGCTCTTTGGGCTACACCAAGGACATTTCAAGCAAGATCGAATTCATCAAGTGTTTGAAGAGCTGCAGGGGAGCAAGGCAAAGGCTGGTGCCAAATTTGCCTTTCCAGTTCGACTCCTAGTGACGTGCTCAGGTCAGATCGTTCGAGCAAATGTCCCTGTCACGCTCTACTCCACCCAAAACGCTGGCCAATGGTATCCAGATCTTGAGGGAGACCACTCGATCTCTGGTGTACCAGGCACCGCACCAGGTATTCTCATCGAAACGCCCCTCGACACATCATCCCTTCTCCCCACCGGAAACCAACTCGACACCGTTACCGTCGAAAACAAACCCTACCCCGTGACGATCATCAACGCTGGTCTCCCCACGATCTTTGTCTCCTCTTCTTCCCTCTCATCGGTCCTTGACCCTGCGCAACTTTCTTCACTTTCACCCTCCGACTTGGACTCCAACATCGCGCTCATGACGCTTCTTGACAAGCTTCGAGTGGCGTCTGCTGCACTCACACCCTTCCTGCAAAAGACACTCAGCCCATCGGCACCCAAGATCTGCATCGTCCATCCCACTCCTGCGTCCGGATACTGCACCACTGGAGGAACACAAGTCGATTCTCAGCAGATGGACTTGCTGATTCGAGCGGTAAGCGTAGGAAACCTGCATCGGACAGTGCCCGCAACGTGTTTATCCGCTTTGGCGGCGGGAAGAGCGTTCCCCGAGTCGATGATTGAACAAGCCGTACGGGCAGGACGATCGATTAAGGAAGAGAAAGGCGAAGGGCAGATTCTGTCGATACGCGTTGGTCAACCAGCTGGAGTCTCGGAGGCGAGTGTCAAAGTTCGTCCGGCTACAGACAGTGAGCTCGAGAAAGGGGTGGAACAGGTCCCGGAGTCCATTGTGTATTACAGGACTGCGAGAAGAATTATTGAAGGGTTTGTGGATGTACCCCATTCGATGATCTCAACTTAGCATCCGTCAACTGTCGCCGCTCAAAACCGTTGTCACAATAAACGCATATACCCCGTCAATCAAACATCATGAGCATTCGCCCAGATCACGCGGCTCGAGTTGACATTGCATCTGGTATTCCTAGCACCCGTCCGTATGTACCGAGCGCCTCTACCCAAACACGGCCTTGTACACCTTCCTCGCATTCCACAGCACGATGAACGGGATCCCCCAACACGCGGCATCGCCGATCTCCTTCAAGCTCCTCAACTCTGCCGGCAACACCACAAACCTACTACCCCCTCGTGCTTCGTTCGCATCTACACCTTTACCCTCCTTCACCAGCTTCGTAAACTCGCCACCCACGAAATCGCCATCGGTGTAGAAGCGATGCATCTCGTCATCCTTGCGAGTCCACCTCTGCCTCAACCAATTCTCGAACGCCGTTCTCTCTTCTTCGCTGCTTTCCGCTGGTTTGATGTTCTCTCCCAGTGGTGGTGTGTCGACTTGTGCACTCGAGATGTGTGCGACGGAATCGGCGTTGCTCGAAGTATCGCCTGCAACGGGAGGAGTGACGCGTGTCATGGTGAAGTGGACGTGGATCGCAGGTGGCGGTACGCCTTGCATGAAGATGCTCCTCAGCGTGTAGAAATCCTGACCGTGTCCCGCCGGAGGAACGCCCGGATACCCAACGGTGAAGTCGACCAACCACAGATCATCCATCTCCTTGGCCAACGTTCTCAAACAGAAGAACAATCCCGTCGATCTAGGCAACAGGCAATTCTCCAGATCCTTGATCCCCATCTTCTCTGCGAATTTTGCCGAAACAGGTCTCGTCTGATTCGACACCAGTGTGCCTTCGGGAAAGATGAGGAGGAGAAGTTTCTTGGCGGTTCTGTTGGTAGACGAAGATTGGGGGGAAGTTTCGACGTGGTTTTGGGAAGAGACTTCCTCCAGTTGTTTTGCCAGTTGAGCCTGATCGCTGGCCCAATTACGAGCCAAAAAGATGAACCGGTAGAACTGCATACCCCACCCAATGAAGGGGATCCACTTGAGCGATTTCTTGAGGATGATCAAAATGCTATCCCCCAAATCCGCATAGTACGCCAAACACCACAGATACAACCAATCCGTATACACCTGGTGGTTCGACATCCAAACCGACCTACTCGGCATATCCACCCCCACAATCCTCCCGCTCTTCTTGTCCCGCCGAACGAACGTCTCCGGATCGAGATATCCACCTTTACCATCTCCGATGGAGATGACGAGTTGGGTAGGTCCGAAGAACTGCGAGATGATGAGCAGGATGCGTGCGAAGGCGAGCTTGGTGTAGGCGATGTGCGAGTGGTAGATGGGTTTGGTGGAGGGGTGAAGGCTGAGGGGCCAGGAGAGGAGTTGAAAGAGATGTGCGGAGATGATGCAGCCGTTGAAGACGAGTGCGAAGAGGATGGATTGCACGTAGGTCTGTGTGGGCGGACGGGAGGCGATGGGGATCGAGTAGGGTGGGGCGGTGGTGGAGGTGCCCAGACCGGTTTTGGCCGAAACTGCGTCCGGGATGGAGTCGCTGCTCGAGGGATTGGCGGACATGGCTGGCTGTGTTATTTCTTGCCTGTCGTGGATGGTGGTAGCCTGTTGGCGGTGTTACACGATTGTCAAAAGATGGACAGGTGGAGGAAAGGATGAAGCAGCGACTCCCTGGCTGAATGCGTCTACGGTCTAAGGAAGAAGACACTCTGGTGGTGTAGCGCGGAGGAGCGCAAGTCAAGGTATCGATGGTGGTGCAAGGCTGAGTTCCGTGGAGCTGGACCTTGTCGTGTGGATGGACAGACAGGCAGCGAGCACGTACCGCCCCACGGACCCTGATGCGTTTCGGGTGACGGTGTCGTACAGAAAAAGATGACAGCCTCGGCTGACACGTCCCGACACTCGGATGGGTAGCGCGCTCGAGCCAAAAATTTTGGGCAGCTTTGTTACATCCACCGCAACGTACACAGAATCTCAGAACTCCGCTCATCATGGTCTTGCGATGCTCCCGCAAAGGACAAACAAGGTACTTGAGACGTCGCCGCTAGCTACTGTTGAGCGTCGCTCGTTCGGATCAAGTGAGCGAGGTGGAAAGCACCTTGTGGTCGAAAACGCAAAGCAGCGCTTCGGAGTCTCTTCGCATATGACAGTAGCGATTGTTCTATACACTGGACACGCCAGGCTGTGAGCGGATCGAGAGCTGTCCTTCCATCACTATCCGCACCAGCTGCTCTATTCCTTCAACGAAGACTCGTACCCTCGCCCAGGTAGAAAGTGCGCCCTGCCGATCCGTCACCTACCTTGCCGAAGCCTGTCCCTGTCTTGCCCTCGACCACCTTCTCGACTTTACCGGCGTCCAGCCCGACGGCTCTCGCCAGACGTGAGCCTATGCTGCTCCCTGGACCACGCACAGCATCCCTCGTCGCAGACGCCGCGATGGATTCCTCGCGCAACGATACACCCTGGGTGTTGATGACACCGGTCTTGATACCACCCGTCGCAGCGGTCTGCACCTCGAGCGGTGTTCCCACCGACGACGAGTACTTGTCGGGAGAGGTGAAGCGCGAAACAATGTTCTTGGCAGATACCAACCCGTTAGCGAAGAGGTCATAGTAGTTGGCATTGGTGAGTGTGTCCACTGCGCCAATGACGTGCTCCTACAAGACATCACGGTGAAATAGAAAGGCAACGTGTCAGTAGAAGTACCTTCAATAGCACGCTATACTTGCCGCGTGTACTCACATTCCATCGACCTTTGATCTCTTCTGCCACTGACGGTCGTACCGGAGCAACGTACGCAGGTTTGAGCTGCTCTCGTGTCACTCGCTCCTTGCCCTCTTTGTCCCAATTGTCCGGATCGATGTCGTTGAGCTGCAGCTTGATCTTGTTGAGCGCGACAGCGGTATCGTGTGTTCGGACTGCCATCGTATGACGGAAAGTGTATAGCAAGGAGGTTGCTACAAAGACACCGCCCAGGGGCGCCAAGAAGAAACGTGTTGCTGCCATGCTTGCCCCGCTCTCTCCAAAGGGTACGATGACTACGGGATAATGAGTGCGATTGTCCCGCTATGAGCGTTGTACCTCGGATTAGCGAAAGGATACTTGAGCGGAGAGATGATTGTAGGTAGGTGCAGTGGTATAGGATCGAAAGGATGCGTCGAGTGAAGGGTTGAGGTGGAGGATGGTTTCTGTTTCCCGAGCCGTGCGACCGCCGTCAAAAGTCGGAATGCTCGCAGCAATTTCAGACCGAGAAAATGCGCAATTGCAGAACGGCAGAGAGATTGGATAGCGATCGCCAATCCTTCCAGTTGCAACAGGCAGTCTCATTCAAACCTATTTTAGTCGACTGCTGTCTTCTTACAGCTTGGATTGATTAACAGCATCGGATCTCGGCTTTCAGTGGGTTGCTTCCAAGAAGAAAGCACCTCGAGCTTTGCCATATCCCCTTTTCAAGAGCTCTGACTTACCAGCTTAAGCCCGTGCAGACAGCCACGTCGAAGCTGTTGCTACTCGTTCGAGCTGTCGTCCGGTCTTTGCTGAGGCCACCGCCAGCACCACCGCTTCATCCGCCGCTTGACCGTTTTGCAGCTCTTCGCACCAGACCTCCATCTTCGTGGTCGTTGCAACTGCTCACAATGAATCCGGCATTCAACCCAGTCGCGATGCTCGCGGAGCGAACATGCGGTCCCATCTACAATGCCATCGATACAGGCAACAACATCCTCGCCGTGCGTCACGCCGACAAGATCTTGCAGTCGCAGCCGGATCTAGCGCTTGCTTCCGCACTCAAAGCGCTCGCCCTTGTACGCTCCGGCAAACGCACCGAGGCTCACGACGTATGCACCAAGCTCATCACAAGAGGTTTACGTAAGGGTGAAGACAACGTCTTGACACCTCTCACCTGGACGCTCGGGAGGCTAGGTCGAACCGACGATGAAATCACTTTGCTTGAAGCAGCCGTCAAGACCAACCCTACCGACGAAGCACTTTCCCGCCAAACCTTCTTTGCACTCATCAAAAACAAGTCATTCCAAAAAGCGCAGCAGCTGGCGTTGAAGATGCACAAGTCATTCACCGGCCGCAATCGAGCGCAAGGACGATTCGTGCAAGAGTATTTTTGGTGGTCCATATTGTCCTACCTGCTGCTCGCAAGAGATCCGAACGCACCAGGCGCCGCTCTAGCGTTACCACTCAGCCAGCGTATGATCGAGAAGCAGATTGAATCCAAGCCGTTGGGCTTGAATGACGAAGAGGCTCTCTGCTTGTTTTTGCAGGTGCTCATACGACAGAACAAGAAACAGGACGCCTTCGATCTCGTCGCTGCCCAGGATTCCGTAGGACACACCTTGTGCGACCGCAATCTCAGCCTCGAATTCACCCGAACCGACCTCGCCAAGGAACTGCAGAATTGGTCGTATGTAGAAGAGAGCTGTTGGGCTCGTATAGACGGCGGTAGCCGGAATTGGGCTCATTTCGCTGGCTACTTGGACGCCGCAGAAAGGCTCGGCAAGGATCATCTCGTCGCCGCACAGAAGAGAATCAACGTTCTGCTCAGTGTCAAGGGCGCCACAAAGGACCGCTCGGTGCGACTTGCCGAGCTCGAGGCAATCAAGAAGCGTTTGGGTAGCGGCGACCACGAGGCGGAGGCTCAACTCCAGGCCAAGGTGCTGTCGTACTTTGAGCAGTTTGCTAGCAAAGCCTGCTGTCACGAGGATCTCCTGCCGTACTTGGGCGCCCTCTCAACGGCATCCCGAAAGACGGTGACGGATCTGGTCAAGACCAAGGCGCGACCTGTACCAATCAAGACCGAACTCGACCTGAGGACCAACATTTCGATCGCCAAGATTACACGAACGCTCCAATCCTCAGAAAGCCTCACGGAAGAGAGCGAGGCGACGCTTGCGGCTGCACTGCTCACGCAGTACCTGGACGGGCTTTCCGTAGGAGCATCTCTTCCAGAAACCGAAATGCAACCTGCGGACGACCTGGCTCTCCTCGGCGTGCAAGCATTGCTCTCTGCCTACAAGCTCTCTCACGGCAAACCTGTCTACCTGCAACAGACCATCGCGCTGCTCGAACACGCATTGACCAAAAGCAAGAAAGGCTATCAGCTCCGAATGCTGCTCATCCGTAGTTACATTCTCGTTGGCGCCTTCGACCGCGCTTCGATCCACTACGGCCTGCTGGGGCTGAAGAGCGTTCAAGCCGACACGCTTTCGCACCTGATCAGCGAGCGTTGCTCTGTGTTCTCATGCGTGCCGTCTAGCAGCGCGACGCCGGACGACGGATTGTACAAGATGACCGTGCGTACGCTCTCCACGTCACAGGCGATCTACGAAGAAAATTCGACCTCTACACCGGACATGGTTTCGAAAGCGCTCGAACACGGCATCTATTCTCGGGTGGAAGAGTTTGTCGAATTTGGCGAGGCTTTGGAGAGGTCCCTGCAACGGCAGATCTCGAGGCTGGAAGAGTCGCGCTCACATTTGGGGAACAGACAGAACTTCAAGAAGGATGCAGATGGGAAGCAGTTCGAGGCAGGGATCGAGAAGGCCGTGAAAGCTGTAAAGGAGGATTTGCAGGAAGGATTGTCGGATCAGAGAGACTTTACAGTCTTGGTCAACTATCAGCCGTTGGACACGCCAGATGTTGAAGAGTTGACGCAGGTGGGTCCGAAGCAGGATGCAGGTTGGGTGCGCAGCATTGCTTCGATCTTGTCGTCCGCCGAGACTGAAGTCGACGAAAAGGATCTTCAAAGCTTGACGGATCAAGAACGAACCTTGGTTGCTATTGTTCACAGCGCTCGCTCGAGAAAGTTCGATCCAGCAGCGTTGACAAAGATGCTCGAATCGACCAAGACCACCGTTCGCGCCCTGATCAATTCGTCAGAAGATCCGGCTGCATCTCCCAGTCACATGGCGCGCCCAGTAGATGCCGTCCACGAGGTAGCACTTGCGCTCGAAGCCATCTATCACACAAAGCCCAAGCTGGACAACGAGACACAATCGACGTGCAAAACACACCTCGCCGAGATCGCCACACTGGTCAACCACCTTTCGAGGCCAGCACAGTCAGCAGCACCAGCGATGGTCTTGCAGGACGGCTTGGCATCCTTGGGCAAAGACAAAGTCGACCAGATGATGCAGACCACGCGCGACAACGTAACCCGCAGCTCGGTCAAGGTGTTTGGCAACCTCAGAGATGCGTTGCGCGATGCATTGTGATGTACCGTATACAATGATAGAAGCACATTGCCAAGCAAGCATGTGATCTCGGGTGTCGACCCGGACGAGGAAGAGATGCTCCGAGTCAATCAGCGAGGTCTCAATAGGCGGTAGGCGACTGACCGATTCAACGCGGGCGCTGTCTGTCTCTGTCAAGAGCCCGTGACTGGGAATTGGTGCGCGTCTCGGCCTTCCCGCGCAACCAATATTTCATCCGGATCCTAGCGCGGGGTCCATGCAGGTTTTGATGCAGCAGATTCTGTCTCAGCGTTTCTTTTCTACGCTGCATGCGTGACGTGAAATTAGACGCCTCGCGTGTGGTCGAATCTGGGACGGCGACAGACCCGCATCTTGCCTCACACGCTAACTTATCCGCACCTGGCTGAAGCCTGAGCTTAAAATCACAACGCAAAAAGTGTCAAAGAGACAGCAGGTCAAATGGGACGGCTCCCACGCTTGCACTGCGTTTCTACGTGATTTGACCAAAGAAGCTTTGCCTTGGCCTGCCTTGTCGGCTCTTCCGTTCGGGACCGCCGCTGTGAGTGAGGAGCTTACCATGGCACGTTGCAAGGCGTGAAAGAAAGGGTGACTTGTCCTAGCGGGCTGTTGGATTGCTTCGAGAGTGGTGAGCTGCGTAGAAGCAGCGCGCGTGGACAGAAGGGTCTGAGAGCTATCCGAGCGGATTCACGCAGCGAAAGCAGGCACAGTGCGGCTCATTATTGTAACAATGCTGCTGCGCTCGGATCTTGCATGGCTATCGTTCCCGCGATGCCAAGCCGCTTGCTTCCGCCGCCAACTCTTGCTCGCTGCTGCTCTCCTTCCATCCACATCCATTCCATCACGAACCTGAGCGACCGGCCCTCTGCGTCCTCGTTCCTTCATAGTTAGACACATCTCACTACAGATACCCTCGGGCCGCCACTCTATACCCTCGAGATCTATCGGCTCGAGTCTGCCTGTCGATACCCTGTTTGTTGTGGCGACGAACAACGATCTCATATCGGAACGAACGACGACTCCTCGCCATAAGTAGCGTTGATCGCAGACTATCCTCACGACGCCGATCACTGCTGCCGTCACGCAATGGCTGCCGTTGCTTCTACTACTCCTGCACATCACGCTTCTGCAGGCCAACGCGCCGTCCCTCCAACCCAATCCAGTGGCATCGCACGTATGTCTAGTCGCAAGCTCTTTGGCCGCTCGCGCAAGCATGCCGCGTCTTCCTCGGAGCTCGGCTCGTCGACCGACTCGGCTGCGCCGCAAGACACATTCAACGCTGCTTCTGCGCAGCGTTCTAATGGCAGCGCCGATAGCTATGCCAACGACAAAGTGTTTGGCAGCCGCGACACGAACATGTCCACCTCGGCACTGAGCACCACCAGCACCGCTTCTCGCACCTCGCGCTTCTTTCGCAAGTTCGGTCGTCAAAAGGCTCCACCAGTGCCTTCGCTGCCACCGGCGCTGGTGCTCGATCTGGACGCAGGCACCGCAGTGCCTCGCTCTGCTCAGCCCATGGTAACTGCCTCATCGTTCAGTAGCGACGAGACAGTGCACAAGATCTCACGCCAGAAGCAGCCGCCATCTGCCGCAGCTGCCATTATCGCCGAGTCCAATGCCGCCTACGCCGCTGCCGAGACGGTTCCAAAGCCACAGGGCTTGCAGCGCAAGAAGATGCTCGAAGCTGTGGCAAATGCCCGACTCGACGTGAGTCAGACACGGGACTTGATCCGAATGTGCGGCCTGCAGATCCGCGAGCGAGGACTCGACACGTCGGGGCTCTTCCGACCTTTCCGCATCGCCGAGTCGCAGGACCACGTATATCACATGATCCAGCTCTTTCTGCTTTCCATCGACGTTTCGACCTACATAGCAGTGTTTCCCATCCTTCCTGAGGATGCCCTTGATCGCTTCGGTCGCAACTCTGCCAGTACCGGCAACCAACTTGCAAGCCAGCAAGCCAAGACTCAGGCCGCACGTGAAGAACTCGACAAGGAACTCCGATATGCAGCTCCACACGACGTTGTTTCGGTCATGAAGTGGGGTTTGCGACACATGCGTCTTCGCGCCACAGACTTTGCTTCGAAGGATGCGCACGGCTGGTACGACGTGTTCGTAGCAGCCGAGCGAGAGTCGGGGTATCACGCCAGAGCCATTGCCGACCTCTTGCATCCGACTCTGCCGCAAGCGACAGCCGAGCTGTTCAGCGAGGTGCTCGATCTCATGGCTTCCGTAGCTGCACACTCCAGCAGCAATCATATGCCCGCGTCCGCATTGTGCGAGCTGCTCGGCTTTTGGCTGTTTGGCAAAATTGGGGTCGCTCATCCACCTCCGACCGTGGACGAGCTCGTCGAGGCGATCAAGAAGGCAACTGCGATGGCCGAGCATTTGCTACTGGCCCACATCAGGTCGCAGGCTGCCGTCACTTTCTCCATGCCGCTTAGGCTTACCGAGCTCGTGGATCGATACCCATACATAAGAGCAGGACAGGAAACACCTTGCCTCCCGCCGGCATTCGCTTCGCGTCCGGTGACCACGCTGAGGATCGATCTGCGTTCCGATAATTTGGTAGTGTCGCAGGGGAAACCGCGTGGGCCTTCGGCGACGCTCGCCGCTGCACTCGGTGCGTCTGCGTCAGACCATCTGAAAGGCGGACAAGGCGAAATGTGGGCTGCTCTCATGAGCCAGCTCGACCACACGGCGGAAGAGGGCGTTAAGGGATACGAGCTGCTCAGCGACGAACACGTTCGCATACTCCGACAAGTCGACCAGGAACTGGCTGGCGCCAGTGAAGAACAGCAGCTGGAGAACGGACCGCCGAATTCAAACCCGCTGCTCATGGCTGCCGCCTCGAAAGCCGCTGCTGCCCCGTCACTCGCAGAGCTCAAAAAGGGGCGTCGTCGTTCGCAATCCCTCTCCGATCTGCGAGGCGTTTCTTTCGCGACACCAAGACCGCTCGCTCCGCTCGACGAGAACAGCACCGGTAGCAACACCCCACGCGCCACCGCTTCGCCTGCACTCAAGAACGGTACACCGCGACGCAAACCAGTACCCCTCGCAACTTCTCACGTGCAAGACGCATCCGAAGAAGTGGAGGTGGTCAACGATACGCCGGATGACTCTCAGCAATTCCCTGCACCACCAGATCGTCGACACGACGATCTGTTTTCCGGTGGTCTGGAGCCGAGTGCGTCGTGGAGGAGTTTCTCGGAGGAAGGCTTCGGAGGAATGAGCACTGCTTCTTCTGAACTTTCGTTGAGCGAGTTTCCTATCGGGCAGGCTCAGACGTTGCCGAGCAGAAGAAGCAACAGGAGTCTGTACCGGGTGCGATCGAGTGCTTCCAACGGATCCAGGAGGAAGACACCGAAAAACACCTTCGTCGATGGTGCAGAGAACGATGCGAAGCAAGTGACGCACACGGTCACCTCTGCTTCGCTGGTGAAAGATCTCGATTCGACCTTTGCAGTTCTCTGGCAGGATCAGTTGCTGGATTCATCGCCTTGTTGCAAGTTTCCGCAGATGTTGTTTGTACAGTTGCGAGCGAAGGTGGATGCGGAGTGGCTATTGGTGAGTGAGACGGTGGTTCCTCCGAGGCCGGCGACGCCGGTGAACGGGAAGGGTGGGAGGTGGGATGAGGGCGGTGATAGGGAGGAGAGGAGGAGTATCTTTGCGCCGAGTATAAAGAGCGTCAGGATGAGGTTGAGGAGGGTGAGTACGGTGATTGGGAATGGGGTGGGGGGTTGGAGGAAGGAGCAGATGCCGCCGATGCCGGGGATGGGGGTTGGGGAGGGGGAG